GGGGGGGGGCATGTGGGCGAACAAACGGACGCAATGGGAGAAAGAGAAAACAAAACCGGGTCGCTTACATCGTCGCGCACGTAGCCACGCCCGGTCGTGCCGAATGTCTCGATCGCAAAGACCTCGCCCTCCTCCATCTTGGTTTGGTCCGAGTTCTTCACAAAGGGGATGGACTTGCCGCCGTGGATGCGGTACTGCTTGATATCGTGTGCACTGAGATTACGCACCGGCTTGACGCGGAACGTTTTGCCGCGGATTTCAACCTCGTGGCTCTCCATGGCTTCCTGGATGGCAGCGCTGACATCGCTGATACGCACATCGATACCGGCCGTCTATCAACGGTTCGTTAGCCCCATTGTCCAAGCCCGTGGTACATACCCATCTGAGAAGGAAGCTCGTCACCTTGACCCCTGTGTTGGTGGCATCTTTGACTGCAGCTAGAAGGCCGTCGTAGATGTGATCAAAGGCCATGGTGAAGGCGCTGTCGACAATCCAGCCGTTGATGTGGACACCAAAGTCAACTTTCATGACGTCGTGCTGCTGTATTACCACATCCTTTTGACCCGGGTTGGGCGTGTAGTGCGCCATTTGGTGGTTGAGGCAGAGACCCGTGGGGAAACCCAAGCCTGCCTTGAGACTATCTCCAGGCTGCAGCCCGGCATGGCCCAGCAGCGCCCTCACGCTATCTTCGATTCCTTCCGCGACGTCCAGGAGAGTCTGGCCGGGCTTGACGCTCTCCTGTACCCATCGTCGAGCTTGCCGATGCACCTCGGCGGCCTTGCGGTAGTTTTGGATGAAGTCATCGTCTTTATAATACAAACGAGCTTCGTAGCGTGCTTCGGCAGCTGCTATCTGTGATTTGGTATAGTTTTGCATCTCGCCCTCGGGATACTCGCCAGATGGGAAGAGGTAGGTCAACAAGATTCTTGGTGGGGATGTTTGCTTTACAGGCACAGGAGTGGTCCCCTTCTTCTTGCTCTTCTTCTTGTTCTTCTTCCGTTTCTTCTTTGCATCCACGACTTCGGTTGTCGAGGGCGCCTCTAGCGGTCCCAGGCTTGTTTCTTCGACGTCACCATCGCCGTCGCCGTCGCCGTCGCCGTCGCTCTCGTCATCACCTCCTGCGTCACCGAGACAGCCGTCTCCGTCTCTGTGCATATGAGATCCCCGAGGCTCGCCGCCGACGTGACAGGCTCCATCCGAGTTGGATGCGTCGCCTTGACGGAATCTTGTGTTAGGATTCGTACCTCGAGCATAAAGGTGTCGGCGTGTTACATACCATAGTGTCTGCGATGCTCGTTTTCCGGGGTTTTGGTTCCCATTCCGACATTCCACACTGCAGGGCTGGAACGACTTGATTATTGGATATTCAACCTGCGATTGAAGAAGTCTGAACGACCATGTTGCGCGATGAGGTGAGGTTAAACACCCCGCTTGCCAAGTACTTGGAGGTCGAACCTCACCGCTCCGACTGGCGCTAACCTTAAATAGTCTAGCTCCTCAGCATGGATTATGCCACTGAGCACTTTCACAGAATACATAGCCATCACCAAGCCATCACTACACTCTCCATGGTTACAGCATAGAATCCTCGTGCTTTTATATTTTATCTTGCGATCGACACTTAGCATATTCACTTGGTATCTCCCGATGTATTACTTCCAAGGCCGAGACGTGGCTAGTCGCCGCAACATGTCAGATTCTAAAATTGTGGCATTTAAAACCTACTCGTTATGGTTGTTGAGCTCCAGATTGAGGCTGTCGCGACAACAGATGCCGGTGAGCTACCAACTCATCGGCTGGTCCAATATATAAGAGCTTGAGATGATCAAATCTCGTCCACTGACGCTGTCGAAGTAAGAAGTCCGCAATATTTCACCTCTCCGCAATCCGCCGCCGGGATCGATCTTCAGAGGGAATAATCACAGCGGCAATAACGATGAAGATACTGCTTCAGTTCCAGGTCGGCCTCGTTTTAGCGGGGGCCTTGGCCTTCACTCGACCTTCACCAGACACGACTTCAGCTTCGAAAGCCCTCACAGCTCGTAACGCCTGGGAGGCTACGTTTGCCTTCTTTCTAGGGAGCGGCCAATGCCCGGGAAGCAGCTAGGTCTTTAACGTCGGCACCTTGAACGAATGCAAGTGAAGTCTTGTCTGGTTTCCGCTGGGCCTTCGTTGCTGGAGTCTCCTATGTAAGCGACCTCGAGCCCGGCTCGAATATCGAAGCGGATGTCGTTCATGTACGAGTCGGGGGAAATGCACGGTGGGAGGGAACGTGTAGGTCGCGTAGACGGTGTTGTTCGATAGATTGACACCCACGACTTTTGGCCCGCCCGGCTGTGCGTAGGGCATGGTGTAGCTCCCAGAAGAGGACTGGATAGTCGGCCGGCCTGTGTCCAAGAGCCACAGCGTTTCACCTCGTCCCGAGGAAGTTGCAGGAGTTGTGTAGAGAGCCTGCACGCTGATCAGGCCTGTGGAATTCGCACTTGCGAACTCGATCCCATTGAAAGTGGTGTTGAGTGCATCAGAAGGCAAGTTCAGACCAGCACATGGGAAAGGCGTCTCTGAAGTCGTGCTGTGGACTTCCGTAACGGTGTATTCGTAGTCCCCACGGGTGTAACAGACAAAGATTCTAGAGGTGCTGGACACGGCGATGCCGATCGGCCAGTATTTGTAGAAATAACGAACTTCCTCTACTGGAGGGCCGTAAGTTCCATTGTCCGCAGGGAGCATCGATCGTCATGCAAATGAGGACGAGGAAGTGAGAAGCCCAACAAGGCTGAGCTAATCCGATCTGGGGAATTCGCACTTCAAGGCTACAATTCGATTTCCAAAGCCTTGGGACTTCGGTCAAGAATCAAGCACAATCCTGTCTTGCCATTTTCTCGCATGGAGAGGTCATGTAAACAGACCCAGCCAGCCCGGAGACAGACCCAGTCTCTTAGACCGCCCCTGATCACTGAGCAGGAGAGGAATATGGGTTTAGGTGGTCAAGAGCGTTCGGGTTCAGGTCGCTTGTGAGCAAAGTCAGGCCATTAGTCGGTACTCAACCTAGTTCATCCGCCAAGTTTTCATGAGCAAAGCCACCTAGGTAGAGGGCACCTTTCGGTAGCATCTCGCTGAGTTCAACACAGTGCCCTCCCCTCGCACCTTGTTGCGGAGGCCCCAAATATATACATGCCCCAGAGCACATTATCTCATGGCATGAGCGGCCTTCCCTTGAAATGGCCTTCCTCTTATCGCTGTTGAGATCGTCTCCAACCGGTGGATATCGTACCTCTTCATTATTGTAGAATAATCCCCCATTGTCCTTTTGTATATGTATTCTTTTGCCGTCATCGTATGTCTGGCTAACCGTGTCCTCCCCGTGGTTTCATTCCGTACAAGGCGTGCAGTAACATTAATATCTGTAAAATACTGAAATCGACCAATATCGACGAATCCCCGAGCCATTTCAAAACGACTATAGCCCGTTGAAAGTGGTGGACATTTCCATTGCCGAATTATGCAAGTCGACGTCCAAGGGTATTGTATGTAACCGGGTTTGTCGTCATTGTGCAATCGTCTACAAGAAGGACGTTAGCGGGTGATGATGATCTGGAATCCATCTATCCATGGTCCACAGCTTCCAGAAATCCCGGCGAGACTGTATCCCCGCGGCGCCATCAACGTGTGTCTGTCTCTTGGTCAGAAGAGTCTTCGCTGTGAACGTAGCGCCAAAGACTTTTACATACCCAGATCCTCCAGTTGCGTTCCCAAAAATACCTGATCTTCGGCCCGTACTGGTCAAAATCTCAATACCATCAATCCAGAGACCGGCACGCAAGTAAAAGCCTAGAATTGTTTCACCACGGCGCGTGTCTGCGAATGTTAGCTCTCTGAAATGTCGCACGCCCACGCCTCCAACTCACCAAGAACGAATTCGTCACCACCAGGCTTGCCGCCCCTCTTGCCAAATAGTTGACTATGACCATCTTCATAGCAAAATTCAATGCCGTCCAGTGCATATCCATGATAAAGTCTGACAGAAGTCAGAAGTTTTGTCTGAAGATGAATGCTTTCTAGGACCAGTTCTTCTGGCCGCGACCCCTCCAGCTGGGAATGACCCAGCTTCTTGCTTTTAAACCCAAGTCGAGAGTCGAACGACTTGCCCAGGCCTACAACATTGCTCAGCGCGTTCATTGTCAAGCCTTCATCACGCTTTGGTGCCTGCTTGACGTGCGGCAGATTAACAATGTATTTCTTTGACAAGAGGTCGTCTAGGTCTTCGATCTTCTCACTCCGGGAGCTACCACAGAAGATTGTCAAAGACAATTTGACCTTCTTTTTGTCTTCAGGAAGGCGTGCGCGGACGTCGGCCTCTGCCAAGGTGATCTGTTTGGGAGTAACACTGTGTCGCGGATCAGTGTTGGAAAAGTCGATCCATTGCCGGCATAGATCCTCTGTGTGCATCCTTATCTCAATAAATGATATTCCTGAGGGGGCGGCACAGATAATGCGTCCGTTGCCGACCGGAAAGTATTGAATGCTGTCATCTTGTGGAAGAGGTTCATCACTGGGAAGTCTGAAACAGGGGTGGTACCGGAAGCGGAGCACGTCCAGTCGATGCCAACCGCACTCGTCTTCCTGACGACAGACCTTGAGACCTTGGGACTTTGTTCTCGTCGAGTACGGTTCTTTGATCAAGAATGTGCGGTTCAACCGGACATAGTCTCTGAGCATGACTCCGGTTTCTTGGTGAGGACAGCCAAAGAGATGACCGACCTCATGCAGATGAGCGCCGATGCCAATGTTGGCAGCTTCCCAGCTACTCCCGGATTCGTCGCAATCGTTTGCGACATACTTGGTGTCAGTCCGCGTGCAGTCCATAAAGGCCGGCACGACTTCCTCGATACACGATGGATAGCTCTGAAGAGCATGTGAGCCGAAAATGGCCAAGCCAAGGTCATCCGCTGTACCGCCGAGAGCAGCATGGCCCCTGATTGTTCCGACTTCTGGATCCCAATGGGCATCGAGTAAGAGGCAAGCCACATACTGCTTCTGACCTGGTCTGATATTGAAATACTTCTTGACGGCATCCGCTGCAATTGAGTAAAGCTCCCCCTTCTTGGCTGCCGGCGAATGTTGTTGGGCGTACTGCAGGTCCCGCAATTCCGCAGTAGTCTTGTCCGACCGTACGACATGGATCCTGGTTTCATTTTTCATGATGCCCATTTCCCGGTCCCGGATGGAAAGTGTGCCGGTTTGCCATTCTTCTTCGAATCTGAAACATCTGCGGCCGAATTTGTGTCGGTACATTTGTTCTGCAGTGAATGTCTGCCAGAGATGAGCAGCCATTCGGAATTTTCTAATGGCCATGGACAGGTCGTTGCCCTCATTGTGTATTCTCTGGGGAGCTGCGTCATATGTACAGGGCGAATCCCTGCCGACTAGGATGACGAGCTGCAGAGGCGGTGCGCTATTCAATGGCAGGTAGTTCAGCATAATATAGGAAGAGTGCATCGCAGGGGTGGATCCAGTGCTGTGGAGGCTCAGTTTGGGTGAGGTGAAGTCAAAACGAATTCTGTTCCAGCCAGGCGAGAGGTAGACAAGAGCTTTGAAGTACGAATCGGACACCGGCCAGTTCGTAGGTGGAAACGCTTGTCCCTCCTTATCATGATGGACAGTCAGATTGCCCTCCATGGGTTTCTGGTTGGGGTCGCCAATTTCTCCATTCACCAATAGCACTTTGTGATAGACCTGAGCGCCGTCTGTGAGCCCGCCATTCCCAACTCGTCATTGAACCATCACATACCACTGAGTTATCCATGACTGAAGTAATTCTAGGCGCATACGCGGAGGTCGGTGGGGGAACTCGGATTGTCCCATTAGAGCCGGAAGGTGACAGAGTCTGCCTTCGGTCAGCTCAGAGGCACGATTTGGTCATAAGTGTTCCAGCGAACTTACCATCATGCTGTTCCTATTTGAACTCGGAACCATAACAGTAGGCCGCTGAGGGACCGGAGGCGGAGTGTCACCATTGCTCTTGACTGTACCCAATACGTTGTAAGAGGAGCCATTGGCATGATATGTCGAAGGCGGTGTTGCGCTTCCGGGAGCGGAGTTCAGTGTAGAGGACGATTTTGCAGTCGGAACAGTGCCATTGGATTCTGTTGAGGAGTCGGAGGTTCGGAAGCTTGCTTTTGATCGGCGGCGCAGCTCTTTGAAGAAGGGCATGACTGGGAACTGAGAGATTGAGGTCGAAGGCCTTTTAAAAGTCAAGCATGGATTTCGGCGACACGACAAAGGAGGCGCTCTTCAGTGCAACTCGAACAGTGCTGTTGATAACGCCGCAAAGTGAGGATTGACGGGGGGATGTAACGACTGCAAGCACATGCATGTGCAATGAAGCTTTTTTTTTCTTCCCCAAAGTGACGATTGGCTGCCAGGGAATCACAGCAGGGGGCAGAAGAAAACAGAGGAAAAGAAGCTCGCCTCAGACACTTTTGGACAAACAAACGAGCGACCAGGAGAGAAGGAGAATGTGGATTAGAATTAGAATGAGGATGAATCTGAGGGTAAGATGAAGAGGAGAGGGATCGTCCATCCGACGATAAGCACGGGGCTGAAATGGCGACGAGAAGGTGTCGCTGCCCGGACTTGCGACTGGGACAAGGAGAACGGCCTGAAGACTACTAGTGAGCGAGCCAAAGCCCGCTGGACTCTGGGATATTCTGGGTAGCAGCGGGCGGATATGGATGTGCAGCTCTTTCATCAGTTGGAAGGCAAGTTGGAGCAGCAGATATTGCGAGACATGCGCTGCCGCAAGCAGGTGCGATTCGCCAGAAGCAGCTCCAGGCACAAGCAATCCGGGAATCATGCAATCAGCTTGGCAGGATACGATTAACAAGCATGCAGCATGCCACAAGGATGCCAGTTTCCAGATGATAAAGGTGGGGTTTGGGAAGGGAATGCGCAATCCCAGACCTGGCACAAAGCGCCTTGCACGCTGCACACAGGCTTTCCCTATTGCTCTTTGGGGCTGGTGAGGCCTTGCCACCACTGCCACCACTGCCCGTTAAGCTCTTTAGGGACAGGCGCCCCCGGAGAATCGGGGGGCAGTAGTGGGCTTGGTGGGCACCTTTCACAGGCGATGACGTCGTAGAGGGCCGCTGGAATGCTGGAACGGCAGAAAGAACATGTGGCTGGCGCGGCGCCCAGAGATAATCGGCCTTGACCAGGACTTTTTCTCCGTCTTTTCGAACACATTGCGATCCACTCAACATCCGCCTCCTGTTCCATCCCTAAGGATAATATGCCACTGACAAAGAATGGAAGGTGACAATTATCTTGCCGCACGACAATCCTGGGGGGATGTCCACGCCGAGACTGAAATTTCCATGCAAATTTCACATTCGGATCCCAGAGCCGAAGATGAAATATGCCATTTTGTCCTCTTGCCCATTCTTCTCGTGATGGCCGCCCAGCAATCTGATCATATATGCTCTCCCAATATGGCCTGGGATACAGCTTGTCTTGATTTGATCTGGGATTCTGAGATTCCCTCGGTGAAAGTCCGAATGAACTCCAAGTGATGTCGGACGACACAGAGACGACAAAATTCACCGAGTTAGTCATGGTTTGCAGGTACCTAGGTACTGGGTACTGGGTATAGATAGGTACATAGTGCGACCACCGGCCGGTTCCTGGCTGGCACCTTGAAGGCTGCGCCGGTCCAGGGAGGCAGCCCTTCTTCCCCAGATCCAACAAGATGGCTTTGGCCTGTCACTGATGGGCTGCGATGGAAAAGGAGGAAATTATACGAGGTAAATTATAGTTTGTTCCGCTCTCAGGGTGGTTTGGACAGGGTGGGTGACAACACATCAGCGTCCCAGCCCTGTCGTAAAATCTCGGAAAAAGCAGATCGACTTGCAAGTCACTGGCAGTGGACCCAACGAGGGAAGAGGCGGGTTGTCAAGCGAACATCCAGGGCACAAGAGAAACAGAAACCTGCACGCAGTACTGCAACCCTAAGAGGAGGAGGAGTACCTGCAGCCGCCAGATCGGGAGGTGACCAAGGTGACAGGAAACAGGAGGACGGGAGGACAGGAGCTCATGTTTCGAGCGTCATTGGATCCGGTGCAAATGTACCGAGTAATAGGTTTGAAATGGATTGATCAAGGCCATCACCTCTGGCTGGAGACAGCTGCCAAGGGTGCATGCGACCAACGCAGCGGCCAATTTCACAGCCAGTCGGTAAGCTCCAAGCAGGAGTCTCAGTTAACCGTAGGCTATGCGTAGTTAGCTGCAAAGGAGCCAACCAGTTTGACACAACCACCAGCCACAGGCGAGAGGAAGCTGCAAATAGAAGGCCTCAGCAGCCTGCGGGTGGAGGCCGCCGTAGCTGTCCTTACCCAGAACGTGCCACCAGTGTCGACTCCGACGAGGGCACCCCTCGCAAGCCCTCGATCCGTCCTCCACAGTTGCCAGTTACCAGTTGCCGCTCTGGACTGACTTCCCCCCCCCCCCGGCGACGCCTGTGCTGAGGCCAATTAACTTAATCCAGCCGAATTCACCTTTACCTGGCTCAAAAAGCAAAAGGTCGCTGCCACCACCAACGTTCCTCTACCACACTCCCTTTGAACCTGCTGCTCAGCCGATCACTTTCTTTTACGCCGCACCGTCTTGCTCTTGACTTTGGGCCCCCTTTGGCTCGTCCAGCCTCGACCTCTCCCTCTGCCTCTGGTCCTCCAGCATGCCCTCAATCCTCCAGTGAGCCCGAACTGGACCCGAGCACCACCATTGAACATAGCGCAGTCGCACCCGGCTACCCTGGCGCTGTGGCCCCACGAATTGCCAGCCCGAGTCTGGATCCATTGCAGGAATTAAACCAGCTTGACTTCAATTCTTTCCTAGCCTGCGCATTGACGTTCCGGGGCAACACCACACATATTTGGCAAAATCTTCTCCCTTCTCCTCCTTCTTAAACCCTCGCACGTCTATCCCTCATGCTGGTCTCTCACAATATCTGCACCAACATGACCTCTGACCAGCATCCGCATGGTGCAGCTGAGGTAGCCGAGAAGGTGCTGCGGAGAGTGGAAATTGCAAAGGTAACTCCAATTCAACCCGCTCACAGGACCTTTCCTGGGATCCTCCCTCGTGACTGACTGACTGACTGACCCTCTTCGATAGGTTGCTCGAAATCTCCAAGACTGTCTAGCTTTTGCAAGCTTCAAGGCCCGAAATGGCTGGCAAGATCGAACCCTCGCCTCCATCGAACCCGAATTCACCGAGAAGCTGAAGAGGAAGAGACCGTTCCTGGAGGAAGACCTCCCCTGTGATACCTCGTCTGGGTCTGACGACGAATTCGTCCCGACCTCCTCGATTGCCAATAACCGCTTTTCAAAGCCCTCCAACTCAGCCTTTAAAATCCCCGAACCTCCCTTTGCTGCAAGGAAACGAGTTCGGTCTTCCTCAGCAACAGGTCCCGACAGGCAGTCAAGCACCTTGACATGGAAGCAAGATCACCGTCTGCCCCAGTCGTCACCTCTGTTGAATCGGGCACAGTCTTTTCAGGAGCACGCACTATTTCATACCGAGTCTGCTAGAACGCCTCACAACGCTAATGACGACTCTCCCATGTTTGATGTTCATTCTGATGACGAAGACCATGACCTCCCCATGCCTGCCTTGGGCAACGAACCTTCAAGCAGCATTTTGTCCTCATCGCCTCCTCGAACCCCCCCTCCCACGAAACGTTTTCTCAGTGTCAACTCCAAGCAATCTGGGGCCGATCTCCTCCTTTATCTAGCCAATTCCCCCTCTCGCTCGCCTGCTATCAATATCCACAGACCCTCTGACTCGTCAAAAGAACCACCTTCGACTCCACCATCCCAGCATTCACACCTTCCATCTTCAGTCATGACTACTCCGGGCACTCATCTTGGGCTGTTCAATGGCGCTCTACAAACTCCGGGCCAGAATTTCAACCTGGCTGACTTCTGCAATGTCACTCCTTCACCTGCACCGGCTCAGTGGGGCAGTCGAACTCCCAACGTGACCAAGACTCCCAGCCGGTTTTCACGAAAAAGTTTGAATTTCGATACATTGCAGCCTCTGTCTGGCAGTCCAACCTTGCAACGAAAGGCTCCAACCAGCAAAGGACTGGCTCTGCAGTTGGGCGACGAACTGATCCCAAGGTCTTGAATCATAACCTGGCAAGCCCCCTATTTGGCCAGCCATCGAATCCGTATGGCCCTTTATGATAAAATCACCCGAAAAGACACACGCATAGCTGTGTCACGACATACTCGAGTTGAAACAAATAGTATACAATGTTTCTTCTGCTCAGCAATGACGCATGAATGACTCAAAAATAGGAGGGGGGCCATTGATTTGAGCTTGAAAACACAAAGCGGAGCTGGATATCCGGGAATCGCAAAGCGTTGATTGCCAAAGTAAAGGGACTGGGCAGGAACGACTCTTTGTTCAGCAAATTCTGTTCGACTGTGCGTCTCTCTCTTTTCGAGTACTATGCGTTGATATGGTCAAGTCGATCAATCATGTCTACGGTCTATCCTCGCCCCTGACTCCGATAACTTACTAATTCCATCATCAACATGGTCACAACACAGCGACAGCTGAAGTAGGTAGCTGAAAGTAGGTAGCTCTGAATCAAGAAAATATTACCCATCACGCCCATGACTGTTCTCTTTCCTATGGCCCGTTGCTGTCCTCCAAATTGTTTCAAGGCGCCTTAGCTGCTAGCCGTGCATCGCGTGCTTCAGACAGGGCATGATGCCATGATAGAGATGGTGGGCTCGAGTCTGCCGGGCTCCTAGCTCCAGCCTTGACTCGGACATGAGGCAACTAGCCAGTACTCGGTGTGTAGCAAACGCCACGGTCGGTTGAAAGGCTGTATCAAGGCATCGGTCATGGAGAACCACAAGTACGTCAACCGTGCTTCTCCTGTGCCGTTCTGGCGAGAGGCCGGTCAGCTTGGGCAGGCGGCCTTGGACTAGCACTTGTGGATGCATGCACTTTTACCTAGGTACGGCAACGATGGTTTTAGAACCTTGACTTTATCTCCACAACCGGAGCATTCCTCCGAGACTACCCACCTACTATTCGTATCACACGGGCAACTGGGAAAGGGCCGCAAGGTTGAAAAGAAGTTGGCTATTCCGAAGCGACTCTCAGAGTGAATTGGGCTCTATTAGGTGGTACTAGAGCCGAAATCATGATAGGTTGCAGAATATATATCCAATCGAGACGTGCATCCTTGTTAGATGCATGCCATTACGAGCAGATGCAGATGGGGGTCTGCAAAGTTGGATTCGGCTTGCAGTAATAATAAGCGAGCCCTTGCGAGACGTTCAGCAAAGCCCTTGCTCATTCCTCCTGCGTGCTCATCCTCGGTAAAAACGTGTCGACTGTTTGCTGTCGATCGTCTCATCAACAACGCGTGGGGCCTGGGCCGCACGGGCTCTCGCCATGAGTGTCAGACGATGTGCCAGAAATACTCCTTCCTAGGTACGAGTACGAGGCACGGAGTATATAATCGAATCAATCAATCGGTAGCAAGGGCGGAAAGACGCAGATCTAGTGCCAATACTCGGTACAGTACCTCGTACTGATAGGGAAGATGCTGTTTTTATTTGTCCCGCCAGTGGAAATGGACATGGAGTGGGAAATGAGGTTCGCTTGGACAAGGCAAGGCGGGGGCTAGGGCTGATTGACGCGTTGGGTTTGTTTTCTTTTCTTTTTTTTTTTCCCTCCCTTCTCCTATATGGATATTTGTTCTCCCCTCGCCGCTTGAGCCAGCCCATAATCCCTTTGCTCCTCTGTGCACTCTTAAACGGACATTTCTCTGCTAGCCTTCCTTTTCATGGACACGAGCACTCGACTGCGAAGATGAGAGACCCTGGCGAAGATTTCCGACTTGGACGCGTCCGATCATCCCGCAGATCCGCGTTCGCGTGCTTAGCGCGTCGCGCTAGCATTCCGAGTGGATTTCGCGGGGTTCGCCGGAAGGTGGCTGGACGAGCTTCGAGCTGAAGGGCATCTATCTACCGAGTACGGAATATCGAGGACCTCCATGCGCATCACCTCACCGAGTCAGCGGAAACTTGGTTCTGATGACGGCAGGGACAAATCGCTCGGCCCACTTAGGGCCAACTCCAACCTCACAATCTAACCGAATGTCACCCACGCTTCAATGAGGTTGCAGATGGCGAGCGCTTCACCAGCAAGTCAAATCGATGGGCCCTGGCCTTTGACATCAAGCGCTCCCCTTGGCTTCCTCATCCGTCTCATGTTAGAAGCAAGGACTTTTGCTCCGTACACACGAGTAGCTGAAGGCTGGAGACACGCACCCTCAGCGGCGCTTGGGGCGCTGGGGCTTCAACTTTTCAGCCCGCCCGAGTCAGCGCAGCGATAACACGAGCCATTTCCGCAGGCAACCCCTCCCACGCAACCGCTCTGTCAGAGGCCCTCGATGGCGACTTTCCGCGGCTCAAAAAGGCATAATTTTCCAGGTGATTACAGTTCCTGTGAGAAGGGCTGTCTCATCTCGCATGGGAAGGATTGGGAGGCTCTGGGCGTGCATGAGAGCATAATCTTTACCTCAACCATTGCCTGCTGATTTGTAACGTGCTAGTCGCCTCCCCCCACGCGGAGCCGCCTGTGCCAATTCGGATGGATGAAAAGGTAGGTGTCAGAATGTCCTGGTCCTCTGTACTTGTACATGCTTTGCTTTTGTTAGCTTGAGGCAAGGGGGCGGGGTACCAGTTGTCATCTCACCCAACCCGCGTTGCTGAATATCATCCGACAAGGCTCACGTTGGAAGTCTCCGGAAAATCTGTGTGTCCCATGCCCATGTATTGACTCAGGCAGCCCTTCAAGAAAGAGTACGCCATATGAGCCAGCAAGATCGGCCTCCTTGAACAAGCTGCAATAACTACCCACTCGCCACTCCAAGCAGTATGGCAAAACTTTCAATCCCACCCACCTCGGCATTATTATCTTATCCGCAAGGCTAGCAAGGCTACATATGTACATACATAGCAGCTCCCGAGGGTGAATGGACGGACGTATATCTACGGTAGCATGTACAAAATTTTGCTGCAGCAGGCCACCAGGTGTTCTTCCCAATTGTAGTGCCGTCGCTTGTGGGTTACTTACATCCTGGGATTACAGTTTTCCTGCCCGCGTTCCTTGAAGGGTGAGGAGACAGAGAAGCATGCAGAGGGGAGGACCAGAGTAGAGATAGAACGTCGAATTGAAATGGAAACCTCTGTTCTCTTTTGATCCTTGATATCACGGGGGACCATTGGGCAGGCAATCGCTCGTCGATTCGTGGTGGCATTCGTCAGTCTCTGTTGTAACCATGTACAGAGGTCATCGGCAGTCGTCTTCCAAATATCACAGTGTTCGTCAATCGTCCAACATACTAGCTACAATCGAGCCCCTTCCTTTTGGGACAGGCCCTTATCTTCGAACAACTCTCTCCTCCCACTGCACCCCAACCCATTCCTCCCTGAAGGAGACTCTCCCCATCTCACCGCAGTTGTTCGCGCACGTCCCCACAATGATGGTGCCCCATTCCATCCCATCGTCCAAACCCATTGCGTTCTCGTCGTCCTTTTCCAACTCGTATATCAGCCCGGGTACAAGCTGGAGCTCGAACACCCGTGAACCACCACAACTCTCGCACCGCGGTATCCCCTTCACCGGCCCAGTTTTGCCATGCGGCACGACGAAGCGCGACGATACCTCGTCCGTACCCGAATACAGGAGCGGCTCGCCCTTGAACTCGTAGCGGAGAACCTGTTCCGGGTTCTGGGCGATGCGGTCGGAGAATTTTTGGAAGCTCTTGTCTAGGCTGGATTCGAATGTGTCTTTGTCCGCAGCACTGCTTGCACCTCCTGTGTCGTCCATGTCGTATTGAGTCTTTGAGGTCTCTGCCTTGCTAGGAGGGGCCGCAAGCTCTTTTTCGAGCTCCTCCGGGTATGCGTCGAGGTAGAAGGAAGGGTAGGGAGGCGGGAAGAGGGATGGGTCGGGCCACGGTATTTGGTCCTTTGTGGTCTTTTGGCTCTGTTTCTCGTCTGGTTGCGATCCGATTCGCAGTTTGGCTGCGAATGATTCTGTGGGTGGCTGTGGTTGAGGTTCCTCGAATGGTCTCTGTGGAGGCAGAGCTGCCAACTGAGAGGGCGAGCCTATGGATGAAAACGGATTTGCTATCGATTGCCCATTCGAGCTGGTCGGCATTGAAAATGGATTTGGACTGTTGACTCCGAATTGCTGGCTTGACTCGCCGAACAGGGCGCTTCCGAGATTTTGCACAGGCTCCACTGTCTGTGATTCTCTCGTAATCCTTTGTTTTTGACCCTTCTCCTGTAGGGCGGGCTTCCTGACCTCTCGAAATGCCCTGACGCTGCCGACCTTCTTTGAGCATTGTTTCTTCCTGCAGCAGAGCACATGGAGGCGCCGGTCGTCGCTGGGGAAATATTGCTGGAGATCCGCATTGAGTTGGAGGAGAAGGGACATGTAGCTGTTGCATACTTTGCATTTAGCCAGTGCCGCAGGAGGAGGGTGACTTGGATTTAGCCAGGTGGGATGGCCGCCCAAATGACTGATGTCGTCGCCAGTCGAGTCGGTGATGGCAAAGCCAAGAGTGACATTCGTGGTTGAGTAGTCTTCGCTATTGTCTGAAGAGTCGCTGTCATAGGGGGCCATGCTTGCGGATAGGTCGATTGAACGGCCTCACAACTTGTCGCTCCGGCGCTTCTCTACAAAAGCCGTCTGCGCACCTAGATATTTTTTCTTAGACCCTTGTCTTTTCTCGAAAGGTGGTTGGACTAAAATTAAGGTGTGTCCCAAACGGCAACTATTCCGTAAATGGCAAGGCGTGGCTTGTCGGGATTTTCCCTCCGCACTTTTCTTGGTGCTTCTTGGCCCTTTCCCCTCTTTTGCATCCTCGCTGTCATATACCACATTGAGGACCCTGGTGTCTTTCCCTGCTCCCTCCATCATCCCGTCTGTTGACGTCGCCTGCTCTCAAGGATATGCATACTCCTCATTTGCCTATACCAGCAACGTACTTCATGATTACCCCCTTCCCGAACCAAGGCCGATCATCCTATGTATCACCTCTGTGTTCCGCAATTCTTCCCCGCGTTGGAGGCGGGGAACCACGTTAAGCGACGTCGAGAATGACCAGGTGTTTGACCATAAATCCCATATTCATACGGATCAAGCCCCAGGTCTGCCGGCAGAACTCCTGAAACCTCCTCCTTCTGCCAGCTGTCTCACTCAATTTCTCAAAAAAGGCCAGCAGAAAACTCAATATGGCTACCCACAAAGCCTCTGCCGTCACTATTGACGAGTTCGAACTTCTAAGGGGTCGCAACGCGGCCGGGGCATTGCTAGCTACCACTCTAATGATCCTGTCAGCCCGCCGCAAATTCATCCACCCGGGCTCCGTTCTCCACGATCAGGTCATAGCTAGGAGTGCCACAGCCAGCAAGTACGCCAAAACCGTTCAAGACGTGATCTTCTATACCATATATGGCCTGCATGGCATCGAGACCGTCTATTTCGCCCTGACGAAGCTGAAGAAGCACAATGTCAAGATCTTCAGTCCGGTCTGGTTCCAGTGGATTATCGCTGTGTTCCTGGGAGGGACCTTTGCCCAAAAGCATTTCGATGAAGTGGTGGAGACGAAGGAAATCAAGACCATCAAAGAGATTTGAGCGCAGAAGTGGCACGAAGGAGAGGGAAAGGTGTTGTCGAACATGGGACCAAGTTTATCTCTTCGCTGCAAAGCATGCAAGCAGGAGTTTTGTTGGAGGATATCTAGGCACTGGGGAAAAAATACTGAAGCCCTACTCAGATATAAACAGTCTTACATCATGGACTCATTGCAAATGCCCCAATTCTCAGCTGGTCATTGTGGCATTAACACATGGCGGTTCGATGCTTGCCTTCTCTTTTCCCCTGTCCTCCTAGCTCGGGATTTCCATAGTTGAAGTGAAATAAATCACTGCAACTGATCCTGGCTACCCCTTGCAGGGAGGCCGCTGCGGCCAAGACGTCCAACGTCTGATTCAGTTGTATCCGCGTCGTCAACCGTCCAATTTCAACTCTCTTTCAACCTCGCCGCTGATCCACTCAGATGCTCATCCCGTCTTGAAGCTGGCAAACTTGGACGGCATCGAGCAAAATTGCCACTGAGCAGCTGTCGGTGACCTCGCTACCATAGCGGACCTCAGATTTCTCAAGAAGGTCGACCCTCTCGACTATAGATCTATAAGTACCTGATCTCAAACTTAAAGACAATAGATCTTAACCTCTGGCAACCGCCGTTCTCGGGGACCAGGGAATATCCCCCAAATTCAGGAGCTGCTCCCGAGTTTCAAAAATGACCGTACAGAACCCAGCCATTGAAACAATCACCCGTGGCTATGGCATCCGCCTCCTTTTGGGCAAGTCCATTAGAAACGAGGATAAACCTTTGCTGCATTCGACAGTCCACTTTCACTATTGCACGCGCTCCGAGAAATTGGTAGTGACCGTCTCTTATGGTTTGGGCTAGGGGCTTGAAAGGGTGACACGAATAAACCTCGTACTCGACTGCGAATGGGCGATGGTAAAAGGGGATTCAAAGGCTGTTTTCGATTTTTCCAGGTTCATGTCGACCCGCAAAACACATAAACGATGCTGCCAGGCCACAGACGCGGACGGAGGTCGATGGACCCTGTGCGGCCACCAAGAGAAAAGTGGGTGTTTGACCTTCTCCTGCAAGACTCTGGAAAATCGGTTTAACGGGCGGCTTTGAGAAGATTCTCCGCATCTTCTCCTCGAGGAGGCGGATCATCCCAGGACGCAAGTCGAGCCACCGACGGAAATGATGCGGATGACTTATTTCCAGACAAGAGGGTTAAAGGCTGCATTCGCAGCGCATTCTCCACCAGGCAAGATCTTGAGGCTCCGGATCATCCGTAGACGACTTGGAACGTGATTTGGCAGCACGATGGCGAAATGAGATGGTCAAGTGTTACACTGGACAACGACAAGAAATCAGCAAGGCGGACTGTATAGGAGTGAGGCAGTATGGTTGGATATCGGAAGGATAGGGCAGGATATGGAGTCAATGGACATCTAATGACGACATCAATCTCTGGCTACTTTTCTCAGCTACAAAAATGAACATGATTGTGTGTAAGTGGTTCTCCAAGGTTGGGGTCAGAAGGACACGCCCTGCCAGCCAAGTAAAAGCCCGACAGACTCTGAGAATCAAAGCCGATTTCTCAAAAGGTGAACTGCATCAATCCCGGATTCAACACCAATGGCAACAACGCATGTGATCCTGTTCGATCTAAGTGTTAGCGAAAGGATACGCTGCATCGAAAAGGGGCAAACAACAAAGGCGTGCCCACCCATGGCGTTGAAGGAAGGGAATCGAAGAGAGTACGAAAGGAAAGAGAGTGAGAGAGCAAAAAAACTCACCAACAACAGTGGCTAATGGCCAGACCGCCGTAAACCACCCAATCTGCCAGTCATAGGGCACGAGTTTCCCCAGCGGACCAACGCCAGCAACCACAATCATGCCCAGACTCATGACCGCACAGAAGATGAAGGTGAATCGGAACTTCCTGAGAATCGTGGGAATCTCTTTGAAGAAGCTCGTGTCGGTGGCTTCCTTGCTGGTCGCCCCCCAGGACATGTCGACGGAGAAGAGATGGGACAGGATCGCTTGGGAGACGTGCAGGGATATCCCCCCCAGGAAGATGGTCAGGAGGGGGATCCAGCGGAAATTTTCCCACAGTGCGGAAAGGAGGGTTTGATCTTCGACTCTGTAGCGCATGACCGCCAGTGCGAGGTTGCCGAGCGCTGTGAAGACGATGATGATGGCGAAATAGATCTTGAAGCTGTCGATGTAATAATGGTCCAAGTGGCCGTTGAACCAGCCTACAATGCAGTAGTTGAGAAGCGTCAGTATCCATGCGCTCCCGATGGCATAGTACGTCCCGATATATGCCATGATGGTCAGTTTCGAGGGGAAAGGCATAGTGCTCCTGATAAAGTTGCGGAACAGAGGAGTGAAGGGGCCTTTGGTGAACCATTGAGCAAACGGGTGGAAGATGAGCTCCGAGCAGCCATAGGCATATTTCTCCCAGCGGGCGAGTTCGTCGTAGACTGTCAAGGAGACGCCTTCTTTGAAGCCTTGGCCTGCGTAGGCCGCAAGACGGAGGATGTAGCCGGAGGTTTGGAGGCGGAGAGCCATGTCGAAGTCTTCGGAAACGGTGGCTTCGCTCCAGTACTTCTCTTTGACGATGCCGTCGTTGAGATCTTCGTAGATGTACGCGACGTCCTGTACAGCCGTCCAACGCAAAAAGGCATTGTGCCCGACAAAGGGGGCGACGTCGCCATTGGACACAGCGTAGCGGATGGCTGTGTACACTAGGTTCGTGAAGAAGGTTATCCCCTTTTCGAACCACGAGTCCGTGACGTTCATCACTCCGCTCGCAAATTGAATGATGGCGACCTCTGGGGAGATTTCCATTTCCGAAACCGCGCTCAGGAAACAGTCTTGGGGAACACCCGTATCGCTATCTATCAGAAGGATGTAATCCCCCACACGGATATTTCCAGCGGCCTGTGTGCGGCCTTCATCTTCGGTGATGGTGGATGCAAGGGCGCCATTGTAAGCTTCACGTTCTTGCTCCACAGTCCAGCTTCCATCGTCGGGACGGGCGATGGTCGACAACTTGTCTTCGACTCGTGCAGAGACGTTCAAGGCGTAATTCATGTTGGATGCTTTTTTGAACTTGCCGGCTCGGGTGAATGGTTTTTGATTGGGATCTGCTGGTCTAGGATCGTGCTTTGGTCGTGAGACCCAACCGATATTGTGTTCGTCATAGTAATCACGTCGTTCCTGGGCTTGTTCGGTGGGAATCAATTGCATGCCATCATCGTTGATGAAGATGTTTGCGGTGCCGCCTTGCATTTCGTATGTCGATATGGCTGCTTTAATAGATTTGATCGTAGGATCGATCACAGACCAAAGGCCCTCCTTGTAGACAGGACATTGAATTGTGACGTGCGGCAACGCACAGCTTCCATCGGTTGGGAGACGCGGTGGAGGTATTCCGGAGTAAAACTTTGTGTTGGCATTCATTTGGCTGATGGGACCGATGATTTGAGCACAGCAGCCCGCAACTGATTGCATGAAGAATAGTGCCAGCCAGCACTGGAGAGGGACAGCGGCGATGAAAGCAAGTCGAATCCAGGAATGGTCAACTTTGATTTCGATGGCAATCTGGCGCCAGCCACTGCCAATGGCAGTAACGAGCAAAATTAATGTGACTGCGGTGAGGAGCGGTTGAATCAGCACTACGCGGCGAGGTGGCAAAGTGTTGGCCAGCTCGGCGTTCTGAGATGATACTTCTTCGCCGTTAGTTGTGTTCAGGTTGAGTGTGCTAGGCAGGGCACTGGGAAGCGGTGCTGAAGATTCATCGTCTTCGAATTCTTCTTTCCATATCATGTTGATAAGTTGGTCTTCGATCGAGTGGATACGTTTTAGGATATGATTTGGATCATCATCCCAGACGATGAGGATATTGTATGTTCGAATGAAGGCTGCAAACTGGTGTTTCTGGCAGCCAGGCAGGTGGGAGATGTTTGGGAGGATTTGCAACCGGAGGCCAGAGTCAAGCGGCATGTGGGTGAGCGTTTGGTCTTGGAGAAATAGTTTGACAACGCTTGTGTTTATTGTCATAGCACACTATTGCAACTATCAGTAAGACTGAGCTCATGGCTGGGATCGCGTAATACCTTGACATTGAGCCTTCTCACGGCATCGAATACTCCGTCAGGGCGAGAACGAAGGTCTTCAGGGGCACATTTATAGTCGTCCTTTGCTTTTTTCAGCATAACCCCTTCTTCTATTCCATTCGTGGACCACATCCGCTCTAACTGCTGCTGGTGAAGCCAATTGCACATCATATCGGTCTTCAGATCTCGGAGTTCGGGGGTTGAGCTATTTCGAAAATCGCCCTCAGGGTACAACAGAGTCCTTCTGCTTGAGCCGTGTCTTGATGCTGTCGGACGAGCGCTGGCAGAAGACGAGCTTGTTGGTCGGGTTTCGCTGGAAGAGTCTGGCGTTGCTGGAGGGCTTGGGACCGTGGACAAATCGAGAGTCGATGTCATTGCTTGATTAGCATTGCCAATAACGATAGTAGGTGCTTGAGTCGAATTTGAGAGGCCATGTTGAGTCCCAGGTTGATTGAGCCGTTCATTGTGATTCCCAGCCATGCTGTTGACGCTCCGCCAAAAATGGCACTCGCAACTGCGTGGTTGAGTCTTACCGAGAGACGTAGAGAAACACAGGGAGCAAAATATAGGTAGCTATCAAGAAAACAAGATCGTGGCGAACACCTAGTGAAGTACAGGAAGGCCTAGACAAGACCAATTGTCCATGAAAGATTTCCAGCTTGATTGCATTGGGAATTGAGAGATTTATCGCAAGGGACGGGACCACTTGGGACCAAAATCTGTTCCTGGCAAACCTGCGAGGAAACGGCCCAGGCAGGAGAATGCAGATGCTGGATATCCATTTGGTGGGTCATAAAAGGACAACTTGGGAGACATCTGATCAAATGCAAGACAAGGGTCGGAAGGTTGAAAGAAGTGCCGAAATCCCAAAGCAGAAAGATAGACGTTATCCAAGATTCAATTTCAATCGTTGACGGCAGCCAGACCAATCAAGAGCTCTAAGAGTCCGTCGAATCATGATCCCGGCGCCAGAACGATCGAGAAGCCAGCTCAGGGATGCATCAATCTAGATCCACAGGGACAGTGACAAAGCGTACCGGCATCATTCACAGTCAAGAAAATGCTTATCTTGAAGTAGGCGTCTTAAGACAAAGCTGAAAAGGTTGGGCGGGATCCAAGAAGCTGCAGCCCGTACCAGAATTTCATGCGACACCGATTCCTGACCCTGGTAGGCCACTTCAAAATGCCACTGTCCGGATCAGCCACAAGAGTGACGACCCTGGTCGCAAAGCTTTCCAGTGGTTGCTGCTGTTTGCCCTGACGCCATTTAGCGTATGCCATGTTTCTGACATGCTGGATAATCAAACTTCGAAATACGTATCGATCGGTGCAGCATCTTCTTGTCTGTGGCGCATATTTAGTGCTGTCTGGAAATCATTCTGAGATGAATTTCGATTGGACACAAGTTGTCGCCGTACACGCCTCTGTTCCTCCAAAATGTCTTCATAATCTTCTATCCTGACAGCTGTGGCATCCCAAATCAAGACAGCCTGCAAGAATACAGTCTCATATAGGTCCTGCGGCTTCTTCCCACTCTTTTTCCCGGTCTGCCACCCGGAAGAGCGCGTGTACCCGATTGCGTTGATCCAAGTGCCTGGTTCCAGGAGCGTAGGTTTCGCATTTTCGAGGACAAGATTGATGTCGACCCAAAGTCGAGGAATTGGGCTGGCACTTCTAGGATACGCATGCTCGACAAGGATCTGGCCTTTGATGGCATCATATTGCACTATACTACCGAGATACAGTCAACAGTATAGTTGCTGAATGCTCGGGAAGCATACCAGCCTAATAATCTCACCTTGCTCGCTGCAGGAAGTGATGGTATTTCATGAATGAAGACCAATCTGCTTGGGACAGGGCCATTTGGTGCGCCTTCAGTCATGGCGATTTGTGCATGCTTGGACTGTTACCTATCCCTTTTGAGTATCACGGAGGAAGAGAGTGACGCGAACCCCATAACCGTAGCTGTCTTGACGCGAACTTATCCGCGAGACAGCGAATAGGTAGGGTTGAGGGGTTAAGGGAGTCATTGGGGCTCAAGGGTTTTGAGGGTTCTAGGGTTGTCGCGATTACACGTGATCTCGGCAGAGTTTCCCGAAATAAACCTACTTGGTCTCGCTGGGGCGTCGGAATACTGGCGATGTCATGGCCTCTGGACTCTTTTGTGATCCCGGGACCAGGCTCTTGCAGACTCTCACCAAGCCCACGCCTCTTCTCCCAACCGCCTCTCTTGATCGAGTACTCCCCTGCCGCACAGGGATCTTTCTTTCTCTGTCCCTATCCCCTTCACTCTTTCCGCCGCTTGCACTTGATCTTGACACTCATCACATCGATTGCCAGAGTTGCAATCGGCTGGACACGCGATACCGATCAAAGCAGGTGGAAGTGACTCTACCACGCCGGATAGACTCTCTCCTGTGACCAGCTCACTTCCGCCCCTCCCCCCGACGGTTTTCGGAATCCCTCTTTGCAACACCCTCGTAAAGTCCTCTTTCTATCAAACGACATGTGGGGTTGGTTTGGCGGGGCAGCAGCCCAAGCCAGAAAAGATGCTCCCAAAAAGGCCATTTTGCAGCTGCGGTCGCAGCTAGATATGCTACAAAAGAGGGAGAAGCACCTAGAGAACCAGATGGCAGAGCAGGATGCGATAGCAAGGAAGAACATAACCACAAATAAAGCGGGTAAGCCAACCGGTGGGCCTCCTTGGGATGGGGTTAATACTAACACGATGCTTCTCTTGCTCTCCAGCTGCCAAAGCTGCTCTACGACGCAAAAAACTCCATGAGCGTACACTTGAGCAGACATCTGCCCAGATCGGTCAGGTGGAACAACAAATCTACTCGATCGAAGCCGCCAATATTAACCAGGAGACCCTGAATGCCATGAAGAATGCAGGACAAGCCATGAAGCAGATTCATGGCAATCTGACCATCGACAAGGTGGATCAAACTATGGAAGAGCTACGCGAGCAACACGCACTCGGCGAAGAAATCGCGAACGCGATCACAAACGCTCCCATCGGTGAGCCTATTGACGAGGCTGATTTGGAGGAAGAGCTGGAAGGGTTGGAGCAAGAGGCCATGGACGAGAGGATGTTAAAGACGGGCCCGACACCTGTCACGGGCGAAATCAACAGGCTCCCCGCGGTGTCTGCTGGTCCAAGTAAGTCGCCCCTTGCAGCTGGATATGTAACAGGCATTGACTGTTCTATAGTAAGCAACAAACCCTCAACGGTGGAAGAGGACGAGGAAGAAGAATTACGGAAACTGCAAGCCGAGATGGCTGTGTGAGGATGGCCGATGAGTGCATAGTGCAGACGACACTGACCTTGCACTGCCGCCCTTTTGTGACTGCAGAACTCGATTCCCAAGGGGACAGCATGATGTTAACGCGAGCGCAGGAAGGAATCTCAGATTTCGATTTGATATAACTTGCGTACTGTAGATTGGCGTTTCAGGGGCCAGGCTTGCACTATATCGGACTGGTCTTGGTGGATGTTGATTTTGTGCTAGAGGAATCATGATCACAACTTCAGTCTCACGAGTGCAAGCTAGCTGAGTTCTTTCCTCATGGAACATGCTTTCAGTCCGCTTCCTTGAGCGAGATCTCCTCTCTCTTCGGTTAGTGTCGGTGGTTGAGGCAGGTGCTTTCTGTGTTCACTTCTTCTCTACAGAAACTTTCGAATCTACCTCGCACTGCATCGTTTCTTCACCATCTTCTCGTCCTTTAACAACATTTACACGACATTGCTACCAGGTTAGCGGACAGCAGCCTGTGCTTTTCTGCTCTGGCTCCACGCTCCAGATACTACTCAACCGCTTTAGAGCAGACATGTCAGGTTCAACTGTTCCGCTGCATGGTCAAATACTTTACAATATCGCGCTACTGTTGGCGAATGATATCGAAATTGCCCGTTGTGTGGAGGATGGCCGTGGATCTGACCTCCTGCTGTGAGTGCGATCGAACAACTGCTGGGGCTGAGTAACTGATCTGTTAAAGAGTTGCACGAAGCACCCTACGAAACCTGCGGATGACTTGCCGAGAGTTCGCTGAGATGGCCGTCATCAAGTCCATTCTCTTCGATCATATCACATTTCGTGCGACTAGAGACCAACTCTCTCGCGTGCTGGAGACACCCTTTGCCACATTTGGACCGTTCGTGAGGAAGGTCACCTTCAGGCCATCTCTATGTTCACCAGATGTCGCCAGGGACGATTTCGAGCGATTGTTAGCCATCTACACCTGTCAGCGCGGTCCGCACCACCAGCATCACACCGCGGAGTGGCACGAGATCTGGTATATGTATCAGAGATTTGGCGCTAAATGTCCTGGGACCACGGGCACCGTCACAGCCGCCTACACATTCTACGCAGAATGTGCGAATGAGGACGTGGGCATCTTACAGAATGGGAGCTTGCAGCGCGCTTGGATCGCAGCCTTGAAGACCTTCCCAGGGGCATCATCCTTCGTCATAGGCAACATTCCCAGCTTCTGGCCGCAAGGGGTCTACTTTCGCGAAAATGGCCTAAAGGCCGAATGCGAGTTTTGTAACGATAACATTCGCGCTCTCACAACATTGAGCGCTTTTGGCGATGTCCAACTCTTCAGAGTCGCCACAGAATGCCTTGTGTCGGCTAATATGCGAATTGTGGACTTCAAACTTGACAGCAACGTCCTTCGCACAGATAAATTCGAGGATTTGAGCTCCCAACTTCGCTTTGATCATACAACTCATTTCAGTTTCTACGAGACGCCTTACTTTCCGTACCAGTCTCGGATGGTGCACGACGAATTCTCATGCTTCGACCGTGTCACCATGTTATGCTCTACTCTCATGAAAGGGTTTCAAGACACTGTTCAGGTTTTGAGCATGGAACGTTCGGAAAGAAATGTCAAAGTCTTCTGCACTCTCGCGCACATGAATTGGGACATGAAACTGCCGGCCCTTCGCACATTGCATCTGACCAACATGCCTTTCCCTGCCTCTCAACTGCAAGCAGATTTGGGGCACTGCCGTGAACTGCAGTGTCTCTTGTTTGAAGGTTGTTGGCCTAGGGAAGGTCCTCGTGGTTGGAAGCTGCTCTTTGATGCGATTCGCGAGCATCCCAATTCCTTGCAACTTCATTTCAGAGAAGTTTATTCCGAACGAGGGGCGTTCGACTTTGATTTCCCAAATCCTGATGTGTTCAGCGACCCTACTCCGAGCAGCCCCGAGGACGAGTATGAAATCGGCAGGCGGCTTTGTCTGTACCTCGCCGGGCGTGGAGAGTGGAATCACTATCTAGAAGACTGGTTTCCGAATCCTTGAGGCCAAAGACTCCGCAGCAGACGCAATGGTGAAATGCGGTATCCGAAAAAGGGTAGAATAGAGAATCGTAAGACAAATAGAAACCCAAAGTTAAACGCTGCAGAGCCTATTCAAAGGTTGAGCTCAACGTAGTGAATATTAGCTCGAAACCTTCATCATCCAAATACCGAAGTCGCACTCTTTTCAACTGGCGACGATGTCCCAAGGTCCCAAGGAGGTTTTCCTAGTCCAACCAAGAGTTGCGACAAGCGAGCGAGAGGAGAAATGATCGCCCTTGCCTCTATTCCATTCATCATCAATATATTTTCTTTCCCCTCTTATTGAAATCCTTGTTGTACATTCCAAATGTCACTTCTCCATCCTTGGCCCTGAGCCCGCCAACTCCACACTCTGCTGGGCCCATTTCTTTCAGGCCATGCAGACCTTCAGTTAACCTCGGAAAGATTTGCAACGCATTGTTCCTACCCATATCGACATAGTCCCGTTCATTGATTACAGAACTCACATGCTCGTCCCACCAGCAGCATCCGTTAGGAATAGACTCAAAAGGGTAGTCGATGGAGAAGCAAATACTCCGGGCGCCGATCTCGGTCATGGCGCATATCAGCGCTGGCGTACTGAAGTGGCCGGATGTGGTGATGAAGACCTGCGTGCCAAAGTAATCGCGAACGAGCCGATCCTTCCGCATCGGCATGTTGGGGAAGCGGCTGCGGTCGAGCTTGTGATCAATGCGATAGAGGTCGTAGGGACTGTAGAATAGGTGATTGCCTGATTAGCGGACGGCATACATAACAGATATAGGCTGGCAGATGGCTGAAATCAACTTACATGTGTTCCCCCATGTGCCCAATGATGATCTTGAGATCTGGAAAGCGGTCAAGAACGCCACCGGTAATGATACCGAGAGTGTGCATGTTCAGTCGATTCGCATATCCCAGCGCGGAGAAGTCGAGCCAAGGTCTCCCTTTCCACATCATTTCCTTGATCAAGGGGCTGGATGTCCGGGGGTGAAGATACACGGGTGCTTTCAGTTCATGCGCGGCCTTCCAGAACTCGTCGTACTTTGGGTCATCGTAGAACAGCATCGTGTTCCCATCCGGTCCACTGCTCTGGAAGTCGTTGAGCATCGCACCAACAAAGCCCTTCTTCTCTGACATACATCTGCGGAGTTCTCGCCCGGCTTGTGCTGGATCATGCATGCTTAGAGCGGCAAAGGCCGCGAATCGTTTGGGGTCCCTCAGGACTTCGGCTTCGATCTTGTCATTGGCGATCTCGGCCAGCTTCTCAGCCGCAGCCGGGTCGGTAACATTCTGGACACCCGGAGCATTGAGAGAAAGGACCATGAACTCGACGTCATTTTCGTCCATTTCCTGGAGACGCTTTCCGTGAACATCGAGCAGGTTGGCGTTCAGATCATCTCCGATGACGCCCTTGCCGGCGAACTGGCTCGGGTTGAAGCTCTGGAAGGTTTCTGGGATGGTCCAGCACTCTTCGAGGGCGATTTTGCCTTTCATTGTGAGTGTTCAGCAAGGGCAAATGTAGAGATCAAGAGGTAGAGTTCTGTGATCTCAAACTAAGAGCCAGTGATTTATTCGCTAAGATTTCATACCACCGAGTCCACCCTGTCAGCAGATCAAGCTTGGGTTGGACAGGGAACAGTGTGCCGTGAGACCGGCAGTCCATGCCGGCAGACGCATTCAGACACCTGGTTGATGGTGAAGGCAGCCTAGTAACCAATACTTCGTATGGGCCACAGGATAGAGAACGCAACCCAACAGAGCTTTGACGCAAAAGAACTTGCGAAGTGCGGAGTAGGTTGTCGCCAACAGGGGGGATTGGGGAGCCAACTTCGGGGAGTTAAAGGATCTCCCCGAACCCCTGCCGTCGTCCATTTCGCTTTTGCTTTTGAGTTGGCAGCTGGAATATTTCTCGGAGCCCAACCTCAAATAGAATGGACCTGGTGAAGTCCAGTTGTCCTGTAATTGCTTGGTTCCCAAGCCAAGGACCAGAAACATACATTTTCAGTTCTGCAATTCGGACGTCCTAAGCTGACCAGCCACAATGGGTTCCCAAGGCCCTCCGTTTAGAATAGCTATTGTCGGCGGTGGCATCGGAGGCCTGTGTGCTGCTCTATCATTGCATCACCACTGTGCCGCCGAAGGCATCAAAATCGATGTCTACGAACAAGCGCCACAGTACAAAGAAATCGGTGCTGGTATCGGCATTGGGGTCAACGCTGCAAGATTGCTTCATCATATTGGCATTGGAGATGCGGTGAACGGTATTGCTGGTAGTCGAGAAGGTATCTGGATATCTTTTCGTCGTTACAATGATGGGACAGACATCGTGACTGTACCGGCCAACGATCGAGAGAGGATTCGACAATGTCCCGTCCACCGTGCAGAATTTTTGGATCTCTTGGTTGACACCATCAAAGCACGAGGAGCTGCAACTCTTCACACAAACAAGTCTTGCATTGATGTTATCGTAAGTGCCTCTCCTCTATTTGACATTGTTAATGTGTCTGGTCTGATACCTGTTCTTCAGGACGAGGGCGAGACTGTCACCTTGAATTTTAAAGACGGCAGCGCTGTTACTGCTGATTTAGCCGTTGGGTGTGATGGCATACATTCAAAACTTCGAGCACAGTTCAGCACAGATAACCCCCGTTACGGGGGTAGAATCGCATATCGGGGACTGGTACCTATAAGCAAGCTTGAATCGAACTGGCCATTTCAGACCTACTCTGTCAGCTGGCTGGGCAAGGACAAGCATTTCTTAGTGTTCCCAATCAGTAATAACAGGATCTTGAATATTGTCGCCTTTGTCGCAACAGAAGAAGAGAAGTTAGGCGGCCTGAAGGAGAGCTGGACCGCCACCGGAAACAAGAGTGATCTCGCAAAGGATTTTGCGGACTTTGACAAGACCGTCCTAGAGATTATTTCCCACATGCCTGAACATCCGTCTAAATGGGTCTTGAATGACAGGAAACCGTTGCCGCAATGGGTGTTTGCTCAGGGCAAGGTTGTACTCATGGGCGATGCCGCTCATGCGGTAGGTTCCCTCAATCCACGTTTCAAACAAGTTGCAGTAGCTCTGACAATGGTACAGATGCTGCCTCACCAAGGTAAGATTGTTTAGTTGGCCAACATTCGTTCAAGGCGGAGACTAAAAATGTCCCAAGGCGCTGGAGCAGGTCAAGCCATTGAAGATGGCTACATTCTGGGTCGCGCACTGCAAGACTATCTCCGTTATCGAAACCACACCGATGAGGATCTTGAGAAATGGACACGATTGTATCAGGACGTCCGGCTTCCGCGGGCGCAAAGAGCCCAAGCTACTGCTAGGCAAGCAGGCCAGGTGTACGAAATGCAGACGGATGAGATGCTTGGGAAGTCGTATGAGGAGTGCCTGCCCCTAGTACGTGATAACTTGCAGGACCGAATGAGATGGGTATGGACCGAAGACCTTGACCTGGGATATGAGAAGGCGAGGATGGAGGTGAATAGAAGTTGGACAAGTCAAAACATATTTTGAAATGACCGTATATATTTTAAATGACCGTCTGACGCCCTCGCGCCCTTGGCGCCCATATAATTTCGCCCGTGCGAAGTAAATGAAGACACTCGGCACCATAAGATGCTTCCATCAATTCCATCCCAACACCAAACACTTCTCTTGCGTCCACGCGACTCACAGCCGAGGAAGACACCTTGGTCAGAATGTGCTTCTTGCTCTTGGCCGCCCCCCGCCTCATGCGATACCGCTGATGGTTCGAAGATCAACCTAGTCCTTTTCTTATGACCATACAGTGATGGACCCGAGCCACACATCTCAAACAGCCCCCATTGCGCCCGCGCATGATCGATCATTCCAGTCTTCTCCTTTGCTCTCTCAAACCCAAAGCTTCAATGGAGTCACAAAGAAGCGCAAACGGGTTGCCATTGCGTGCCCCGAATGTCGGTCGCGAAAGACAAAATGCGATCACAATATGCCCAGACAAGTTGATGATGGTATGCTGAAAGGAATGCCAAAGAGTTCTCAAACGTAGGTTGCTTTACTCGGTGATCATGCCCTCAAAGGACTGGCTTGTTAATACTCAACCGAGTTCAGCTACATCCTAGCTCTAGAGCAAAGGCTTAGAAGATTCGAAGAGCGAGAAACACGTCCTTATGGTCAGCTACAATTTTCGGATCATTCAGGGACATTGTCTCTACCCGCAAGAAGGAGCCAGGCGAATTCTTCCATCACAGGGCGCTTATCGCCTCGTCACCATCGACGTGACTCCGAGTCCATTCTCATCCCTGCCAGCCCCGAAATATTCATGGGAGGAAACTCAGGCATCTCGTTCACCCAACTGATTCTCAATGCGATGAATGGCGCCGATTCCAATAGGCTGGAGGCCCAGTCTCTGTCATCTGCACGCGATCCTCCCAGCTTCTCGACGCCCGTGGACTTATTTGCTCTTCCACCAAATTGTCGGGAGTTGGTTGATCTCTTTTTCGATTTCCACTATGAGTTATCGCCCATTTTTCATGCGCCGACTCTCCTCGCGAAGATCGAACGGGTTATTATTGGTGACCTAGCGTACCGGTCAGAAAATAGATACACGCTGGCAATCATGAACATGCTTTTTGCAATCGCCGCTTCACACCAGCGACGCAGCACGGACGCGTCAATCTCTAGCACGAGGGGATATTACGACATCGCAATGGCCCTTGTCGGACCAACATTACTCTTCGACTGGCAGATTGAAAAGGTCCAAATCCTGTTGTTGGGCGCCAGATACCTCCAAAGTTCCAATTCCCCCTCGGAGTGCTGGAATGTCCTTGGCCTAGCGATCAGGATTGCTTACGGTCTTGAGCTTCATCGCGCACCTGGAGATGAGTTTGACTGCATTATGCGAGAGACGCGAAAGCGTGTGTGGTACGCCTGTTATGGCCTGGACCAATTACTGAGTATGATCTATGGGAGGCCAGCCGCAACCTCGTCTTCAACATTCAACACACCACTCCCTGAAGATTTGGACGACGATTGTATTCAGACAAGCAGGTTGCTATTTCCGAGCCTTGAGGCTCCATCGCGAATGTCTTTCTCAATTCAAGTTTCAAAGCTGTATCGATTGCTTGAGTCAGCAGCATCCCTCGCCGAACCTTCCTTGGAAACGATCGTGCAGCTAGATGAAGCGTTCGAGTCATGGTATGCTGATGTACCAACAAATCTCAGAGTTCAGAGCAACACGACCGTGCAAGATGATAAGTGCCTTATCCTCGCTCTCAGAGCAAACATGGTGAGGATTCTCATCCATCGACAATCACTCGCCTCTACTCTCAGTATCCTGTCAAAAAGCGTCGAAGCTTTGAAAACTTCCGAGACCCTCAAAATTAGTATGCTCCAGAACAGCAGACAGATCTGCGTCCAGACCGCAGAGGAGGCGATAGATTTGGTTGGTCTTCGATATGAGCAGACTAAGCATGCTGTCGGCCCGAGCTGGTTTAATCTCTACTACCGTACGGTCTCTTTATTCGACTTCTCTTCTCTTCGCTGACCTTGTGACTCAGTGTTTAATGCCATCCTAATTGTTGTATCGCACGTGGTCGACCCAGAATATCGAAACGACAAAAACGCGCTTTCCCAATTGGATTGTGCAATGCAAATGATCAGGCACATGTCTACAAATTACCTATGCGCGCAGCGCGCATACACTTTCCTTCAGCAACTTCTCGGCTTTATGGATAAATCATTGCTCGTTGACAGACGAAGAGGCGCAAGCTCTTCGAGACCGCAGACCGTATATGCACCATCGCCCGTTCTAGATGGCCCAGCCTTCGACCAGAGTGGCTACGACGACCTGTCTCATGCAGAACTTTTTGCATTTTGGGACATCACCCAAGATCTGACCGCCAACCTGGGTTCTCAACTTGAGTCTTACTCGTCTTTGGGATCAGGAATGTGGTCATGGAACGTTGACGCTCAGGATCAGGATCCATCGATGATTGCACGGTACTGATCAAATCGAAATGAGGCAGAGACAATGGCAACAAAACATATGGCACAAATCAGGTCAGTTTTCTCGTGCTATCTGGATTGACATGTGCACTGGGGCCCAATACTAGTGCCCTATGTCTTTGCTGGGTTCGGTCTGTGCACAACGGAATCGCCTGAGCAGGTACACGGCTGCTATCTGCGTCTCGATTGTGACGGTGCACAGTCCCTGTGAGCACGATGATCCTCGCAGCGGTGGTTTCCAGGTCCAGATTTTGGGGCTAGGGAAGCGATAAAGGACTAAGCTAGAAGCAATTGGCCAATCCGGGGTGGGCTGACTCCCCCGGGATTTTCTCCACGCCTCCGCCGTAAGTAATGATTCCCTCCATACCCCAGCTTCGGCCCTTCCCCTTAACTCCCCGGCTCGTGTCCATGTGAATATATCGGCGAATGTTGGCCATCTCTATTTGAATCTGACTTGTCTCAACCAACAAGCAAGTGGTGGGCCACGGCTGATTTTGCATGGTAACCTACTTTTGCTTGTTGCCAATCTCACAACTTGGAATATTGACATCCGCAATGGCCGCATCTGAAAAGCCCCAAGTGACGACCGTTGAGAGCACGAACAGCTCGGACATTGTCAAGGATAATGCACATGCTGATGCAGCGGATTCAACTATACACCGCGACAGACATGGCCTTCCGCTCGTGCCGCAGCCCTCAGATGATCCTTTGGATCCATTGAATGTGAGTGACCTTATATTGTTATACCAGCGGTTTATATCTGCAATTCCGCAGCTGCTAGCCTGCGGGCCTTCCTGCCCTCAGTTTTATTCAAACTTGGAGCGTGGATCAAACGGGAACGATTCAGTAATCGAATATGCTAACCCTAAATAAAAAACTATAGTGGAAGCTTTGGATCAAGGTTGTGGTCCTTGGTGAAGTTTCCCTCCTGTCATTCTTGGCACTATTGAGTGCTTCATTGATAGTAAGGCATTCTCAAAGCAGGATCCTACCTCACTTCCATGGAATTAACAAAATTTTCAGACCCCGGCTTTTATACCCCTCTCGCTCTTCCTCCATCGAGGCCTCGTGGAAACGGCCTTCGTAACGAGCACTTTCGTCGCGTGTGTGGGGGTGTCTACGATCGTGTGGAACCCAATATCTAATGTCTACGGACGACGACCCGTCTACATCATAACCGTCGCTATCAGCATAGCAATGTCCGTGGCGTCGGGAAAAGCCAATAATTTCGGGCAAATTCTGACATTCCGCGCCTTAAGCGGTTTCTTCGGTGGCGTCCCTCTGGGACTAGGCAGTGCCACCGTGGCTGATCTATTCTTTACGCACGAGCGAGGCTTCTATATGGGAATATATACTGTCTCGTTCATCCTTGGAGGTCACGTTGCTCCAATAATTGGCGGCTATATCGAGAGAGACTTGACATGGCACTGGTGTTTCTACGTCCCAGCGATCGTCACGGCAGCCGTCCTCATCCTGTTCACTTTCACCGTCCCAGAAACGCTCTATTCCCGTGCCCCAGAAGCGCTTGCGCGACCACGACGTACCTGGCTCCAAAACATGCTGATGCAAGGCAAGGCTCACCCTACGCGCCGCTTACGCATCGTCGACTTCTTCCGACCGATTCAGATGCTCCAATACCCCAGCGTGCTTCTCCCCACCATGTCCTATGCGGTATCCTTCGCGTATGGCAGTATTCTTTTCATCATCACCAGCGCAAATTTGTTCGGCAAGACCTATCACTTCAAACCTCAACAGACCGGACTCTTGCTCGGAATCCCCATCACTGTTGGAAGTGTCATCGGCGAGGCCATGTCGGGTGGCTTTTCTGATTGGGTGAGCGAAAAGCGGGCAATACGAAGGGGCGGTGAACGGAAGCCAGAAGATAGACTGCTAGCGATATTCCCAGCGTTTATACTGACACCGATTGGCATCATCATCGAGGGCGTCTGCCTCGAGAAGAAAATGCATTGGATCGGCGTGGCATTTGGAATCGCGGTCGCCAGTGTCGGGTTACAGATTTCCACGACCGTTGTCTATACGTACACCGCGGAGGTGAGTGAGGCGATCTGCTCGGAACCCCCCGCCTTGCATCCTCGCTAACAATCTCTACAACACAGTGCTACAAGCCACAGTCTCCAGAGATCGGCTCGCTGCTGAACTTCGCGAGACAGATGTACTCTTTCGCCATGGGCTTCTACGCGATCCCGTGGGCCGAAAGGATCGGCGTGCTGAACGCGTGGGTCGCAATGGCGCTCATTGACGTGGCTTTCTTTTTGCCGATAATCCTGCTGCTCTTCAAGGCAGAGGACTGGCGGAGCCGGTTGGGAGAACCCAAATTCCATAGAGATCTGTGAACACAAGCAAGTGCAGAAAGCTGTTTTATTCTATGTGGAGATTGAATGTCCCGGCTTCCATCAGGTCCGGATTGCGTCGAGATATTGTGCATCAGAGCTGCTATTGCTTACACCTACTGACTGGTGTCGGGTGAGTCAAAGACACCTACACGCTGTCCAGAGGGCTTCTCAAGCCGTTCCAGTACTTCATTCTTCATGCAATATCTTCAGCAATTCGTCAAAGACCTCTTTCACCTCCTCCGCCTCCTTCGCCCACAACCCTTCACCCATAACCAGCCCCAAGTCATCCCCCCTGGCCGCCTTGGCAAGGAACTCTCTGCCCGGGCCGGGAAAAGTCAATCCGACGCTTTTTTGCACGACCTTCATCCGAACAGCTCCAAGGACTTGTTTCAACTGCCCAGCACACTGGCCGCCTCCGTGACCGCCATATGACACGACCATGGCCGGTTTCCCACCCATTCGTTGAAGAGGTAGTCGATCGCGTTCTTGAGGTTGGCGGGGTAACCCCAGTTGTATTGGGGTGTCACGAAGATGAATGCTCTGTGGGATGTGATGACTTTGGACCAGTCGCGGGTGTGTTCTAGCGATCGGATTGGAAAATCTTGTTAGCATACATACCCTTGTCCTTTCTGGCCGTACAGAAAAAGGGGAAATAGAGAGGGGGATGTCCGATATTAAGATCTCTGTTCCGATTGTGAAATGATACATAGTGCGTATGTGAGAGGAGCTTACCCTAGGAGTAGTCCAAGGGGTCAGTGATGAGCTGCGGGATCCCAGGTTCATTGAAGAAGGGGAGCGGATGGTCTGCTAGGTCAATGAGGGAGACTTCATAAGGTAGAGAGTTTGGTGATGTGTGCTGAGTGGATTGTTGATATTGCTTGAGGTTATTGAAGATGAATGTGCCGATTTGGTTCCCGATCCGTGGTTGCCGTTGCGAGCAGATTACGAGGCCGATTTTTGGGGGCGGCAAGGCTTGTTGGAGGAGGTCGTTGCTGGTTGGTGATGGAGAGGAAGACATGTTGAGCCTTGGAGTTGACGGCGAATGTAGTCTTGAGAATTTGATTGACGCTGGCCTTGCACAGCGCCGCTGAAAAGGGTATGTCTAATGATGCAGCATACGCAACTATTGATATGTTGCTGGGTTCTGAGAAAGAAACGGACTTGATCAAGCAGATAGTTGTCAAACGTTTTATAACCCTTCGTATATGCTCAGAGAGTCGGAGATAAGTGCCTTGACCTATCAGTCATTCAGCCTTTTTCTGCGGACCTGCCAATTGTACGTTGAGCAGCTGGACACTAGGCAGTCAGTTCAGGTCCCAGATACGACCGAGCCGACATGGTATGACGCAAATGCGAGGAAGAAATTAACGCTCAGCGTCGCTTGCCCTCACAGTCAGATTGACACTTGCCTCGCCCGATGATGGGGAGAGTTTGCAAGTTGAGACGCAAAGCCAAAGGCTGCGGGAGATTCGAGCATGGCCTGGACCGAAAGGCACATGTCAAATTGCGATTGAAATGGCAGGGATGGGGAAGTGGATGCTGGTTGACGTTGCGCAAGAACCAATCATGAGTCTGTGCCTGAGTGGACCCGGCCACGACATGCCTTTCGGCCCCGCAAGGCTTGGCACTTCGCCCAGCTTCGGTCTTCGGTCTTTGCTTTTTAGACGAGGCTCGCTGCTGCACCGAACGCGACCTGGCGTACCTGATGCTGACACAACATTTGTCTAGAGGCTTGGACACGGAATGTGTTGTGATATGTTGCGCGGCGTCCAATCAGCGGGCTGTGTTGAAATACGAGGGTGGCACTGCCCGGCGAATCCTCACCGTTAAGTTGAGGCTGTCGACCGAGCCGCGATGTCGGCTGGAGGTAGACGAACTGGTATAAAGAGACAGACATCGCCCACGAACAAAGTCAGAAAACCACATACAGAGTAACTCAAAACATAAGCTACCGCCAAATTTTTCCAACAGCAAAGGAACCATGAGCAACATCCGAGTCGCAATTGTCGGTGGCGGTCCCGCCGGCCTCACGCTCGCACGGCTCCTCCAACTCAACAACCTCTCGTGCACTGTTTTCGAACTTGACTCCGACTCGCTTGGACGAGTTCAAGGCGGAACAGTCGACTTGCACCCACGGGGAGGCCAGCTCGCCCTGCACCATGCAGGTTTGACCGAGGAATTCAGGAGGCTTTCTCGTCCAGAAGGTGAAGCAATGAAGTTGCTCAAGTATGACGGCACCATTGTCTATGACGAGAATACCATGGGCAATACTCGACCTGAGGAGTATGCGGATCGCCCAGAGATTGATCGAACGAAGTTGCGGCAATTGCTCCTCAATTCGTTGAGACCGGGGACCGTGGTTTGGGGCAAGAGGCTGCAATCTGTACAGAAGTCGTCATCACAGGCTGGGAAATATGACCTCCATTTTCAAGACAGCATGGAGGGAGGATTCGACCTCGTCGTTGGTGCAGATGGAGCTTGGTCGAAAGTGCGCTCATTCCTCACAGACAAGCAACCCTATTACTCGGGCATTACTGCCATTGAGCTGTGGGCCTCGGAAGTCGACAAAAAGCACCAGTGGTTGAGCGACTTCGTGGGTGCAGGGAATTGCTTCATGTTCGATGAAGGGCGGGCAATTCAATGTCAGAAACTGGGAAACGACAGCATCCGAGTCTACGCTGGTGTGCGACAACCCGAAGACTGGCTTGAGAAATGTGGGATCGACTGGTCTTCACCCGTGGAAGCAAGAAGGGGCCTCGTTGAGAAGTATTATGCCGACTGCAGTGACGATCTGAAGCGAGCCATCTTAGACGCGAACGACAAGCTCGTCCCGCGCCGAATGTGGATGTTGCCCGTAGGCTTTCGGTGGAAGTCCCATGTAGGAGTGACGTTACTGGGAGACGCTGTTGGACAAAGCCTCTTTCACCTCACCGCAAACGGTAGACTGGAGGCGCTTATAAAGATAGGCTCTCACCCCCAGGTAGATTGTAGATCCTTAAGCAATACATCATCCTTTAAAACAGACGCAGCTCATGTGATGACTCCTTTTGCAGGCGTCGGGGTCAACCTTGCCATGGTCGATTCCTTGGACCTTGCGAAGGCCATCATCGGCTGCGCCGGGGACTGGGAAAAGTTACCGGATGGTATCAAATCGTATGAGGCTGAGATGCTGAGTCGGGCCGAGCAGTTCGCAAAGAAGACTTACAAAGGCTTGATAAATCATTTCAGCACTGATGGATGCGAGGAAATGGCCGGACGCTTGAGAGGAAGATAGCCTTTCATTCGGCGACTATCAGGTTGGCGCTGGTCATTCAGCGGAAGGTGAAAACACACCGTGTTGTCGTTTGGTCCGGTTCGATGATCGGATTTAGCTGTGTCGAGAATGTTGATAAAGAAGTTTTTAAAATTCTTTTCTCAGCTCCGTGTCTTGCTGCTCTGTTTGAATCCTGCGTCCAACCACAACTGTCGCAATCCAAATTCAAGAGGTTTGGCTGCGACCAGGGATTTTGCTCTAACAAATTGTAAAGACTGATACATCATCATTTTCCGCCTCTCCTGCGCCTCTTGATAAGCGAGAACGTCAACTTTGTGGGTTTCTAGGTCCGGGTCGAGGCTGGCCCACAACATGTCTAGCTTGATCATGATGGAATTAGACCCGCAATCAACGACAGCAAGAAGGAGCTCGTCCTGTGGAGACCTGTTGCAGTTTCTTTCAGCCTTTGCCTGCTGCAGAGCCCCCGAAATGGAGCGCAGAGGTGCGATTTTGGTGCAATACCACCATTCGAAGGCGTGCTTTACGAATTTTATCTGCAGAATTGCGTTCTTACGCCGCTCTGTGAGTTCAGTTGAGTCAGTATCACTATTCAGAGTCTGATATGCTGTGTTTGAAGCCTCACGAATAAGGCCTGGAACATCAACAAGGAATTCGCAAAGCTCAGATCGTAGTGAGATGCTAGCAGACTCCTCGGTGATTACCGGGTTGGAGGAGCTCTTCAACAACTGGCGCCACTGTCGTCGTGAGAGAAAGCATTCTTGTCCGACACTTGCGTCTTGAAGAATCTTGGGGATGTTAGTCATAGATACCCTAGCAGTCATGCTATAGTTAGGAGACACTCACAAACCATGCTCGCTGCGACTCGAGCATTGCGCGCTCGAAAGTCCCAATAAATCCCTCGGGACCTCGCTCTTGAATGAGAAGTTTTGTTCCCATACAAAGTTGACTCCATCGCCCGCCTTCGTCGGTCATAACCAGCTGTACAGGTCAGGTTCTGGCTTTACGTCTGAGAGTCACGGAGATCGAAACAACCAAGCCATACCTCGCACGCTTGCAGGATAATAGATGCACATATTGTTTCAGCCTCTGCGCGGACGTGCATTATGTCCAACGATTTGCGAAGAGAGCGCAAGCTTCGTGTGTACAGACGAAGGGACTCCTTCGAGGTGACTTCGGTTGGCCTCAGAGAGTCCAAGTAGATGCCACATAGGCATGAGACCGCATCATCCAGAGCGATACTGACATCAAACCTGACGGGAATCATGGCATAAAAGCTCCCATGAGATTTTATGGGGAAAGTGTTCCTGCTCTGTGGCTCACCCAGTATATAACACAGAGTGGAACATATCTGGTCATGGGGCGAGGCCAGAGGCCACTGAACGGTGGTCTGTGATCTTGGATCGAGAGAAGTGTTTTCTTTATTGATGAAGATGCCTCGAAAGCAAGAGCTTCCGTCGCCTGCTGGGTCGCAGCGGTCGACATCCTCAAAGATGTATTTCTTGTTGCGGTAGAGCAAGGCGAGAGGTCCACTCTCATCGACAAACTTCCATCTTCTAGGATAACCCGGGCATTTCCAACCTGCTTTAATGCAAGCTGAGCATGAAGGTAGTTCTTCTCCGCACTTTGCAAGCTGAGCTCAGTATCAATGACACTTTACCTGGAGCATGACATCCTCACCTTCTTCTTGCGTTTTCGACAAATCTCACAGCCAGTACTTCTGAGCGTTCCAACCATATCCAAGGTTCTGCAGAAAGCGAGGCATTGTCCCTCTCTGTGGTGAGTTTGTTTGGCCGTGGCTCAAGAGAAGAACATAGTGCTCTCTGTGAGACGGTGAGCTGACTAGCAACTCTCGACATGTTCGCCAGTGACTAAGTGATCCGCCGTAAACTACACTTCGGCGGAACTAAACTCCGCCGTTGTCGCCGCCAACAAGTCGCTGGCCTGCGGTGGAGTATCTTCGGATCAAACCCATGTTTTTCAATTCTTCAAATTATCTTGAAATCTCTCACCTACCACTCTGTCGCCGATACCCGGGTTGTGCATGGCACAGCAATCCGATGACCTGCTGCGGCTAGCGTAACACTACTTGGGAGAAGTTGACACAACCTACGCTCTGTCATGGACCTGACTGCGGACTTCAAGTCCTTCCAGGACCTCGTTCAAGCCTCCCTCATCAACGTGACGAGAAGCGCGACACAGGTGTCCAACCAAGACCTGGGTTTCCATCGCTCTTCCAGCGACAAGCTGTCTCGCTCCCTCGATCGCCAGGATGCTCACCTTCTGCGCCTGACAAACAAACTGCTCAAGGCTGCCACTCAGGACACACCACTCAAGCCACCTACGCTTCAAAATCAAGATAGCGTAGAGGACAACTGGCGCGGCATTGTTGATGTCGTTGATGGCCTTCTTGAGAAGGCTGACTCTGCGCTTGATGAGTTCTCTGGTATCATCAAGCCCCAGGATCCAGCTCGCCAAGGTGCCGACCCTTCTCCCAGACCTACAAAGACAGGCCTAGGTTTTCAGAGATGGGCTGCAAGCAACATGCAGAAACCTCAGACCCATTTTCACAGACAGGTGAACAATTCTGACCCAAACCCCTTCAAGCCTTTGCTCCAGACGAAGCCTCATGCTAGTGTTCCGCTGGAACAAAGCATAGGAACTGAAGATACAGGGTACAGCTACCACATCCTTGTTTTGCGCATTTTCTCATTCTGTGTGTAGATACAACCACCCGTACGCACGAGAGATCGAAGACTACAAATACCCTCCTTCTGTTTACAAATTCAATCATCCGATACCATTTAGTCCGATTGGTGAAACCGAACACATCTTCGTTGACACGGAGGAAGGCGTCATCGAGATGCTAGAAGAGCTTAAGGCTGCCGAGGAGATTGCAATCGACCTTGAACACAATGATTTGCGCTCATATGTTGGGCTAGTGTGTCTCATGCAGATCAGCACGCGCAAAAAAGACTGGATTATTGATACGCTGAAACCATGGCGCGAGAAGCTACAGATGCTAAACCAAGTTTTCGCGGACCCGAAGATCTTGAAAGTGCTACACGGCTCAAACATGGACATCATCTGGTTGCAGCGTGATCTGGGTTTGTACATTGTTGGTCTCTTCGACACGTATCATGCAGCTTGTGCTTTGCAATTCCAAGGGAAAGGCTTAAAGCACCTTCTTTTACAGTTCGCCAATGTCCATGCTCAAAAACAGTACCAGCTAGCGGACTGGCGGGTGCGACCTCTTCCTCAGGACTTGATCGACTATGCTCGATCAGACACACACTACCTTCTGACCATTTACGACCACATGCGAAACATGCTTGTCAATGGTTCGGCGCCCAATGTTAATCTCACGGACTATGTCTTGATGCAGTCGAAGAAAGAAGCGCTTCAAGTCTATACCCGTCAACTGTATGACCTCGAGAATGGTGGCGGTCCGCTCGGCTGGTTTGCGTTGCTCACCCAGAGGTATGTCAATCTGAACAAAGAACAGCTTGGGGTCTTTCGTGCTCTTCACGCATGGCGAGACCGGAGAGCCCGAGAATTAGACGAGGGCATTCAATACATCCTGCCCAATAGGACATTGTGGCTTGTCGCCGAAAACATGCCAACATCTGCATTCAATTTCCATCAGACGTGCAGAGGAGAATCCAAGCTGGTCTCGGATCGTATCCCTGAGATTATCGAGGTTGTCAAGCAGGGCAAAATTGAAGGTAAGAACAGCAAGTCACACGAAGAAGTGGTCCAGCACTGTGAGAAAGTCCTCGGCGTGACGGTTCGTCGACAACGGAAGGAGAAAAAGCCGCAACCTCAAAGCACGTACTCTGGACTGGGCGCGACTTTGAAGCAGTTGGCCGCCACTCCAGCTTTAGTGTCATTGGATTACGATGCTCTGGTGCCCATTGTGACCAGGTCGTCTGCTTCAATGTTCTGGGGTGATGTAATGCCACAGTATCAACACACTCTTACCGACACTGCCAGTGCAATCGAAGCACTTTCATCGATCGTCCCGCTATGCCTGCTCGCCACTGTCGAGGAGGCCGTACAAGAGGCAGCAGCGGTGGTCCAGCCTGTATCCCAGTCAATTCAAGTGGAAACCTCGACCAAACTGGCGAAGACACTCCGCTCCAAAGCCAACGAGATCTTCACCCTGAGCGAGATATCTCGTTCGAACAAGGGCAAGAAGCGAAAGACAGATGAATTTAAGGAAGATGCCGATGACAATGGGCTGACCGTGCTCGTCCGTGCCCCTAGCACCGTGAACGGGACCACAACAGGAAAGGCGACAGCTGCTGGCGTGGCAATCTCAACCCCAACCTCTCGCCCCCAAGACCCCGAACCAGCCGATGCAGAACAAAACCCAGAATTCGAATCAAAACGCCAAGCGAAGAAGCAGAAAAAGGCTGAGAAGAAAGCTCGCAAGGAGGCTGAGAAAGCTGCAGTCGAAGCCAAGGCACGGGCTACGCAGCCATTCGACTACGCCAGTGCGCCGTCGTTGCTGACCCCTGATTCACTGCCGTTGGTACAGCAAGGTGACAGTGGTGGCGCTGCCGGAGGTCGCGGGCAAGGACAGATGGGAGTGGCACGGGAGATAATGAACCCCTTCGCGAGAGCATTGGATACGAGTACGGGGGCGAGAAGAGGAAAGATGAGCAAAGAGCTGCAGGGGAAGAGCATGACTTTCAATTCTTGATCGAGGTGCTGGCTCCGCCTGGTAGCTCTTTGCTCTGCTATGCCGTCCTGTGGCCTGCTCTCGTGCAAGATGCTAGACTTGTACAAAGGAGGACATACAAACATGTTTGAGTTGCTGGGTTTGTCGAGGACACGAATCACCTGCTAGCTCGCTCGTTGACTCAGTCTTAAGTGCGTTCGATCAAATAGCGGGTAGCGAGTCTGCATATCTTCTAGGCTAAGAATGCTCAGGGAGTGCTGTCGAGGATGGCCTTGCCCGTTGCCAACGGCGTAGTCGGTGTTGCGTATTTCCCGACCTCTATACCCAGTACGCTAAACCACTTCAGACAAAGAGATCTCCCTTGCTGGGTTGTGTTTCTTGTGGCAGGCTGTGCACTTGTCTTTCATCTTGCCTTGCAGGTCTCTCCTTGGCCGTCTCGCAGTTAACTTATGAGTTCCATCCTCCAAATTATTTCCATTTTGGCGTGACGGTTCAAAGAAAGGCTAATCAAGGGCGTCCAGTGGAGCTCACGGAAAATCCTCTCGGATAAGATATTCTCCGGCTCCGGCTCCAGCTCCGCGCATCTCCAAAGACGGATGAACCTCGAGTCGGTTTGGGATTTCTCATTTCATCTACACATCCAAGGGTCAACATGTCGGCGTCGCTTGCTCCTGAATGTAACGAGGTTAAGGAGTGAGTTTCGGTACTCATCAATAGCTCTCGAATTTAAGACTGATGTGTTTTCAGGAAATATGATAGCTGTTTTTTGAAATGGTATTCTGAGAGTACGTATCTACGGGGTCCTTCCCTCTTGTTTTGCCACAAGCTGAACTTTGTGCTCCAGAATACATTCGAGGGAATTCGTCCACCGATGAGTGTGAACCGCTGTTCAAGCAGTACAAGAGTTGTCTGACCGTGCGTGGGCCTTACTGTCTACAGTCCCTAATATATGCACTCCTAACTTAAAGCAGAAAGTCCTCAAGGACAAGGGCATCGAGAACATGTTGTCTGAAGCCCGAGAAGGCACAAATGAGACAGACGCCGAGCATCTCAAGCGATAACATTACGTTCCCAGCATCGGATCTGGTGCATGCGTCCTCATCAGCAGCTCAGAACAAGACCCGCGCAACCAAGGACCAGCCAGGACGGCACCTACAAAGTTTCCAAAGGTCACTTGGTCGATCGGTCTTTTGGCTTCATCTCTGCACAACCAGATCGCTCCTCAATACCCACTTCTCGCCACTCTTGACCTCTCTACCTTCATGCAGGAGACAGTCATTGCCATGTTTGTGGAGGAGAGCCATCCCAGTCTCAGGTCCAACAACAATCGGATCTGGTGGTCTGTCGCCTTTTTGCAGAGCTTCTGGGTAGAAAGCGGTCTCACCGCCTTCGCATGTTGTAAGATAGACGAGGAGAGTCCAGCTGGTTTTTGCCGGTAGCTTTTCCTCGCCAAACTGTAATTTATTGCTCTCATCATAATGCTTGTCGAAGAATTGACCCGGTCGATACCGGTAGACTCTTATATTTGGATTCAGTCCAATCACACTGCCCCCAAACACAGCCTGATCTTCGAAGGAGCTCACCAGATGCTGCATCCCGCTGTGCTCCCAAAGGATCTTGGCAAAGGCCGAATCGTCAATCTGGAAGCGGTCACTGATTCGGGTTGCCTCCCCTCGCTTTGGCCGGCCCGGCGTCGTAGCCAAGGGCAAAGAAGACAGGAAAGATACATAGATTCTGCATAAGTTGGAAGTGAGCAGGTTTCGGATGACCAAGATCTGGCCGGGAACCACAGTCTCGATCAACAGCTGCTCCTGGGGCACGAGAGGGGCCAGAGGAGGCCAATCTGGCGGATGGGGCTTTGTTGATTGATCGTTGTCGCCCTTTGATGGGACAGTCTTCTGTTTCCCTCGCGGAGCCATGCATGGAAACCCCTATGTCGAAGGTGCTTGGTCGGGCAGTCCAGTAGAAAGGCGTGCCATAGAATTTGGCGGGACCATAGGTTTGCGCATCTCACTCGGCATTACACACACAAGGTGGCAGGAGGAAGAGATTGCCTGGCTCCTTTGTTTTATTGTTTTTCTTGTGGCCTGCCGGGCCCGAAATGCCCAACTTCTCCTCAGTCCCTGGTATCGAATGTGATTGGCTTGCCACGGGACTGCGCTGTCCGCCTCCGACCCGCATCTGCTGCCTCTCTCTTTGACTTTTGCTCTTCAGACAGAACTTTTGATCGTTTAGAGATTGCGCGCCCCCGACAACACCCTGACGGTTCTCGCGCTTTCCCTCCAAGATCTCGCAGACCTCGTAATGTCGTCGCAGGCAATTGCGACGTCGACAAGAGGTCTGCCAGATCCCCCATCATGGACCGCTCCTTCGAATCTTCACCCCAATCGCAGTGACTCGGACCACGAAGATGAACTAGAACAGCAGCAGACCAACTCATCCATGCCAAGTCATTCTGCTTGGGATGAAATAGATATTCAACAACGGAATCAGGCTGTGGGAAATCTGCTCGCGGCTCTGACTCCCAACAGTCCAACCAAACCCCAGACCCAGACCCAGACCCAGACCCAGACCCAGACCGCAACTGCGCCTGCCAGGACAGACATGGTTCCTCTACCGGACCAGAGTCTTGAAGGCCCTTGTGAGGCAATGGAGACCACAACAAATAACAGTCATCTAGAGACAGATCCCGATATCTTACTTCCTCCTCTCCCTCTACAAAATCACGACGGCTTCCTCACTGCTAGCGGGCTCCCTCCGTTACCTTCTACGCTACCCATGGATATCCTTGGGCAACCTTTGCCATTTCCTGCGGGACCAAGCGGTCTGTTAACAGCATATATGAACGAATCTCAACCACTGACTGCCTCTCAAATTCCACTCCCGGAACGAAGGGAAATCGAAGCATTTGCAAAAATTGAATTTGAGGACGGGAACTACTACATCACGACTTATGCCTGTGAACTGGGCAGGGATGCTTTCGCATACCGGGCAGCCCTCGCCAAGGCTGAAGAAGCGCGCCAGGCCGGACAAGACCGTGCACAGAGCTCGAGCGGGAGACGGTCAGGTCTCTCTGAAGGGGTACCACGACCCGGCGACAGCCAAGTCCAAGGGAGTGTTGTCAGTGAAGCTGGTGGATTTGGCGGTGTCGATGATGGCCTGGTTATGGAAAACGAAAAGGGAGAAGATGGCCACCCATTACACTCGCACTCGTCCGAAAGGTCTGCTGGTAGTGTCGTCAAGCCTCAGGAAGTGCTCTACAATCCCCCTCTCGCTCCTTTTGACTACCATAAGATGGCAGAACGTCAAGCACAATTAGAGTACGGCAACGAGCAGGAGCCAGATAATGAACAACCAGCCCCAGTAACCGCCGACCATATCCCGGACGCCCACAACTGTCCGCTCATCCCCATTCACGCAATGCGCAATCACCAAAAATCCGAGCTGGAAAACCACAAAAGCATTTCGCGGCGACATGTCAAGATCCAGTGGGATTTCGACAAGGAGCGCTTCCAGATGAAAGTCATGGGCAGAAACGGTGCTTTCTTGGACGATGTATATCTTCAACGCGGTCAGACACGACCTCTTCGTGACGGTTCCAAAATACAGATCTCGAATGTCTGGATGACTTTTAGGCTGCCGAAACAAGAAGCCGAGTCGTCGAGCGACCTTTCAGGCCGGGAGGAAGTTGAACAGAGCCCTTCCCGGCCCCGGAGCACTTCGCCAACGTCAAATGAACAAGACCGGAGCGCTTCGCCGTCAAAGACCGGCAGAGGCAAGACCAAGATCATACTGAATACCATCGAGAGACCGTCAATGGCGATTCCAGAGCCTATTCTGGGACCTGATGGCCAGCCCCTACCTCCGCGAAGACGAGGGCCTGGCAGGCCGCCAAAGGATGGAATCATGTCCACTCGAGAAAGGAAAGAGAGGGAGAAGGCGGCCAAGCTTGCGGAAGCAAAAGCCGCCAATGGAGGGAGAACTCCTCCGCCCGTGATGCGAGGTTCCAGACCTCCCAGACCTGTTCCCATTGAGGAGGAGACGGCGGCCGAGCCCAAACCAGAGAAGAGGAAATACAAGAAGCGAAAGCGGGTTGGAGAAGACGGCGACATTGTTCAGTCAATTGAGGGTGGTGATGTCGACGTGCCTAGTGAGCCCGAGAGACCACCGCCAGTCAAGAAAGCCAGGTCGAAATCCCCCAGTCCAGACTATCCTCCTGCAGAGAGCTTGACCGAAGAACAGCTTGCCAGACCGTCCGAGCCCTATGCTCGATTGATCTACGACATCTTGCTTGACATCCACCCGAAGGCTCTTCCTCTGAAGCAGATCTACCGAGCCTTGAAGCTGAAATTCCCATTCTTTGTACACCGAGTGGACTCGGAAGGATGGCAAAGTAGCGTCCGGCATAATCTCAACCAAGAATGGAACAAGCTCTTCGAAAAGGGCGAGAAGGAAGGCAAAGGATTTGCGTGGAAAGCGATCCCTGGAGCCCTACAACCTCAAGCGGAAAGAAGACGAGCAGCCCAGCAAGCAGCAGCCTCCAAGCCAAAGCCCACACCGGCACCACGTCAAAATGTACCCCAAGGGCCCCCTCAAATGCTGAACTGGCAAAACAGCACACCATATCCTCAACAGAACGGGATGCCTCCCCAAGGACATCATCCGCCTTTCTATGGGCAAGGTCCGCATGGATCCATGCCGCCACCCTCAAATGGCATGCCGTGGCCGGCTCCGCCAGGGGGGATGCCGCCGTCGGCTCCAGCATATCCTGCGGGTCAGAATCATCCTTTCTATCCACCGTCGCCAGCAGGACAGTCACCCTTTCCACCACAACATCAACCCTTTCAGTCAGGCCCGGCGCACTCGATCCAACCTACAAGTCAGGGGTCTCATCCGACACCAAGTGCTGTCGCCACACCAGTACCAGCACCCGCACCACTCATTCCTACCAGCTCTTCTGCGTCGCGGAACATGCCTTGCACCTTAGACGGTCTCATCACTATCAAGAAGTTCGAGAGTGCGATGCTCGAGCAGGTCCATCCCGCAAGAATTGAGCATTGGCAAAGGATCTTTGCATCCGCCACGCGAAGATTACTTCACGGCCACCCTGAGTCCCTAATGCCAGGTGGCCACACCATCGAAGAGGAGACGATCATGGGACACATTCGGGATTTTATCCGGCGTTTCAGGAATCTCAATTTCGCAGGGTTCTCGCGAACCGGCTCGCCTGCGCCCACTAGCGTGATCAATGCCAACAGGCGAAACAGCACCCCACACACTGCATCACCTACAACCACTGCATCAGGTGCTCCTCAGGGTGCTTCATCAGGAATGACAAACTCTACTCCGAAAGTCCAAGCAGCAGAAAGTGAGCCTTCACCATCCTCCGCGAGCAAGGATGTGGAGGGCATTCAGCAGCCGACGTCGACGCTCCCAGCTGACTCTAAATCAGTCATTCAGGGTGCGATGTCCCAAGCTTGAGGGGAAATGTGCCAATGGCGTGATGAGGCAGCAGATCTCATTCCTTTCGTGCTGGTGGCTAAAGTGCTGGAAGAACGCTCGTACTATGTTCCCTCGTTACTCGTTATTTGCGACATGGATGGTAATGGTAATGATACCCTTGGCGTTCAGGCTCTCATTCGAACTTTGACTTTTCTGTTCGGGACTAAGGATAAACCTGTGAGTATTTTAGCGGCGTCTCAGGCGGATGAATTCACAGCGGGACCGAAAAGCTGGGCGAAGGCATTGACGCATCGGATAGTGTTGTCATGACCCATCTCGTATGACATTGGTGGACTGGATTATCTTTGTTACATTTTCTTTATGTCAATGCTGTGCGAATGAGTGAATGGTGGGATCGTTCCAATGGTTTTCAGCCAAAAAAAAAAGGCGCCTGGCGTCCTCGAAGGCTAGGGAGGCTTGGATCGATACGCAGCATTTTCAAGCACGAGAGGATTTGCATTTTCATAGTGAACACAAACGAGGATGGGATCTGGGGCTTCCGAGAACGGAATTCCACTTAGAGGGTCCATGGACAGCAGCATGCATTGCCGGAATGATGACTTGAAATTTGAACCCGGACTTTCTAGCTATGTAGTCTTTGCATGTGTTCGATTTTGTTCGGCATATGTTCGTATTTTTCTTCCAGTCCACATTCACCAGCACACTCTCGTCTCATCTGCTTTACTCGCGCCGGTGTGTCTATGTTCGATTGCCTGCGAGGTCTCCTGCTGAGATGGCTGTGACTCTTCCCCGCAGGGTGTTGCGTTCCATGTCGGACGATCCTGCTCGTCGTGGAAAGATGTCGGTGTCGGTGGTGGTGATGACGAGGAATCTATCGTGCAACGGAGCTGGTGTTGGACAGCCAAGTTGTCTGGAAGTATGGAGGCCAGCAGCGGCAGCGAGAAGCTATCGCTCTAAGGGCGTTATATGCGGTGTATCTGAAAGGGTTGTTGCCCATGGGTTGGGCTGCTGACATGCGATGGTTGGGTCTGTGATCTCTATCCACATGACGACCAAGTGCATGGGTTGATCCGAGTCCTCTTTTTCCTCCTCAGAGGAACATGGTACGCTAGGCGTGGTTTCGGACAGTCGGGTTCAATTCTTGTCCGGCCCTGTAATGCCGGTCGAAGGCATCTGCTATAGCGACATCCCCGATTGAGATTCTCTCAGTTCTTGCGTGTCCAGTAGACCCTCCACGACCAGTCGGGCGACGTTCATTCCTGCAAGAGCGGAGGTTTCCATTGTCGAGATGAAGGATTCCATGCCGGAGAGGTAGTATATCCCATCTGAGACGCCGTGTGAGAGGCATGGCTCCGTGGAGCATAACGTGAAGTTTTCGAAGGTTGTCCGGGGCAGTTCGTAGGGGTAGCTGTGCCAATGTTTCTCCTGAAGCCAAGAAATCTCGGATTTGGGGAGAAGGGAGACGGGATCGTCGTTTCTGTTTTCCGGCTTTGGTGGGTATTGGAGGCCGAGCAATGACGCAAGGAACGACTCCGTCAAAGGAGCCGGCGAGAAGATTTTGTACAGGTATTGTGTATCTTGGGTTTCGGTTGCTCTGGCTTGAGAAGGCAGCTTCGTGCAGTTTGAAGTCGGTCCGCAAAAGGTGCCGTCTGTGTTTGGATGTAAGATCCGAAGGGTACTTATCGACCAGAATCCGGGAGGGCCCACAGCCTCAAGGCCTCGTCGAGACCCGAGCTCGTCTGACAGTTCCGAAGAGAGAGTTGTGAGGATAGACGAAGGCACATCGGCTTGAGAGTCGAGTCCAAAGAACGACGGGGAAAGACGGTGCGGCGAGGTGAACAGTGTCACGTATAGTGAAACGTAGGGTATCTTCTCCGGCGTGGTAAGGAGCGGTGGAGTGAAGGCGACATTGGCAAACTGGTAGGGGGCCGCGAGGATGACAGTATCGAACTCATCTCCGTACTCGTTCTTGAGTTGTCGATTGGATTCTTCCTTCGCAGTCGTGAGTTTGAATGTCCCTTTCTTTTCGTCCTTGGTGACAGCCGTAACCGTCGTGTTCAGGAATATCCCATCCGCGGTGGTCCTCACCATCTCATCAAAGATGCGCCAATTGCCGTCCTCAATGGCCATGGCTCCCTCGATAGCCATGCACACCAATGTCTCCAATCCGTGTATCCCGCCTAGATTACTCGCATAATTCACGCGCGTGCTCGCTTGGATGATCTCGCGAGAAAACCGATCGCTCACTTTCGCGTTTTGCAAAACATCCTTCCCCGTGAGGCCGGTATAGGCATGCAGTCCGGTAGCGTCCACGGCGTCTCCTATCGAGTCAAAGGGAAATATGGGTTCATCGTAAAACTTTAAGAATTCCCCGACGGCCTTCGTCGTCGCCTGCCGCGTGCGTATAGGGGACAATCCGTATTTCCAAAGCAGTTTGGCAATATCCCACCACCCTCTCCAAGATCCTCTATCCTCATCATCATCCCTCGCAGCCCTATAGACGAAGTCCTTCCCATCCCAAATGCCCAACTCGTACTTCGAATCAGGTTCAGATTGATAGATCTTTGCAGAAGCATTCAACCCAAAATCTCGTGTGGCATTGTATAAAATGTGGTTTATCTTGACAAAGATGCTTGCGCCGAGTTCAACCGGGTAGCGGGAATCACTTAGGGCGTCAACGGTGGTGGTGCGTCCGCCGATGTAGGGGTTGGAGTCGAAGACCGCGATCTGTATTGGCTTGCTTTCACAGGGCGGCAAGAGCTGTTGGGAGAATTTGTGGAGGTGGTAGGATGCAGAGGAGCCCGCTGGGCCTGCGCCTATGATCGCTATTCGGTGTGGTCGCTGTCTTGGTTGTGGAGTGATTGAATCAGAGTTTAGCAGAGTCTGTGAGTTTTCAGCGGCGGTGACCAGAGCTTGAAAGTAGAGAAGGGTGACAATGGCATATCCCAAAACAGTGCTGTGTAGCATTTCGACCACGATTGATTGCCTCTCAGATAATGGCTAATAGGGAGAACGAACGAGGTTTATGTTTGCCTGAAGTTGTGGGGTCTCGAAACTGGTACTCGGTAGTGAGCGTAGTAAGCGAATTCGCTTGAGCTCTTTTTGCTGTTTGGGGGCACAGTGCATGAAATGTGCAGACCACCTCACCGACCCCAGCCCTCAGCATCTGGCTCATAGCTTTGTTTTGCCCCTGGTTTTCTCTGTATGCAAATATTCCAAGCCGTTCTGTTGCAGAGACCACGCCAGACCTGAGAGATCGTGGAGCATTTTACTGGGTACCCCAAAGTGCCCTGAGCGCCTCGGCTTCAGCCTTAGTCACGTGCCTAGGTGCTGGCACTCAACCTACCCAGTATTTACGTCATTTTAAATCCTTGGCATCTTGGCAGCCGCAGCATTCACAATTCACAAAGTGGCCTGCAGCCTTGGCAGTTTTACTCTTCTCGCCTTCTCTATATCCCTCTTTCAAAATCACCAATTACGGCCTGCTTGCTCTCCCTTTATTCGTTTCACAATACTTCTGCCGTTGATTGACTTTGTCACGTCAGCCACAGAGGGCTATGCGCACAACGTGACACCCGTTCCGGCTAGAACCCTTCACTCCACAGCATATTGTGAAGAATTTGGAAACACTCCCGTTCAGGGCGAAAGTCGCGATGCCAAAAGTCCTTAGCCTTAGCAAAAGTACTGGTCTGTACAACCGGGACACAGATTTGTTGTCCAGTGGCGCGGAACGAGCTGGATCCCCTTCTTGTTGTAGTGCTGTGGCCTTACGAGGAAGGGAGTTAACGATCGATGTCAAGGCAGTATACATGGATGTCCATGCTTCGCCCTTAGCTGGCGTCCTTGAGCCTCCTGGTGGCAGCCAGTGCTTTCTTCTCACCTGCCCACGAATTTACTCGCATAGGTTGGCAATCAAGACACCAATAATTACTGTGTGTTGGTGCTCATGGCAACTTGCATGAGTGTAGCTTCCCACGTCTGCCTTGTCACTTTGTCCAACAGAGGATGCAGGAAGACCACAGGCTTGTTGTTCTCAACAGTGCAACTCGCTCGGCACCCATGTCGTCTATCTGATTCACAGTTCTAAACCGGGAGATTCATTATTTTGCTCTATGTTTCAGCCACCTGAACCATAGCTCTACCCCGACAAATGATATCTGAACTGGAATGAGAATTGCACAGCCCCGGCCACTGCTTGTTTGTTATTGTGGGCCTCTTTGAACATAAATACTATTTCTAACCCACCAATTCGGCCTTCTATATGGCCTTTTGGGAAGTTATGAACTCTCTGCCTTTGTCTTTGGTGATGGCGTTGCCCTCGAGTTTTTTCCTGTCGAGGATCTCCCGGTTCGCTCTGGTACTAGGTCTTAACCTTACAACAAAAGCATATGCAGCAAACTTTCCTAAATGCGGAGCTCAGGTTCGTCAAGCAATTGACGATGGTACTATCGAAAGGCATGTCTTCTATTCATACTAGCTGTTGGAGAAATTCCGGGCTAACTGTGCTTCTTTGCTACATACAGCACCTATGGCTTTGACATTGTTTACCACGGTGACCTTCGAGGCATCAATCCAGTGTATCGAAACCAGTCATTGTCCCTGACCGTGGAAGGGTGCATAGCTGCTTGTGGCTCGAGTCCGGATTTATGGGATGCATTCACTATCTTCCAGATATTGACGACATGGATTTTGCCCACAGTGAGCTTGATTGCCCAGTTGCCCTGGGAATCGCTGAACATACGCAAGCGAAGGAATCTGGAGGCCTTTCTAAACTGGATGGGTGCTCCATCTGCAAGCCTGACCACAACCATCTTCAACATATACATGATCAAGAAATGCAACGAATTAGCTCGAGCATCATCCCAAGATGCCCGAATGGACGACGCCATGTATATCTTGAGCTGTATCAATCAGTATCAATACCCAGGGACGTTGCAGACCACAGAGCTCGTTGAACGCCCTCAGACGGAGAAAATACGGGAACAAGCTCTCCCAAGGTTGGAGAAACTGGCAGTGTGGGTAAAACAATCGCAAAGCGTGGACGGCTCCAGTGACTCTGAGGAAGAATTCCCCTCTGCCGTGAGACGTCGGAATAGAGCGCTCTTACAGGGAGTCTTCGGTCAGTTTAAGCTGTCTGAACGAGATCTGCATCCTGACGAGGAAGAGCTGCGAAAGCGGCTGGCAGAGTTGAACGCCACTCTTGCGTACCAACTACGCCTCAGCCGTCGGAAAGGGGTGTGGCCTTTGGCGCTCAACATCCTATGGTTTGGAGTCTCGTTGATCATTTCGGTCGCGGTCGCCTTTGCGGATCTTGGTGATAACACCACTGCACATTCACTCGCGCTCGGACTTCTCCTGTCTTGGATTCCGTCTTTAGTGGTTATGGCAATTGTCGATCGTAACCCCACAAACTCCAGTCGATGCCAGGAGCTCATCGAAAGGTGGTTGTTCAATGTCGACCAAGTCGTCGAAGCACAAAAGCGGACGGAGCGTAGCAGAAATTCAGCTCATACACCTACCCAGCCTCCGCCACCAGAAGATGCGAGCGGTGCCGAAGCAGCACAACCGGAACAGGGCGAGGAAGAACAGCGAGGACCAGAGGATGACCACCTGGTATTGTGGAGCAAAGCTCTCGAACGAAAGCAACCTGGACTGCGAAGAGCATATGGCATTGGGCGCTTTGTTGGTCAAGGACGATATCTGAGGTATTGCGGTGTCGCCAATGCTGCGCTTACGCAATACGAGCGAACGGGAGGGGACCTCGATAGACTCAACCTTGACGATCCAACTGGGTTCGAAAGACAGTTGACGAGACGCCCATACTCGTGGTATATCACATGGGCATTCAGCGAGATAATTGTTGGCAGTAAGTCCCTCCAATGCGTGCGTTGTCAAAGTCTACCACAAGCAAGAGCCAAGGAGCTGCTGGTCAGGCTTACAGAGGCCTTCCCACGTCACTTCCATGCTTCTGCACGTTCATCTGCACATTCTGCCCCCATCTACATGACTAGGGCTGATATTGTGTGTCTTAGTTAGTTTTGGCATGGCATTCATTGTGTCATTCAACACGCCAACGATAGGGCTGGGTTGTCGATCCGGACTTTACTTGATCTGGTATTTGATAACTTCCCTATCATGGCTAGTGCTGCTGGCTATCCAGGAGCCATGGCGCTGGTTGCAAAAGCTCCTGCTTTTGCCCAATTTCCTGGCGGTGTTGCTACTATTCCTTTTGACGCTATTTCAGGTCTTGGGAGTGTTGACTGGTTGTGTGTGCCAGGCGAGCACCTTTGGTAGCTCTGCGTATGGAGGCTACATGGACTTTGAAAATGGGGTCTTCTACCGCAAGGCATACAACGTGACGGTGTTTTGGGGTACGGCGGCAGCGATTGGATTTTTTACCTCCTTCGTCGTCATAGCCTGGGCCATGCGGCGATGGAGCAAAAGCTCGCCATTGTGGCGGATCCAAGAGAATGGCGGCCCAGAAGCTGGCACAGACATTTCGCTAGAATGGATCAGGTAAGGCATTCACGGATGGGAGGGCTCGTGGATTGTAGTTCCTGTTCTTGAGGGTGTTGGTGTCATCAGCCTTCTGCCAGTCTTTGCGTGAGATCCACCGTCTCATGGATTGTACTGTCATTATGCTGGATTTTCAATCCCTCTAATAGCTAACAGCTCCTCATATTTCCGAAATGACTAGATCGAATATAAGTAAAATATTCTACCTATATCACGAGACACATCTTTCCCTCTTTCCCTCTTCCCATCCTCTCTTCCTCCCTCAATCTTCAACTTGCCGCCAACATCGTCTACTCTCTCTGTGACATGATAAACCCGCTATGTCTCTTTCCCCTGAGGTGAAATGATATGATTTTCCTTCCCGTATTTTCTATCATCAATGGAAGGCCTACCCTTTGGCTGTACGCTTTTCAAGAACCATTTGGCTCTGTGCCATTCTTCTCTCTGAGTTTCTGGGCGTTGTGCCAGACATATATCTCTATGCCCTTCCATGTTTTCTCTGGGCGTTGAGTCTCGCACGGGGCATGATGTCTATGCCTCCCCTCTAGACCGGGCCTTTGTAACTCTTCGCCACTCTTCTCCAGCCATCTTGTCTTTCACATGGGTCGTGCATCACGTGTGCGCTCCCTTTTTTTTTTTTTAGAGGCAATAAAACATGAGGCTGTCAAAGCTAACTTCCTAGACGAGAGGGTAAATCTGAAATTTTACCTGGTGTTCTTTTCGGATTCGAATCCGGCTTGATCCATGGTAGTTTTGCATTGAAATGAATGTGGGTCGCACAATGTCGAGGGTCACGACGTCAGATAGGAAAACCTGGCGGCAGCAGTGCTCAAGGGGCGCAAAGTGCCCTTCCCACTTTCTCGTACACTTCAAATGGTCAGTTTAAATCAGGGTTTCAACTTAGTTCTTCATAACAAGCCTCTAGATTGCTTCTCTTTGCACAGCTTAGTAAATACCTCCAGATTATGTTGATCGCCTCCGTTCTTGAATCCAGGCATCAGAGCCAGCCATTGATACACACTTTCTCTCAGTTCTTTCGGCATTCTTGGGGGCTCCTTCAATACCGTCTCAAAAGCATCGACAACCTTCTGGGCGACTTGTTCAATCATGGACTCGCCAACCGTCCTCCCTAGAGACCCTTGGCCAGATTGTGCCTGCTGGAGACTCGTCTTGTAACCCACCATTGCGTCAACAGCCACACCCACGGTTCTGGGCCAGTTAGAGCTCATCAGGTTCCACGGATCGCCTGTTCCTTTCTGATCGCCCCCTCCTCGAATGTCTGTCCGTAGAATGACTGTGGGGATATCGGCCATCTTAGCGACCATGTACTCGACGACTGTGCCGGCGTCCAACTCGGTGCCGTCATAGGTGAACATGGCCATATCGCAGGAAATCAGAGCACGAAGATCTTCGTCTCTGATTGAATGAGCGCTCAGGTCACGCTGTTCAAGATCTTGTGGTAAGATGGGGATGAATTTCCCCGAAGACCAATGTCGAATGGCTTCAGCGAGAAGAGCGTTTGTGTGGAGTTCTGCGATGGTGAATAACGGCCCGGCATGATAATATGTGTACGACTTTGGCGGATGCGAGATTTCTTGTTGACTGGGATCGATAGTGTGGGTGGCAAGGACGGAGGGCGCGCCCACTTGGTATTCAGCCATGGCCCCAGAGATGGGGACGGGAGTCCCTGGAAGGAGACGAGTTCAAGTGTAGGCGGATGGCGTGTTGGGATTAGCCAAGTTGCCAAAGTGGTTTGTGAAGAAAAGGGCGGTCGGGACTGTGATGGCCGTTGCGATGAGGCCGCTTATAGCCAACATGAAAGGATTCATGGTGTTGAAGAAGGTGGGCAAGTTTACGTAGTAGTTATGTAGGTGCGTTATCGAAGATGGCGTGGGATGCACCTGGGAAAGTGGGTGGTGAGGCTCGCCCTTACTGGGTATTTATGCTGGGGATTGGGGGACGGGGTTTGACACTGGGCAGCACTGGGCGGCACTGGGCACGCTTTCATGTCTTTGGTGGGCTCCTTAGGTAGACACTTTTGGGTGGCTAGCGGGGCTTAGTGATGCCGATCGACACCTCACTAACCTACTCAGCTCGTCGCCCAGGGCGCCCTTCCAGTTAATATTTGGTAGAGCCGAACCAAGCATCTGCTGGGGCTTGTGGGTGCTTGGCACACATCGCCGCCCTCCAGTCTGACTGCGAACCAGCTTCTCTCTCAATATATCCATGAATACAACGACAAAGCTGCGGCAAATCCTATTGCAAACAGCTCTTAGCCAGCTGATCGGCTTGTGTTGAGCCCACATTGCCTCGATCTATGCTCTCAGCCATCCTGTCCGTCCTCTTGTTCGACTGCGCGCCGCCACCGACTCTGCATGAACAAGACTGACCCTCCCAAACCCAACTCCTTTCGTCCACCCTTGACCTCTCCATCTTCAAGAAGCCGAGGCTTACGAGGCTCGACTACCGGAGTTAACACTGACTATCCTTTACTCCTGACGAAGCCGTTGAATTTATGGGCTTTATCTCCAGGATGAAGCTCAATTTGTGCACATCTTTCACGGACCTAGCCCTGCAACACCATCTCACTTCATGCTGGTCAGTTTACGCTTTCTCCGTGGCCGACGCTTTCGGATCATCATCCGTTCCATTCGAGCCTTGAACACAGAACCCGGAAAAGGCCCAGGCAGGTCTATTCGAAGATACGGATACGGTATGTCGGACCTAAGGTGGCCTCTAGCCCGAGGCCAGACATATAAAACACCCGACTCGATGTCGCATTGCCGATGACGATAGTTTGAACAGACCTTGTGCTCTCCCATCTCCCGGTCAGACAAACAAACAAACCCGCGAAAGAACGAACTATGACCCCTCGAAGCAAAGAAGAGCTAGACGCCCTGGCTATCATCGACCCAGAAGTCGACGCTGTAGGTACTGCCCCCATCAGGCTACAACCCCTTTTCCAGACTCATCTACATAGACGCCGCACAGCTCTGCCTCAACTCCACACCGGTGCTCACATTTTCATCCTACCGTCTGCTTATATCCTTTTCACGCAGGTCATCAAATCTGGCAGACTGCCCTTCCCCAAAATTGACCTCTCATCTAGCGTCGAACCCGCCCTCTCCATGTACCGTGATCTAGAAGCCCAGTAGCCGCATACCACCCGCGGTGCCTGAAGTCACTGAATCAACTCAGAAATACAAAACCCGTGACGGCGCGGAACTTAACTTGATCACCTTCCAAGCAACAGAGCCCGCACCTGGCTCCCAACCCCTCATTATCTTCTTCCACGGAGGCGGCGGCGTCGTGGGATCAGCATCCTCTGTCGCTCCCTTGGCCCGTGAGCTCGTCAAAGACCAGGGTTCTGTGGTAATTAGTCCACAATACCGTCTTGCACCAGAGCACCCGTTCCCTACCGGGCCCGACGATGGCTGGGACGCATTTGAGTACATCGTTACACACATCTCGTCCCTTGGTGCCCAAATCGACCCTTCCCTGGGCTTGGTCGTGGGCGGCTCAAGCCAGGGGGCGGTTCTTGCCAGCCTAATCGCCCTCCACGCCAAAGAGAAGACGCCTCCCCTACCCAAAATCACAGGCCTATATTTCGCTGCTGGAGGGTTCATTGCCTCGCCCGACACAATTCCGGAGAAATACAAGCATCAATACCTCTCTCGCACGGACGAGCGCTGTGTCAACGCCCCAGTCCTCGACAAGGAAACCAAGGCCATGTTCGACATGGCTTACAACCCGGACATGTCGTCGCCTCTCTACCGCGCCTTCAACGTCCAACCACTCAGCAGGCATGCCGACGTGGCCGCCAAGGCGTATTTCCAAGTCTGCGGACTGGACATCCTGCGCGATGACACTCTCATCTATGCGTCGGTCTTGCAGGATTTGGGCGTCGACGTCAAGTTCGACGTCTACGAGGGCGCGCCGCACGTGTTTTGGAGCGTGTTTATTTGGACGAAGCTGGCTGGGCGGTGGAAGGACGAGACCAAGCGTGGTGTGAAATGGCTTCTGGGCCGTGAGGATAGCAGGTTGTAGCTGGGAGATTGGTAAGTACATAATACAAGTTCCAATGAAACATGGGTCAAGTCAACTGATGTCGATGCAATGAAATCGATGTATTTCCGGGTCCATCTATTTTTCACACTTCAGCTTGAATTGAGCACGCTTTGGCCATGGCCATGACCAAGCCCGTGAAGACACTTTAGGCAGGCAAGATAACGCAGGCCTGATGCCCCATTGTTTATTTATTGTTTGGCATGATATCGTGTCATCCATGTAGACATCTCAAGGCTAGACGACCTGCTGTTAAGGTCCGGCCTTGTATGTATGAAACGTACGATACGCCGGTGATCCAGGCTATCGGCAGGGAGAACATGTAATAATCACGATCTGTCTCTCTCACATCAGAAACACGCCGCCGTCGCTCCTGATGCACGTGCCGGTGACGTTCCTGTCCTTCAGCACATACAGGAAGGCCTCGACGACGTCCTCGACGCGGCCAACCTCGCCGGTAGCGACGTGTGCGCGCATGCCGTCAAGCGCGGCCTTCACCTTGCCCTTGTCGCCCAAGCTGGCTTCCCAGAGCTCCGTGTCGACGCCGCCAGGAGAGATCAAGTTGACGCGCACGGGCTTGAGCTCCAGGGCGAGCGAGCGCGTCATTCCGTACAGCCCGCTCGCGTACGACGCCACGACGGCCCAGTTGGGCAGCGGCTTCTCCGAGACCGAGCCCGTGGTCAGGGTGATGGAGCTCGCGGGCCCGGGGGCCAGGTAAGGGACAGCCTCCTTTGCCACGAAGAAGGGCGCAAAGAACCGCACCATGCCCGCCTGTTTCATGAACACGTAGTCGATCTCCGCGAGGGGTTTCGCCGCCAGCGGATCGCCGGCGGTGAAGACCACGTGGTCAAGTGTGCGGCCGATCTGCGAGAACAGGCTCTTGATGTTGGCTTCGAGGCTGGCTTCGTCGCCCAAGTTGCACGCCAGCCCCGTGATGGCGGTTTTGGAGTCCGGGTACGCGGACCGGAGGCGCGAGATGGCCGAGTCGACTCTCTGCTGTCGCGAGGACGCGATGTACAGGTGCGCGACGTTGTGTTCCAGGAGGGCTTCTGCCAGGCCGAATCCGAGCCCGGATGTGCCACCTATGATCAGGACGGCCGTGTTGGCGAGTTTGTTGGCGTATTTTGAGGTGCTCATGGCTTGCTCCGGGCCAAAGGAGATCCAGAGATATAGACCGGAGGAGGCTGATCAAGTCTGAGCGATTCAACAGTGTGATGGTGGAATGGAATAGACTTGGAGTGTCTGGTTGTCGAAAGTCTATGTCTGATGCTGCTATAATACCTGGGCTGGTGTGAAATCTCTAGTTCGTGTCCAGGAATCCCAACACGTAGGTTTAGAGGTGGGTTGAAAGAGTTCAGTTCGCGGAGGGAACAGTAGGTGCAAGATGAGCATTCCTCCCAGCGCTATATCTATGCAACAGTAGCACCAGGCACCTGCACACGCACAGTCACCGGTCTTCCAAGCCATGGCACGGCTCCTCCTCCATATCCTCCTCCTCTCTTCGTCCTAGCATGGCAACCATCGGCAGTTACGGACTTGTCACTTAAGTCCATTCGCGGGGCTATGCCGGGAGCCGTTCACAAAGCAGAAACGTTGCAAGACCCCTCAAAAGAGCACGAAGTCGTGACGTACAAGGTTTATCCGTTATCAAAGCTAAGTCTGCAAACAGTCTGTTCTGGTCTTCTGGTGTGAATGAATTCGTGAGTGCTGGACCCTCCATTTGATATGTTCCACCGTACGCAACGAGCCCGCAGGAGTAAGGCTGGTGGGCTGCGTCTCCTGGATCTTTGGGTTAGTTATTTTGCGGCGAACTCTGCCCCCGTCCACAGGTGTCCTCCTCTATTGCCTGGGGGATCCGCATTTGGAGTTTGATTCCCTCCTTGTTGTCTGCAGGTCGTGTATATCATCAGCCAAAGCCCTGACATCGTTCTTCTGAGCTAACTCCAGATAGAAGAACCTCTCCGACAGAGCGATGAGAGTCGCAAAGATCCTGTCCGCATCAGCGGCTCTTCCAATAGACAGAGAGCCGATTTGAGCCTCAAACCATGTATGGTCTTCGGTGCCCACTGGAGCAGACAGAGCGCCGATGCTCAAAACCCACAGATGGACTTCTTCATGACCACCCCATTGTCCCTCTGGTACAGAGCGAACTTGGTCTCGTAAGAAAGGCGCCACGACTTTGGCTGTCCGTTTTCGTCCGGTAACGGTAAAGGCCAAGAGCATCCACAGCACTATCGCAGTGCGGACTGCGTCACTTCTTGGATCGGCAAGTTCTAAATGCAGTAGACGGTGTCTGATGGCAATGCTGCGGACATGAACCCAGTGCAGCCCTCCATAGGGTTGATCTTCGGCCGCAGATGGCGAGGACTTGTAGACAGAAAGGACAACGGCAAGATCCAAGATTATCCACCGCAAGGCAGCGGGAATAATCTGTTGCTGGGCAGAGTTGAGGAGACCTGACCCGATGATGACCGTCCCTGAGAGAAGCTTCTGCAGCTCTTGGAGAGCGTATGCTGTCATCGGGTGGTCATCGCCGTTATCGAAATCAGAATCAGACCATAGCGGTTTGGTTTGCAGCTCCGCAGCCACATACGCATCGCCAGTCAATAAAAGGTCCACAAGAGGGCCATCTTGGGACTTTAAACCTCCGATTGAGTCGATCATGGACTTTGCCGCCTTCAGGTGGACGTAAGCAGCCTCACGATTATATCTGTACCATTCCGCACATCCCATGGCGAAGATATTGAAGATCATCCTCCCCGTGATTGGTTGCCGACTCTTGACGTAGTTCTGGGAAGCTTTGAGCGCTTGATGTATATAGAGAGCACTGTCCCCAGGTGGCGGAATACCGTCGATGTCTTGCATGTAACTTGCCATGTAGGCGAGTAGGGCGAACATGTTGTATTTGTCATGAAGACATCCTTGAACAACACTCATGGCGTCATACCGAAATGCATATTCATGGTCGGTCTGGACGGTCCTTTCGAGATGCCATACATTGGGGTGAAACACCCGAAGGAAATAATGCAGCAGGCTAAAGATAGGTTGATCGACTTTGACGCAGGTAACGTCAAATGGATCGAAATTTACGTCCGCTGAGGCAGGGAAAACTGGGATGGATTGAGGGGAACCTGATGGTGTGAGATACGGTTGTGAATAGTCCCAAAGCAACGGATCAATATTTGGATCTAGGGGCAGTAAGGACTGGTCGCCAGAGCAAGGTATCGACGACGCTGACCGGAAATATGCCAGGTCAGAGGCAGTCTGTGTCGGAGATTTGGGAATGTGGTTTTTGTCGTGGTTGGGTTGATCCTGGCCCTCGTCCAAGTCACCAACTCGTCGTCCGGGCTGAAGGCGCGGAAACGGGGCAGCATAAACGATCCCTCCGTCGGATTTCTTGTACCGCCGTCCCTTCTGGACGTGGCTGTGGATCTTTATTCTTTCACTCTTGTGACTGTGGGAAAGAGAATCGGAGTCGGCAGTTTTATTGATAAACATAAACTTGGGCGCCTTCATAATGAGTCGAGTTGACCTAGGGCGGATGGGATAGTTAGTAGCCGTGCCTCAGTCTTCTGCCGAGAAAGGGTATGCAAAAGGGGTGGTGGTTGTGCTATATAGCAAAGCTTGAATAGTGGAGGACACAGCTTTATGAAAGGGGGTCAATCGACAATCGCACCACGGTTTTTAGGTCGAGAGATGGTGGATACAGCAGAACTGTCCAGGGCTTCCCGTCCCAGTCTCATTCTGTACAGCGGAAGCACGGCCGCCGAATGCAGGAGAAGCGGGCTTGAAGTCTGGAAGATTTGACATTGTTGAGGCCTTAGATAAAGCGGAGCCTCGTAATCGGTAAAGAATAGCGAAAGAGCTTAGATGCCGCTTCGAAAGCAGCGAATATCAGGGAGCACGTTCGAGGGCACTAATAAATATACCAGATATCGGAAGGGAAAGGTGGCGTGGAGGTCGCTCACGAGCAAGCCAGGACACTTGTTTGGATAGCCTCATTAGGAAAGGGGTACTGCCTATTCGGGCAAAGACGGTGGGGGCATGAGGCTGCGAGGTTCTTGGCGCAGGTGGCGTCTGTACGAGGTACCTAATTGTATGTACAGGAGTACCTGGCTCGCCAGCTATGTATGTGTGAGCCTTGTGCGAGCCTTGCTGACTACTCCAGTCAAACTAGAAAATCGGTGGCTGAGATGGTCTTGCAATGATCCCAGATTGCCATCGGGCTGACTCATTATCGATCAAACACTTTGCCATCCACGACACTATAGGTGGAATGTTGTGGACGCTTGTCCCCCCAGCACTCCCCGAGTGACGTGGACCAATGTCGTACTTAAGGCTGAAAGTGATGATGAAACAGAATGAATATGTGAACACGGGCCTGATGTGACAAATTTGGCGGTGCAAAGCTGGCCCGCTGCTACGGGCAGAGGGAGAAATTGTGTACCGAGAACTGAGCAACCCGACCAGGCGTGGTCGGCAATTGATCCAATTCCACGCTATCTCGAATAGAGAAAGCGGGCTGGGGGACACCCGAGGACGGAGATCCATTGCCCCGAGCTTGCGGGCATCAAAGTTTGTCGTAAACAGCGAGGGGATTTCTTAGATCCATGCTCATTTTGTTGAAGCTATTTAACTAATCTTCTTACATAACCCGCCGGCCGACTCGGTCGACTGGGCTGTCACATGCCTCGTTGCAGTCGCCGTCTATTCTGGGTCGGGCATCTTGAGCACATATCGTCCAGCGATCTGGCCAGCATGCATCATATCATACACCTTGGGAAGATCTTTCAGATCCACCGTCTTGAACGGCACCTTGATCAACCCACGTGCGAAGAAGTCGAGTGCCTCCTCGCTGTCTTGTCGGTTCCCGACGTATGAGGCCTGGATTCTGATCATCTTCACCACTGACTCAAAGACTGGGGCGCGGATGTATGCCTTGGCGGGAAGACCGATCACAATGACGGTGCCTCGAGGGCGGACGTATTCAGCAGCTTGTTGGAAGGGCTTCTCGGTAACTGCGACCAGAATGACAGCGTGAGGGCCGAGACCATCCTTGGTCGCGGCCTTGACGTCCTTGACAACGTCGCTGGATTTGGCAAAATCGATAAAGGCCTGATTACGTTGGTTAGTCTCACCTCCAGAACAAAACAAGAAGCAGCTTTTTAGACTCACGTGGGAACCCATCTTCTCGCAGAGTGCTTTCTTGTCATCTCCCGTATCAATGGCAATGGTATGAATACCCATAGCCCGAGCGTATTGCTGTGCCAGGGAACCTAGCCCGCCACCGGCACCGACGATGGCAACCGTCTGTCCTGGTCGTGCTCCCGACTCTTTGAGACCCTTGTAGACCGTGATGCCGGCGCAGAGAACTGGCGAGACTTCGTCGAGAGGCACGCCGTCGGGGATGTGGGCAACGTGCCTTGCGGATGCAACGCAGTACTGTTGGAAGGAACCATCGACGGTGTAGCCGGAAAGCTTGGGGGTGAGGCAAAGGGGTTCATCTGACTGAATGCAAAACGTGCAGTTCAAGCAGGAATCATTCAACCACTTGACGCCCACGGCCTCGCCGAGCTTGCAGATATCATCTGTGACCAACTCGCCACGGGCCACAACGATGCCAGCACCCTCGTGGCCACCGACGAGAGGTAGCTTGGTGGGGAGAGGCCAGTCACCATTGACGGCGTGCAGATCGGTATGGCAGACACCAGAATACTTGATGTTGACGAGCACATCCTCTGGGCCGGGCTTGGGGACGGGGATCTTCTTGTATTGCACAGGACCGCCGACCTTGTCGATGACCTGAGCCCATTGCTCGGTGGGGATCTTGTATGAAGTCATTCTTGTAGGATGGAGGAGGAAAAATCTTGTTGGCAAGTTGGCAACGGGTATGGAGGAGAAGTGCCCTTTGAGGTCTCGAGGATGAAGATGGTGGTGATGGTGATGATGATGATGTCTAGCAGTCACAGGAATCAGGCAGACCTTATGTACATGTCAGAACAACTCTCGACCCCTCTCTCCATTGAACAAGGACCAACTCACCCAGCTCAGGATGAGCGGAAACCCCTCAGAGTCTGATCACGTAGGCGCGTGTATCGTTCATTGCTCCAAACGTATATCCTGTGGACCGCCGAGCTGTTACAGCCAATCAGTGGGTTGCTGGAGAGGGCTGGACCGTTGAAGATGTTACATCTCATGACGGGTGTAAGGAAACTTTCTATAAGCGGATCATCTGTTTAGCCACAAGCTGCACAAGATAGCATCCGACCGGCGGGATTGACATGTGGACGAACGGATTTTGTCACAGACAAGGCCCTGGGGACCCTTGGCCGGAGGGACGAACATGGGCAATGGGCAATGGGCAATGGGTGCGGAAGGAGCCAGTGTGCAGGCTGCAGGAAGATGGAGCGAAGGAAAGTTACAGAAAAAACAGAAGATGAGGTGAGGGGTTTGGCGGGATGGATGGACGGGGTGGGCTGCGACAAGAGATGCGTGGAAGGGACAAGAGAGAGCGAGGGAGCAAGTAGGAGATGGGCGCAGGCGCGGGTGGATACGGTACTAGGGAGCGAGCAGTAGGGGCAGATCTGGGCCTGGTGAGCCACAGCAGGGCGGCCGGCGAACTGCGCGAGCTGCCATGCTGTAAGCTTTTTCCGGATCTTCTTTCATGCTTGGATCACAAAGTTAAGCTCGCCGAGATGTGAGATCCATGTCCGCCAGAAGGCTTTCGATTCGAGGGACTGAAGGAACACGCAGGAAAAGGACCAAAGGGACAAAGGGGAATCCGGAGAAGGCACGAAAACGAGGCCCCAGGCTGTGACGGAGTAGAGGGCAATGCGGGGAAAGCTGCCTTGCCCAGGGCGCACAGGGCAAAGAACAAGGGGAGGAGGGGGGGCCTCCCGAAGCACAGCTCACCCAGCTCATCCAGCTCATCCAGCTCATCCAGCTCACCCCAAGCTCACCCACAGCTCACCCACAGCTCACCCACAGCTCACCCAGGCGCCTCCCCCGATCCCGCCTACCTACCAAGTAGTGATCTTCATCTACCCTCTATCCACCCAATCCAAGACCCTAAACAAACCCGTTTCTCCGCCGCATGCCATCATCGCCGCAGGTTTTGGTTCTTTGTTTACCTGACAGAGTGGCATGATAGCTTGCGGGGTCCCAGTACGGCCGAATGTTTGGGCGCGGACGCCGTCGCGGTCGTGGTCGCGACCCTCCATGCCAGCTCCATTGAACCTAGCATTTGCCGTCACCTGAGGATGGGGTGAGGAATACTCGAAGCTCGATAAGCTAGAAATTGCTCTCACCTACCGTCAAATACCAGATATCCCAAAAGCAGTCTCGAGTCTCCCGCACTCGCTCCTCGGCGAGCTGCGAAGTGCAGAGGAAGTACACCGTCAATTGCCTTACTCCTCGACGCGTTCGAGTGTCTATAAGCACACTTCATACTTGGCTGCCATTTGCTCTACCTCCTGTCATTGCGAAACACAAGTCCGGGTCTCGTCTGTCGTCTGTCGTCTGTGAGCATGTCCAGTGCAAGAGTCGCCGTTTCGCGCCAGGAGCATCTCCCGCACAGGCCGAGTACAAGCCCCCTCGAATCCACGTGTGACGGGCATAAGCGAACGCGATGACTGTTCATGCGCGATGATGCAGAAGTGGTCTGATGGCGACCACGCGCCCATCTCAATCAGCATTTGCTAAAGCAGAGTCAAACGCAGACAGCAGACGGACCAATTGACGAGTGTATCCAAAAATTTCTCGGATTTAACAAGAATTGATTGCATGTGCTCGCAACAGAATCTGTTCTTCAAAATGCCGCATCTTGTGGAAGACCAACGAGGTCGACAAACCCAGATCCAACCATTCCTACGATCGCGCGATTTGAAAGTTCTTGGTTTTTGGTGGTTGTTTTTTTTTTAATCGCAGTCACAGGCTTTCAAAGAGGAGGATGGTGAGGAGCGGGCCTGAGAGAATCTGCGCGTCCGGTGCACAAGAGTCCAGAAGTTAGTGAGTACGTACAGGATGTACTCGGTATCGTTCTCAGCCAAACGACGGCCCTCGAAAACCAAAAGTTAGTGAGCGCAAGATCATCTCACATGGCCATCACCAGCGCAACTCAGGCTCGGCCTCGGGTCCCGATTCCCTGCAGAGCGAGTCCTGCAGCGCTGAGCGGCCGGGACCCCTGCGTCGCCCGAAATGTTTCCCTTGGAGACGAGCGGCGCGTGTTCCGCTCACCACCTCGAGCTCTTTGAGAGCCCCGGCGACGTGAAAGAGTATAAGATGTGAAGGAGATGACATTACAAGTCTGCACCCTCGATGTGAGGTTGATTTTCCTCAAGGGCTATGGAGAAGCCAGCCCAGACAGTACAGACCCCGACCCGGTGGGGCCGGGTTGGCCATCTTCCCGAAGATCCCAAATACTGTATATGGCAAGCCACAAAGAGGCCGCGCAAGCGACGGGATTCGAGGATCCGAACAAGGAACGAGAACATGTCACCGAATTCCGTTGTCAATGGGATTCTTCATAAGCAAACAAACTCAGATTCACGCCGTGTTCAAAGATATCGGGTGTAGCTTCCCGCGGCCAGCTTCGGGTTTCGGAAGCATTGGGTGAGGCTGGTGGAGGCTCATCAGGCATTCCCGGGACACCATCGGACGCCGCCCATTGCCTTGAAAAGAGCCGAAAACACTTGCCTTGGGGGCCACAAAGAACTTGGCACCTGGCTACTGGGCACTACTGGGCCCCCTTCAGTGCGTCTATTGTCCGGTTTGGCTGCCCCGCGTTCTAGCCCATCGCAACTGTTCCCCGCTTCCACCCCCCGGAACCAATCCGCGTGGATTTCAGACTACTACTATATGTATAGCGTACCAGAGAAGGTGCTCAATCCGATGGCTTTGCATGCCTTGTTCAAATGCCGGAGGGTCTCCTTGGATCTGATTTATAAATGCTGACCCCCATTTCCTGCCCGACGACGTCTGTCGTCCTCGTGAAGACAATCAACCATCTCTCATCAAACCCTAGGCATTTCAGCCCAGCTGCCCTATCCAGAGCACGATGACTTCCAACGGCACTAACGGCGCACACGCGCCAACCCCGTCTCCTGCTTTCGATACCTCGTCCACCATTCCCCTGTGGCTGGACGGACAAGAAGTCAAGCTGTCGTCGACCTTTGACGTGGTCTCCCCGCTCGACCAGAAGACACTTTACAAGTGCTCGTCGGCCGACGAGGAGGACGTGCAGAAGGCCATCGCCGCCGCCGAGAAGGCATTCACGACGTGGTCCAAGACGAAGCCCAGCTTCCGGAGAGATATCTTCCTGCGCGCGGCCGACGAGTTCAAGCGGAGACGAGACGAGCTGAAGCACTACAGCTACGGCGAGACGGGCGCCGTCGAGGGCATGTTCGCCTTCGAGCACAACCTGGCGTACGAGGCCTGCAAAAGCGTCGCCGGCCTCATCCAGGTCGCTTCGACCTCTACCATGCCTGTCGTGGCCGAAGAGGGCGCCAATGCCATGGTGGTTAAGGAGCCGTTTGGTGTGGTTCTCGGGATTGCGCCGTGGAACGCCCCTTATGTCCTGGGTCTCCGTGCCTGCTTGCAACCTCTTGCCATGTAAGTTGAAAAACAACACCATTATAAGGAATCTATTATGACGCTCTATATTTTCCTTTTTCGGAACAGATGGCTTTTTGTGTGTGGTTTTTTTTTTTTGGTTTTTTTTCCCCGTTCATCATATTATAAGAAAGAAAGTTTGGGCTACAGGCTGACACGAACAAAACCCGCGCACAGGGGAAACACAGTCATCCTCAAGGGCCCTGAAGCCGCTCCCGCAACCTACTGGGCTCTCGCCTCTATCCTTCACACCGCCGGCCTGCCCGCAGGCTGCCTGAACACCATCTACCACCGGCCCGCAGATGCTGCGAAGGTGACTTCAGCGCTGATTTCTCACCCAGCCATCAAGAAGATCAACTTCACGGGCTCGACGGCCGTGGGCGCCATCATCGCCTCCCAGGCCGGGAAGTACCTGAAGCCGACGGTCATGGAACTCGGCGGCAAGGCGCCCTCCATCGTGTGTGAAGACGCCAACATCCAGACCGCGGCATTGCAGTGCGCACTGGGTGCGTTCCTGCACGCGGGCCAGATCTGCATGGCGACGGAACGGATCATCGTGCACGAGAAGGTGGCGGACCAATTCCGCGAGGCGCTCAAGCAGACGATGGACAACGTCTTCACCGAGGCGCCGGGCGGCATGGGGGTGCCGCAGCTCGTGACGGCGGCGCCGGTGCTGAAGAACAAGAAGCTGCTGGAAGACGCGCTGTCCAAGGGGGCCAGGACGGTGTACGGCGACGCGCAGCACAGCGAGGCGTCGGCCACGCGCATGCGGCCCGTCATCATCGAGAACGTCACTCCCAAGATGGACATCTACCACACCGAGTCGTTCGGGCCGACCGTGTCGCTGTACGTGGTGGCGGACGACGCAGAGGCGCTGCAGATCGCAAACGACACCGACTACGGCCTGGCCAGCGCCGTCTTCACCGAGGACCTGCGCCGTGGCCTCAAGCTGGCCAGGCAGATCGAGAGCGGGGCCGTCCACATCAACGGCATGAGCGTCCATGACGAGGCCGCCCTCCCCCACGGCGGCGTCAAGAAGAGCGGCTTCGGTCGCTTCAACGGCCTGCCTGGCCTGGAGGAGTGGGTCCGGACAAAGGTGATTACCTGGAAGGATTGAGCACGAAGCACTGATCACTGAGCATGAGGAGAGCTTTGAGTAAGCACCGGCTCGGAGGAGCGGAAAGTCGTCATGGAAGGCGTCAGTGTCGGCCTGTTCCGGTCGTCATCCGTGTAATGAGTATGTAAGTACCTAAGTACTTGTAGGTAGGAAGGTAGCAAGATACCTACCTATTGGTAGGTCAAGAGGCCACGAACGAGATGTTGTAACCACTAGCAAATTCGGGGGCGGCGGCACCAGCGGCACTACAACAGTGATCCCTCTCCTACTTTAGCCGTGTCTGCTCACACCGCAGGATCTATGGATGACATGTGCTGCACGATAACCTCCGCGCCCAGCGAGTCTCTCTGTTCAACATGGCCATCATAATGCAGATTCATGCTGGTACATCACTTGCTGGACTCCGTAGTCATGCTCTCATAAAGGCTCAATGGGCCATCAAGACATACCCTGGACGGGCGTGGGCCAACTCGAGAACCCCAAACTTCCTGGCGAGCCAGTCATCACCACTTCGGCGTTTTGGTCAGATTCTCATAGCCGTCTTCCAAGATATGCACGTCGTCCTCGATCCGGACGCCGCCGACGGCCCAGTACCTCTCCAACACGCTCTTGTCAATGTACCGGCTCAGTTCCGGGTCCTCCAGCACGGGGTCCAGGATGAAGTTGCAAAAGTAGATGCCCGGTTCGACGGTGATGACGGCGCCGGCGGGCACCGGGCCCCGCACGCGCAGGTACTTGAACATCTGGTCCGGGTCGTCGTAGTTGGCGTGGCCGCCTGTGTCGTGCGTGTCCATGCCCAGATAGTGGCCCAGGCCATGCGGCATGAACGCGACGCTGATACGCTTGTTGAAGATCTCCTCCTCGTCCCCGACAAAGATGCCGGCACTCTTGAGCCCTCTGATTGCGACGCGGTGGGCGTTCATATGCACATCTTCCCACCGCATGTTTGCGCGCAGCATCTTGAAGCACGACGATTGCATCTCATCCACAATATTGTATATTGTCTGTGACTCGGGCGTGAATGTGCCAGAGATGGGGAATGTGCGCGTTATATCGGCGCAGTAGCAGCCATACTCTGCGCCCGCGTCGAGAAGGATGTTCAAGCGGTCCCGCAAGGGTTGGTCGTTGCGGACGTAGTGGAGAGTCGAGCAACTCGTCCCGCTGGCGCAGATGGAGTGGTATGCCAGCTCGTGTGCCCCGTTCGAAATACATGTCCCGACAAAGGCGCCGTAGAGTTCTTGCTCGTTTGTCGCCGTGCGCACCGCCTTGGCTGCTTCAATGTGCCCGAGTGTGGAGATCTCATTGGCCTTGCGGATGAGCGCGACCTCATAGCTATCTTTTACGACGCGACACTCGTCAATGGCCGTCTTGAGGCACGAGAACTCCACGGCCTTGAAGGGCAAGAATGTGATGTGTTCGGAGACTTGCTCGGGGATGGCGTAGACGGTAGCGGCCCTCGAAGGCCCGTAGGCTGCCAATGCGGCATTGACTTCGTTTGAGTAGAGGACGTTGTCGACGTCGTATTTCGCCATGGCCTCCTCTTGGGACTCAGGCAGGCCGCTCCAAATCACGCTGTCCGGGTCGATGGGTGGGATAAAGAGGGTGAGGATGTCTTGGGGGATGTTGTAGGTCAGGTAGGCGTCGGGGAGCTTGCAGCCGGAGAGGTAGAAGAAGTATCGACGCTGTCGGAAGTGCATGGCCTGGTCGTCGTCTTCAACCATGTGGGTTTTCTGGGCTTCGAGGTAGATGACTCCATGGCGTGAGAAGCCGGCGTCGATCAGGTATTGAGCGACACGCCGACAGTGAGCTTTGGCGGGATATTTCCCCTCGAGCATTGTGCCGTTGACAGACATGAATGTGACTGCGTCTGCGGAATATGTGGTTGGGCCTGGCTGTTGAAGGGGGGGGGAGAGAGAGAGAGAGAGAGGATACTGATGCTACATATGAGACATTAACCAGAAGAGAAGACGCAGTTGGGTATTATAACATAGCCCTTGATAGCCTCCCCGCATGGGGTGCATCCACCATGCGCCTGTACAAGTATGGCCTGATGGCTCACCAGGCCTTGTATGGCTTCCCTCTTCGTTACGATTTCCTCCTATGGACACACAGCGTAATAATTTCCACCAAAGGCCGCTTATCCCACGGTTATCACCCATTGGAGCCATTGTGGCTACTTCACTGTTGCATTGAATACGTTTGTTCCGTCCTTGCAACACGGCGCTGACCGGTTGGATTCGTGATCGAAAGCGAGTCCTGAAACAGGAAGAAGCTGAAGAGGCCTGATGAAGTACATGGCTCCTTGCGTCAGGTGCGAGCCTATAGTTATTGAGGAGCGAGAGGCAGCCCACCAGGCCACAACTGGACCCTCACTCCGCATAGACATGAAGCCCGGGCTTCTTGTCCAGCAAAATGACCCGAGAGCTACTTGGGATAGTGTGACGGCGATGAACGGAACTGCCTTGTGTCCTTGTACGACCAACCAGTGTTCACACGCTTAAGTCCAATCTATCAGACCTGCTTCCTGCTGATCAGGAACACAGGAAGTTTACTGTACATCCCACGCGAGCGAGGAAACGGCCTGATACTGAGCAGAATATTCCAGAACAGCTTGATTCCGTGAACGCGATGATAGTTTAAAATGGCAGATATTAACTGCAACTTGGACCCCGCCTCTCAAAGGGTTCAAGGCATTCCAGTTGCCGCTGCTTGCGAGTCCAGGAAGGAAAAATGAGCGTTGTAAATGCCTTCTACCTCCGAACCCATCCAAATCCGCGGTTGGCAGACTTTACCTATCGAAGAATATGACATCGACTCGTGTAGCCCAGTGAATGCAGTCCAAGAGACTTTGAGCAGTTGGAAAATGGCCGAGGGTACTCGCATTATCTCAATCTGGACTGACATCGGATATCTGGCTGAAGCCGTGGTACAGCGAAAGACGGTCCAATAGGATCCTGCAGGGACCGTGTGCGTAAGAAAAGACGAACAACGGGTCGTCCTTGGCCGGTGATAACGTTGTACATTGCGCCCTCAAAACGTTTGAACGTCAAAGCTCCTTGCATTGTCAAGTTTGAGCTTGTATTCCGAGCCTCTTCATCTCCTCCGTCACACGGCATGAATTGCTGCCATCACATCAAGTGCTGCAAGTTGGGAGTGACTCGTTGGCAAATCCATGGGACCATCCCACCAGGGGCCGTATTGTCCCTTGCCGTTTGTATCTCTCTGCTGCAAACTTCGGAACTGCGTCTCGATAAAACTAGCCAACTGTGTTTGCATTTCTGGGTGGCTGTCGTCCCGACAGAGGATCCTGTACAGCTTGGCCAGGCTCCGTAGCAATATGGCTTTGAAACCGATAGCGTCGTCGTTCTGCCATGCTGGCTTTTTGTCCGGACCGGTGCCAGGGTACGCCCCAGGCTCCGTGAGTGTTCCATTCACGTCGACCCAGCCGCCCCGAGTCATGGCATGGCTGGCCATATCGCAGGCCAGGGCCAGATATGCTTCTGTCGTTGCAGATTGAATCAAGTCCAAGTCTCTCGATTTCAAGGTATTATAGATGGCGATAGATGCGGCAAGAGCTTGGCCGGTATTATACGTGAATGTCCAATCGTAGCTCTGGCCTGTGCCGAGATCGATGTGATCCAGGACAATATACTGGCCTTGATCGAATCTGCAGTGCAAGATCCAAGAGAAGCTGTTGATGGCAGAGGCGAGGAATTTTTCTCTGTCCGTTTCGTTCGTTTGCTGATATGCTAGTCGTGCCGATAGCTCCGCGTAGAGACCAGTGGTAACGGCATTGACTTGGGTTTCATTCGGTTTGCTCGACCAAATCACACCGCCTCCCATGTCGGTGCCGTTGATGACGTATTTTCCAGTCGGAATCACATAGTGGTTGACATGTTCCCAGATGGCCTCTGCTACTGCGAGATGACTTGGTCCCCCCGTAAGATCGAAAGCCTCCAATACACAGATAGCCCACCACATAGAGTCGTCGTTCATGTCATTGATGCAGTTTGTGGTATTCACCTCGACTTTGCCGATGAGGTCGTCCAGGATGCCGCTGTAAGAAAGAGTATGGGACCAGAGATCGTGCAGCGCGATTGCAGTGTAGCCATTTGCTACTTGCCAGTAGCCGAGGCCACTGATAAGACCGTTGTCTTGTTGCGACGCGAGGAAGACGTTGATGGCGGCTTGAGTAATGCCGACGGTAGAGTTTCCTTCTGATGCAAGAGACATGTGCGTGTTCATGTTCGTTATGGGACGAATGATTTTCTGGGCAGGTCTTGTATATCTGAGGCTCCCGAGAAATAACAGAGCCTTGACCGGGCCGCAGCCCTCATCTATCAAACGAAACATGACTGATGGCACAAGATCACTGGATGTGGTCTGAATGGGCCATTCACCCTGCTATACAACGACCAGCTGTTGCGAGATGCGAGTGAATGCTTGGGCTGTCACCTGTGCCTGGCCCCCAGAGAAGTTGCCCTCCCATCAAAAATCCTCGGGTGAAGGAGAAATGACCCCTGCGCCGCGATTGCCGAAGCATCTGGACGTCGGCCTCTCAAGGTTTCCCAGTCATGCTGCACATCAAACCTGTGCAATGGCGCCTGAGGCGTCTGGTGGGCCGAGACACGGGACAGTCACGGCGTTGGACAGCGGTTGGATGGTAATGGTATGAATGTGAAGTGAACAAATCACCAAAATGACCAGACACGACAGAGGACGGGAAGAACGTCAATCCGCAGCCAGACAGAAATCCGAAGTCGAGTGAGTGATGTCCCCAGTCGTCACCGTTGCCGGCATATGCAAGGAAGAAGAGCACAGCCGGTGATAGAGAGCTTGGCCGGCTGATGGACATGCTGGCGATGCTGGAGATGCTGGAGATGCCAGGTTTTACTACCGATTGGCTGGGCCTGCGGGTAGCAACAGAACTGTTACCAAACACGGTCATGGTGGCAGTCCGATAGTACGTAATATTATTCTTATTATTATCTCCATCCATTGCCGGTTTAGCAAGTATCACCCTCCGACGGATACCCAAGTAATCAGAGAGTATCGACATGTCGGAGATGGCGACAGTGGCGAGCACAATATATATAGAGGTTGCAAGATATGGCTTCAACAGTCGACATTCCAGCTTCATCAGTCTCGCTAGATTCCTCAAACGTCCGTCCCCCTTCCAATCCCAGCACATCAACCACAATCATGACTTCCTCCATGTCGACCATCCTCCTCTTCGGGGGCACCGGTGGAATCGGTGAATCTTTTGCTCGAGCCTTCCACGGCATGGGCAAGAAAGTTATCATCACCGGCCGCCGTGAGTCTCGCCTCGCAGCGCTGGCCAAGGCGCTACCAGGTCTCGAAACGTACACCATGGACAACAGTGATCTGGCCGCTCTCCCCAGCCACGTCAAGACCATCCTCTCCAAGTATCCTGACATTGACACGGTCTGGGTCAACTCTGGGATCCAATACCAGGGTAATTTCTTGTCCCTCGACAACTTCTCCGACGAGAAAATCATCAAAGAGACCAACACCAACATGACTGCTCCCATGATCCTGGCTCGCCATTTCATCCCGCATCTGTTGTCTCTGGGCCGCGAGGGCACCTTCATGATCACCTCTTCTGGCCTCGGATATGTTCCCATGGCCTTGTTCCCAGTCTATTGCCCCACCAAAGCTGCGATCCACTCTTTCCTGGTCGGACTCAGAGAGAGCCTCAATGGCACCAACGTCAACGTCATTGAAATTGCTCCGCCGTACGTGCGAACAGATCTCGACGCCGAGAACCGGATGGACAAGCTCGCGACGCCAATGGAGTTGGATGAATACACGAACAAGACGCTGGAAGTACTGCAGAAGCCGGCAAAGGAGATCAAGGAGGCGGGCGTTGGTTTTGCAGAAATGGTGTCTAAGAAATGGAGAGAGGCGTACAATCCGTTCCTTCACATGAGACATTCGCAAGGGTGAGATTGGGTAGAACGGAGGGGTGCAGGGCGATCATGGTGCTCTCTGCGTATGTCCGTTCTGTAGGCAGTCGAACGTCTCGCTCATATCCATCTTCCCTTCCTCTCCTGAAGCAACTGCACCTTCACCACCTTCACATTAAAGCATCGGCGTCCAGGGGTATATTCTGTACAGTAAACCGGACAGTGCGAAAGACAAGTTCAACACCGATCCCACCTGTACAAGTCACCCTTGTGCACTGTTGTCCCGGTCCTCTGTGTCAGACCGGCCGCATGAGCACTAACTCTCCGTATCCGCCGCATCACCGGCGACTTTCTTCAAGGGAACATTCGGGTCGCTGGCAGGCTCTGCGTCGGGATCACGGTCTTGTTCCTGGTCCTTCTGTGCTGGCCCGTCGGCGGCTTTTCCCTTCTTCCCCTCAACTTTCGAATCCGATGAGTTGGATGATTCTCCGTCACTCTTTACTTCTTTGGCTTCTTTCTCTTTGCCCTTGGTTTCTTCCTCTTTCTTTTCATCTGTGGTCTTGTCCTCCTTCGGCTTTGGTGGTGCGGTCGCTGGACTCTCGTCTGGATCCGGCGCCTGCTGTTGAACTGGTGCCGCTGTTGGGGCGGGCGGACCTGGATTGAGGCTGACCGCAGGCGCCGTGATGGGTGTTGGTACTGTCACTGGCAATGAAGTAGCCTGTCCTCCCGCACCAGCACCTCGACTTCTCAGAGTTACCCCAGCGTGGTTTCCATCCACCGTCCCTGTCATATACATGTCCGGATTGTTCACGGTATTGTTCCTCACTGCCCGATCATACAACCTGGTCAATCTTGCAACCTCACTCCTGACGGTCACTGCGGCTGCCCCCCTTTCTCCACCCTTCCCATCGCCCGTGTCAATATCATCGTACCCATTCACCCCGGTACTTATCCCCAGCCACATGACTTCGGAATTCTCGATTTCGTCAACCACCCTCTCCAGATCATCTCTATACATCCTCGCTCTCATCGGCTGGCCCCTCGACTTCAAATATGCGACAAGACCGGCAATGATGGTGTTCATGGCCCCGAAAATGGTGATCAGGATGTGACTCGACTCGGAGGCCCCCAAGGCCGTCAATGCGGCGCCTAGGACGACCTGGGAGAGTAGCATCGTGTTGGATAACGAAGCGGTCATGTAGTAGGTAAAGCGCTGGTTCGCGAGTTGATGAGTAGCCCTGCCGTACAAGGACTTGGACGGCACTGCTGAAGCACGCGATTTACCGTCTGGGGATGGGGCGGAAGACGGAACCCCGACCATCATGCAGAATTGGGCATGAGGATCGGTGGAAAAGTTGCTGTTGTCGGCATCGAGGTGGTGGTACGAGGACCAGAGAAGAGGCGTGTGTTCGTTGGGCATCTTGGTGGATGGAACGAGCAGGAGTCTGCTGCAGCTTTTGAATGGCGTTGAAACCCACCCACTCTGCTGTCCTGTACCGACCTCCAAAGCCAGACGATAGCTTTTACCCTCTCCCTCTCAAGCTTGAAACCGCCGTGTTGGGTGGCAGCGCCTCTTCGAATGCAAGTACAGATCGACTCTCAGCCGATGCCAATTGCCCTCCCAAAACGAATGGCGATACCGTCTTTACCCCAGGCGCAAGAACTAGACAGCAACAACCAACGTCTTTGAGTCTCCTCCGGAAGAACGACAACTTACTCGAGGAACAGGAAAACGCTGGAAAAAGAAGCAAGCAAGCTGAGGAAGAGATTAGGTTACATACCTCGTACTAGTGCGTGGGCGGTGGGCTGGTGGGCTCAGCTGCTGCTCTCGCCCAAGACTGATTCTCGATAACTAACCAAGAACGACTCGGTACCCGAACAACTTATTTGCCAACTATGTAGCCACTTCGCCACCTACCAAGTCACCTAACCACCTAACCACCTAACCACCTAGCCACCTAACCACCTAGCCAAATTGAAAAATAAGTGAGAGCGACCACTTCGTCCGTATTGATCTGTCTCTGGCCACATTAGATGCGGGTTGCCATATTTGAGTCAGACTGCGTCACTTGCTTTTTTTTTTTTTTTTTTTTTGGTTTTGATACGGCTTGCTAGTTAGTTCTCATCAATCATGTCAATGCATCATATCCAGTTATATCAAATCCTTGTCCACATTCATGGCGTTGGAGCACGACAGAGTACCAGCCCGAAAAGAATCCTTGCACTTGCTGCGCCAGAACACTCCGCTCTTGAGTCCATATAACGAATAGTGCCGAAAGGAAAAAAGGCTGCTCTTTATGAAGTAAGACGTCTCGTTTCTCTCCCCTGATGTTAGAACCCTTGGACAATAAACCACGTTGGCAATTTGGCGTCCGCTTCCCCAAGCAAAGCCTCATGCTCTTCTCCACGCTGCGGTCTACCTAGTGACCGCCGTATATATTTCGATGCAAAGTTCCAGGGTCTCCTCAATCTTCGACTCCAGAGATCGATCACTGTGCTCCAGTATCGTCGGTCCGGAGGAATCATCATCAATGGCTTCCTGTTGCTGCTCCTGTTGTCGTCGCTCCTGGTCCCTCGGGTGCTCCTACCACCCAACGCCAGGATGCCACCCGCCCAAACTTGTCGACGGGGAACCCATCCAACTACTCTGACTCTGTTGGTTTCGGGCCAAGCTCTGCAAAAGCACGGCCGGATGCGTACTTGGGCTGCCCCCCAACCCTGATCCGATCGGCCGATTTCCAGCAGAGCCTTTCCCCGCCATGGAAGAAGCTGCCTTCAATTTAGAGTCGCACTGCGTGGTGGAATGCACGTGGTAGGCGCAGCCCTTGTCCCTCGCCGGGTCGCCAAACTTTTCGATTTGCCATTGCCATACCTTGCGCATGATCAACATCGCCAACTCCGGGATCTTGAAGAGTTCTTCGAATTCCGCGCGGTCGGTGTCGTCCGCAACGCTTTTCCTGAGGTGATCATGGTAATAGCGCGGGAACGTCATCATATGGTGGACGAGGTGCTCGATAAAGAAGCGTTTCAGCGGTGATTTGTGCGGTCCGTGGAGGTGGACGAGGGCGAGGGCTGAATAATTGGGGCGGAGGTTTGCAGACGCTGTTGAGTCGGAGCCGGGTTGGGCGTCTCTGTCTGCTCCTGCTGCGGCTAGGCTTGAGATGAGGCTCGGTCTGCTGGCGTCTCTGTTGCTGCCGTGCCCGCCACCGATAATGTGATGGATGTGACTGTGATTATGGCCGTTCCCACTCCCACTGCCACTGCCACTGCCACTGCCACTGCCCAGTCTATAATTTGTCCGTATACAATCCATGATGCCGTTCTGCAGCTCCTCCATGCCAAACTTATCCGCCATGCAATAGGCCTGTGACATGTCACACATGTCCAGCCCGGTGGTCCCCCTTGCGCCTGCTGCACTTCCACTACCAATTGCGCTCGTCCCAAAAGTCCCAAAGACGGGCAGTCTTCCTCGATATATCCACTCGACCACGATGCTAAAGGCCTTTGGGTCGTCTTCCGGAAGGTAGAGTTCATTCTTGTAACCCTCGTCGAAGCGGTTCTTTTGAAGGCATTTTTCCATGAAGGGAGAGCGCTGGCAGATCAGGTCGCGATGGAGGTGGAAGCGTTTGCGCTTGGGGCCGACGTGGACGGTTACAATCTCGGAGGTTGTGAAGCTGGCGCAAACAGTCAGGAAACCATAGGGAACGTGGTCCCACACCAAGTGAGCCAGAGAGCCGCTGGCAAACAGGCGTATGGGGGTGTATGTAGACAGGGGAGGATATCCCGGCAACTTGAACTCACTTGTCCACATCATCATCGTCATCATCCTCTTCCTCGTCCTCGTCCTCTTCCTCCTCTTCCTCGTCCTCTTCTTCCCCCTCTTGGTCGCCGGAGCCATCGCTATCTCGGGCATTTTCGTTCTCTACCTCCGCACCCTCCCGCCTCGCTCCATCGCCCGTGGTCAATTTGACCTTGGACTTCCCTTTCTGCACGCCGGCCGCTTGCGCCTCCACCGTAGGGATCTGCGATTGTGCGGGGGTTGCTTGGTTCATCATGTTGTGCTCCTCAACTTTGAGGTTGCGAGAGAAGAGAGATCCAAACATGAACGGGAGACGAGGCTGTGGGGAAGAGGTGGAATGATACAAGGTAGCACTTGTCGGTACCCAGCAGAGAGGTGACAACGACGCAGGCCGGAATTCGAGCGGTGGGGCAAGTTGTCACCGCGTCAAGACCGGCCGGCTCCATCGCGTGCGCAAGTCCTTGTTAGAGGCGCTTCGGGACTCGTTCCGAGCTCATGCTCCCGACCATCAAAGCGATAAGGCCTGGTACTTCGTAACTCTATTGTACGGAATGCTTTCCACCTGGATCCAAACTCGGATATCACAAGGGGGTGTGGTACTGATAACCTTTTTCATCCAATGGGCCTGGCACTTGCCCACAGCCAGCCCTCTGCCTGCGCTATACCCGGTAGTGATACTGATATTGACCGCGAACTATAATGATACAAGGATAACCTGAAAACAAAGAAGCACAACCTCGCTTTGCACCAGATATACGAGGTTCTTCCCCCCTTTCTCTTTCTCACTCAGTGCGATTGCATTCGACCGTCCCCTCGCACTTTGGGTTGATGCCAGGGCGGCGCCAGTTTCAATCCGATGCCTATGACGCGAACCTAGCGCCTCTTCGCTCCTCCAATGCCGTGCCCTTGTCCTTGCACATCGAAATCCGCCCCTGTCGCTCCTTGCATATGCTCAATGTCGGCCGAAGGGGGCGGAGGCGGTAGTGTCAGGGGAGGCGGCGAGATCGCAGGACCTGCGTCAAAACCGGCTTCACCACTGACTTTCCTGACCCTCTCTCTCTCCAGTTCGCGTCGTAACTCTTCATTCACCGCATCTCTCTCCTCTAGTCTTCTCCTCGCACCACTGCGGTCAAGCAACCTGGCCTCACGCTCGGCTTTCAACCTCCTCTCCAGTTCTCTCAGGCGATGGATCCACTTCTCTTGCCCTTGACCACCACCTACGCTTACCGCTGTAATACTGGCAATATCTGAGCCCGACGCTGTACTTGGTGGTGCAGGAGGGGCTTCTCGTGGGGGAGGCGGCAGGGAGAACTTTCCGTCAACTGGAGCGTTAAAGGGCCCCGCAGGGATCATCAGGCCACCCCGGTCTCGTTCTCCTCCCTGTGTATACCCCGAATGACGACTAGAGATCGAATTCGAGCGCAACGAGGTGACGTCGCCGCCCATGCTTGCCAGATGTTCCGCGATGCCTGTGGAATGATGTCTCTGCAGCTCCATCGTTCGAGTGCGCCTCATACTCGAAGAACGAGCGGGAACGCCAACGGCTCCATTCACAGCTCCGTCAACTTGGCCTGGTCCCTCATTTGACATGATGCTTGAATATCCCGATGCCCGGCTCTCGTTCCTGTCTCGTCGGTGGTGCAGATTGTGGTGTGCTTGCTGCTGTTGGAGAAGCTGGAGCTCGGCCTTGAGTAACCGGTTCTCACCCTTCAACTTGCTGATTTCGGGAGTTCTGCTGGATTTCGGCGTTCGAGCTCCCGTATCCATGCGACTTTCCATTTCCGACATCTTGATTTTCATCTGCTCCCAGCTTTCTTCGATACGTTCAAGCTTCCGGGTCCGTACTTCTAGAGTCTGTTCCAGTGCCTGGTACTCCTTGTATAGCTCGCGTTCCACGCGTTTGATCTTGTCTTTGAAAGTGGAAAGAGTCCCTTCAACCTGCTTTGCAGCCAAGAGCAGATTCCGGCTAAACCCAGGCCAGAAGAGCATATTCCCAATCACTTCTTGAGAAGGAAGGTTGCCATTGATCAAGCTGTTGTTGTGAGCCCAGTCTGGTCCGCACATAGCAGAGAGCCTCTTCCACAGATTGAGCAACACCTGGTTCCTCTCAGATAGCTGTTCTTTGAGTTGAGTTTCCATCTGTGCCATCCGCTTCCTGTCGGTCTGACGAAGTCCTTCGAGTTCGGCAATCCTAGTAGACGCGGACGTGAGTGCCCTAGTGGTCGAGTTATGACCCTTGTTGGTCTTCTCAAAGTCCAACTTGTCCTGTCGCCTGCCTGCCTTCTCCCGCTCGTAGGCGTCAGCCAACTTTCTGCATTCATGGCTCGTCGACTCCAACAACGCATCACGATCAGCAAGCAGATTCTCTGTCTGCTCAAGTCTTCTTCTAACAGCTTCAAGGTCAATAGTTGTCTGATCCAGCTCTCGCCGCATCTTGGTGACCGCACTAATCAAGCTCGACCGAGAGCTGTTCGGGTCCCCAATGATGTTTCGCAGGCTCTCCTCCAATTCAGACAACCGCTCCTGGTACGATTTGGCTTCAATGTCTCGAGCTGATAGTGCTTTGCGGACTTTCCGAAGTTCGTCCTTCGCACCGGAAGCTTCCCGATTGAGATCGTTGATGACCCGCTGAACTTCCTGCTTTTCTTGACTGGCAACCGCGTCTCTTTGTGCCCTTTCCTCGTTGATCCGCCGTTCGAGTTCCCTGCTCTTATCTCTTTCTGATTCCAGGTTAAGGTGTACTTTCTTGAGCAGGGACTCCAGATCGCCAATCTTGATCTTGTCAGCATCTTGCTCTTCACGGAGGAAGGCAATCTCATTGTGACTGCTCTCCTGTTGCACCGTCAATCTTTGCACTTTGCTTTCTGCCTCGGAAAGAGTCTTTTCGAGATTCTCAAGCTCGCGATTCGCGTCCTCGAGTTCGGCCTTGACAGACTGGTACCGTGCTAGATTTTGCTGCGCATCCTCTTCAAGACGGACAAGGCCTTCCGCGGCAGACCGCATCTCCGCCTGCAACGCCTTGACATTCTCGACCTGGGCTTTGAGTTCTCCATCAAGCTTGGCACATTCCTCAAGCTTGGCATCAAGCTCATCTCCAAGACCATCGATTTCCTCCTGGGCCTCACTCTTCAACTGTTGGAAGGCTTGATCTTGCTCCTCTGCGTCACGCAAGGCATTGTCGCGCTCCTGGGTCAGTAAGTGAAGCTCTTCATTAAACTGATCAGCGTCTGCTTGCGCCTGAGCATCCACAGCGTCGAGCTCTGCAAGTGCTTCGTCAAACTGGTTCTGGAGGTTCTGGTTTTCGAGTTTTAATTGTGACACCTCGTCGCGGAGCTCGTTGATCCTAGTCTCGAGGGACTCGCGCTCTTGGTCGCTCATCCGGGATAACCTCGTTCCATTGCTTGTGCGGGAATGGGACCTTGCTCTGGACGCCGACCGATCGAGAATACTGTCGCCGGCCACCGATCGAAGACCGCCCATCCGTCCAAGTTTCAAATCTTCAATTTCCTGGTACAAGCGCTCCTTTTCTTTATTCCGAGACGTCAGAGTAGATGCCTGAGCGCCAATCATTTTCTGTAGCTCCGAAACCTCATGTCTCAATCTCTCAATCTCCGCGTCTTTGGCATTTGCTGCTTCGACACTACTAGATCTCGAAACAACCGAGCCTCCAATCTTGATCTTGCGCGAGTTGGACTTTCCGGACACGAATGTTTCACTCCTGAGTTTTGCGACCTCTTCCCGAAGTCGCTTGTTCTCTTCTTCAGACTGCTCACGCGCAATGGTCTCTGCTTCAAGCATATCCTTCCACATATCACGCTCTTCCCTCGAGCCGACATCGGAAGCAGTAGCTCGAGTATCGCCCAAGGATTTGACCATTTCGGCGAGCTTTCGCTTCTCCGTTTCTTTTGCGAGGTTCTCTTGGCGGAGTTTGTCTATCTCTATCTCAGTAATTTCGACTCTTTCTCGGAGATAGATGACTTCTTCCTCGGCCGTCGGACTCCTTTCCTCGTCGGTGGCATATCCTTGATCAGCGTTCGGCGAGTCGCGGGCACCGGTCTCCTCGAGCTTCTTTTGCAGATCTCGAACTTGCTTTCGTAAATTATGATTATCCTTTTCCAATCTCAAACGATCGGACTTTAGTTGTACATTTTCCGTGATCATCTCCTTGATGCCATCCTCGGATCTTTTCTGTAGCGCTTGGTCCAAGAAATGGATCTTCATTTTCAAGTCGAAGTTCTCTTTGCCCAGCTTTTCCACAGTGCTTCTGTGCTCTTTCAACGTCAGGCCTCGCTTGGGCCCTGGGGTCATGCCGATGATAGTGTTGCTCTTTTCCGGTGACATGCTGCGCTCTTGGCGATACTGACGAGCAAAAGTTCCTGGTACTTCTAGATCTCGCACGTTATTAGAGATTACTGCATCGGTAGGCATGTTGAAGTTGAAGACCGATGCCCGAGGGGTAGAATATCCGCCTGCCTTGTTAGAGTTGGGGCTCTCTTCCTCCAACGTCGTTAAGTCAGTTGCGCCAGCCTGTCTCTGCGAGCGAGGTTCATCGTCGCTAATTCCTGATATCCCAGACATCATGCTTCCTAAGCTAGCTTGTCTGGAGATTGTGGCCCTGGCTTTTCGCTGCGCGCTCGAATCGGGCAGGGCGCCTCCCGATTGCAGCGCAAAGTCCGCCCCTACGGTGACATCGCTGGCGTCTGTATTAGAGCTGGCCATGGAATCGTAGGATAGGCGCGCCTGGGAAGATCTCTTGTGTAGGTATCCTGGTCGCCTTGTCCCTTGTTTAGATGTGCTTTCTGTGCCTTCTTGCTGTCCGTCAGCGCTGTGCGGCAAGCCCAAATATCGACTCTCGTTCTTTCGTGGGGTTGCTTCATCATCCTGGGCACTCCGAGACCTCCTCTCGGTTCTAATCTGATCTTCTGTTTCATTGGCCGTCTCGTATCCGCCCATGGTAGCCAGGGATTGCACTCGTGAAAGTGTTCGGGCAGCGGCAGCGGCCGTGGGGGAGGAGGACATGCTTTCGAGGACGGATGTGCTCGGTAGTTGACGCGTGGACCCGTCGCTTTCGACTGTGTCACGGAACGCATGTCGTTCTGGTGCGGGAGTCTTGTAAGCGCCAGGTGGTGTGCGCGGTGACGCGGGGAGTTTTCCCGCTACGTGGTTTTCTGTGTCGTCGGACTGGTAGGAAGTCTGGATAGGATGTGGCTTCTTCCGCACGGCGACATTGTCATTGACGACGCCGAACAAGTGCGTATCATCTGCGCCAGTGGCTGTCGAGCTCTTTTCCACTGAGTCTGAGTGTTCGGGCAGGAAGCTCGATTCAACATCCAATAACTTCTTGTTCATCTCACTTTCGTCCAATGTCATATTCGCAGGCAACTCGAGATTGGTGTTTTCGTCCACTGGCTGCAGGAGGCTACTGGGGTCCCGGGGACCAGCCAAAAAGGAGGAGGGTTCATGATCACGGATAGGCGAATCATCGCGGTCGCTTTCAACGGATGCCACGTCGTCCTCCTCTTCTGGATCGAACCCACCAGGCACTCTCGACGACCGGCGCTCGGTGCGAGGCCGGCTGCTTAGCATTGAAGATGACATTGTAGAAGCTGACACTCGAGTCAAGGCTATTGTGCTTTGGGCATGCGCAATGGCAGGCCGATGTGATTCGAGCCTCTGAAATCCCGTGGTGCGGACATCTGTGTGGAGAATGGAAACTGTTGACGCGCGATGACGGAGTGGTGAAGCAGCGCGTTGGTTGTGTCAAGGCAAGGACCGGAGAGGGAGGATAGGGGGATTCCGCAGGAGGTCGTAACCGTGAAGGACTCTGGCAACTTCAAGAATACTCGGTTTCTGTGCGCAACTTCGATCGACCGAGATGGTGAGTTGTGTCCGGGGGGGGGGGGAGAGAGTGCCTGCCACAGCGTCCATGTCCAAAGTGTCTGCCCCTTCTCTGAAACCTTGCGCCAAACTCAATCCAGGCAGGTCATCAACATAAGGCAGGGGTCCACAGGGAGATCAACTAAATATCGCCCAGTCTGACAAAATGTTTCCCCCTGAAACGCCATAACATGCGCCCAACAGGCACTGCAGGTCTGTGCAGGTCTGTGCAGGCCTATGCAAGGCCTCGAACGTTCCTCTGTCAGACAACACCATTTCGCCCTGTCACCCGGTCATCTCAGGAGTCTCTCTTTCGGGGAGGGCCACTAGGCCTACGGAAGCAGGCGAAACTGCCCGGCTAGTGCCACCAGCGACCTCCATTGGGCTCGATTGGTGTGACCTTGATGTGACTAAGATCCCTGCGTGCGAGGAGTCTGTAAGAGAGTACTACAAGCCCTACCGAGTATTACAAGCAAAACTGAGCGGCATGCCCAAACCTAGATATCAAACACTGACACAGTCAAAAACCCCCCGATCTGGTCCTCTTCTTTTTCGCGTTCATGAATCATCAAGTCGTCCACTAAAAGTACAAATGTATAGGACAAAGAAGCGGATCAACTGCGCAGCATTGTGATCCCTTTCCAATTGCAACTCGATAGCACCTTCAAGAACACCCAGGAAACCCTCTCAAGCATCACATTACCCCGGAATAGCATTCACGGTCTGGTTCCTAGAGTCCATTGCCGCACGCTGTACCCTTTCCTCCTCCTTTCTCATCCGATAAATCTTGTCCTTCGTCATCTGCGCATTCTGCAAGGTATCAATGTACGTGCGGAACTTGACAATTTCTCGGAGCAAGTAACTGCTCTTCCGCTCCCAGTTGTTCATCGCTTTTGTTGAATTAGGGTGCTTGACGGTGAATGCCAGAAGCATGAGTCCTCGCAGTTCGTTGTGCTTTTGTAACTCTTCCTCCACGTTGGAGACATATGTCTGTAGTGCTCGAAGCTGGTCCACTTCCATCAATTGGGATGCAAACATGGATTGTTGAGGCGGCGCCCACTCGCTGATATGGGCCTTATCCCCAGGAAGCTTGGGCCGGACACCACCAACATGGTCCATGGAGCTCCGCATTGACATTTGTGTGCTGGGGCGCGGACTCATTGCCGCATTACGTCCGGATTGATGCTCTGACGACGCCAATGCGCGATTGACCACGGCATCACTCCAGCCATACTCCATGTTGCTGATACCACCCATCATCGGCTCTTTCGACAGTCTAGCACTCCAGTAGTTGGCGGTAGAGACAAACTCCTTCACAATATCAGGTGTGCCGACCGAGAAAAGATGAACCGCGCCCGTCGGCAAACTGAGCGCCCATACAAAGGGTCGGGCCTTTGAGTATCCAGGGGGTGGGAGCGAACTGGCAATCGTGTGTCGAAGGGTAAACTTCCACAATTCTTCAGCATTGTCCTGCCAGTTACCGCCACCCACGACAACTGGAACTTTGGGAGCCCGTGCCTTGTTCCTCAGAGACTTCGCCGTCATGGAGAAGGAGAAAAGTCTCATGTAACCTTTCTCTATTACCGCAAAGCAGTCATTCCAGTTTCTGTCCTTGGATCTCTTGTCAACGGTTTCAAGATGGCACTTGTGCTTCACAATGCCTTCCTTGGCCCATGGAGCACCACAAAGCTCAAGCGACTCATCCTCAAGAAGAGAACCGCCTTTGGACCCGTCTTCAATCGGCAAATCCAGTTGGTCTTCTCGAATGATCGCTTGACTCAAGGCATTCGCAAAGCCGATGGACGATTGATAATCCGCATGAGTAGCTTCTGTGCCGAAAGAGTCGACCGACATTGACGTCAGCGTCTTTCCCAGAGATGCCTTACTCCACGTGCTCGACATTGACGGACTCCAGGCCGATGATTGCTCGTCGATACTGGTTCTACTAGAAGCAAAGCCGGGAGCCGAGGGCAGTCGCGGTCTCGACCGCGTCTTCGTGATGAACCGGGCGCCGAGTGACTTGCTCTCTCCGGCGTATCGACCCCGATTAGTGTCAGAGTGTGCCTTGCTAAGCACGCTAGGTGTTCGGCGTAGCATCGTGCTCCCGATGGTCAAGAAGTTCGTAGATTGGTGAGCCTGTGTGTTTGCTTCGGTCTGAGCGCCGAACAAGGGCAAAGGCTCTTGCGCGATCGAGTTATAGAAAGACCTTAGGACGGCCTCGATTTGCAGTTCCCAGCTTCTCCCTTGTCCGGCGTCTGTAGCAGATTCGCTAGATTCAAAAGGCTGTGCTCCCTCGTGGGACGGCGGATCTACAGACCGCCTCGACTCTAACGTGGCACCATTTATATCGTCATTCGACGAACCGTTCGTCCGCTTCGGACCTCGCAGCGTTCTCTCGGCCTCGGATCCCTGCGCAACGCGTTTGATCGTAGGAAGCGTGTTGCGCACGAATTGAGCCTTCGTCATCTTCTGATCAATGTCCGCTAGATGAAGGTCTGTATTTAGAAGTAGGATTGAATAACAGATTGTATGCACCACATCTACTTGGATTAGCCAAAAATATGCCAAAGTTGTTGGAAGATTCTTACCACTTGATTTAAATGTATGCGAGATGTTACATTCGCACCATCGCTGGGCAAAGGCATCCATTATCCGGTCCATTTGCTGGGTCTCACCTCTGAGAATGATCCTGTCACAAAGACCTCGAAGGGAATCCAGGATATTCTGATCCTTCCAATCGAAGAGCTCCATATATGCTTTCCGCACATACTCTCTTTCAACTCCGGCGTCTCCCAGCCAAGCTCCCGCAGAAGAAGGATCGACATCATCGTCCGTATTGTCAAAAATCTGTCGGGCTCTCCTTTTATGGTCTGGTTGAAGACCAGTCCGAGAGTCGCTTGGCGGCCCGGAGCTGAAAGGTGATGCGATCTCACCATCGGGAGTCTCAATGATCAAGGGCGTGCTTGGTGCTGATCTATACTCACTTACATCAGATGTTGATGCGAATGGAGAACCCTTGGTCCCTTTCCGGGCAACCTCCAAAGTGTTTTGGCGCCTAGCCGATGTCGATTTATTCCCGTACTCAGCATTTTGCGAGCTTGGTGTTGGAGCCGCAATCATGGAAGGCGCAGGCGAGACTTTTTCTGACTTCCACGACCCTTGTCGCGTGGTTGCAGTCCTTGGATCAGACAAGGGGCTGGGTAACGAGGTCGCGGACGGCGTGTGTTCTAGTTTCAAGTCACTCACGCTGCTCCGGTATTGTAGCGGAGGTCGCTCATTATCGGAATGGTGACCCCCATCAAATGGAGAACGCTTCATTGGCTCTTCGGCACTGCTGCTGTCTGCCAGGAAAGAGTCCTGATGAGGAATACGAAGAGTCGAGACCTGTTTAGGGTTCGATTTTAACGTCTTGCCACTACCGTGGGATTCCGATCGGCTATGACCTCCTACCCTGGGTCGACTGGCAGCCTGACTCGACAAGCCAAACCCTGGGGGTGGTAGAGTTGGAGTATAGAAGCCTTGCATTGAGCTAGTTCGACTATGGCCCCGACTATGGCCACGAGGATGAGCGTGTCCTGTCGAGGATGGAGGGTCGACCAGATAAGGATCCATGAACGCTCTCAGGCTGCTCACTGGACTTGTTCCCTCCACAGGCTCGTTTTCCGAAGGCAAGTCCGAGTTCAAGGTCAAAGGAAGCGGCGGTGGGACCGCACTTGAGGCTGATTTCTTCCTTCGGCGGAAAAATGCAGAAGACTTCTTGGTGATCACTGGCTGGTTCTCCTTGTTTGTTGAAGCCTCGGTGGACGTCCGCCGAACGGGTTTTTGCGTTTTGCCAGGCGGTGTCGTGGGAGGATGCGGATTGTCGTCCTGTACTGGAGTCGCTCGCCCATGCTGTGACTTGGTAAGCACATTGGGTGCCGGAGTTGCTTCAGTATTCACAGTAGGGTTCTTAGAGGAGCCAAAAACACGCCGAAAGAAGCCAGGCCTTGGTGCTGCAATTGCCTCATGAAGAGATCCCATGTTCGCCTTTGGTTCCGTTGTGTTGAAGCTCGGTACACTCTTCATCGAAGGTAATTGGGGGACAGATTCGTTTCTGGCAGCGCTGGATGCTAGTGCTCCCGCTCGGCCTTTCTTTACATACGCGCTTTTGGAGGATTTGGTACTGTTCTTCCGCAGAAGAGATGAGCCAGTGGATACTACTGGTATCGCGCTTTGAGCCTCTGGGCCCGAAAATATCACCGGAGTCGGTGCTCCGTCAGCACCTACGAGAGTTTTGCTGGTGCGTAAATCTCGTGGTCTGGCGCCGAAATCGAAGCTCCGGGATCGTCTGTTTCCAGGGCCTCCTAATCGGCCTGTGAGACTGGCCAGATGGCCGAGGTCAATGCTCGAAGAAGCACTGCTGTTCGTGCTTTTACCGCCACCAGAAACGTTCTTTTTCCTCCTGGGGTGACGAGGTTGAGTTGCTCTTTGTGCATCATAGACCTTTGCGCGCACCGAATCCTCATCTTCTCCAAATATGCTAGGCAGTTTCTGCAGATCTTTCTGATATCTCACGCTGTTGCGTACAGGAACTCGAGAGATAGTCTGGGGCATCTGGGGCATAGATCTTATATGTTGGACATCATTCTCCGAAGACGTCGAAGAAGAAAATGTATGTCCTCTTTTCCGCATCCTCGCATTTGTGTCGTAACTGTTGCTACGCGGTGTATATGGGGCGTCGCCGAACACATTGCCGGAGAACTGGTCGAGCGACATTACTAGGTTATCGACCATAGAGGCGCGCAAGATGTGATTGCTGGAGAAGGATAGATCATGGGGGTCCTCGATTTCGTCGTTATCGTGGACATGGTCCATGGGCGGCGATTCTGCCAGGAACGTCCCTGATCCCGCCATCTGTCTGCTCGACGAGCCCCCATTCACTTGTCGAAGCGGTCGAGATTGGATGGTCGGAGAAACAGGCAGGGCACCGGGATAAGGCTTTGGATGCTCGGCCAGTGTAAACTGTTTGGAGGACTGGCGGCGAGGACTCTTTGGCTTTTTCGGTGAGGACAAACTCGACGGAGGGGTCATTGTTTATGAGAATATGGGATTGGGATGTTGAAATCCAGGTTTCGACCCGAGAGAAGCGGTGCGCGTGGTTGTCTGAGACAGCTAACTCCTCCTTCTCTCGTGAAATGTCGCACGACTTGACACCGGTTCGGCTGTGTCCCAGCGCATGTCCCACTCGTGAAGGAAATCGACGCGGAACATGCAGAGGACAGGAATTTTGGCGAGCTGGCTCTGGGGAAGCGTGCGTAGCTACAGTAGGTCAAGGATTCAGGAAATATGGATGGGGAGATCTGATCCCGGAGTGCAGTTGAATGGTTTTTACGGGAGAATCAAAATGGTCCAGGGACAGCGGGAAACAAGCACAAGTCGCAGTCTGAGTTCGGCGTCCCTCACTGCGATAGGCATGGAGAGCGAGGGAGGTGTCAGTGGAGCCCTCGGAGCCAGTAGCTAACAGCAGCCAATGCATGGATAGGGGGCACTTGGGGGGGTTTTGGGAGGGGGCACAACATCTGCAAGGGCATGCGCCAGGGGGGATTGGGTCCCAAGGATCCCCTTGCAGCTCCCCTGAACCACTAGTTGGTGGTTAGCTTTTCCAGGCTAGAAATCCTGGAATCTTCATGAGGCGATACCTAATAGAACATGGCGACAAGGCCCTCGGTCTTTCATTTTGGTTCAAGTGTTGCCTTGTTGAATTTGCTGATTCCATGTACCTACTGGTACCTACTTCGTACAGTATGTTGGTTTTGTTTTCTACCATAGTACTGGGTATGCGAATAATAGTCCCATAGTAATCCTAGTCTTGCCGAGCAACAAGTCACTCTCCCTTGCGGTGTTTCCACCTCCGAGTCGAAGTCTGACAGTCGACCCGGGCCAACGCAATCCTTAGCATGATTTCAGTCACCGATTGCTCTCGTTAATTCATCAGGGCTTTTGTGATCGCGTACGAACACACAGGATGGTGCCTCATCTCGCACTGCGCCAACGCGAGGATAATTTGATTTCATCAAAGCCTTCAGCCGTCCTCCGAACTGGGCAATAGCACAAGATTATCCAGCCCCTTGGGGTTGCAGTGGGCCGCAGGTTGGCCAAGATCAAAAAATCGATGGACCTGCATTAGCTCTCCCCCGCTACCGAACGCCACGTCCGTAGCAAGGGTCGAATCGGACGGCCTGCCTCTGAGTGCTGAGCCACATCTCGGCCATCAACCCGGTTGATTTTGCATCTGACCACGGCACGCGAACTGGGGTACTTCGTGGTGGGAGCGATGCTCCGGGTCACCATTGGATGGCGTATCTGGAACGATATTTCCATTTCACACTCAGATGGTCTTCCTCAGACTCGTCAATGCTGAATCCGACGCCTTGATTGGCACAACTTTGATACACCGAGATCGGAGTGACCGTGATGAGGATGTCGTCAATTATTATCAGGCTCATGCATCCGGTCTCCTGCAACCCAGAAAACACATGCAAGATGATATTTCTAGGCCTTCAATCTGAGATTCTGATTGCGGCCCTTTGCCCTTCCATGCACAAGGTATCATTACTCGGATTGACAAGCGGACTTTTCTCAACCCTTGACGCCCAGAAACAACCATCCCGTGCCCAAAGTCGTAAGGTTGATGTTCAGAATCGTGCATATCAGCCATATCACAATCCAGGCTAACATCGGGGAAAGTAGAAGCTGTGTATGATGTAGAAAATGCAGGGCATTATATCCCAGAAAAGTGATTAGGCTCCAATATATCCCGGCTGCAAGGTAAAGTAGATTGGCGAAGAAGGTCGACGCGTGGTTTTGATGGTTGATGACAGGCATGAGGATATATTGGACGATATAAAGTAAGACGTATGGTGGGAAGAACGCTCGTATCGAGACATCGAAACAGTATCCGAACTCCAGCACTTCGGCTCTTCTTGATCCTCCTGGAGGGCCGAATAGTCCTTGTTGGCGCCTCCGACCGGGAAGTCCGGCGATTCCAGGTCCCAAGAGTCGGCCGACAAGATAATATGCCAATGTGGATACAAGTAGAGATCCTGCCAGGAAATGAATGACGACAAACATCAAGGCCAGCTTGATGACGGAGGCGAAGGACGGCGTGTAGGCAAGCGACCAGGCGAAGGATGTGAGTAAGAGGAAAAAGGATAAAAGATAGGTGAAGGACGGGTCAGGTCGGTGCCAGGTGTTTCTCGTCTCTAACCATGGCAGTCAGCTCTTAGGATAAGGCGTACAGACGTTCTCGACTCACGTTTATGATAGTAGATGGACTTGAACACCTTCTTCGGCGCAATCAGCAGATGCGTCATCTCCCAGACGGCCATCTCAAAGTCCATCTGAGGGAATTTGAAGAGCCTGCCAGACCACACAGTCAACGATAGTCTCTATAGGGAAGCCATTCCTGTTGCCTACCGCTTGAAGAATCGAGGCATACGGATGTCAGATCGCCCTGCGGTGGCACCGAAATGGCCCCCGCCATATTGACGCGGAGTGCTGATTCGGGGACTACTCATCGGGTGGAAGGAGAACAGGGCCTGTGACCTTCGTATGTAGTCTGCAATTGAAAGAAAAGCATGGATGAAAATGAGGATGTCGATGGGAAGGTTGGGCTGCGGAATGGGCCGCGGCCACTTCACCTGCGTGTCCCACGCCGCTTTTAAACAACGCCAGCCTCGCTCGTCATACGGGGTACAATCAGGTTCGAGAGCGACAAGGCTGAATCGTTCCACACGAATCATCTCTATTTTGCTTCACAGTTCCTCTAAATCTTGAGTTCAAATCATACGCACGCATCCGTCCTGGACTAGAGCCTTTTGACTCTATGATTTTCTAGGACCGCATTGCCACTCTTTCCTTATCCAATCCCGTCTTTCCGCAACCACCAAACGAAACCCATATGCACAGAGGTGGCTTCAACTTAGATCGTCACAATAGCTCGAACAGCGTGCAAAGTGAACCAATCCTGTGCCGATGGGCCACTGCCACATGTTGGGCGACACCGCACGGATTCAGACTTGCTGAAGCCGCTTTGAGTGTCCTATATCCATTGCAGATACGCTCCAAGGCGACTAGGCCTAGGGGCTGCAACTTGCCCCCAAGCCAGTCTGGTCTGATAACCTAACGAGCCAGAAGAGGTACGAGTTAGTCATTCGGCGTTCTGTTGGGGTGGTGAGGCCGGGATATCTCGTAACCAAATAGGCGCGCTTGGCGAGGTGTCATCTACCTGCACAAGTTAACAGCCACTAGACATGTTGAGGTAAATTGGATCTGCTGCGAATAGCTCTCGACTATTCAGATTCGTAAGAGTGAGAAGGTGGGCGACCGCGGGCAATCACCCATGTACCGAGTGCCCTGCGGCAAAAGACAGCGCAATTTCCTGATGTAGAAATATCAAGACAAATGAGGTATGGCTCCATAGAGGCAAAAATGAATACTCCGTACCTAGACTACAGAGCTATCCGATATTAGATGTCCCTCATATGGAAAAGGAAAAAATCAGCCAAGAGAGGAAACTGGGGTGTAGGAGCCATTGGTCCCACGATTTGGTCGGTCGCTCGAGTATGACAAATTGAATATCGTCCTTAGCTTTTCGGTGACTGTATAACCCCCGGGGATGTCAAGCCTTGTTGTCTGGCTGGCCTATTTAAGAGCGCAACTACATCACCAGATGAGAGAGACCACCTTAACCACAGCAGCCTCCTTAAACATTACCATTCCATGAGGAAGATAGCAGAAAGGTCCATCTTGACTTCGAATCCTACATCACGTTTATCAGCCATACAAGAGCAAACAACCATGTCCGGCAAAGAAGGAGCCAACAAGTCGAAACCCTACATTCCTCTTGCCGGTGGTGCCGATGATGGCTGGTCCACAGAGGAAGAAGCGACAGCCACCTGTTTCTGTGGCGCCGTACAGCTCAAATTTCCCATCGAAAAGCCTGGTCTTATTGACACCTTCATCTGCAACTGTACCGACTGCCGCAAGATCACCGCCTCCATGTTCGCATCCAACTTCATCGTTGCCGACGTTAACGTAATCCACCTGCGTGGCAAGGGAAACCTGACCTCATTTGCCCAATCCAAGACGATTGCCACCGGGCACACTATGACCAACTATTTCTGCTCCACGTGTGGCACGCTCATGTATCGCATCAGCTCGGCTTTTCCAGACAAGCTCGTCTTGCGCATCGGTACAGTGGATGACTTTCATTTGCATGAGACGAAGCTGAAGCCCCGGGTGGAACAATTTGTCAAAGATCGAGTTGGCTGGTTGCGTGGCGGGGAGGGAGTTGAGCAGGTCCAAGGGTCGTATGGGTTTTCGCGGGGCTCAAGGGGAGAGCTGGGTGGAGAATAGTACTGGTCTTCTCACCTGCTTTTGCCATTTATACCTGATTTGCGGGCAAAAGCAAATGCTGGGCCGAAACGAACGGTTAGGTCCGGAACGCGAACAGCCTTGTGTGCATTGAGCAAGTTGGAGTGCCAACAGCAATTGGGACCTGACTGCTTATGAAGCTCCAAAAACGGCGGCCCTGGCCGCTTCCAATGAATGGTGTCCTAAACGACGCAAGTCGTCTCTCTCGTGCTCGTATATCCGGTAATCGCCGCCCACACAAGGTTCGAGCAGGGACCGCACTCTTGTTCGCCGTTCCGAAAGCTGCCAAATCTGTGAATTGTTGTCCCACTGCTTCATTGCTCCCTTCAGCGCCGCCCGAATGGCAATAAATGTCTCCTGCACATCGTTGATCCGAAAACCAGACTTTCCAAGATCGTTTTTAGGGTTCATAGGGTCCTGAAGCGTCATTAAATATTCCATCCCTTCACGAGACCGCCTTCGACCATGTTCTTGGAATGTCAGTTGGCGCGAACCGGAGTGCTCTTTACCGGCTATATGACTCCTGGAGACTGCATTTTCGGGACCTTCAGGATGATCGCGGGTACGCACAAGACTTTTAGAAAACACCTCAAGAGGTTCAGTAGAAATACCATGCGTAGAAAAGTCGATGTCCGAGTAGAAGTCTAGGAAGAAAAGGAACTGGTTGCCTACATCCGCAGGGTGGAACTTGCCCTCAGAGAATTTTAGGGCCGCCACAATCATCTGAAAAAGAGGATAAGATGTAATCCCTCCACTGCTGCCGACGGTGAGCCCACGCATTTGCAGTAGTTGTTTGAGGACTTTGAAAAGACCTCTCAGAGCTGGATATTCCTTCAAAGATGCTTTCACATATTCCCGACTGTCATATGTTCGGGGTGTGGACTGGATCTGAATCGGGAGCCCCGATGCCTTGTGTTGACAAAGCAAAATGGGCACTCGAGCTTGCTTGAGATAGAGCTGGACTTCGATGGGGCGGAAGTGGAATAGATTGGCCGTCTTAGGGGGCCAACGAAAGGTCTTGCATAGCTTGTTTAGGACAGCAACAGAAGACACTTGGGCAGACTTTGTCAGAGAGCCTGAGCTCCTCGAGCTGGAGATATTGATGTCGAGATCCGATAAAGGATCTGCCAGGCTGGTAGCGCGAGATCCGATAATATCGACATGAAGGTTGTCCGCGATTTCCTTGATGCACTCAGTCAGATCATGGAAAGCGTCGTCAGCAGCACGCTGCTCTTCCTCCGAAGGAGATGTGTACTTCTCAAACGCGCGAATCTCGTCGGCAAGTCGCTCAACAGCGGAGGTGCAAGAGCTCGACTCTGGGTCGTGGAGATGACGGAGCCAAGGAAGGCGAAAGTGTAATGGAGGACTCTTCTCAGTATCATTGATCCGCCACAATAGGTCTAGGTTGCGACTCGTGCCTTTGAATGCTTTGAATGGGGCAAGTTCTACCCTCTTGAACCGGGAAGCCACTTTTCGCGGCGCGACAGTCTTGACCTCCAGAGATGGCAGTCCTACGTCGGGATCAGACAAGCGAACCGATGGACGATCATTGTAGGTCTTTCGGACAACCGACGCACGGTTTGCTTCGCGATGTGCACGTAGGGTATTGTGCAGACTCTTGATGTCAATGTTCGGTTCAGTTGTGAAGGAAGTCGAAGGATCTTGAGAAGATGTGTGAATGCCTTTGAGATGTGCTAAGGTATCGGCCAAGGATGGAGATTGACGTCGGGGGATCGATTTGGAGGAGTAGGATGGGAGACTGAGGTAGATGGAAGGATCATGACGGCGAACGACGGCACTTCGGTAGATGGACTGATGGACTGGTGGCATGCGGCATAGGAGCGGCACAGAGAGAATGTTCTGCAGATATAGGCGACAGCAGGGAGAGGGAAAGGTGGATACTCAAAGGATGTACGGATTCGTCGTATTTTTCGGTCGCTGTAGTGGTTGTTGTCAATGCGATGTCGATTGCGCTGCCAGTGCGGCTTGATTTGATGCTTTGGGGAAAAAAGAGCACGGAGTGCAGTTACGGAGACAGGGTAAGTACAGTAAGTATGCAGAGCAACCGATGAGTTCCTTGGCGGCTGGCCGATTCATGGTCCCACAGACCTGTTTGCGGTACATTCTGGGTACTAGTAACAAGCACAAGTACCTGGTACTGTACATGTACTTAATAGGCGAGCTCGGCACCACTACTACAGTACTTGTAAGTATTGTCAGTGCAAGCCCGGCGCCTATCGGATTAAGCCGTTGGTGGGGCACAGGGGGAATCCCCGCCTAACCGCCTAACAGCTGGCCGTGCTCAGTGGCCCCCTTAGACCTTGGTCCAGGCCCTGGCGGCCCCCAACTGTCAACGACCTTTCATCATTCCGAGCTTTTCCCTGGTCAAGCAACAAAAACATTTCCCAACAGCGGCCGCCAACGAATGATCTCGCTGCGTGGCATGGCCGAGCGTCTCCATCTGCGCTTCTCCGTCCTTTGACCAGGGCCAGCAGATCCAGCACACTGCCTGGCACAGCCAATCCTCTCCCCTGCGGTGCAAGAGATCCAACAGACAACGCTGAGAGCTGTCCCTCACCTCATCCTCCTCCGGCTTGACTCTCGGATTCCTTAGGAGCCCATCAAAGAGAAAAAGCAGGAAGCTTAAAGAGATATGACATGCCTGAGTGAAGACTCTTGCAGCCTCTGGTCTCTTTGTCTGAGCCACCTCTACCACTTCTTGTCCTCATCTTCATCCTCATCTTCATCCTCATCCTCAGCCTAGAAGGTACCAGGTAATGTGACGAACCCGGTCGAACCGGGATTGCCTTCCGAACTAACACCCAGTCAGAAGCCTAACCTCTAAATCAACCCCTCCCTCCACCTTGCTCCTTCTGAACAGCGCCCTTTTCGTATGCGACATCATCGCATGAGCCTTGTGCCTTGGTCTTAAAATTTTGCGGCAGCTTCTTCAAAGGTACCTTTTTCACTTCTCTCCATCCTTACTATATCCCTTTGTTTTTCATGTTATGCTCTCTACTTCCCGACTTCCTGTGTCGTTATTTTTACCCTCACTTACCCCGCCGTCATCACCTGGCCTCACTTACCTACATCTCACTCCTTCACCGAGCTGGTGTTTGGCATTAAATTTTCCTTGTTCGGTTTGAAGGGGCTGATCCTGATATTCTAGCAGCTTCTTCCTCTTCTTACATGTTCTGATCCATAATCTCTTTCTACAATTCAGTTCAGCAGTGCTATCATGGTCACCCATACAACTGCACCGAGTCAGGTCCTTCGTTCAGACAATGATCCTCCAAACCAGAGGCCAGGGTTGACAGGCGAACCGCGGAGGATATCATCAGAACCAGAGCGGCCATCAACCTCTTATTTCTCTCTGCCTCAACGGCAGTCCTCCAATGAGTCTGCCGCGTCAGAATCTCCTGCAGAGGTTGCAAAGGGGGCAAGGTCTGGGAAGGAGCTATTACGCCGGCTCAGCCTTGTTGACTCCAGAGGGACTGAGGCCTTGGATGCTGACCCGCGAACGGCCTACCCGGGTCTGCGCCTGAGTGGGAATGTCATCAGTGCTACTTTCTGCATTCCCTATCAACTTACGCATAGGGCGAACGGTGACTGGGCGCTATCCAATCGGCGCGGAACCTCTGCATTGTTTGACTCATTCGCATACCTCTCGTCGGACAAAACCCCCTGGAACCACACCTTGGTCGGATGGACTGGAGAGATCCGCACACAGCAACAGGCGAGAGCTATCAGTATATTGCAAACAGATGCGGCGTCAGCAATAGCAGCCGCGCAAGCTCCTCACCCCATCAACAAGTCTGCCGCCCCCTATCCGGTCAACGGCGCCACACCAACTTCCCACATTCCCTATCCAGACCATCTTCGAGTGTCTCGTTCTGACCGCCATCGCTTGGAGAAGATCCTGGCACAACACCCCAGTGGCAAAGTTCTCCCTGTGTGGCTACCTGAGGGCCAAGTCGAAGAGGATGGCGAATTCAGCTTCAAAGACCAAAGCCGGTGGCGCAAATATGCAGAACACGAGCTCTACACTCTTTTCCACTATCGACACCACGGCCCTGATGATGGCCGCGCCGAGAAGACTTCATGGGCAGACTACGTGCAAATGAATCAGTCTTTTGCCGACCGAATCTTACACATCTACCAACCCGGGGACATTGTTTGGATTCATGACTACCACTTAATGTTACTCCCAAGCATGCTGCGTCAGCGAATCCCCAACATCTACATTGGCTTTTTCTTGCACATCCCGTTCCCTAGTAGCGAATACATGCGATGTTTGCCGCGGAGAAAAGACATCTTGACCGGCGCTCTCGGCGCGACCATGATTGGCTTTCAATCATACAGCTTCTCGCGACATTTCAACTCCTGCTGCAAACGCATCCTGGGTTTCGAGTCCAGCTCCGCAGGTGTGGATGCATATGGGGCTCACGTTGCCGTGGATGTATTTCCCATCGGCATCGATGTGGCAGCCGTGCAGAAAACAGCTTTTGGCGACCTGGTAATAGAACAAAACATGGTGGCCTTGAAACATATGTATTCCGGCAAGAAGATTGTTGTTGGTCGCGACAGGCTCGACACCGTCAGAGGGGTGGCACAAAAATTGATGGCGTTCGAGATCTTCTTGGAACGATATCCAGAATGGCGAGACAAGGTGGTTCTTATCCAGGTGACAAGTCCGACGAGCGTGATGGAAGAGAAAGTAGACGGAGCACACAAGATTGAACACAAGATCTCAAATCTAGTGTCCAGAATAAACGGCCAATACGGATCCTTGAGCCATTCTCCAGTCCAGCATTACCCGCAGTATCTCTCCTCACAAGAATATTTTGCTCTTCTCCGGGTCGCCGACGTGGGACTTATCACCAGTGTCAGAGACGGGATGAACACCACCAGCTTGGAATACGTCATCTGCCAGAAAAACAATTACGGCCCGTTGATTCTGTCAGAGTTCTCTGGGACGGCAGCGAGCCTGAGCAATGCCATCCACATCAACCCATGGGATCTAGGTGGTGTGGCCGACGCACTAAAGCAGGCTCTTGAGATGCCCGAAGTCCAAAAGAAGAGCAATCATGAGAAACTCTACAACTACGTGACGACGCACACTGTAGCGACGTGGTCGAACAGTTTCCTTAAACGCTTGCTTACCAACCTCACTTCTTTCACGCAAAGCGATCTCACACCCGCACTGGACCGCAATCGTATGATCCAGCAATGCTATGCTGCGAAGAAGCGGCTCTTCATGTTCGATTATGATGGCACACTCACACCAATCGTCAAAGACCCCAACGCGGCAATCCCGTCTGACCGAGTCATTCGTACCCTCAAGGCCCTCGCGGCCGACCCCCGCAACAACGTTTGGATCATCAGTGGTCGCGACGCCTCCTTCCTCGAAGAATGGATGGGTCACATCACCGAACTGGGTTTGAGCGCCGAACACGGCTGTTTCCTCCGGCGCCCCGGGTCAGAGACGTGGGAAAACCTCGCTGCCGCGATGGACATGGGGTGGCAGAAAGAAGTTATGGACGTCTTTTCTTACTACACAGAACGCACGCAGGGGTCATGGATCGAAAAGAAACGGGTTGCGCTCACGTGGCACTATCGACAGGCTGACCCCGATTTCGGAGCCTTCCAGGCAAGGGAGTGTCGCAAAGCGTTGGAGGAGAATGTAATGAAGCATTGGGATGTTGAAGTCATGAGTGGAAAGGCCAACCTGGAGGTGAGGCCACAGTTTGTGAACAAGGGCTTTATTGCACAGAGGTTGATTAATGAATACGGGTATGCGAGGGGTGAACCGCCTGATTTTGTGTTATGTCTGGGAGATGACCAGACCGACGAAGGTGAGTCTCTGATCAAACGGTCCCACGGGGCCCTGGATGTGGGCCACAGTTTGACTAACTATATTGTTTGTTGCAGATATGTTCCGCGCCCTTCTGAAGACAGATCTTCCCAAAGAACATGTCTTCGCGTGCACGGTGGGCGCCAGCAGCAAACGCACCCTGGCGACATGGCACTTACTTGAGCCAAGTGATGTTATCGCGACTATCGCCGCGTTGAACAAGACGGAAAATTTGTAGCGTGCCGAGCCGAGGTGCTATGATGGCGTGTTCCTTTTGACATAATGGTTGTTGGGAACAGTTGTCGATAACCGCCACAGCAAGATGCGCGAACAAGTGTTCAGAGTGGTGACGACTGGTCTCACAAGCAGGGATGTGAGACTCGCACGCATCGTCAACCTGAGATACAAACGACAAGACGACGAATTTCATTGGAAAGGAGCGCTTTGGCCGGTGGTCATATCATCCAAAGACAAAGGACACAGAACAGGTCACGGTGATAGAAACTTCAAACTTTGCTGTTGTTGCGACTCAGGCCTCACATATAGACCGCTTCGAACTGATTTCACAGACCAAGGGTCTCCCTTCAGCTAGGAATGTACGATTTGTTGTTGTCTTTGCCTTGACTCCCGCTTGGAGTTAACGGGCGGTCAGCGGGAGATTCACTGATCCAAATAGGGCACTGTGTAGACACCGTAGACGGTGTGCGAGGTCAAGAGTGCAGACACATCGATGACACTTTGTCGGAGTCGTGGTTAAGAAGTCGGCTGACTTTGAAAAGTACTGGCCCTCCACACACCTAAGCCGGCAGTTTTCTCCATACTGCATTTCCATCCTCTGGTTTTTCAGCTGCCGGTATCGCTCTTCTCTCCATCAACATCGGACTATTGGCAACAGTGAGCCCTCGGGGCCCAAACAGCCTACCACGCCCTGTTACTAGATTGAGTCGTGGTATCGCTTCCTGGTCCTGCCCCTGGGTTTTGGGCTCCGAAATATCCGGCAGATTTCGTCTTCAAGCTCGCTCTGATGGATTCTGCTGTGCGGCGAAGTGCTGTGCTTTGCTCCTTTCTGCCCGTGCTAGGTCAGAAGAGCCCCGCCACTTACCCAGGTGCATAGAGATGGTCGCAAGTGAGAAGCCGGGACTGCCAGTGGTCGAGGAAACGGATATCACGGCTTTTGCCCTGGTGCGGGGGCACAAACCGCTGTCTGGTGCTTTAGTCACTGAGTCGTCGACACCATCCACTCCATCCTCCAGACCTTTCAACTGTCGCCAACCCAGGCCGTGTCTCGTGTGCTCTCCTGCTTTCATTTCTCATCATGTCCCATCGTAGCGAGGTCGGTCCGGAGGGCACCCAAGGGCCATAAGCTCGTCTTCAGTTCAAAGTTAAGCGGCTGCCTGACATCAAAGAACGACCATGGCAGACGTGGCCGAAGCGGAGCAAATAGCGGGAGTTCAGATGGAGACGGTGGGTGAAAAACAAAAGGTCGAGATTGATACTTCCGCCGGCGGCATCCATCTAACAACCTCGAACTCGGAAAAGCCCAGAGGTGTCCTTTCGAAGACGCTTTCCAGACTCCGGGCACCCGATATTGCCGACCCAGGTCCACCGCCGGATGGAGGCTTCAGAGCATGGACCATGGTCGTCGCTGTGCATTTAGTCATGTTCAACACCTGGGGCTTTATCAATAGCTTCGGGGTGTTCCAGACCTACTACGTCGACGTAATGAGAATCGGTGGTCCTAGCTCGGTGGCTTGGATTGGGACAACCCAGGTGTTTGTGCTGTTTGGTATGGGGACCTTCACCGGGAGAGCTCTCGACGCAGGCTTCTTCAAGATTCAGTACATCTGTGGAAGTGTGATCTACGTGATGGGCTTGTTTTTGCTCAGTCTGTGCCGAGAATACTGGCAAATCTTCCTCGCCCAGACTCTTTGCGTTGGGTTTGGCTATGGGTTGGCATTTGTCCCGACTCTGGCACTTCTGAGCACTTATTTCCTCAAACGAAGGTCAACTGCTCTGGGGATCGCCGTGACAGGTTCGGCGACTGGCGGCCTCGTGTTTCCAGCCATCGCCGAAACGATGTTGCCCAAGGTTGGCTTTCCTTGGACTGTGCGCACCATGGCGTTTGTGCAGCTGATTCTCGCAATCGTGGCGTTTATCTTTCTGAAGGTGAGTAGCTGATCGATGCATGTCGCTGAGGTCATGAAGCTGATGTGCTTTGATAGCCACGGTTGCCACCCCGAAAATCTGGGCCGGTGGTGGAATGGTCAGCCTTCAGGGAGGCGCCATATACACTCTACATCATCGGTTCATTCCTTTACTTTTGGTCCGTTTACGTTGGCTTCTTCTTCGTTGGCACATTCGGCAGGGATGCTTTAGGGACCAGTCAAGCCACGAGTATCAACCTGCTGATGGTCATGAACGGTGTGGGAGTGCCCTCCCGGATCCTCCCTGCATATATCGCTCAGAGATGGGCCGGTCCGCTGAATTTGATGATTCCAATGGTTGTCGTGGCGGGCATCATTCTCTACTGTTGGATTGCAGTGCACTCGGTGATTGGGCTGTGGATATTCTCTGTTTTATATGGCGTCGTGGCCGCCGGCCTGCAGGCTCTGTTCCCTGCTGTGCTTACCAGCTTAACCAGAGACCAGAAAAAGGCAGGCGTGCGCACTGGCATGGGATTTAGCATCGCGGTAAGTCGGCTGCCCGTCTCGCAGAGACGGTTCAGAAAGAAGATTGCTAACAGTGTGTCCCAGGGAGTGGCAGTCTTGACAGGACCACCTATTGCGGGAGCCCTGGTCCAAAGAGACGGAGGGAAGTTTACTGGGTTGCAACTGTTCTCAGCAACAAGCATGATCGCGGCGGCCATGGTTTTGCTCTGTGTCAGATGGGTCGCCGTAGGATGGAGGCGGGAAAAGCTGTGAGAAGAGTGTCTGGGTGCTCGGATGGCTGCTGCTTCACGAGTGTTGGAGCCGTGGCGGCTTCCTCGCCGGTGTCCCCATCTCAGGAGGAGCTGGGACTCACTGATCTCAGAATATCTGAGGGGGAGAGGGGGGGGGGGTTATTTTCCGTAAGGTTCAAACAAGTGATGGACGACTCCCCCCCCCCCCTCGGACCGGGCGCACTGGGGCTTTTTTGGGCCTTTCAGGGAGCGCCAGCCTTGTATCGCCACGACACAGCTTTGGCTCCTTTCTGATTGGTTGGGCAAGGCTAGTGAGGCTGGTGGCTCCAGTGACAGCTCAGCGGTTTTGGCTGCAACTTGGACGTGTCACTTGGATCATGTTTGGTTGCCTCCCGCCTCTTCTTGTTCTGTTTCTTTCTCTCTTCAGTATCTTCAACAAGTACATTTCTCCTTCCCTTCCTCTTCCTCACTGTCTCCGGTGGACTTGGTGCCCGCAATATCTTTCGTTGAGAAGTGGTGTAGGTTGCCTCCCCTCTATTCCGCCCCCCTTTTTTTCTCCCTCTCCCCCGCGTTTGGGCACAAAAGAAATCTTTGAATTGCAACCTCGAGGGCCACCGCCCTTTGTCCCAGTCACATGCCCGCGTTTTGTGCTTCTTATCGAGCTTGAACGAAGGCTTCGCTGATCACACTTTCAAGGACAGCCTATCTTGCAGACTTACCTACCCAGCCAAAGATCTCTGTCCACCCTGCTACTGGAATTAGCCGCCTGCCACACCAGACTCCCCCGCTACGCTACTCCCTGGGCGACATATTTACCTACGTACGCTTGCCCCTCGCACTCTCGACGATGGCTCCACGAGGACGAGGAGGAAAATTCTCAAAGCCCACCAGGGGAGGTACGTACACCCTCATTTCACCCCGTGTACACTCCAGTTGGCTGACTCGGAGTCACAGGTGGCAAGCATTTCTCCCGTGACCTACAACCTCTAGACAAGGAGGGAAATCAGATGGGCATGTGGCGAGAAGCAGAAGAAGGAGATGATGGTGAAGAAGAAGAAGAAGAAGAAGAAGAAGAAGAAGAAGAAGAAGAAGAGTCCTCAGAAGAAGAGTCATCGGAAGAAGAATCTTCAGGCGACTCTGGCGAGGGGGCTTCCGCAGCGCAGCCCCCGTCAAATGAGCTGACCCGAGAACAACGCAAAGAGCTCGCTCGCAAGAAAAAACAAGAAGCCATTGCAAAAAAGAATCAGAAGACCGCCGCGGTAGGGGACCTGCCGAGTGACTCCGACGAGGAGGAGGATGAGGAGGAAGAGGAAGACGACGATATGCCCGCAAACCCCAATCACACGCAAAAGGCGAGGTCGCAGGCAAGAGCTGTCACGGGCGCCAGCGGGGAAGCACCAAAGAAGGCGGACAAGGAGAATCTCAGCAGGCGGGAACGAGAAGCCATTGCTGCACAGCAAGCTAGAGAGAGATATCAGAAGCTACACGCCGAAGGCAAGACCGACGAAGCACGCGCCGACCTGGCGAGACTCAAGTTGATCAGAGAGCAACGTGAGGCCGCCGCGGCACGGAAGCAGGCTGAGAAGGAGGAAAAAGAAGCCCGTGACAAAGAGAGGTACGAGCGGGAGGCCAAGCTGAGAGAAGCAGCACTGGGCACTGCTGGCACCGCGAAGCAGGTCAAAAAGGCCAAGAAATGAAGAGTCTCGTGACTCTTCATCCCCCAAACCAAACGGCTACTGCACAGATGTGCAAGCGGACGTGCAGCACAAGCCCGACGAAAGCCATGTCTTGTGCCGGGGGAGTGAATGGCCATTGGGTCAGGGGCTGCATGATCGAGACCATCTCGACATCTTTCTTTTTCTTTCTTTTGCGTACTTTTATGCATCAGCGGAAGGCAGGGAGCAGCATAGAGCCGAGACGATATGATGATGACGATGACGATCATGGAGCGAAGGCTGGAAGCAAGCAAGCAAGCAAGCAAGACAGGTGTCACGGTGGCAGATGGCTGACGGCAGAGCATATGGATAACTCAATACAAACATACAAACAAAGCGGGAGAAGGACCTCTTCTCTTCCTCCCTCATCCGTTCTGTGCCTCCACCCATTCACCCCTTCACCCCTTCACCCCTTCACCCCTTCACCCCTTCACCCCTTCACGTTTCGAACCAAATGTCGTCTCTCTCTTCCTTGTCCGTTCTATATATCGGCTTCTGTATAGAGTAACCACACAAATAGATGCATACATGCTGCAGTACGGACCCTTCATCTTCTGAGAGGAGTTCCTTGGTCTCTTGAAGGCCTGGCTTGGAAAGATTGACAAGGAAGATCTTCTTGACTCCATTGGACGTCTAGAATATTGACTGCACAACGATGACACGTCCTCGGACTTCCTCATTGATCCTCAGTAAATCATCGACAGCTCCTCGAGAAAATCTAGATCCAGTATTTTGGCATGGAAGGTGAAACCCATCCAACTGGGTGAGTCGACGATAGCCACGGACACAGACGTAGCAAAACGCAGTTCGAACCTTTATATCCGGGCTCTGTAAGAGTCCGACTTTGAGAATGTCATGTGGGACATAGACGGGTATTGTGTAGAAACAGGCATGCTTGTTCGAAGACGCTGCGCTCGATTTTTCTCCTCTAGATGCATGCTCACCAGGCTAGGTCCACCAAGCCCGGGGTACATATGCTGACTTCGGCACACGTTCTGATTGCCCAGCTGGCCATGTCGACGCCTCCGGTACCGAGCACATGTGCACACGACAGACGAGGACGCAGCTGAAAACCCGCGGCTATACCTCTCTTTCCCAGCGAGAGACAGCTCGAATGCTTCTATTCGGGCGCTTCTTGGAGGGTTGGATTACGCTCCACAGTTGTTACAATGGTGATTAGGACTGCCACTGCAGAATCTTTCGTAATGCCGGTTCTAGGTCCCATGCCTGCTTCTGCTTCATTTTCTGAAAGAAAACATGTCTTGGGTCCAATGTGGGATGGGACAGAGGAAGCTGAGGCTGGGAAATGGTCCGTCGAGGTCAATACAAATGGTGATGTCCGTCTTTGACCGAGAAAGGCCAGGGAACGAGAGCTGAGGCTCAGATTGAGCCTCTAGACGTAAGATTTGTCAATTTCTCGATTGGACTTGGGACGAAAAAGTCAGGGGATTCATACCAACGCGTAGAGTATATTCACCACAGTGCTTGGCCCAAGGGCCTTTGATGCGCCCGTTTGGATCAACGCCATATTCTCTCCACACTGGTCTCTCGACTGATGAGCACACACGAGTCCTTTGAGTCGATGGCGGGTTCATTCCTGGTCCTTTGCGCCGTCGGTAACGACACAACTGCTGTGAAAGGAGGGCAACATCATGGCTAGAGGCATCACGCTTGATCCAGCAACGACTTTTGGTTATCTAGCCGTCGAGCATGCAGCTCAAAACAGTGCTTAGAGACCACGAACGAAGGCTGCGGCGACTGGATGCACCAAAAGAAGCAATACTGCACATCTGGATCAAGGGAAATTAACACATCAACGTCCGTACCCACTACTGGTGCTTGTGCTGGCCCCCTGGTACCACTCCGGAAACAGGTCCCTGGAGGAGCACATGCTCGCTTTCAACTTGTACTCATTGCCGCTGGACAGGTCAAGATGCGTGTATGCGTCGCATTTGTAGTAGATTGTCTTGAATCCATCGTTGGATCGGTCGAGATGGAGATGGAGCAAGCCAAGATCTTTCAGGGCGCGTAAGACGCGCTTGACGTCTGCTTGATCGGAGAAATCCTGGGTGTAGACGCATATCAATCTCTGATCTCGGTCCTTCCCGCCACCACCACTACCACCACTACCACCACCGTCACCACGGTCGTCACCACCGTCATCAATCAAGATCTCCCTTTCTCCCGTTGCGGTCGCCACCTTCGCCGCCATGCCCAACTTCCCCTCCCAGACCGCGTGGGCAACAACCGCCCATACCCTGTCAACTTCAGCCTCTTGTGGGAAGAGCATCCACTTCCCCTCTGTGACACGTTGTGTCTTGGCTAGCTCCCTGATATCGGATTCCAGCCTGACGCGCTCGGGACGTAACATGCGCGTAATGGACCCCGGAGCTTTCCCCGGGTTCTGGTCCTCGACTTCGTGTTTGCGCCAAAGGTACGCTTCCAGAAGACGTGTGCCCAGTTGGCGGAAAGTGGCTACGTCGCCATCACCAGACTCTGGATTGGAGCTTGTATATCGCGCTTGCCTGGGAGAGTTTCTGCCCGCTGCAGGGTACGGGTTGGCAATCCAGATCCAGCGCCGGCCTCGGGCGGAGACCGAAGTGGTTGTCGAGGGAGGCAGGCGGGCGAGGAAATCGGAAACAGACTCGGAGAGTTGTTTTGCAGAGGGGAGGCCCTCGTAGAAGTTCTGCGGCTTGCGGGAGCCGTCTTCGCGATCCGCGTCGACGGCGTCAGGTTCCACGGCAGCGGAGATGTTGGCCTTGGTGTCGAATTTCATTTCCATGTCCCCCTCTCCATCTGCGTTCACATGACTCTCGTCCCCGGTGTGCCGCTGGTCACCTAGACGCTCACCTGGCGTTGGCCCAACTTCCTGTTGCTTCCTCAGAGCAAGCTTTGCGCGTTGTCTGGCGGCTTCGTGCCTCGCTTTCTTTCCCCGAGCGGCCGCCACTTGAGTATTCCATTCATGGATCGTCCAGTATTTCTGGGGATTGTATGATGCGGCCAGCTTGTTGTATGTTGACTTGGTTTTCTGGCTCCCTGGTGGCGGAGTTAAGATCAGAGTCAAGCCCTGCAAGGTCCAGGCAGCGCCGTGCTAGACTAGGCTTACCATGGAAATCAGATTCATCACTGAAAAGGTCGTCCACGATGTATGCAGATTGGTCTGCCGCAGGGGTGGCAGGTTCAGAAGCAGTGCTGGATAAAGACGCAGGTGCCATGATTCCAAGTGGCAGGGTTCACACCATGTACAGAGAACAACAGTCAGACGATTATTTACAGTGTGAAATCAAACAATATGACACGCCGAGACGCCCTGCAATAAACGAACGACATGCTGGAAGGCCCAAGGGGAATAAATGAGGAGAAGGCAGAAGAGTCAGTCGTGGCCAGCTTGACTGAGGCTAGCCATCAGGCTGACCAGGCTGAAAAGCTGAAACACTACTTGGTAACTAGAGCCCAGCCACCTGGACCCCGGGGGTTAGACGCTCCGTATCCTCTACCGAGTACAAGTCTCGTTCAACCTCAGATGACATTTGCAATGGCCCTGAGAGAGTCTAAAGACGCCATCTCCAACTGGAGAGCGTATTCATGTTCGTCCATTTGTTCCACAGGATCCGAGCTGTTTTCAATTTCCTCCATGTTCTCGACCACCCCGAGGAACCTCTCCACCACCTTTGCATATCCTATGCCCGCCGCTCCTTTCAACGCCTTCAGAATATCACGAGTTGAAGCACGCGTCACAGCGTTCTTAGAACCGCTCTCCGCATTCAAATTGGAGAGGAGCAGTTGGTGTCGCAGTTCCAGAAGGTCAAAGGCAGGCGCCGGGCTTTCATCGCCCATTTCTTGGTCGACAGAGTGAACGCTTCTCCGCAACTTCAAATCACGACTCCGCCTCTCCTCCAAGTTGTCACGACTCTGTCTATTGATGGAATTGGACGAGGACCTCGGTGTGAGCATGGCCAGTGAAGAAGAAAACGGGAAATGCGGACTCTTGTAGGCAGCATCTGTCAAGCTCATACCACGATGACCGCCCCTTGACCAACTCCGCAGAATATCGGGAAGGCTTGCCCACAGTCCAAGCTCCAGCAGGACGCAACCGACGCTAAAAATGTCGAAGCTTTTGCGATATGACACCCTGGAGGGGCCCATCGACATCGGGTGACGATACAGGTCGTTTTCGAAGTCTGACTCAGTGGGCTCTGTGAGCTCATATGGACTGTCTAGCCTGGCATAGACATAGCCTGCAACATAGATCGGGGAAAGCAGAATATCCTCATTAGACGCATTGTCCAATTGAGGGCCCTGGATGAAGAGGATATTGTCAGACCGAAGTTCCTTGTGCAGCCAGTCAGCGGTATGGATCTGAAGCAAGGTCTCCAAGAGTGTAATGGCGTAAGAAAGTCGGAGATTGAGAGACGGATTTTCCATGGGTCGTTCTAGCATATCTCGCAAGGTGTGCATACTTGGCAATGATGGAAGGTCCATATGGCTCTTCACGGCGCTCTGTTGCACTGTCGGAGGGTACAAACTGAAAGGAAGATCGAAGACATAGGCATATCGGTCCTTTGCAGCCCAATCTTTGATGTAGCCACGACAGGGCAAACTGTGGAAGGACGGGTCAAGCTCGTGTAAGAATGCTGAAACTCGGTCCACCCGATTCTCTAGGAGCGGTAGCTTGATGCCTCCGCCACCGCTCTTCCACTCGAGGAGCACGGGCTCTCGCGCATACCAAGCGAAGTACCGACTGACCTCGGTCTGTGACGGCGGGAAGGTGAGTTCGTTCCAGTTCAGCCTCATCGACTTCGAAGAGGATGAAGGTGATGACGCGACCGGGAGACTGGGAAGAAAAGAGTGGGAGTCTCTCCTGGTCGAGCTCCTCCAAGATCCTGGCCTTTGGATGACTGAGCGACTGTCTGTGCAAGTATCTGTAACTCCCAAAAGGAGACCCTGCCGTTTCAAGCGGGCCGCGGCAGGAATGGCCCCTTTGGAGAAAGTCTGACTGCGATCGTGACCGATAACGTCCAGCTCTTGTTCGTTGGCAGTTTTGACCACGGTTGTCCGCAGCAATACGTCAAATGCCTGATCCATTCTGACCTGCCTTTCGTGGTCAAGGAACTGCTGAAGCTGGGCTACCAGGACCTTCACATCGTCCATCAACATGCGCACGTTCTTCTCATCAAAGGCAATCCACGTCCATTTTTTCCAATTGGTTTTGTTGTGAAATAGCTCAGATAGGCTCTTTCGGTGTTGCGATGGTGGCTTGACGCCGGCGAAATTGTCCTCGTCGAGGTCAAGGATTTCTTCTGGATCCTCCTTTATGTCCAGGTGGTAGCGTTTCCTGAGCCCATTCACATCAAGCAGAAGTTTCTTCAACTGAGCCAGGATCTTTGGTACGTAGCGAGCGTCCCGGGCGTTAACCCGCAGGTCGGGCGGATCCTCAAACAGACCAGCTTCTTCGGCCCAAGTCAGAAACTTGTGTTGTTCAAGCTCGATCATCAAGCTCACGCCGGCAACATCACGTTCATGGCTGCGCGCTCGGCGTAGTAGGGTAAAGCCTTTGATACAACCTTGCAAACAGGCGAAGGACAGGGTCAACAGGCCAGCAATGCCGGCGGCTGCATCGAGGCCACTCATGTCGAACTACCATAGCATTGCATCGTTTGACCGAGGTCAATGAAAACGACCTGCTTCGAGCAGAATTGAGAAGCATTTGACAGCCCGGGCATATAGGGATGTAGGAGTGAGATGCTGGACACGACAACAGGCAAACGAGTGACCTGACGTGGTTGCCTTTGTGCACAGAGGATCGTTTGAGAGAAGTGAAGCGGATTGGGGGCGCCTCGCACACGAGTCAGCCGTCTTCCATCCTTGTTGGCCGCGTGGGAGACGAGGCAGGGCGCCGGCCGTTAACAGATTGATGCCCCCGTTAAGACGAGATCTCGTTACGCTGGGAAGGATGTCCAAAGCCAGGTTGTTTGAAACCCTAAGAGTCTGGAAGACAGTCCCATCACGGATCCCCGTAGCACATATTATATGGCCGAAAGGCTCAGATTCGAGATTCAGGGTCTGGGCCCCGGTCGTCGCAAGGGCGCAGCTAAGTTCATGATATGGACGAAATATCCTCTGAGTACTCGGTACTGGGTAGTTGGCGAGCTGTGGTGCTGGGGATGGATGTGGATTGCGAAGGGTATTACCCAAGTAACAGGGCGCATGCTGCAAAGTCTCGGGAGGCTTTAGCCACGAGGGCATCAGGCGTTAAGGGCCTCGTGAGGCCTACTAGTCCTATGCCTAGTACTGGGTAGCCATAGGGCCATGAGGGGGTACTGGGTAGCGGGGTAAGTTGTCAAGGTGATGCATCCCAGCAGGCGGCCATCCGACCATCCAGCCAGCACCCAAGACTGCGGACTGGGCGGCCATGCGGGCGGCCCTGGAATTCGTCGGTTCAGAGAGCCGACCAGCCCGGGGAGCCGCTATCCCCCAACTCTCCCGTCTTCCATTCGGCGTGCGGAGGGTTACCCAGTCTTGCCCAGTCCAAGCCCAGTCTTAACCCATCCTGCAGCCTATCACTTCTCTCTTCCTCTCACGCGCGGCTGGAGCTGATGCTACTACCCAGTAGTGACTTGTCCTGCCAGGCCTGCGTCAGCCAGGGTTATCTGTCTCCCGCATGCCTGAGATCCTCCAGCCTCACCGGTTGTAGCATGTGTTAGGGACTCCCTTCCTTCAAACGAGGTCGTCGCTAACTACTACCTCGTCCACCCGCCTGGATTTTCCATCAATGTCTGGCGCGCTTCCAGTGCCATTGCAGTGAAGAATCCATCATGCAGGACCGGCTCCATCGTCTATCAACTCGATTCCCACAGCCGCTGTTCTGTCCACCCGTGTCACTGGCTCCATTGATTGGTTGAGGGGACGAAAGGCCCCTTGGTGCACGCTGTCCTTTATCAAACTGGCAGATTGGCCGGCAGTTCTGGTCACACCTACCCTTGGACCATCGAGCGATCCGGCGCGATGGCGCCCCAGCTCATATCCGTCATCGGTTGTCTCCATGTCGACTGTATAATGATGACAGACCGCATACCTGATCGTGGTGAAAGTTACAAAGCGAGACAGTATCATGAGGGATTAGGGGGAAAGGGAGCCAACGCGGCAATTGCCAGCTATCGAAGTTGTCATGCTCAGCCCCCCGAGGGAAGGCTAGCCTCACTCGACGACAGAATCGATTCCTCTAATGAGGATGAGATCGAGGTTTGTATGATTGGCGCCGTGGGCAATGACAAGTATGCCCAACTGTTCGAAGATGCGTTACAAGAAAACGGTATCGATGTGTCCGGCCTTCAGAAAGTGGACGGTATGACGGGAAAAAGCTTTGTCCAGGTGGAAATCGCCAGCGGAGAAAATCGCTGCACCTTTGCGAACAACGCAAATGATGCATTGACCGCTGAATATTTCACCAAGCTCGAAAGCCTCGCCAACGGAAGGCAGCCGGATCTGGTCATTGCACAGATGGAAATTGATCGAGCAGTGGTCGAGCAGATCATTGCCACCGCCGGCGAGGCGGGCATCGAGGTCCTGATCAACGCCGCTCCGGCGAATCACATATTAAGCAGGTACTACCGCCATATCACGCACCTGTTGGTCAACGAGACCGAAGCGGCCACCATGTCTGGCCGAGAGATCGAAGAGGTAAATGAGGAGACGTGGCAGGAGATTGCTGAGGATTTCCTTGAGAAAGGGGTGAAGAACGTGGTGCTCACTTTGGGAGCTCAAGGAGCCTTCTATGGCACAGCCGACGAGTTTGGCCATGTCCCGGCTTTCGATGTCAATGTGGTGGATTGTACGGGGGCAGGGCGAGTCTCGATGTGCTTGTAACTACTGTCGATGCATGCTGACTGAGCCGCCAGGGACACATTCACGGGCGCCTACGCCACAGATTATTTGCGACAGAAGCAGAGGGGACAATGGGACATCAGAGAGGCAGTCGTTCGTGCTTGTAAAGCCGCAGCATTGACCATCACACGCATCGGCGCCCAGGAAGGGATCCCTTGGATGGATGCGATTGACGATTTCCAAGAGAACGAATCGCCTCAAGTAGCCGTTGAAGCTGCTTCCCCGTCTGCTACGGATGCTTCAGAAGAACTGTAAGCAGAACAAGACAAATTCATACCACATATACGGAGTACATAGTCATCCCGAAGTTGCAGACTGGTGGAAAAAGGGCCCAGAAACCCTCATCATGCTCGCTCGCACAGGATTCATGCTTTCCAATCACGAACAGCTGAGGCAAAACAATGCATCTGGCTCGTGTCGGAAATTTCGCTTGACAACACGCGCTTCCGGTCTCTGGGTGGGGTCTGCGGCCAACATGTTCTAACGGTGTCCAAAAGTACGTCAGCAAATTGGTCATTGTGCACAAGAAAGTCGCGGCGACCGTCTCAAGGGGTCACGATACGAATAACCCAGAAAACATACCATCGTCTGCTCCAGCAGAAGAGACCTGACTTCCGGAGGTCCGACATTATCAGGAAGTTCCTGGAGCCAGGTATAAACTGCGTCTAGATTCGTCCGAAAGGCATACGGATTGTCGACATGAGGGAGATAGCGCGTATCACGGTACTCTTGCAACGACTTATGCTGCCTTACGGTGAGCATTTCGCTGAAGACACATCCCAGAGCAAAGACGTCAGCTGCCCGTCCTCGCTGTGGTAGTGGCTCAGGCGGCCAGTACACTGGTGTGCCCACAATGTACTCGTCTGTCGAGGTGCTGCCTTCCATCAAGGAGAAATCTTTCGCGCTACCGAAATCGGCGAGGTAAGGCTGATGATCCCGGATCAGTATATTGGAAGGTTTGATGTCCTCATGCTTGACTCGTTCCTGATGTGCATATGCCAGTGCCGAGGCCAGGCAACCGAACCACTGATCGAGGTGCCGTGTCTCGGTTCGAGGAAAGCCAGCACAATTCACCTCCAAAAAATGTCGCAGGTCATAGTCGCCTACCGGGAGCATGATGATGTAGAAGGTAGTTTCGTCCTTGACATAGAAAAGCACAGAGGCGATGTGATGGTGACGCAACTTGTGCATGATGGTCACCTCATTCTTGACTTGTTGTTCAATAATGTTCTTTGCGCGATTGCTGTTCTGGACCCTGATGGTTTTCTGAGCATAGATGCTGTTTGTGGATACCTCGCGGACCTTGGAGACTTGGCCGTAAGTGCCGGTGCCCAGTGGTTCAAGCCATTGAAATCGCGCACTTGTATCCAAACCAGGAGTCGGTTGGTCCACCGGGTATGGCAACGGAGGCAGAGACCTAGTCTCTTCCTCTGAAACCCGTTTCACTATCTCTTTCCAGTCCTCCAATGATGTTTCAAAAAGCTCGGTTGACGTCTCTACTCGAGAATGGAAGGTCTCGAAGGCGAGTCCTATCGGTATCAGTCCTGGAACTCTTCAGATTACGGACTGGATCTTCTCACCCGGAGGATGTGACGCAAAGTGACTGAGCATGATGCTGTAGCACTCTATATATTCTCTGAACACTACCTGAAGAGGTTCTTGTACGCGGGATTGGGTAGGAAACTGCGGCAACTGCGGTCCAAACGGTTTAAGGGCTTGATTGAGGGAGTTCAATTGTTCAAATAGGTCTTTCAGTGACAATCCGGCATCAAGAGCGGCCTGGGCAGATTAGCCATGGCTGTAAAGTTCAGAACGACGTCCTGAGTGACCCGACCTGAATGGTTGAAAAAGCAATTTGCCAGAACAAATCACTAAGTGTGTCGGGTGGCTGGAGATTTTGAGCGCCGTCTATAGTGCTGGTGAAGGTTATAATCGTGCCATGCTGTCGAGAAAATCGGTTAAGTAGTCGCTGAGCGTCTGGTTCATGCTGGTCTTCGCAGAGCGACTCGAAACTGGCTCGGAATTCTCCCTCGCTGGAACAAGGTGTTGTAGCCTCGTGGTCGCCCAGTACTGTTTCTTTCAAATCCGCGATGAGACTGGACCACGTGTCGGATGGGGCCTCTGATTCAGAAGACATGGGACACCCTGGCCGTCGCAAGGGATTTGGTCATGAAGCAAGCTTGGGCAGAAAAAGGGCACTGTGCTGTACGTCTGATTGCATCTCTTCTTTGCGGTGTCACCAGGCATAGAGAAGTGATGGAAAGGTGCTCGCCAACGATGTATCTGAAGGCCTTGTCGGGCGCAGGGACTACTCCGTACTTACATCACAGTCGCGCTTGGGATGTATGCCTCGAGCCGAGGGGCAGCCGGATAGGCTCCTATCTGTGGCGAGACACTCCATCCACACCCAATCACATACCCAAGGGCGAGAGCAAAAGACCAAATCCTCGAATGACAGCGGCGGAATTCTGCAAAGACACAGCCATCCGTCGTCAATTCGCCAGGAGACCCGAGATTTGGCAGGATGTGGCTTTCTTTTGCTCCTTTGCCATGATGCAGGAAATGGTCATCTCTCAACAATGGACGAAGTCGAACTGTTCGGGAGGAATGGAGTATGCGCAGCGGGAGGACACGGCCTCGATGGGTCTCGCCGGCTCTGGTTAGGGCCGTCCCGCCTATTTGTCTAGACTCTGGGGTGTGGCCACTTCCAGTTTGGAGGGCGTCTGGGTCCGGGGGAGTGTAGGTTTCGGGCCGGGGTCAGAAGGAAGATGCCCTACGAAGCTCTGGTCAGTTGGTTTCTCGTCTGCATCTGAACCTCTCACTGCGCCCCAAGCCGCGTCTGTTGCAGTTGTCAGCCCTGCAGAATTATCAGCCAATGTCTGTCGTGCCCTTACCCTCAGAAACACGATGTCGCTCAGAATACCCGCAGCTGAGGAATCTGATTCGGTCGCAGCACGAGATAGATGGAGAGTATTTCACCAGTCCACTCTGAGGAATCCAAGTGCCGTAAGAGCTTAACTGCTCGCTAGCTGCGGCGCAGTCATGTGATTCACGTGACCTCGCCAGCACCTGCCCCCTTTGGCTGTGACTTTCGTTGCTTCGTCCCCCACATTTTCCTCCGCACTTGCATCATCGTCTTCAGATCTTTTTTTCATTCTTCCTCCACAAGCGGTGAACCAGTCTCTGTCTCTTGACCAGTCCTTGAGCTTGCATGACCTATCCAAATACGCACAATCCTCAACACCACTACGTATCTTATCATTCGTTCCCATCCATCGCCGCAAACTTGACGGGCATCTGGACCTGAGAACTTTGAGATCTTCCAAACAGTAAGGCACGCTGCCAACACCAACACCACCACCATACTAAGTCGGGCCATAAAGTCGTGCGCCACCTCAGACTCATGAATACTGTATATTCCCGCTTTCAAACTTGTCGCTTAGAAAGCCAGCTTCATTTGTGCCATACAGCGCATGCAGATCCCTGTTAGGTTTATTTCTCCTCATCCATCACGACTTTGATCGACTTGTCGGTCATGTTAGCTCGACCTTGAGTACGCTTTGCTGAGCCTTTTCAGCCGTATAAAAATATCTCACGCGCCAGAAACCACACCCACAAAGCAAGCATTAAATCCTCGGGACGACACGCCAAAATAATATAGTACCAACCTTGCGATTCTTAACAACGGCCCTCTCCAAAGAAAGAAAAAAAAAAATCTGCTAGATCCAACCTCCTCAGACCAGTTTCTACCAGAATGGCCACCAAAACCGACTTTTCAACCCCTGACATACCTCAGTCCACGGCTACGTTCTACGTCTCCTCCTGCACACGCATCAATGCCCCCGCTAGCCTCGTCTTCCGTACCCTCCGTAACACCGAAACCTGGAAAGATTGGAACCGCTGGATGCCGCGTGTGACAATCACTTTTCAACCGGACGACGAAGATGACGCCACACTAGCCGAAATCGAGGAGCTGGTGAGAAATACTTCCATCGCGGTAAATTTTGACTCCGACATTACCGATGGAGCAATCATGTCAGAACCGGGCCCTGAGTATTCCACAGCGCATAGGAGGGGAAGTCGTGGTGGTTCGAGTGCTGGGAACGGGGGTGCCAGCCTTGCACCGCCTGGAAGTAGAGGCTCAGCGAGTATTGAGCGGCCCATTAGTCCTCCGCCTGTGATACGACAAAGGTTAGCTAGCAACGCTAGCAGGTTCTCGGGAATCTCACAGAATAGTGTGGATGGGCCCTCACGATCAAATTCAACTACAAACGCCAACGGCACCGGCAGCACCGGTGACCCTGATGGATTATCCGCAGCACAAAAATACCAAGCTGCAACCGAGGCCCGCAAAGCCTCCCTATCCCCCGGGCAATCACCTCCTCCATCAGCAAACACAAACAGCAATTCGGTTCTACTCGAATCCCCCGGGAATGCCTCTCTTCTCATGCCAGCACCCGCCAATACTCAGTCGACTGCCCTCGCAGCCAAAGCTTCGCGGCGCAAATCCGGCACCAATTCACAGCACAGGAGGCAACTACACATTAACGCCCTTTACGGCGAACCCTCTGTGCGGATCCAACTCGGTACGAAAATGATTCTGTACATGAAGATGAAGTTGCCCCACAGTCAAGAAATGAGGGAACAGGGCGTCGTCGTCACCGAAGTCTCTCGTCCAGACGACCCTCAGGACGAACCTGGACGGGCATCCCTGTCGCGCACTCAGACTCATACAACTTCCATATCTGGCGTGTATAGACTTGTCTGGAGCAGCACCAATTCCTACAGCCCTCCAAGAAGCTACCCTCGCTTCCTATTACAAACGCAACGCGTCCACGAGATAAGACCGATCACGACGGGCGATGGCAAGGAAATGTGCGAGTACTGGGATTGGGAGTGCCAGAGGGGTATATTGTCAAAGAAGAACAAGAAGGAGAACACGTACATGGAGGAGAGGATGGCGGAGTGGGGGAGGATGTTGGGTGAGTTTTGCGAGAGTATGGGCGGCGCGGTCGAGAGGAGGGATTTCAGTGTTGGATAGTTTTGCTGGTCCTGAGCTCGGCTGAAGATGAATTTTAGTGATCTAAGAGAGCAAACAGAGGCAGAGAGAGGAGATGGGATTGGAGCCGGCATGTGAAATTGAAGGTACGGCGATCCACTAACCTTACTAGTGTCGGAATGCTCATGGTCTACAAACGAGGATGTTCGAACGATGAGTAATGAAAGTTATGAGAGAAATCAACACGTAATGTATAGCAGCAGCAACAGCAGCAGGGAGAACATCATGTCCCAGATTCTAGTACTCTACCAGCACTATACCCAGAACTATACTCAAACCTAGACTCAGATCGAACCTATACCCAGGGCTATGCCCAAGACCAGCTAGTTAGTAAGTGGTTCCTCTAGACAGAGCACCAGGAGTTTACAGTCATGGCAGAGTATGGTATAATATAATGGCGTGTAGTATGGTAGAGATAGAGGATATGAGAGGATAGTAGCAAATGCTGAAACCCGACGCCGCTCGCTCGGATGCCCTTGAAGATTGATCGAAGGCACGGCACCTAGGTGACAGGTCCTAGGGTTTGATCGTGCCAGTCTCAGAGTCCGGGATCTCTGAATTATATTCCTCCAGCGAGTCGCGGTCCGGCATGTCGGCATCCTTGGGAATTTCCATCTTCATCATGGTTTGGAGGAAGGCTTTGCCCCACTTGACACTGTTTCCCGGGATTTCATATGTAAGCTTCCGTCGTATAAACGTGTATATCTGCCCTGTGCTTGCTGGGGACGGAACACTACTCACCTCGTCCAAGTATCCACAACGTGCATCATCTCCTTGTGCCTCTTCGCCCTCTCTTCTATACCCATGTTCAACGCCTGGTTGATCCTTTCGGCAAACCGAGGTGCGTCCCAGGGGTTGAGAAGAATCACGGAAGATGGGGGCAGAGTCTTGATCGCCCCGGCATAGGTCGACATCATCAGGACACCCTTGCGTTCTTCCTGGCATGCCGCATACTCATAGCTCACCAGATTCAAGCCATCTCGGATGGAGGAAATGATGCAGACGTCCGAGACTGCATACAGGGCACAGAGTTGTTCCGGCTTTACTGAACGGTGTAAATAGTGGATGGGCGTGTGCTTAAATGTTGCTATATTTTCAAGGGTCAGTATGTTGGAGACAAGACCCAGCTGGAGTCTTTTGAAGCAGAGTCCTACCGTGCTTGCCATTGATACGGCCGACAAGAAGTTCGACCTCCTCCCGCAGCCTTCGATACGCGTCCACATCTTCTCGGGTTGGAATGGCCAATTGGATCATGACGACTTTCCCCACCCACTCGGGGTGGTCCGTCAAGAATCGATCATAGGCGCGTAATTTCTGCGGGATGCCTTTGATGTAGTCAAGCCTGTCGACTCCGAGAATGATCTTCTGGTCGTCAAACTCCTCGCGGAGGTTGGCGAGTTCTTGCTTGACGGCGTCTGTTTCCAACTTCTGTTTCCACTCGTCTGCTTCAATGCCAAGAGGGAAGCCGTGTACAATCACCTTTCGGCGGTTCCAATGTAGGTCACTGGGGGATTTCGACACGCCCTTGAGGACGATGCGGGCGCTCTCCAGAAAGTCCTTGGCGTACTGATTGGTGTGGAAGCCTACCACGTCACAGAGAAGTAAACTCCTGCAAATCTGCTCCCGGAATGGTAGGATGGTGAAATAGTCCTCGGTGGGAAAGGGCGTGTGCAAGAAAAATCCAATTTTGAGATTCTTTTTCTTACTCAGTCGCTCACGCAAGATTCCTGGGAGGAGCAGGAGGTGGTAGTCGTGGACCCAGATCATATCGTTATCCTCCACGTAGGGAACGATATTATCCGCAAAGATTTCGTTGACCTCTTGGTAGGCTTTTGACCATCTCTCGTCCGAGCCAGCCTGGTCGGGCATACGATGCAACAGCGGCCACAAGATTGAGTCTGTCAGTCTGAGTTAGAGAGGGTCACACGATGGCGATGTTGATACAGGTCCGAGAGAAGGGAGGCCGAAGGCGATGACAATGACAACGACATGGATGATGAATCGACGTACTGGAAAAGCCGTTGTAATGCATTTCGGCAAGGGTTTCAGACAGGAAGATGGGGACGGCATTAAAATTGTCTTGCAGATGTCGACGCACTTTGTCTTTGTCATTGCGATGCACGTCGATGCCCGGCCAACCGAACCACTTGAAATCAATGGCCTTTGCCAGGCCCTTGAGTCCAGAAACTAGGCCACCAGAGGACATGCTGTACTCAAACTCGCCCTCTTGAGTGGTCTTTATGGAGATGGGCACACGGTTGGCCACCACCAGAACGCGGCCTTCGAAGTCCGGGTCGACGCTGTCCATTATGTTGAAGGTTCAGCGAAAATTTTCTCTTGAAAATAGATGGCGGAGATCGAGATCAGAAAAACCACACGAATATCTTGTAGGACTCTTTTGGGTTGGTAACTTGACTGAAGTGAAGATGGACATTTCGCATATGGAACGTGTTTTAATCTGATATTGCAAGGCCCAGACCTGGTGGGCCAGGCGAGCAATGATGTCAGAATAACAAGCCAGAAATACCTTTACGAATGCCTTGCATCGAGTATGACGAGAAAACCTTCAGCTAAGTGGCCGAACGCAATCCAGAGCCACAGGGAGGGACAAAACCGGCCAGAATACGGCATTGAAAATCCGGACACATAACGGGGCGGGTTGGCCGTTTCCCTCGGGGCAAAAGATCTGCACATGTTTTCGATGTCATGCTCAGCAGCGGTCGCCGGAGGAGCTTCCTCCTGGATGAACCTGGTTTCGACACAGATATGATGGAAATGGGTGGCAAAGGCACTGAGGGAGAATTCCCGTGGAGCGAGGAGAGTCCTGTAAGCGAAACATGTGGTGCGTTTGTCTGGCAGAATGAAGAGGAGGAGGAGGAGGCGGAGGAGGTGGAGGAGGAGACTGGAAGTCATTTCCCCCGATGCTCGATGATATGGAGAAACGATCCATCCACTGAGACAAACCAAGTACGAAAAGGTGCCCAAAGCCACCAGACGCCACACTCGGTAGGGATTCCGTGCCGAGTACAAAGCGATATACTTGGTAGGTAATAGGTACGGGGGAAACCAGTAGGCAGCCATATTAGTGGAAATCGACTTGCTGGCGGAGGTTGCCGGCGAGGTCGATGAGGTCATGCAGGCTTGGCAAAGTTGACAAGGCTGCCACCCTCGTATGAAGGAAGGCCATGGAGTCGGGTCCATCTATACAAGTATCGGGTTACATAGTTGCTACACTAGCAAAACAGCCTCCATAGACGACAGACGTGAGTACAACACATACATGGTGGAGATGATCCCCGTCATGTACATCCTTCCACCCGCTCGCTATCAATACACAATCCAATATATACAGCCTCTCCCATATCCGAGACAAATAAGTCATATGGCGGCCCACTCTGTCCCTGTCCTGCCCTGTCCCATATCCTCCCTGGTACATTTTTCCACCCCCCCCGTCATAGTCAAACACATCAATCTCATTCAAACATGGCGAGCAAGCCACGGCTCCCAGACACAGCGAGGTGTCTTCGAATGACAATATCGCCATTTCTCCGGACCAGCTTTGTCGAGGTGAAGTCCAGCTTCGGCCTCGTATCTCCAGAAAATGCGTCATGTGCCGCGGCTCTTCTGACGTGAGACGCAAAGACAATAAAACACAATCATGCCCCAACCTAATTGTGACGCCAGAAAGAAGGGTATCTCTGCCCTCTTGCCGCTGCGAGGGCCATGCGCCGTCGCCCGATGGGCTCGTCTTATCTCTCCTTCCGACCTCATATGTGCTTCTCATAACTTCCCAGGATCCCCTTGTGCCATGGTTTCGACAATGCCCAGCCACTCCTGCGCGTTCACTCTTCCCATGTCCGCCTTCAAGACGGCCCTTTCCAGAACTCTCTCAACAAGGCCGAATCTAGGTACCCGCGAACCTTGTTCCGCATTCCGAACGTAACTCAACACCATCCATCCTTGGGTGGCCATGGCCTGCCGTTGTAACACCGAGCCGGGGTATACCAGCATCTGCCCCGTCGCCGCAACCAGTAAGGTGATTGCCATGGAGAACACATCCGAAGCTGGTGTGGCTGTGGACGTGGGGTCCCGGAGAACTTTGGAGTTGAGAAGCTCGGGGGCGGTATATTCTCTGGTGACGGCTGAGAGCGTATTTGCTGTCATGTCCTCCATGTCAAGCCGCTGGGCCGAGGAGAAGTCGGCGAAGACTGGCCGACAGGATACGTCAGTTCCCGACCCGTGGACACACGTCAGGAGGATGTTGCCAGGTTTGATGTCGCCGTGGACGACTCGTGCATCACGGTGGAGCCACGCAAGGGCGGAAATGAGCTGCCGTGCCAGATGAAACCATTTCGCATCGCTGCCGAGGACTGGGTCGGCCATGGTCCAAGTGGACAAGGTTTGGGAAGCCACGGCTGCACATTGTCGGATGTGGTCTTCGAGACTGAAGGGGATGGCTTCGAGAATAAGGGTGGTTTCGTCGACGGTGCCGTAGAAAGGAACGACGTACTTTTCGCTATTTGCGATGGAATGGAGATGGCTGAGCACTTTGGCTTCGCTTTTCAAAATGGAGATTGCGTCTCGGCGCGCAGGTCTCTTGACTGCTACGAGGGCCGGAGTCGCAAGTGCCGGGGAAAGCGGCGGTGTCAAGGAGCCTGAGACGGTCCTCACTTGGACATGGGTGGTGGCTTTGTAGACCGTGCTCCAGGCGCCGGTCCCGAAGACAGCGTCTTGACCACGTTCGTCTTTGAGGATCTCAATGTCAAAGGGACATTCGCCGACCCTTGTCTCGGGCAAAGTGCTCTGACCGACGGCAGCGGTTTGGATGGGGTGTAATGTGGCATCCTTCAACTTCAGCGGAAGTTCCAGCAGAGAATGAGTCGGCACTGCGGGAATGGTCGTCGCCAGTTCTGAGATGTTGGAAGAGGACCGGCTCTGACGTGGGGAGGTGGGCGGAGTCAGGGCCGAAGTGTGGGTATGTGCGTGTGGCAGCTTGGATTCGGCGCCGGGCTTGGTCTTGGGAGTGGTGGGAGGCGTACTCATGGTCCGTGGGAGAGGAGAAGGTGGTCGAGCAACGGCCATTTTCCTATTCTGTTCAGGTGTTAAGGCGCTGCAAGTATACAAGTAGACGGATGCTCATCAGAGACTGCGTGGCGGCGATCGAGAGATGGTGGTGAGGCTCATTTTGACTACAAAAGACTGGGAAAATCCTGCGACCAGTGTGTGGCTCGAGAGGGTGGAACGTTTCGAGGGCCGTGGTTCAGGCAGAAGTCAGTGCTCCATTTTTTTTGGGGGGGGGGGGGTTTTTTGGGTCGTACGGAGCAGGCGAGCAGATGGTGTGAGGCTCAAGAGACTCAGACTCGCTCGATCCGACTCTGGCTGGTTGGCAGATCGGGAAGAATAGGAATGCAAAGAAACAGAACAATTGAAATCGAGGGCAGAGGATAGAAATATGATAAGGTCTCAACGGGTGCTGGGGGGGGGCAGAGATAATGGAAAAAAAAAAGGGAAAGATAACGAGAAAGGGTGAAACGGTTGGAATCTGGGGAAGTTGTTGGTTGAGGTTTGAGGTTGAGGTCGGTCGATCGAGGTCGAGGCTGGGCAAACAGGAAAGGAAACGGAACAGACGGAGCTGGGCAACACCATGTCAGTGGTTACGTTGCCAATGGCTGCAATCTCAGGTAATAAGAATAACTGGACTTATAATCGCTCCAGACGTCAAGAGGCAGACGCCAGAATCTGTGTGACGGTGACATCAGACACCAAGCGACCAGGCGATCAAGCGACCACTTCCCGCCACCACCGCCGCCGAGCCGGCCTGATAAAGCTTGAAACTTCTCGTACCAGCAAGTAATACTAACCAAAGCATCCACTGGCTCGTCCCTGGCAAAAACGTGGGGCTGGTGACCGTGCCATTGGGTCGAGAGGTACGGGACGAACTACCAGAACTGTCACTTGTACTCGCTACCGCGTACCTCGTACTGTTGCTGTGTTAAGATATCTCCACCACTAGACCAAAAAAGAGGGGGGGACTAGAACAAGAGACCAGACTCCGGTGTGGTGTTTCTGAGAACAGAGCAATCATATACTTGTACTGGTCAAGACTGGTGTACCTCGTGCTGCAGTACAAGTAGCTAATATGACCGAGTACTCCCCCGTACTCGCTACAAATACAAGTACTTAGAATCAAATGGAAGCAGGCACAGAAATCCATCCAGCTGCCCGCCCTTCTCTCTCCCTACCAAGTACAGTACTTGTTACAGTACTTTGTTATACTTGCAGCACTGGCACCACCCCAGTCCACTCTCCCCGCGCTCTCTCTTCCCAATATCCTTCCTTCCCCGTCCTCAACCTCCACACCACCTCGTCGCCCAATTCCACCTTCGAGAACCATCTCGGCTTCCACTCGTCGCCGCTGTCCTCCAATTCCCTCCTCCGCGCCCGCTGTGCCTCCTCCAACTGATTCTTGACCTGTTCCGCCGTTTCGTGATCCCCGCTTTCCAGCGCCATTTGGTCTGGCCGGAGACGGCTGTCCGTGGGCGCCACTCTCCCACGTTCCGCTTCCGTCACTTCGTTCAGCTGAGCCGCGAAGAGCGTCATGCCATAATGCTTCGGCGCATTCTCCACCAGCGGTCCCGCCGACCAGATGGTCGTCCTCTGGCCCAGCTTGCCCGGCTCCTTCAACTGCAACGACTGGGTCCATGTGCCGCTCAGACCCATTGAGAGCTCCTGCCCCTGTCCGTCGATTGTTTGCACCTCGACTTCTTCGCTACGGCCCGAAAACATGCCTTTGGCTTTGAACGAGACAACCGCTTTGTGACCCGCAGACTCGTTGTAGATGGTCATAGTGCCCGTCGGTTCCACGTATTTCTCGCCTGCGATGATGTTGCGTAGGAAACACGTTGCCGCCGACCAACTGAATACTTCACCCGTACTGTGAAGCACCAGCCGCGCTTTCCCTTCGTTGATGATCTCCGACGACTTGCCCCAGAATTTCTGCGACGGCAAAGGTGACTGAGTGAATGTCCAATTCTCAGACTCGGCATGCAGTGCAAGCTGCACAGGACGGTGCGATACCTTTTCGGAGATGAATCGGAACCCCCGGTCCTCCCGGACCAGTTCAAACGTCTCCCCAAGCATCGGATTGAATGGTTTACGGATTGATCGTTCTTTGACTCGCGTGTTCGAAAGCGACGAGATAGCAAATGCCGCCACGTGCATGAGTCGCTCAAAGGCATCGCTGGATCGGACGGCGTTGTCCAGCAATTGAGAATATTCAAGTTGCTCGGCTGCTCGCTGCAACAGGGACAAAGGCTCGTTCGCCGATACTGGCATTGAGATCGTCGACAGGTCTTTGCCCACGTTCTTGCGGAGGAATCCTATAAGACTGGGGGGCATGATTGTCGGGGCGGCTATGTTCTCTCGTCTAGGGATCGGATCCAGCGGCAACGGCGCCAATGATCTGGCCCGAGGAGGAAGATATGAAAACACGCTCCCCGATCGGCGCCTCACTGCGTGAATCGAGTCTTCCCCAACGTCGCTGCTGGTCGCAGAGCCTTCGTCTTCCTCGGCGGTCTCAACTTCATGATCTGTATCACTGTGAATATCGAGCACATGGTTATGATCTTCTGCATCAAAATACTCCTGTGAGTCGACCGTCTGGAGGCTCAATCGTGAAACCGCAGACTTCGGAGGTGTGGTGCGCCGAACCTTGCTCTCGGCCATCAACAGAGAGAATTCACTGACCACCCCGTCGAGATCATGAAGTAATGCCCGGCAATGATCATACATGCTTTCTTCGTGATGAATGAGAGGTCGCGACGTCGAAGGCACTGTTGGAGGAGGAGGCGTCCCATTTCGCAGGATTGGCTCGACACCGGGGAGCGGCACGGCTAGCTGCGCAGAAACGCTGCGTTTAAAGATACTGGCCTGGCTATTAGTCGTACTGACTTTGCGCTTCCAAAATGGTCGCCTCTCGTCTTGTTTGAAGTAATCGTCTCCATTCGGTGCCTCCGTGGGCGTGGTGCTGGCAGAAGTTGCTCCAAGTTTCGGAGAATGTAGCGACCCCGGCTGCGCCAACGTATCCAGACAGAGGCGGCGCACAGCATCTCGTGTGCCTGATATTCTACTGAGCAGTGTCTCCAGCCTCGCCCATTCCTGCTCTTCACATGCGGATTTCTCCCCGTCGGTGTTGTCACCCATTTCAAGGCGTAGATTGTCGACCGGCGTTTTGGATTCTAGCATGAGCCGAGTCGCAGTCTCCAAAGCCCGTTTCCATGATTCAAAATCTGCATCGTTGTTCGCCTTAAGATGCCAGAGTTCGGCCCCGGAGTCGATTGAAATTTCTCGCGTTTTGCTGTTGGCTGAGATGGCAGCCAGAGAGAGGGGAATGGCACCACGAAGAGCTGAAGAGTTACGATCGCGGTAATACGACAAGGTCGAAGTGGTGTAGTCCAAGCAAAAGAACCTCCGCGCATATCCTTGATGTTTTTTTCGCCTCAGCTTTTGCAACACTCCCGTGTGAATCGAAGAAGGGTCCTCTGCAAGTTTCCTTTGGTCGGGAACCGGTGCAATAGTACCACCGGCAGATTGGCTAATGGAAGCCTGTCTGAGGGAGTCGACGGATTCTTTATCCCTAGCTTTCAGTTTAGGACTTCTCTTGAAAAACTGGGAAGAGGTGTTGGCTATGGCCATTGCCATGGCCATTGACTGCCCATGGTGCAACTGCGCGCCAAACTGGATCTGCGATTGACATGCCGTGGGGTACGTGAGGAGGAAGATTGTCGCCGTCTTAGAGATGCTTTTGGAAAAGGTGTTGTCGAAGACCAACGCATAGTTCCCACCCTCACCCAGACGTACTTCGTGCTTCCCCTGGGACACCCTGTCGGCCTCACATTTGCCTATCCATCTTACCACCTTCAGACCAATGCTCGTCAACTTCTCGATCGCAGTGGAGTGAGTATCGGGCTTCTCTTTATCATCGTCGACGGCCGCATTATCCGGTGAAGGAGGCGCCAAGGAGGTAGACGAAGAGGAATGCAGGTTCGAGAGTGGTCCCGGATGCTTGAACAGGCCGAGATTGATGGATTTCTTGTGAGGCTGAATGGTCCAGGAGATGGTATGCTCTTGTTTGACATTGACCCAGCGGACCAGGTAGTTCTAAGCTTGCGGTCAGTACTCCGTAATCCAAGCGGCAGACAGGTTGAGGAGCGCACCCTTGAATGGACCTCGATCTGCTCAAGGCCAGCCATAGGGAAAAAGATCTATCCTTTTTAAACTCTTTGATACCAGACTATTCTTCGAGTCATGATCGTTGTAGTAGTATATGGTCGAATGTCCACAACCCTGTCTATTTTATCAATGTAAGAGGTACTGCGGTCGCATTCAGGCGTCAGGGGAGCCTGTCGATCTGGCCTTGTTGGTGCAAACGACGAAAGGGAGGTCGAGCCAGACGCACTTTCCAGTGTCGCTTGCGCAATAGTCCTGGTATAAATGCTCGTGCTTTTTGAACTCCGGGCGACTGATGTTGGTGTTTTCGGAGCTGGACGTGAGAAGGTGCCGAGAGCACTGATCAGCGGCATTTCTGGGGGGTATGAAAATCGCCCGCTTCGCGGAAGACATCTGACATAAACACAGCATAACCGAACTGGGGGCGATAATATGCAACTGTCAATCATCACTTCGTATTGCCGGCATGATGCGGCCTTGTGGGAAATCCCCAGCCAGTCACCAGTGACTTCAAGATATCCCCAAGCATTCTGACCAATTCTCTCTATTAACACGTGCACCGAAAAAAAAAAAAAAAAAAGAACCGAAGAATCATCCAACCCTAACACCATGTGGAAAGACGGGATTCACTTCTGCTGGTACAAGTATTTAAGATATTCTTCGGGTCATGTTCGAGGCGCCTGCCTACTACGACTCGATCTGACCATCAGCATGTGCCTGTTGCGTGGCCCCCTTATCTGGCGTCCATCGACAGCTTCTTGATCCGCTTGCTTCGCCCTGAATCCTCCTTTGTTTCCTTCCTGCGCTTGGTGCTTTTGCAATTGCCTCCTTTGGGTCGATATCCGCCATCAGCGTCTCGTTTCCTCTTTCCTCTCAATGTCGATCCATTGTCCAAAGCAATACCATCCTCATCATAATATTCCTGTTCCAGTTTCAAAGATTCCTTGTTTGCCGATTTGCGCGTAGAACTCCGTGATCCGGTGGCTCGAGGCGTCTTTTCTGTGCTGGCTTCATTGTCCTGGAGGAATACTTGAGGCTGATGCTTTCGGAGCCAATTGTAGACAGACACCGGGTTTTTCAATTGTGTTTCCCGTTCACGCTCTGCTGTCTTTTCTGCATTCCGATTCCCCAGACTGTTGGCCACATGTGGCCTAGGAATAGTCGCCGTGCCCTCGAGGAATGCATCCAACCCTTGCAGGTATTGCTCTTCCTGTTTGGTCGACAACAAGCTGCACGAAACGGCATTGCTCGGGTCCATCTTCTCGAACGATTGAGCAGGAGTAGGTGCCATTGAGAGCAGTGAAGCGTACGAACGACTGGGGGCAAATTCTGGAGTCTTGAGGAGCGCTACTTCGATTTCTCTGTATCTTGCCAGGGTGATTTCTCCAGCTTGTAGTTGTGTTCTGGCCTTTCTCAGACCTAAGTGTCCGTCTTCTTCAGATACTGGAGGTTTCAGATTTTTGTCACCCGAACCACCCTCAGCAGGAGACCGAAGATCGTAACGTAGCCTTTGCGGCACTTGGGGGCACGAATTGAGCTCAACAAGCAGCTGGAGCAGCTGGCTGATTCGAAGTCAGTAAAAGAAAAACACATTGCATCCCCTGGCCTTACTCGGTCTGCTCAGCTAGCCGCAGAGATATGTCCATGATCCGCTGCTCTTCCTTGAACAGTAAGTTTCCCTCCCTCATCTTCTCCTCAAACGTGACCATAATTTTGCGATACTTGCGTCTATAGGCGGGGGTTAGAACACACGATCGAAGACGGGGTTTTGGCCGACAAATACCTGTACGATTTCCTGGACGAGGGAGGCTGATCGGAGACGACTGTGGCTTCTTCCCCTGGGACATGGTCTTCTACCGGTCCCATCGAAGACATGGTTTGCTAGGCCTCTGTGAAATAACGGCTGTTGGGGGCACCGGAATAGATCTCTCGCGATCGAGACCGAGTTAAGGATGCGTGTTGGTGAAAGAGAGTGCTTGGGGACTTTGAGGGTGCAGGCTGGGGAAAGCGTCCAGCGCGTTTTGGGTTTGCGGAGCACTTCCGCGGACGAATTGTCAACTAGAGAAAAGAGGTCCGCAAGGAATTTTCAGAACCGATTACATTTAGACAATTTTGCCAGTTGTGGCCGACATCCAAGCAGGCAAATCTCAAGGTCGTATACTCAAAATGAGTAGTACGGAACTGGAGATAGCAACGTCGAAGTCTATCAATCGAAAGAGAAATGCAGAGACCGCGGAAATCGAGATAGACGTAGAGGCACCTGAACCTCCATCTAAGAAGGCCCTCCGCAAAACAAAGAAAGCAAAAGTATCTAATGGCAGCAAGTCGTCCTCAGGGGCAAAGAAGGAAACATCATCCACAGAACCACAAGATGCACCTCACAAAGACTCTACACGCTCTGGATACGGGATTTGGGTTGGGAACTTATCTTTTGGCACTACGAAGGACGACCTTGTGAGCTTTCTGACCTCCAGTTCAACGAACGTCATTCGCCGAAATCAGATAACCAGGATTCATCTACCTCAAGGGCTGCCCAAGTTTGGCAGAGCACAGAATAAAGGGTTTGCCTATGTCGACTTCTCAGACCAACAGTGCATCGACACAGCCCTCAAGTTTACGGAATCACTTCTCGGCGGCCGCCGTGTACTAATAAAAAACGCGAAGAATTTCGACGGCAGACCCGAGCAGAAAAGAGACTCAGTCGAGAAGCAGTCCCAGCCCCCAAGCAAGCGAATCTTTGTTGGGAATCTGGATTTTACCACCACCGTGGAGGATCTCGAAGCGCATTTTGGAGTATGTGGACCGATCGCCCATACCCATCTGGCTACATTTGAGGATTCGGGGAAGTGTAAGGGATTCGCTTGGATCGATTTCGAACAACTAGTGTCCGCAGGAAAGGCCATGCGAGGCTGGGCTACTCCAGGAAATAGTGCCGAGGAGGCGCCTACGAATTCAAAGTCGTCAAAGAGCAGAGTCTTGTTGCACAGGCTTCATGGCCGCAAGTTGAGGATGGAGTACGCTGAAGACAAGGCCACTAGGTATGAGAAGAGGTTCGGAAAGACAGCGAAAAAGGCGGCAGCAGGAGACGGAGAATCGAGAGAAGACGGTGGCATCGTCAAAGTAGATGGCGGACAGGAGAAGCCAAAACCCATCCACGACAACAAGAACACAAATCTCAACAAGTCCCAAGGGAAATACTCAGAGGAGACGGTGCAGAGACTGACGGGTGCAATTATCGAGAGTAAGGGCCAACGAACAGTCTTTGCGTAGGTAGCAGACATGCCTACTCGGTACAAGTACAGTTAGGTTCTGGCAGCTCGACAGGTATCATCCGATGCATTACAGGGCACGAGATCCATGGAGTGACAAAGAGCCCAAGGCGCCGCTCTTCGGGCGTTCCAAGCGAGCTAGGCCCTAGGAAGTTAGGCTCACTAGGCATCCTTCTGGGCTGGGCTTCTGCCCATGACGAAAATCTGGGGCAATGGTCCGATCGAGTTTAGTAGCTATACCCTCAGGCGGCTTTCAGGTCTCGCCTCCGGTCAAAAGACACTTTTGCTGGCGAATGCAAGGGCATCTTGTGCCTCTTCGACCGCGCACTGATTTCATTATCACTGGCTCCAAAACATCAGAGACCTCATAAGTCGACCTCCTTTTGAGTGGTTCTGCATCTTCTCTTTCTTTCGGCGCAACCTCGAGATGGGTGTTACGATCCTGTAAATGGTCTTTCGCCGAAAAGTTCCCATCGTCCTACTTCCGTCCAGTCGAGACTTGAGTGCTCGACAATCGAGAATGATTTATCCTCATCTCTCCTAAGTCCCCTTTACATCGCGTCTCGAACCCCTCCGATCCGAGATTTTCAATCACATCCGGAATCACTACGAACATGCCCGCGTCCCGACGGAAAAATCTGCTCGCGAGCAGACGGCGGCGACAAGATGAAGGAGAGGAAGAAGGATCTGTCCTAGGTGATTTTGAGGATGATTCTTTGAGCGAGGGCTCCGCGGTGACGAATGGCGATGACGGAGAATTTGAAGGTAGTGAGTCCAGCGGAGACGAGCGAGACCCGGTTCAAGAAACTACATCAGCAAGAGCAGCTGCAACAGGGCGAGATCACAGAGGCCATGATCTTGTAACCTCTAATGAGGACTCCTCAAAATCTAAGGGTACCTTTAGACACTCGGCTGACACCGAAGCCATGTTGCACGGGTTGAGTCAAGTTCAGCAGCCGCAAGAGATGGAACAGCTGCAGTTTGACAATTTGCCTGCTTCGACGGATGCTGGTGTGGTCCAGGCCGGTGCCGCTCCACCAAAGGTTCTTCGACAGGAGACTACTGCTCAGCGCTCTCGCAGGGAGCATCAGGAGTATATCCGGCAGAGAAACGCAAACCCCGCCTTTGTCCCTACCAGGGGTGGATTCTTCCTCCATGATGACCGGAACTCGTCCTCCATCGGGCTGAACTCGAGACCTTTCGCGCGAGGCAGAGGTCGGGGCTATGGAGCTGCAATGGGCACAGGGTGAGTGGGAAAAATGAGACGCTTGATCCGTCTACTAACCTGTGAAGACGAGGAATCGGTTTCAATGAGCCGACAGACAAGCCTTGGGCGCATGATCTCCATGAAGAGCATGAAAACAAGACCAAACCAATGCACCCAGAAACCAGGCCAATTCCTGCGCCAGCTGAAACGGGGAAGGAACAGAACAAAGTTAAAGCCACTTCGACGGCTCCGAATCGATCATTTTCCTTCGCGTCCATTGTGGGAAATGTCAACGTCCAAATATCATTTCCAGGCATGGCTGAGAAGATCATGGTACCAAATGTCGTCAAGAAGCACCATGTTTTGCTTCCGCAGCATCGCCCGCCACTGAGAAGAGACAAGCCTGTACGTGTCTCTATCCCTGGTGCAGCGCCGCGATATATCTTTCCTAGCGTGGATCGATCGTTCATCTTCATTCCACGGGCTTTACGCCCTAATCAAACAGGCTTCGCACGCGGTCGTGGCAGAGGCAGCTTTCAAGGAAGTCGCAGATCGAGCATATATGGTGGAGGATATACTCCAAGTGTTGCCATGAGCCGGAAGTCTTCCATGGGAGCATCCACCTTGGGAGAAGGCATCAAATCTCCTGCAGACTCGGTCATTACTCGCGCTGTCGCCACCGGCAATGAAAGCAGCCGGCCAGTGGTCCGTATGCCCTCTGGGGCTCCTACGCCATCTCTCTCAAGGACTGGGTTACCGGTGATGAATGGCCAGGTGCCGATAAATGCAGCACCGACACAAATGCAAGCGCCTGCGATGTATGGGAGTCACCCTGCTGCCATTCCCATGCACCAACCCCGTCCCCAGAAAACTGTCTCGGTGGCACATATCGAGTCACCGGCTGCATATCATTTCAAAGCTCCGCAGCAGCAGCAAGACCTAGCGTTTCATCAACAAGTCCCCGCCCACATCTCAAACCCCTACATGGAGGATAAGACTGCTGCCCCATCTGGTCAGCCGATATTTTCGGGAATGGCTGGAGTGACACCTCTTTCGCAGATACCAGAAGGAGCGGTGTTTGCACCAGGCTTTCAACCATACCCAGTCATGGGTGGGACGGCATATTTCGGGGGCCCTTACAGCAATGGAGCTGTTTTCTATCCACCAATTCCTGATGCCAGCTCTTTTGGAGTTTCGATGGCAGGCCCAGCACTGGCACCGAGTTTCATTCCCGGTTCGCAATCACACCCGATGAGCTACTTGCCTGCCGCAGGACTTGTGGAAGGCAATATGTTGGCGCACGAGTCGAACGGCATGGTCTACTACTACAACTCGACTATGTTCGCTCCTGAAGCTCAGGGCGGAATGCAGCAATTCCCAATTGCTCCCAACGGAAACATGATGCCACTGAACAATGGAATGCCGGCTCAAGCTCCCTATTACTACTCTTCTGCCCCTGCTGGCATGTTCTATCCTGCGCATTCTGGCTGATCTGTGGTCGTTGGAGTCTTCATTTCTCCTTTCATTGAATTAGGTCGACTTCTTTTCCTTTTTTAGCGGGTTATGGAGTATGGAGCATTAATGCTTTTGGTGGGAGGGAGATGGGTTTGTCGACTCTAAGGATCCTTCGAAAAGGATGACCTTTTCCCCTCTGTTTTCTTTCATCATGGCTTCGAGATATCTTTTACCATATTCTTCATGTACATTATATCTCGTGCTTCAAAAGAGAACTTGTCGATGATTGCTAGAGTTCTTGGGGGGCGGGCACAACAAGGCCACAGAAAGAAAAGGAAAAGCTCGAAGGCTGTTTACGGATCCGCCTGTCGATTTGGAAGTGGTACGAGGTACTGGTTGAGCGGATTTTCGAATCATCAGGACGAGGCTGTCAGCGATCTACCTGAAGATGGTCGAGCCTCATCCATGGCCGCATGAGTCGACGAAGGTAGTTCTGCCTCTGGAAGCGGGTTTTCTTTTGCTAGGAAGAATGAAAGGAGGGTTCTATGCTCAGGTTAGGGTGCGCTGCGTAATATTTGACAGAGGCGATGATTGTCTGGGCGCCGATGTGCTTTTGCCGAAAGCTTTGACCAGGTCCGTACCGAGTACTAGCAAAGCATTAGCAGAGCGAGCAACCGGTGAGGAATGTTGACTTTGAACGAGAAATGTGGTTGGCGAATCGTAGCGGCGAGACCGTCATCCGCCTTGCCGGTGCCATCTGGGTGCGATCGAAGCCACTGAGTTTTGATTTGGTGCTGCCTGTCAACCGGCGTCACGTGAATGCAGTGGAGTGAGGCCCAGAGGTCGAGCGTGAAGGTTGTCTCGGTCTCTTGCTCTTCCCCGCCTCGACGGGGACTGACTGATTGCCTCAGCCAGGCTGCGAGCTTTCCACTGCACCCGTCATCTCTCGACGGCCTGTCTGTTTGACCACCTTCCACAACCTCCCATCCCATCACCCTGACCTCCTTTGCGTCCTCATCCCAATCTCCCCGTGTCTTCTCGAAACATATAGGGAGATATACCCTCTTCATGTCCGCTACCTTTTGAGGTTTTTCTCGCACCCGATCTGACCGACTCTTTGCAACCTGCCCGCAGGGTGCTACGGTCAAACCCACCTGACACCGCCTACCCCAGCGTTTCCTTATCACCAATCATGGCTACACCTCATCCTCACATAGGCCCCGTTGGCCCTGACACTCTTATCACGATCAAGGTCATTATCGACGGGACAAACAGAAGATTCAAGCTCGCTCTGCGGGATCTCGGTGCCAACGTGCTCCCACAAAAGGTGCGTAGATCTATCTATCCGTGTCAGCCTGAGAATTGAACCTCCCTCGGCTGGAACTTGGGTCACTTAACCCTGCTTCGGACCACGACGCTCGAGTGAAGAGAGAGCTAACTCTTCCTCACACCTGCAGCTCCGAACCCTGCTTGCCATCCCTCCGGAGCAAGACGTTCGCTTCGACCGATTCTCTGATTCTCAGGCAAGGTACATTACGCTTGATAGCAACGACCCTGCCATCTACAAGCAACTCTATCGGGCAGCGAAGGCGAAACTCAAGCTACGTTTGAGGGCGACTGTTGAGGGAAAACCTGCGAGAGACAGCCTCGCCCAAGACATTGATATGGCCCAGAACAAAGCTGTTGTGAAGGACGGTGCCGACTCCCAGCCTGAGCCGAGGAACAACTTCCTTGAGACTGTTCTCTCCCAGCCGGTGGGCAACAGTGCGGCACCCCCTTTCAAGGCATTTCAGAAGACCTGCCAATACTCTCCCAAATGTGCCATTCCAGGAGCCTTTGATCTCGATGTCAACACTTTCGGCACGGAACAGGCTGTCAACAATCCTCAGGGTAGTCAAAGCGATGTGTACAGTTTGCCGACTCTTCCTTCCATGAATGACTTCCCTTCCACCTCGTACACAATCGACTGCAACCATTGTGGCATGCCTGTCCCAGACGAACATTATCACTGTGGTATCTGCGAGGGCGGTGACTTTGATCTCTGCAAGCCTTGCATTGACGCTGGAATCACCTGCGATGGTGACGAGCACTGGTTGTTGAAACGAACCATCCGTAACGGAATCGTCGTCACCAGCACCACCGAGACTCTCCCCCCCAAGAAATTGTCCAAGGCAGCTGCCGGTTCCTCCAGCGAGTTGACCACGCCCATCAGTCCGGAGCACGATGATACAGAGCTCACTTGCAATTCATGCATTTCCCGTAGGTGCAGACACGAACAGACAATTATATCGAGCACTGACAACGTCTTAGAAATGCCGGCCCGTGAATTTGTCACCTGCCAGGAATGTCCCGATTACGACCTCTGCCTCTCTTGTATGCAGGATGGTGAACACGGCCATGACCCATCTCACAGCTTTGAGGCACGAGATCCCGATGCATTGAAAGACGAGCCGGCCATCAAAGCTTTGTGCGGCCCTGGACGTGGTGTCCGCCATGAAGCCATATGCGATGGCTGTGATCAGGTGGGTTCACACCTATTTCTCCCACTTACGGATCTGACATTTGTTGTAGGCCATTTATGGTATCCGTCACAAGTGTTTGACATGCCCAGACTTCGACTATTGCTCCGCATGCTTTGGTTTTGCTGATGAGAAACACCCCGGGCACCGCTTCGCGCCTATCTACGTGCCTATTAAGGTAGTGAACGCCACCAAGCACATCCATCGTGGTATCTATTGCGACGGGCCACTGTGCACATCTTACAAGCGTTACATCACCGGTGATCGGTACAAGTGTGCTGTCTGCCACGACACTGACTTCTGCGCAAACTGCGAAGCTTGGCCCAACAACCCGCACAATCCATCTCATCCTTTGATCAAGTTCAGGCAACCCATCCGACATGTGTCAATCCGGACTCATCAAGAGAACGAGCTCGGTCAACAGATCGCCCAGTCGGGTGACCGCCCAATGGCGAAGAACGCCGCTACTGAGACCACTCGATCTACCTCTGCCAACGCTGCGACTCAAGTTCAGACTGTCGCCGAAGTCGATCCTGTTGAGACCGCTCCGGCAATGGTTGAGATTGCTAAGGCCGACAATGCGACGTCTGCAAGTCCGGTCACGAGCGATCTTCAAGCCTGGTACGTTACCGATTCGACCCCAGATGGTTCGAGATTCCCTCCCAATCACTTTATTTCTCAATCCTGGACCTTGCGCAACCCAGGTCCTGAGGCCTGGCCAGCCGGCTGCGCCGTCTACTACATTGGTGGTGATGACATGCGGAATCTCGATGTTCTTCATCCATCCAGCACGACTGCGATGGCAATGGCCAACCGCAGCAACGCCTTGGCATCTCCTGTCGAGCCTGGCAAGACGGGAGTCTTTACCGTTCTTCTGAAGTCGCCAGCTCGTGAAGGACGAGCCATCTCTTACTGGCGTCTCAAGACTCCAGGTGGAATTTCATTCGGCCACAAGCTTTGGGTCGACATCGAGGTCCGTTCTACTCCTGTTGAACTGCCCATTCGCTCGCACATCTTGCCTCCCACTCCTGTCACACTGGAGACAGTCGACGAGCCGAAAGAAGGTGATGGCGACACGTCACAAGGTAGCTCGACCATGATCTTCCCTAAGCTAGAGAAGGAGTCACCCATCTCCAGCGTGCACGATGTCCGTGAAGCACAGGTGGAAGAAGCTCCAGCGGCAGTGATGGAGCCCACGATCAAGACGGAGGAACACGAACTTCTCGAAGATGTTGAAAGTCTCGAGCTCGAAGAGTCCAACAGCGACGAAGATGGATTCTTGACAGACGAGGAGTACGATATCTTGGACGCCAGCGACGAGGATCTGCTGATGGACGGACAAACATCCAGGGGTAAGTGAACCAGCAGGCCCGAGACGTTGCTAGTGAGAGAATCGTACGGTGTATCAACCAGACTACGGGCAACGAGAGCGGGATGCACAACGTTGAAGGTCCATCTCTTGTGGGGGGGGGGGGCACAGAATGAAAGCAAAACAAACATCATCGAGGAATATGCAAGGTGGGTAGGGCGGGTTGTTTTTTTTTTTTTTTTTGGACAAGCTGAATTGGGCGTGAGAGAGGGCGTGGTTGTGGGGATTGTCGAAGTACTTCGATCTTCTCCTTTTCTCAATGACCAGGCAGAGTTATCGCAGCTCCCCTTGACATGGAACAATCATCCAACGGAACCTGCGATACCCTAGGACGAATCGCATGGCAACTGTTGCACGAGTCGAATGAAATGTATTTTCCCACTGCGTGCGACGACTGCTTCAATCGCCTTTTGTCAGGATTTTAATGAGAAGGGGCACTAGGATATCACGCGGTCGTGTCATGGGAGGCGGCACGGATGAGAGCTGCGAGCACGTAGGGTGTAGGGGTCGAAACAGGCCTGTCGTCATCATGGTAAAGACAGGAACCCAGACCATGAGGTTATCCTCGGGTTGTGTGGGGAGTTGTATGGCCGGAGTAGTTCTGATCCGCTGGGTCGCATGGGGAAGAGCAAGAGGAGATAGCGGGTTAAACCGGAGTTGGCAGTCTCACTCGTCAGTGGCTGACCGCAGGCGACGCATGGGTGTCATGGCGTGTACTGGGTATCGAGTACCTAGCCAGCTAGTGGTCTACCTGCGATGGTGACTGGTGACGAGTACAAATAGCAGTTGGCATGTGTTGGCAAGGTCCTCCCTCTTGCTCGTTCCGTCCCCAGGTTGCCCGCTGTGCCCCCCTTAGCCTCACTGTCCCTTCTCCTCCCGTTGGTGCCGCAGCTAAGTAAGTAGCCCTAGCCGTCCGCAAGTCCAGATTGCCCAGCTAAGTTCTGCCCAGTCCCGTCCCAAAATTCCTCCACATTTCTTCGGTTGCCCATCACTTTTGTCACCGCTTCCCAGACTGCGCTGTCCTATTTAACATTTTTAAAAGTCTGCCACTGACCCTAAACTTCCTGTGGGTTTCTGCCTGATCCCCCCGAGGACCTCTCTGACTCCCTTACTATCACACTGCGTGAATCCCTCCCACATGGAAATTCAACGACTCCCTCCACATCACCTGTCCAAATATCGAGCCTCGAGACCCAAAGGGTGACCCAAAACCCCCCTCCTCGGCAGTTTGCAATCACACCAGCACATCAAACCAGTCCATTTGACGCCAAGAAGAATACTGTTATATTTGCGCTCTCACTAGAACACTTTCACGGCGAGCAACATGCACGAAGACTTGCGCCGAAGAGCCCTCGAGAGCGGCAAGACTCTCTCGAACAAGGCCAAATCCAAGCAGTCGTCAAGGGGGAGTTCACGCGGTAATTCGGCTCCCAACTCGCGTAGTGCTTCTCGCATTCAGAGCCGAGATGGGTCGGACGACGAGGATTTTGATAAGGGCAATCTCAGTGACGACACAACTCAAAGGTGAGTTGCACGACCGTCTCATCATGCGGCTGACATGCTATCAGATGCGAGCTGACACCGGTGACGTCTAGTATCAATTCGATCGATGCCCTCCTCGAAACCGACGACATCAACGAGCAAACCTCGGATGCCGCTCGGCAAGAGTTGAACGACGTGATCTCGGAACTGCTGGATCGGAAAGGGAGCAGCCACAAGAGCCGGGAAGATGCGTTGACTACATATGTCAAATGCTTGACCTCGCACTATCTGGCCGAGGTCCTCTATGGTCGAGTCCAAGACCTTCTTGTGGCGTTTGGTCGAAGCATCAAAGCAGAAACCAGCGAGAAAGAAACAACATTGGCCTTGAGAGCCATGGCACTTACAGCCATCACGTTCGCCGATGGCAGCATCTACGACACGGTCGCACCATCCTTGAAACGGACCATCTCCGATTCTCGGTCAACATCGGTCAAGGCTGCGGCAATCTATACCATTGGGATCTGTGTCTCGTTCGGTGGCGCGGGAGATGAAGAGATTTTGGACGTCATGACTTTCTTCCTTGAGATTGCCTCGAGTGATGGAGCGTTTATTGACGCTGATGACAGTGCTGAAGTTGTCACCGCAGCCTTGAACACGTACGGATTTCTGGCGACCCAAGTGGAAGACATCGAGCAGGAGTCGGAGGACGCCATTGCGACATTCCTCGACCAGCTGGACGCAGATGATATCAAAGTTCAAGTCTCGGCGGGCGAGAACATTGCTCTATTGTATGAGAAATGCTACACGCCGCGCGAGGAAGACGACGAGTCGTCGTCGTCGTCGGACGAGGAGATCATACCCGAAGACGAACTGCCCCACGACCGGCCTCACGTGCGATCCTACCTGGTCAAACGGTACAACCCGTATCATAACACGCATGAGGTGATCGACAAGGTGACGGCGCTTGCATCGCTCAGCACCAAGTCGATGAATCGACGAGACAAGAAGGCCCTACATCAATCTTTTGCCAGCATTGCTTTGACGGTTCAAGACCCGCGGCTGGGGCTCCAGTCCAACAATGCCTCCAAGATGGTGGTGCGGGTTCACCGGGAAGGCGAGATGCGGGTGGACAAGTGGTGGAAGCTGATGCGGCTGAACGCGATTCGCAGACTTCTCGGCGGTGGGTTTGTCAACCACTACTTTGAAGGCAACAAACAGGTGTTGGACGCCTTGCCGATGATCATGCGTGGGATTGGAAGTTCAGGCATGCCGAGTCCTCGAAAGATGGCGGGCCACAACCACAAGGCGCAGAAGGGCAAATATCGCGACGTCCGACGCTTTGTGTCGGGCGACCTGACGGCGAGTTGAGCCGCCTTGAGCGGCTTTTGTTTTTTTGGGGGGATTGGGGGGGGGAAGATGGGTTGACTTTATTTGCATTTCCCATTTTCCCATTTCTTAGAGCATTTCTCATTGGTATACATACTTGGACATGGGATCATGAACCAGGGAGACGACGATGATGATTGGAAGAATTGACGATCATTGTATGAGACGGCGGTTATGGTAGAGATGTTGAGTCGCGGCGGGCCTCGTTTGTTTTTCGAGACGTCATGTGAAGAATCAAATAGAGTAAAAGGCCGATTATGCAAAGGCGGAAGCTGCTGACTAGGTGTGCAACACTGCATGGTGAGCAGACGAGGTATTACCGTGAGTAGTATGGTTGGCGGGCTGTCCATTCTCTGGCAGGCGAATACGAGATGCAGCCACCCGAAGAGGCTGAGACTCAGAATAATACGGAGATAATGTTATGGCATTGTGCTTGTGCAAGAGTTCTGGATGCTGGCGAGTTCCGTGGCCGTATGTACCGTAGTAGTCAATGGCCCCAGGGGGTGGCCGAAGCCAATTAACCGCAAAGAGGACTCCGGACTCGCAAGCCAAATATCCCGCCTTCCACTTTCCACTGAGGTGATTGACGGCGATGCTGACATTGATGCGGCCAAGGTGACACCAAGCACCAGTCCCCTAGGCGCTGTTGGCTCTCTAGGGGTCCCCCAAGGCCCCTCATCCCTTCTCGGTGCCCGCTCTCCGGGGCCTGAACTCTCCACCTGCGCACCAAGCATTGGCAGCCCGGGGCCGCTCGGTGGCTTTTTCTCCTGAGATCAAATCAATCACCAGCTGTTTTGGGGGGGCCACTAGGCGGCACCATCGACTCAGCCTCTTTGCCGCTGCAGGAGAAAAGGAAAACTTCCAACGTTGAACTGAAGCCTGCTACGAGGTACATACGACTACGACATACGATCCTTTGTTTTCTCGCGTACTGGTGTTGCCTGTGTCTTGGTGAGACTCTTTCTCTACACTCTGCTTCTGATCTCTTTCCCTTTTTCCCTCCAGGCACAGAATTCCCTCTTATTACTCACCTTTCTCGTTCTTCCCTCTTTGGTTTCGGTGCCTCTCTCCCTCTTGCTACTCACCCCATCCTCCATCGTCATCATCATCATCATCATCATCATCATCATCCCCATCTCCATCCCCGTCCTAGTCTTCTCCTCCTTGTCCATCTTTTTCTTGTTCACTCTTTTCCATTCCGGATCTTCTTCATCTTGTTTTACTTCCTCCCCTACCCGCCTTTTCTTCTCTTCGATCCAATCGCCTCTGGCGTCCTCTGTCAACTTACGCTTCCCTCCAACACGTCTCGAGTTGCCTGTGGTCCCTCACACTCCGCGATTGTTCGGCCTCTTCCTTCCCCCCCTTCCGCCCGCTCTGGCCTGAACCACGATCCGCCACTTGTCGATAGCAGTATCTCCTTCAGTCACTCCTTTTCGGTCCGCTTGACACGTGGTGGACGGGGTGTAGCACTGCATCTTGTCGACCTTTTCAATCGCACGTGACCAGCTCACGGTGGACACGCGACACCTCACTTCGGCTCGCTCCTTCTCGACGGCCATCCAGACCTATGAATTAAACCTCTTCTTCGATAATCTCGCCTCGATTTAACCATTGCCGATGGCCTCGATGCCTTTCAACGTCACCGAGGCCGCTGAGGCCGCCCAGCCCGACATGGGTGGCGCCCAGTTCGCGTCACATACCTGGATGGAACCAATTGTCCGTTCAATACCCCATGTCTTATATGCTCCAATGGTTCCTTGCTGACCTACCCAGATTGTCGTCAGTATCATGACTGCTTCACTTTACTTTAATCGGAGACACAACTTTCGCATATTTCAATCCCGGAGGGGCCGCTCCCCGACTCGCTCTCTGCTCCCCCACAACAATTCCCAGGGCTCATCTCCCGATGGCTTCACCGATTCCGACTCCCTCACCTCCGACTCGGATGTCTTCCCGTCATCCAAACATCCGCCCAAGAAGCGAAACTGCTGCGGCGCCATCGTCCGGACCCCCAATTCGTCCAGATTCGCCAACAACTGGCATTCCCGAGTCTTGGCCAAGTTTCCCTTCTTGATCGAAATGTTCTATTGGATACTCAATCTGCTATTCTACAGCCTGACCAAGGCCCTCGCTCAAGTCCTGTTCGCCGCTGACGAGGGTCTATGGCAGCTGGCCCAAGATCATGGCATCCTGGTCCTCGACATCGAGCATAAGTCGTGGTTGCGCTTCCTGTTCCCTATCAGAGAGAATGACTTCCAGGCTTGGTTCTTGAACGGTCATTTGACCGCCATCACATTTTTAAACCGCATTTACTCGCTGGTTCATATTCCTGGTACTGTCGCGTATGTGATCCCCCTCCCCATGTCTCCCCCCTTCCCCGGCTAATCTTTCTCCAGCTTTCTTTCGTGGTACTACTATGCTGCGCCTACACACTCAGCTTTCGCCGCCGTCCGCCGGACGATGACGCTGGGTAACTTTGCCGCTTTCACAATATTCACCTTCTTCCCTTGCATGCCGCCCCGTCTCTTACCCAAGGAATTCGGCTTCCACGACACAGTGCGTCAAGCAAACGCCGAGTCTGTATGGGTCGGCGGCAACTACGTCAACCAATTGGCCGCCATGCCTTCTTTGCATTTTACCTACGCGTTCTGTGTCGGCAGTACATTCCTCTACCATTCTGGCGTCTTCCGTCGCGCCCAGCGGAGCGAGCCACGCAAGCCATTTTACGCCCAGATCTTGTTTCTTGTTGCAGGCATCTGCTATCCTTTGTTGGTCTTGACGGTTATTGTGGCCACAGCGAATCATTATTGGTTAGATGCCGCGGTTGCCATGTGTACGACTACCTTGAGCTTCTGTTGCAATAGAATTTGGATGTTTTTGTTGCCGGCCGAGGATATACTTTGCTGGGTGTTGCGAGTGGATAAACCAACACCTACGACAGGGGATAGATTGAAGAGGAGGGGTAACGAGTATCAGGCTGTTAAAAATGAGGACGAACCCTAAGCGAGGGTTGAAAAGTACGGGTTTGGTCTTTTTGGAATCTTAGAAAAGCAAAGATCTGTTTTCTATGCATTGGCAGAACAACCAGGATATTTAAGGGGTTTGGTTATTTTCAGCGGGATATGCCGAGGTATATGGAGAGAGAGAGTGTGTGTGGAGGTGCTGCGAAAGGAGAGGGAGAGGGGGGGAGGAACTCAAGTCAAGCACAATACCAAGGGAAATATACAAGGAGCGGATGTCAGGCGCAGGTTCTGTCGAAGCGCGCGCACACACCCAACCCGTGCAACGACTCGAGCCGCAATCATACAGCACAAAAAAACGGCTCTGCTGTACCTACATTTCGGAAGCTGTCCTCAACGTCTACTAGGGCTGAATGAGCACTCCCGAGAGCTAGCCCTGAGCCTTGAGATTGGAACATTCATGTGCACAGTCCTCATGCTGTTCATTGAAGGCGAGCGGAATCCAGAAACCCCCGGAAACCTGGAGTTGGGTCAGACCTAAACCTTTGGACACCATCGACATACTCTTCTTTTTGAACATGCTTTTATGGGACGGCCGCATGTGTCCTCTTTATTCTTCCACAGGTTGGAAGCATTTACTCGGGATATTGGGGGGGGGGGGCATAGGACGGCGTCATGGGAAGGCCAAGGGTCATAGAATGTGGTCCTGAAGACAAGGAACAGGATCCTTACCAGGAAGTTTGCATATACTGGACGTTGGAATATATCGAGGTTACCGTGGCGCAAATTCTACATTCTCCTCGGTCCTCTTACCCGATTCTTGATTCTTATATTTCAAAAAAGAGTAACGCGAAACACCCATAGCCGTCGCATTCGTTCCCCAAGCCATGTTTCTCGATGACTATCCTTGACATGTACGTATCGTGCCAACACGAGCCGAGACCGAATTGATCCGACCGCCATTGATTGGTGCATGTACGTTGCGCCCACACGCCGATACGGTGACACTGATGTCAACACATCGAGTTGGGAGGAAAGGGAGATAAGATATGGGGGTTCTGGATAGATATTTATGTATGTACATAGCCTTAAACGGGGGGCATCGAGACGCCGTCGATCGAAGGAACGAATCGGACCTAGAGGAGCGGAAGAGGAGAGGGGAAAGAGGGTGTTGTGAGAGCATTAGTACCGAAAGGAAAGGCCTTGTTCAGTGAGCGCTCTCATCTGCCATCTCCCCCCTGCTCTTTGGAACGTCCATCTGTGATTGATTATAGAAGGTCTGCTTTTGTCCCCTTTCGCAAAAGTGCGAGAGCCAGGTCGAACCCTGCACCGAAAATCCAGGGAGCCCTATGATCAGCCTATGATCAGTCGACGAGAGGGATGAATGGAGAGTAACGTAGCTTGCTGGAATCGACACCATCGGTCTGTGCATCATGAAGTACGAAGTCGTCGGTTGTGGTGGCGGTGAGTTCGACGAGAAACAGACAGAATAGATAGTCAGCCTTGCCCGAGTTCGGGCCGAACAATGCCCTCTATCCGTCCATCGCCATCTCATTCCTTCGCTCGCCCTTGTTCGGCATAATGTTTCCTCTTAGAGTGCTCCCAACGTAAGAACTTGTCGCTACAGACGGCAACTGGCCTTATTTGAACCATCGGTGTTCTGCTGGGGGTCGAACCCGTGCAATATCAAAGCATGTCAAGGAGGCAGTCCAGCTTCTCTTGGTGTGTGTAGAATCGTGGACTCGATGAGACCTCTGGCTCAGCAATTCCGGACACGACGCACAGGTTTAGACCGTGTCTCTCATATTTCGATGACTTATTTTTCCCCGTCGTGCTTTCCTCGTCCACGGTGTCATTCGGAGGGCCTCGCTAGGAGGTATGTGCTCTCTGGCTATGCGTTGGCCGAGAGGTAAATTTGGTCCAACCGGAATGACGGGAAACGAGAGAGAGAAGTCGAGATTTTCTTGTCAGTCAAACTTGCTCTCATCTGAGACGCTCGTTGCGCCCTCGAGGGGTCCGGCGAGATGGATGTAAATACGGCCACACCTCCCCCCACATTCTTACTCAATTGAGTATTGTAGTGTGCGCCTTCTGATACAAATAGAGAACCTAGATCGGTTGGACAAAGTCTTGGAATTGCGGACAAGAGCGGCAAGGGTCCCCTGGACAGGAGGTAGACACAGATGGCGGAAGCATTGCCGTCGTAGAGCTCCTCGACGAAGGAATATGGAGTGGTGGTGCAGTTGGCGATGTGTGCCTAGCTGCTCCAGCTCATATCCAACCTCTTTGCCCATGTTTCTTCTTCCCTCCTTCCATCCTCCCGTTCCAAGCTCGCAAGCTGCTGCCATATTCACTCGCGTCGATGTGGATCCCGGTTCGCAGTCGCCTGGTCATGCAACGATATGTCGAGGGCACGCCCACTGTAAAAGAGGTTGTGACCATTCGTCACTGTCATGGAAGGGCCAACATCTGGTCACCATCTGACCTTGCACTTCAGCAAGATGCAACGGCCGGGATCAAGCAGATACATTCCGCAGCTAGGATGGCACTTTGCGAAGTGCAGCTCTCGGGCGCGACGCTGCTTGCCAGCCTGGCATGGAAGCTTCACTCGCCTCAATCCCCAGTGTGGCAAGGAACGTCGCTCCTGCGCGAAAAGAATGCGTTTGCAGTGCGTACAAGAACACATTAAGCTTGATTGAGCCGTCTCAGTTGAGCTTGTCCATGGCTAGCAGGCCCTGTGCGCTCTCAGTCTTCGGACTTCTGTGTTTTGCTTCTGGCCGAGACGGATGAACAGAGTTTCACACCGCTCGCGACGGTTGATCGTTCACCATAAGGCTGAAGGCGCAAGGCGGAAATTGCTCGGAAGCCGGTGCTATTGCGACTCTCTCTTACCAAAACAAGCAATGTCCAGGTCTGCCTTGGTCTGTCTGGTCCACGTTACATAGGGGCTAGATAGGAGGCGTCCCCGCGCAGGAGGCCTAAGAATGAAGATTACACACAAACCGGGCGTGCGAGGCAATTCGGTCGGCGTACCGAGTACATACCATAGTCGGTCCTCGTCTCGCTTTGGGTTGAAGAGATTTGATTATCGATATGCCAGGAAGCTTTGTCGTACAATCTAATCCTATTAGATAAGAGCAGAGCCTGGCGGAGCTTGACGGAGAATACTTTGACGCCCCTTGTCTCCCCGTCGTCCATTCTCTCCTTGATACCTGTACTTTTACCGAGTACTTCGTCCAGCCCATGCAACGGACCCTGAACGACGTACGGACAATGCACGAGCATTTTGCTAAATTTGGTTCGGAGCGGCGGACAATGATGGGCATGATTCGTCGGTTGCCAACCAGGAAGCCCAGCAGAACGAGGCAGCTGGGTGGGCAAGACTAGGTAAGGTTGGCAATGTGGGCAATGTGGCCACTGAGGCAGCTCCATCGAAGATCTTCTTCTCGGATCGCATGGGCCGTTCTTCGTGCCAATGGGCGGTCATGGGGCAGAAAAAAAAAAGGCCTTTACAAGGCCTCGTTCTCATTGTCCGCCGGAAAATGTCCCAGGTTCACTAACCCCACTCCGTACATGACCCAGAGTTCACCTTCGCCTCCCATGAGCCTGTCCCCTTACCTGGTGTTCACGTGGAGTCAGAAGTTGAACCGGACGGAATTGTTTGCAGGGATTCTGAAGCTAGGGGAAAGTTTTCTGTTCCCTCTGCGGAACATTCCTCTTTGCCTTCGTCAACAGAAGTCGCTCTACCTGGTAAACGAAAAATAGGTCCGCCTAGTCGCTCTTCGTCGAGAAAAGTGACTGCCTCTTCGCCTTCTCATGCAAGAGGCTGCAGGATTCGGCATCTAGACGGTCGTCTCGTCGAACAATCGGGAGTGATACGGCGAGACTGCGAAACTGAAAGAGCTGGGCGACGTGGAATGCAAGCAAGGGTGCCAGAAGTGAGAGGAAGAGAGTGGCAATTCGGTTCCCGTTGCATCCAGATCCTCGGCCTCGTTTGGTAGACTCTCATAGGATGTGGCGTGCAGCTGATACAGCACGGTCGTGGAGATGGCCCATGATCGTTTCGTTGCCGTGTAAGGCTGAATGTGCGGTGAGACCTCCCGCATTGTGCCCTCTTAGCCGCAGACGTCGCCGCTTTGCCCATGGCTTTCAGGTTTCGCGTCTTCCTAGCTATTCTGAACTACTATTGGAAGTTTGGCTGTCCCTCGTTGGCAGTTCCCAGAAGACAGCCTCCTAGCCGTTGACACCGGATGGCTGCTGCTGTTCAATGGATCATCTCTGGAACAGAAGGTGTCTTCCTGATTGAATACCTCAGCTGCCAAGGCAAGATGGCTACTGATCATTAGTTTGGTGACTGCTATCGTGCATTCGACCGCCGATGCATAGCTTTTCCCCAGCATCTTTTCCAATGCTGTGCCAGAAGATCGTTCCACAGATATTTCTTCAGTATTCCCTCCAGTGTCTCCCACTGAGCGGTCTCTTCGGGATATTTGTCCAAAGTCTGATCCAACACCATACTCATGGCAGATAACAGTTCAGACTGTTCGAGGGCACCTGCAGCTGCCACAGCTACCCAAATCAGACACTCTCGGTGGCTCTTCTGGGCTTTCTCTTGCTGCGGCCGGAGCTTGCCGTTCCCGATTAGGTTATCTTCAAGCTCTTGGAGTGTTTCGTTGAACTCTTCGCCGATTTTGCCGTCGCCAAAGTGGAGGGTGAAGCAGGTCCCAATCACGCCAAAGCAGAGTTGGTGCTCGATGGAAGTCGTGGCCATCACCGACAAACACCTGAGATCAGCGATTGTGTTCAACAAATTTCGCCCTCCAGGTGAGCTCGGAGGGGAGCTGGTTGGAGTGGCACTGCCATCGCCTCTTGCTGTTGTAGATAGATTCGCCAGAATATCGATCATTTGAATGGACATTTCGCCCGCCATGGCCATGTCGTTAAAAGAGGTCGAAACCTTGGACAGAGCCTCGCAGACTTTGATGTTGAACGGGAGAGAGGGATAGACGGGTAGGTCATTACGCAAAGGTGATTCGATGGAGAGCTGGGCCATACTGGTAGTAGCCTCGTTTCTATCCTTGACAAACTGCCACAGCGCATCGTAACTGGTTGAGTTAGAAATTGCCTTGGACGCGAGGGATGACTTGACAACCTACGCTTTCATTGCGGAAATGACAAAGTATTGCCACGGCGTGTCACCTTTGAGGTCGGTTCGAATCTTGCGGATCTGTTGCATAGCATTAATATGGTGTTCTGCGCCTTCGTGGACTCCGAGCATGTACTGCCAAAACGGTTAGATCATGATTCTTTGGACCTGCCTCTCACTCACATCGATTGTCGTGAGAGCCGCAATGGTGCAGATCGTGGTGTCATCCGCACACGTTACTTCAGACGTCAGCCTCAGGCGAAGCGCAGCGAAGGCATTGGCACGATGATAGGCAAGCGCGCTGTCCTTGGACCAAGGGATTCCTTCCTGCAGAAGCCACGACGCACGACTGAGCGCCACCATGGCTTCAAACAGTACCGCGTGCTCCAGAGCGTACGGAAACACCAGTGACTGGTATGGTTTTGGATGACCCTCAAAGGCGAGTGCTCGACCATGCTGCTCCGCCCAAACTTGCAAGTCTGCAGACAAGATTAGCGCAAATTCCAAAGGGCACTCAGACCCAGGATCGGCACTCACAATACTTCACCATGCGCGGAACTACGCCTTCGTTGGGAATAGGAAAGACGTTGACTGGCTCTGAGTGGAAGATGTTGACGGAAAATCTGGGGAGCCTGATGGCCTTCCTCGTCGGAAACACCTCATCCTCGACGGGGGATTTTCGTTTTCGACGTCGGACCGACGTCAATTCCTCCTTGTCGAGCTCCCATGAAAATCGGTCGGTGGCTGGCGAACTTGCCGGTACGAGAGCGGTAGATGAGGTCTTCAGCACCAGGTCCGGACGAGGTGTCGGATGACGGTTCTGGGTGGCATTCTTCCTCACAGCGGGCGTGCGCGGTCGTGGCTTTTCCCCATCCGACGTCGACGGATTTTGCAGAAGTAATTGCTCTATCTTGATTGCCTTTGCCATGCCGTCGGTAACGACTGTGCCACCATTGTTGAGGAAGCGATGGTATGAGGCTCAAGGATGTCTTCTGTACTCTGTACTTTTGAAACGCTATTGCTCTCGTGAGACCAGGCAAAGGGCACAAGCAGGCTGGACCTCTAAAGGGAGCCACGGTCCAAGTACCCAGCGGGAGGTCAAAGTCGGTCGCAGAGGGGGCCAGGAGAGCGCTTACTCTTTGTCAGCGGGTCCCAGGCAGAATGCTTCCTCTCCTCCCAGCTTCGAACCGGACAAAGTTCTGGAGGACGAGTAAGTACGAGCAGTAAAGCAGCGGGCGCAGCTGTTGCCTGATCGGGTGCAGGCGAGTGCTACACCGTGGCCGGCCCGTGGTACCCAGTATAATATCGTGTGGCGTTTGGGGATGGTGTGTTGACTGTTCGATTGGGTAGGGACCCGACGGCATGGGAGGTGGATATCCAACAGGGCACCGAGTAAGTAAGATGGACAGTGGACACCGGGTAACGCAGAAGTCACGGCCACCTTGTGCCCTCGTTTGGCAACCCTGAGCAGTGGTCGGGTAAGAATGAGGACGCAGTTGGCTCGCTTGTCGGAGAATGAGGGTTGCCAGTTGAGTGGTGTTTTTGGTTGCCCTGGTGGTCAAGAGTCAAGGGGGCAAAACAAAGCTATCGAAGACAGTGCTGACATCCGCTTCTTCGGGACGCTCTAAAGCCGACTTGAGGTCAGCCAACGCGGGGGCTTGCTGTGCTTTGTTGTGGGTAGGGCTAATGCCTGTGCGTTTGACAGTTCTGCTTGGGTTTGGTGCTCTGCGGGAGACATTCGCATGGTAAGTAAGTTACAGGTGGTATGTACGGTTTTGTCAAGCATGTGCACCTTCGTGGAGTCATGGAATCGTGGAACGCATGGAGGAGTGGATGAGGCAGGCTGGCGTCTCCTTCTCCTGCTTCTTCTTCTTCTTCTTCTTCTTCTTCTTCTTCTTCATCTTCTTCTTCATCCGCACTCGCCGCCTCTCGCCTCTCGCCTCTCGCCTCTCGTGCGGCGCCTATCCCTCGCAAGAACAAGATCCGGGATTACTTATCCAGCAATGGGAGATCAAGGCATGGTGCTTAGGTCAAAGGAAGTGGGAACTCTTTTCGCCTAGACACTTCCTGGTGCCCACGCATTTTTCCGCCAACCAGCAATGCGCCTTTCCCGACGGCACTCGACGGTGCTTGTTGGATAGCGGGATAGCCGCTAGCTGTCCCAAAAGAGCCATGGTCCATCTTTGAACCGAAAATCCCGGTGCACGGAGGGAACCCGATTTGGAGCCGCCAAACAGCATGGGGCCATGACCCGACTAACACGACTTGACCTCTTCAGCATATCACTGGCTGTCGCCCTCGTCCTGGGCGCCCCGACCATATCCCCCTTCAGAACTTGTGCATGGGCGGCGACGACTCTGTAGGAGTGGTGAACGATCTCACTGCTCAGCCTTCCTGTTTCAAACGTCTCAAACGGCGAAAAATACGTCGTCATATATGTCCTTGTAGTGCGCCCGCCGTACTTACAACAGGGGTCTGGGGAAGAGTCGCATGTTCTCAACCAATAGCCTGAGATGGGGGGGGGGGGGGGGGGGGGGCGACGCGTATTCTGCCAATCAAGACCGATCATGTCGCCCACTTCACCGCCGTACAGAACCGTACCAGACCGGCTGTGATTCATCCAGGGTGAGGCGAGGGAGAAACCCCGATGCCAATCTGAGGTTGGTGGGAAGTACAGTAACTCGTGTGGTACTGCATTGTCGATCCTTTTCTTCTTTTATAGTAGGTTAAGTCGGTGGGCAAGACTGGAGCAGGGAAGCTAAGGATCTAGCCAGTAGCAAGAGGGAAAGAGGAGCGAAATGAGCGCCGAGTTGTCTATTGAGACGTTTCTCGCCAGGAGACCAAGCTCCCTAGGACAACCGCCGTGGAAGAGAAGTAGGCATATTGGCTTTGGAGCAGAGTCCATCCTCATCTGTCGCCAGCGGGGGCACAACGGCTCCCATCAGTCGGGTTGATGCATTGTACAGCAACCATGTTCATCCTAGGCTGTCCCGGTCCTTCTGATTCTTATTCTGTGACCACCAATGGTCGTGTAGCCGTTGCTTGCCCAATCTGTAACACCATCTACTGGGTACCCAACCTAGCTTTGCAGTATCTCCACCAAGTTGCTCCTCCCAGACACAGTCACACTCGCCAGAGCTGTCAAAAGAGCATAGTCTGCCGCCTACAAATTACCCTGCCGTGACAATAGTACATACCCATGACAAGGGAAGTACACACTATTAAAGTCACCAGCTGCTCCCATGTCAGTGTATTCCAGCGGCTTTAGAATCCAAGAGTACCACGTACTTCCCTGCTCATAACAGACCAGCGTCCCCTGTCGGTCACAGACCCACAAGTCATAGCATTTCAACGATGTCAAAGTGCAGATGGGCGAGGTATCGGCAATACTACCATTTCGTGGCTTCAAAACCTGTGCTGTGCTAGGCGCTTCGGAGTGATCGTCATGCTGGAAGGGGGTTCTTTTCCGGAAATAGCCGATGTCGACGCCTGGGAATTCCTTAGATTCGGCTAGGCGGCGCTATCCGTCAACTGAGAAGAGCACCTTGCTTTTGCACTCGACATGCCAGCCCCGTGCGGATGGCAAGACAGCGGTATCCCGAGCAACTGACTTTCCTCCGGCATCCAAGGCAGTGGTCTCAGCATCATTGTTCTTCCGAGTTAGTGCAGCAATGCCAACAAGCAAGAGGCACAGGGATTGGATGATGGCCTTTACGATTTTTGGGTTGAGTTTTGATGACGAGCTCGAAGAAATCTAGGACTATGAAGCGCACACTGTTGTTAGAAGGCAGCACGAAAGAAGCAGAGGATCTCGGAGCACTTGAGGTTGTGAGGCCAATTGTTGTTGGGGGACGGAAAGGAACGCAGAGAAGCAAAGGTGAACTGGTGGTGAAAGAAGGCTTCAGCGCGGGAAGGCGAAGTGAATGTCTGTCCTCGTATCAAGTGGGTAATGGCACAGGGTGCTGAGGAAGGTGCAAGTCCCAGTAGTAATCATTTCTTCCCCTCAGTCAACGCTCTTGATTGAGTTGCTGGTAGCCGCCCATATTCACTGTTATCCTTCAAATCCTGGATCTCAATGATGTCGTGTTGGCTTTCAGTTTTGCACGGTAGGGGCTCTTCCGGCCGGGTTGGCCTACATTGTTGCCCAGAAAGCAGTCAGCAGGCCGACATTCGTGATCATGCTTGGAGTATTGGCAATCGGCGCAGTGGCCCCAGTCTCCCTCCTTAGTCAAATCTATCTTCCCGCCACAGTTGGGGCCCTTGGGCATCTGGAGTGGCCGATGAGACTGGAGATGATAGCTTGGGATAAGACGAGAGGCTATCAACGGTCTAACAACGACCAATCAACGATCTGAGCGCCTGACGGGTGACTTGGCCTCGAAAAGCGAATTGTGAAACACAAAGAGAAACGGGCAGAAATATGGTTGATAACATCTCGACATGTACACATCTCAGCTGCACGTGACCAGGACCGCTTGATGACATAGGTGTTGGGAAGGTCACCAATTGCAACATTAGCGAGCAGCATGTCGACCTTCTCCCCAGATAGTTCCATTTGAAAAGAAACACAGCAGATCAACCAGCTCTGGCTATTTCCATTGCTTCCCTATAGCTTTTCCGTATGCTCCAAGGTAGACCTTCTGACCGCGCGGGTTCGCAGGAGCCACATCGCCCGTGCTCGGGAATTCATTTTCGCTCAGGCTCTTCCACACCTCCGCTATTGTCGCACGTTGTCGGGGAAGCACCGAATACTGCAGTCCGTACATTTGGCTCCGACCTAGAGGTGGTACAAATCGGCCTGTGAGCAGTCGAAATACGACCGTTGGGGACAGATAGTGCCGACGGATGCGCGCCCAGAGCTGGAAATATTGCTCAAATATCTGTCGCAGCGATAACGGGGTGGACGACAGGCGAATGTAAGCCACGCTAGTAGCACCATTGTCTTCTTCCCCTTCCCCCTGTTCCTCAATGTCGCCGGCGCTGCCATCACGATCGTCTTCTCGCTCTGTTTCTTCTCGGTAAGAAATTCTTGTCTGCTCTGCATCCAACAGCTGAAAGTGAATGCCACCCGGCAGCCTCTTGCTGTCTTTGATCCTCAGCATCAATGCAAACAAGGGGAAATGGTTGAGACATGCTAGACAAGTGTCCAGAGTGGCTTTCAACGAAATGATCGCCATGCGAGCCGAAGCAAAGGTCAGGTAGAAGACCACGACAGTGGGCAGGAGGAAGAATAGCAAGGTGAAGAGAATTGTACCCAATAAGAGCTGATCAAGGTCGTAGTCACAATTGTCGATCCGATTGCGGAGAACATTCCGTTTCTTGCCACGAAATAAGTGAAAGAGGCTGATAATGATTGTCAGCTGCCAGTTGAAGATACGTGCACTTGCGACGTAGAAAGAGTAAATGTGCATCGTGAGCAGGCTAAGGAGGTCGGAGAAAATGGCAATAGGCATCGTGGCCCCAGCAAAAGACGAGCATCCGACAACATAGACGACGGTCGGCAGCCGTGGAACAATGAGCACGACTATCGTCGAGGACCAGTATTCGATGACCCACAAGAAGAGGTCGCCGAGAAATGCAGCAAGCTCTGTATTCAACTTGAGGCCTCCTGGGTATGACATGAGCCACCTGATCATGCGTTTGAGACCTTCAATCGTGTACTCATTCAGTACTCCGCCGATCAGCTGAGATGTAGCTTGCGCATTGTCGCTGATGAAGCTCCCAAGTGCAATGCCAATGATGACATCGTTTGCTACCAGCCAAAGGGAGTTGTAAAAGCGGATGTAATCGCTATTTGTTGTTGGAAAGGATGACCAAGTGGCTTTGCGGCGTCGGAGAAGGGAATATTGTGTCGGATAGTAGGAGAACTGCTGAAGTCTTAGATGAACTTGCTGACAACATGCCGAAATATCCTTGAGCGCAACGGTGCCTTTGACAGCCTGGCGGCTTTCTGGCAATTGTAGTTTCTGAAAGGGCAAGGGTAACTCGAGAAGTCGCAAAAGACCTTCGGCTATGATCCGGTGTCCGATGATCGCGATCTTAAAGATGGACAAAAGCGTAGGAAAGGCATATGCCATGAATAACGTCCACAGCGACCACGCCGCAAATGCGTAGAGCGATTGCGCAGATTCGACCACTCGTTCGCTGACAGATAGGCTCCTTTTTCTTCGCGGACCAACAAGAGGAGTATTCTTCTGCAACAAGTCTGCCACCTCTTGGGCGCAATTGATCTGGCGAAGAATCGCAGGCAACGCCAACTCCTTCTTCGTGGGAGCATGTCTAATCACTGTATGAAAACGCAGTTTTGCCACTAAATCGGCGACTCGCTGCCGCTCTTTCTCCCCCTGCATCCCAACTTCATCCAGTGTGGAGTCGGGCGCGCCGGCGGGCAAGTGGTCCCTTCCCAGGGCAAGCGATATTGGCTCGAGAGACATGTATTGCATTTGAGTGGGATTTGGAGGGTCGAAAAGGACAATCTGTACGGTCAAATCTGCGCCCGGCGGACAGTAGATGGAAGGTCTCCGAGAACCTGACATGGTGAAGGCGCAGATCTTGGAAGGGTTGAATATTTCGGGGGGATCTGGGTGATTGAACGTGCCCAGGACATGCATATGAGGCTGGTCGCAAAGCTGAAAGATTCGGGCCACTGGGTATGGACTGTTGCGGAATAGAGTACCCATGCGAAGAGCAGATTCCACGCTGCGAACCTGACTCGATTTAGCATTGCTTCCTGATAAGTTCTCCTTCGCTGCCTTACTTCAACATCTTCAAGGACGGTTATGACAAACAAATCATATTCTGAATTCCTCCATCCCACTATTACACCGGGTGTGGTTGTCCGAGTAAGGGTGCTTGGCCAGAATACCCGTAGCATACCATCGCTGTTCTCGACCATGATAACATATTGTTAATGCCTAAAAGGAACCTCTCCGACGCAGTTGTTCTTGGGCAGAGATCCCATGCGCTAGGACTCGAGGATGAACGGCGGCTTCGTGGGATGCAAGGCGATCGAGAGGAATGGCGAGAAAGACGTAGACGAGGGAAATGGCTGCAAATGCTTTCGCCACGCGTGCGAAAACACCGTGGTCCCAGGCAAAGATGGCTAATTCATACAGCCGAGTAACAAGATCCCAGCGTGCAGTGATGTATCCAGCAACAAAGATACCGATGGTCAGGGAGGAGAAAGGGTGCATCGACGCGGCACCGATCAGATAGGTAAATAGCTATTAATCACACAAATCGCATGGTCACATAGTCTTGAGCCGTCAAACGGGGTCGATAGCGACTCTTCCTCATGGATACCAGAAGTAGGGGTTGTACTCGGTATTCAGTAGAGCTGTGTTTTTCGAAGTGGGAGAGCAAAGCGTGGCAGAAATAATACGGAGGCGCATTTGAGCAGGGGTGGTTGGGGCGGTCAATTCACCCGCTCGCCGCCTCTGGGCCGTACGGAGGAGTATCCGGTCCACTATGCCGGGCTTGGCCGGGCCTTCCACTGTTCACGATAAGTCCGAATACCACATCCTCGCCCCTCGTGTTTGCATATGACAGCTTCACCTGGCTGGAGAGCTCTGTGAGCGCATGGCAATTGGGCAAGGCCAACTCATGTCTGCAACCACCCTCGGGGGGCTTTGGAAGTTCACATTGTGGAGAACCCCCCTCTCTCTTCAATATCAGAGCGGCTCGGCCTGCTTTTTGTCCCTCTGTTCTCTCCATTTGTATTGCTTTCCCAGTCCTGATTGTCCTTGTACAGAGGCCCGTTGGGAGCGCCGATGCTCGTAGGTATGTAGGAATCCTGAGGTCGCAGGAAATGCATTTGGTAAAACGGCGCTAAGACACGCTAAGGGTCCTAGCGGTCGATCTCCCGAGATTAGCGCCGGATAGATCCTTGGACAGACAAAGTGTTCCTCTCTCACCTCAGTGTAGACTTCTCGTCTTCTGTATCACAACATCCAGCATGATTTGGCAAAGTCATCCTCGCGCTGTGTAATTCTGTCATGGAAAGGGCCACAGAAAGCCACCAGCGAGTGTGACAGATCGGGGTACATTTGTTTCGCGCCCAAGATGAGACATTGCAGCTAGCCGAATCGGTTGATTTCCAGCCTCCCGAATTTCGGTCGGTGAGGTGTGAACGAGCGGGCTGACAAGCGGGCATATCGCATCTCATCTCTTTTCAACAACATTATCTTGAGGTAGGCTTGTCGTCTGCGCGTCTGTCTGCTGCCGCCGCAGTCTGTGTTTGCACCCTGTTGCTCGGTCTGCAGCTTTCTGCTGCGGTGGAAGTCGGCACCAAATATCTTTGTGTGCCCGTTTGAACGGGTGGTTGCATGGTGGTGGAGGGGCAACAGCCATAAGGACATCTTACTGCTCACAGAGCAAAGGCTTGTTCGCTTGCGCAAGCTTTGTCGAGGTGGCGTGGAGGAGCGGATAGGCACATCGCATGGCAGCTTCCAACGCTGCGCAAGAGTGACTTGGGCTGGATCGACTGCTTCCGATCTGATCAGTGGCCAGTGACGGATCGCACCTGCCGCCTCCGGCTGTGATTGCAGTGAAGCGCCAGACGCCAGACGACAGATCGCAGAGCGCAACGGCAGAGCGCAACGCAAGATCGCACTAGTGGCCCAGTCGATCTGGAGCGTCTCGCCCACGCTATAAATTTCTCCTCTGCATTTCTCCAACTTGGACCTGAATCTCCCCCTCTTACCCTCTACCAAATACCTTCAAGTTCTCATCAACACCATCTGCGTCGCTCTTTTGGACCAGAATTACCCTCGAACTTGGATACTCAATACTCTTACTCACCACATTCATCACCAACAATTCCACCGCATCCTTCACCATGAAGATCGCAAACGTCCTCGGCCTCATGGTCGCCAGCCTTGCTGCTGCTTCCTTTGGTGAGTTGGGCAAGCCCTCATCAGCCTGCGCCTGCTGGGAGCTGACAAACTTCACAGCCGCTGTCCTCAACCTCGGTGCCCATGAGAAGGTCGTTGCAGCCTTGGCAGGTGAGATTTCAATCCCACAGACTTCTGACAACTCAGTACTGACGACAATTCACAGCCCGAGACTTGTCTCTTGACGAAATCAACAACATCATCAATCTCATGCCTCGTCGTAAGTGTCCCTTCTGCTGTGCTCGGAAATTTCACTTACACTGTCTGCAGAAGAGCCAGTCACTGTCACCGTCGTTCCCAATGGTTGTCCTCCCTATGGCACTCTGCCCACCTCTACCCCAGCTGTTCCAACCGTTCCTCTTACCACCGAAGTCACCGTCACCTCGTCTGTCACTTCCATGGTCACCACTATTACTCCAACTGCGCCTGTCACTCCTACCTCTGTCGCTAGCAGTGAGACTCCAGTTGAGACTCCAATTGTTCCACCAACACCTACTCTTCCAACTGTTGAGACCACTCTCGTTCCTCCGACTCCGCCTGTGGAGAGCAGTGTTCCAGCTACATCTGAGTCCAATACCCCAACTCCATCCGAGAACAGCTCTGTTGTTGGGACCACTTCGTCTTCAACCGTCACCCAGACCAGCCTCTCCACTTCTTCCACTCAGACCACAGCCACTGCTACTACCTCCACTGGCATCCCGCAAGCTCCAAACTCTGGTGGTGCTGGAACTGTTGGTGTTAACCTTGGCTTGGCCGGTTTGATGGCTGTGTTGGCCGTGGCCTGAGTCCACATACAACCTCATGCCGATACCCCGACGCTCTTTGCAGCTATGTCTGCCATGTACCACAACATGCCACTCATCAGCATATGCAAATGATAACAGACATTCTCCATCTCGCAAGTGAGGTGTATGATCACACAACAACAGAATCAACACTAGCTTTTTCGAAGGAACACAAGAAATCACGTGCCAACAAACAATATGATTCTTTCCAACTAGGCCTTATTGGACTGGCCACATGAAATCTCATGATGGTTCGCGGGGTGGACAACACTACTCTTGAATTGGATTGAGGAATCAGACTTAATTGCTATTGCACCTTAATTGATGATTCCAATCATACGGCATGTTGGCACAGTGATCAAAGTGATGATCCTTGAACCATGGCTAGTCTCAAATGAAAAGGTGTTTTGAACAATCAACCTCTCCTAGTCCCACCCCTCGTGTATTCTTCCTGCTTGGTTCGCTCATAGTAGATTACCAGAGTTCCAAATGTCTCTCTGTGCCTGGTTTCAATACGTTATGCGGACCATGGGTATTGTTGCTGTCCGTCATCCTCCACCCTCCGGCCCCGAGGCGCTCTACTACGCACTGGATTCCGTGTGTCCCGACAATGTCAACGCCATCGTCTAATCTAACCAACCACGCGACAGGATCGCAAGCCCAGAGGCAGTCCTCCTGTAAGCCAATCAAGCGCCAGGATCGCAGTGTTCCAGTTCGTGCGCCAGATCGACCCTCCTCCCGCGCTAGATCGGATCATTCGATATTCCGTGATCTTGATCTTCCTGGGACGATGACGGTTTGGCGACCTCACTGTCGCTTTCACCGATGTTCCAGATGTCCTTGAGCGTTCACTCATCGGTATGAACCACGGAGATTCACTAGTTCAGGTCTGTCAGTCAAATATATCGATGAACACAGCAGTTGATTCTATTCTATTGTAGTTGTAAGGCTGAGAATTGCGGCTCATCTTCGGCTCATCTTCTTCTCGCCCCCCTTTGGGACTGGCGACGGCGAGGATGGCTCGACGGTGTTGGTATTGGTGGTGGACATTGGACGTTACCTCAGGGGTAGCCTTGCCCACTACCTGACATGCTGTTCCGGTGGCTAAAAAAAGGCCGCTTGTCCCGCCCTCTTGTCAACTACATGTTCTGCTACTGGTCCTGATGGCCACAATGGCTGATAATGATGTAGGGAGAGAAGTTCTTTTTTTTTGGTGTTGTCTTCTATCACAAGATCACGGCATAATGTCGAGAAGATCCCTGCTCCAGGAATGCCTTGTCCCTATCTTCATGTAGAACAATGAATATGCTCCACCCCGGCCTGTCTTTTAATTGTATGGATTGAGTGGCTCGATATCGTCCAGCTTCATTCTACGCAGTCTTACGCCTTTTTCTCAGCTCGACCACTTCCTCCCAAAAGCCTTCCTTCCATAGTCTCAAGACTTCAAACCCAACCTCTATCGCGATCAGGACGATGATGGTCCACTCCAAAAACAACCCGTGCTTCTCACTCAATCTTTCTCTCAGCACAGTCGCAATCTCCGCAGCATAGTCCATCTTTTCATTCAACACTTTGATCCTAATTCCGACGTCCAACGCTCGGCCAACTTGGTCGTAATAGTTCTCTAGGTTGAGTTCGTGCCGGGAGTCCCAAAAAAGATCAGGGAGAGAGTCCGTGAGTTCAGAGTAGAGGTTTAATTGCGCGCGGAGGAGAAGGAGCTGACCTGTTTTGCGGGAGATGAAGTCGCGGGAGAGTTTGAATGGGAGTCGAGAACCTTTTGCTAAGAGAGCTGGGATATCTGCTGTGGAGGCTAGATAAGTGGAAAGGTTTGTCTCAAGAACGGCAAGTTTGGTAGAGCGGGCGAACCCGGAGGAGAAGGCAATTTTGGTGAGCACTGTGTCAACGGTTTGGAAATGTGACTGTGCCTGTTGCTGATCTGCGGATGGGCTGATTTCTTGGTGCTCCGACTTCTTTGTTCCCAGGATGATTGTGTCGCCGCGAATTAGGCTGTGTTCACGGCTTGGATCTTCAATGTAATCCAGGTCCTCGGTCTCGATGGGCTCTCTATGGGGGTTATCTGCTGCAGGGAGGAGAGTGCGGGTTGCAAAGTATGAGGTAAATCCGTCGGGTAGAGCCCATGTTACCACTGTGCCGGATGGGAAGACAAATACATCGCCGACTTCTGTCGATGAAAGATCTCTCGCAGAGGGATTGGTGGAGCGGTATATTGATGAGATGGGGACTTGGACATGGATGACTTGCGGGAATAGTCCAGTACCCAGCGGATCGGGCTCGTAGCCTTTATTGCGAAGGATCTCGACAACCTTGGTCAGGTCGAATTGTTCTGCAACAGCGTACGCTGTCACCAACTTCGGTGGTTGTTCTACCTCTTCATGTGATCTCGCGCTTGGCTTCGCGAGGCCAGCCTTTGATATCTGAGCCTCCAATCCAACTCTTCGCAGCGACGTTTTCGTGCCAGGGGAACGTGCAGTTTTCCGCTTCTGAGCGGGAGAAGCGGTTGCCGGTTCGACGACAGAATCCTCTAAGTCGCCATCTTTCTGCACCTGTGTTTTCTGTGTCGATTGGCTTATTAATGACGGGTTGGAGGAAAAGAATCCCCGGCGGCGGGGCCGTTGGAAGATTGGTGATGCATGCAGAGGCCGGAAGCCCGGTTGACGCAGCACATCGTATCCAGCTCGTCGACAAGCAGCGCAAACGAACTGACTCCCTAGACTTAGCATCGGGCGCGTAACTGCCAAGCGCATGTTAAGGGAGAGGAGCTGGGTGCGTGAATACCAAAGACTGCATCTGCAACACAGAATGCCAGTCTTTGGTTGGAGCTCAGGCGCAGATGATGCTCCGCAAAATGATCCACGAGGCTGAATACCCAGTACAATGATCATGGCCGAGGACTTGGCGCTCGTCATTTCAACGCTCGGATTAGAGCCGAGCATCCAAGGAGCACCACCACCGCCCCAACACCACCCACTGGAGACTCCATACTTCGCGCGCAGATGACGCGATTTTGAACTTCCTATCCTCTGCATGGCGGCCGGAGATGGCTCGTCGGAGCCAGGCAACGGTGAGAAGCCTCAGGAGCCCGAGAGACGTCCTCCGGAACCAACCAAGCACGACGCGACAGCAGATGAATCCGAGGAAGATGAGGAAGAAGAAGAAGAAGAGGAGGAAGAGCCACGACTCAAATATGCTACATTGACAAGGAATGTGAGCTCGATATATCGCAATGGAGATGCAACGAGTACCTTTCACGTGGCTGGGGATAAAATGATTGTCGGGACTCACAATGGAAACATTCACGTTTTCGCTTTACCGTCATTCAACTCCCTGCGCGTCTACCATGCTCACACAGCCAGCATATCGGCGATCTCGATATCTCCATATACACCCCCACTTGCAGCTTTTCGCTATGATTCGGGAATGAGAATAGCAGTTGAAGCGACGTCGAATCCGGACAAATCACCCTCAAGCTCACCAGCGCCGAAAGGAAAGCAACAGCAACAGCCCGTGCCTGATATACCTCCAAATCGAATATACATCGCCACATCTTCCATTGACGGTAACGTCTGCATCGCTTCACTCGTCGATCCTCGCGATGTTCAGCTGCGCAACTTCGGAAGACCTGTCCAGACCGTCGCCCTTTCACCAGAGTACAAGTCGGATAGAACATACCTGTCTGGTGGGCAAGCTGGCATTTTGGTGTTGACTACAGGTGGGCAAGCAGGGAAGAGTGCCAATGCGACTACGACCGGAGCTGCGGCGGCCGCCTCCGGGTGGCTTGGGTCTATTGGTCTTGGAGCAAACACGGGATCAGACAAAATCCTGCACAGTGGGGAGGGCATCATCAGCACCATCAAATGGTCACTGTCAGGAAAATATGTTCTCTGGGTAAATGAACAGGGGATCAAGATCATGAGATCACATTTGAAGCTGGAAAGTTCAGAGTCAGGGCTGGAGTGGAAACGAATGAGCCACATTGACAGACCTAATCGTCCTGGATGGGAAGACATGGCTGGTGTATGGAAAGCTCGTGCTAAGTGGATCGACCGCGATAATCTCGAAACCGACGACGACTCGCCCGCCACCGCTCTTGTCCCTACTTCGGCGAACGGTGCATCTCCTAAGCCTGACCCGAGTAAAACAAAAGTCGAAGAAGCCTTGGTAGGGTGGGGAGATTCAGCATGGATAATCAAGGTCTACCCGGGATCTACAGAAAGCGGAGGCAATAATAAAATTGGACGCGCTGAAGTCGCTACGATGTGAGTTCGACGTGCACCCTGAAGGAAGCATTTATTGACCGCAGTATAGTATACGATTTGATGACTGTACAATATCTGGAATTTCGTTATATACCCCAAGTCTGCTTTTGGTGCTTGCATATATGGAAAAGAAAAAAGGCAATAGTTCGGCGTCCCAAGAAAATGAAGGCAGCAAAAGAGGCCGGCGGACACGACATAATGCATTGGAACCGGAATTGCGTCTGGTCAATATTGATACGAAGGAAGAAGTCGACACCGACACTCTCACTATGAGTAGATTCGAGACTCTTTCGGCTTCAGACTATCACTTGGGGGTTCTGCCACCGATCCGCATCCCAGCTGCTCTTGTCCAGAAGGGGTACCTCAGCACCATTGGATCTGGTATGAGTACAGTCGGTTCAAGTCTCGCTACCGGCGTCGAAACCGTTGGTCAGGGGATGTGGGACGCCACAATGTACGGGCCACGCCTATTAGGTGCGAACCGCATTTTCAGTTCAAGCGAGAGCATTCGAAGCGGTGTTAGTGGTCCTGACCGAATGGGAAGCAGCAGAGATCGGAATTATCTCACAGGCTGGATTCCGGGATTTGGATCCAGTGAAACAAGTGCCAAGGAGGAGATAAATACCATGGCTACAGCACAAAGCATGAAGATTTTTATCTTCAGCCCATATGACTGCATCGTTGCAGTTAGACGCAATCTCAATGATCGTATGCATTGGCTTGTGAGCTTGAAGAGATACCAGGAAGCTTGGGAACTGGTTGATCAGCATCCTGAAGCGGCCGGCACCCTCTCTGAATCTTCAGAAACTTCAACACCGCCAAGTCCTTCAAAAGCCAGTTCTTTCACAAAGTCTGTCTCTGCCGTTCCCCCAAGTCCAACACAAGCCCGTCAGCAAGCTACTCTGGTCGACTTTTTTGCGGATTCGCTTTCAATCACAAGTTCAGCGCGGGCCAAGTCCAAGACCAAATTCTCTGCTGCGGAGAAGGAGAAGCGCAGGATAGGCGAGCTCTGGCTCAAGCAATTGGTTGATGCCAATAAATGGTCAGAAGCTGGGGAAGTGGCGGCAAAAGTGCTCAACACAACGAGTCGATGGGAGCACTGGGTTTGGATCTTCGTTAAAAATGCGAAGTTTGACGAGATATCACCTCACATACCGACGTTGGAACTGACACCCCCTTTGCCGTCGTCCATCTTTGAAATCATCCTTGGTCATTACGTGGAGGTTGACAAAGTCCGCTTCAAGGAGCTCCTTGATGAATGGCCGTCGGACCTCTTTGAGATCAGCAGCATCACATCAGCGATTGAAGACCAGTTCCGCGCTGGCAATGCTCCAAAAGGGTCACAGGACTGGAGGTTGTTGCAAGAAAGTCTGGGGAAATTGTCCCTCGCGGACGGGCACTATGACGAAGCTCTAAAATGCTATATTGCTCTCCAGGACGCCGACACAGCCATGTCATTGATCAAGGAACACCATCTCGTCGATGCAATTGCTGACGATATCCCTAGCTTTGTGATGCTGCGAGTATCGCCCGAACAACTCAGGACCGCATCTCGCGATGAGCTAAACGAGCTAGCAGCTGATCCAATCAAGGTCCTCGTGGACGAAGCTACTGCTGGGGTCGTTGAGCCTGACGAGGTTGTTGCGCAACTTGATAGACCAACGCTGAAGTCTTTCCTCTATTTCTATCTTCGTGCTTTGTGGCGCGGCGAGGGCACACAGGGGGAACCCGCCTTGTCCCGTGTTGGGCACTCAGCCATTACTACGTCGCTTGCTGCTGACACTGGAAAACAACATGTCGAACAATTCGCGGACATCGCTGTCAACTTGTTTGCTGAGTACGACCGAGATCTACTCATGGAATTTTTGCAAGCATCCATAGCTTACACTTTCGAAAACGCCGTAAAGGTATGCGAAACGAAACATTATGTCGAGGAACTCGTCTACCTCTTGAGCAAAACCGGACAAACTAAAAAGGCACTGTTTTTGATCATTGACGAATTGAAGGATGTTTCGAAGGCCATCGCCTTTGCGAAGGAGCAAGATGACCAGAGTCTCTGGGACGACTTCCTCGAATACAGCATGTCGAGACCAAGGTTCATTTCAGGCCTACTTGCCGAAGTTGGAACTGCCATTGATCCCATTACCTTGGTGAAGAGAATACCTTCCGGGCTGGAAGTCGAAGGCCTGAAAGATGGTCTGAAGAAGATGATTCGAGAGTATGATTTACAAGACAGCATCAGCGCCGGCGTTGCGAGAGTGCTTAGCAGCGAGGTTGCCGTTGGTATGGAGACGCTGAGAAGAGGAAGAAGGAAAGGCATCAAATTCGACATTGTCGCGTCACCACCGAGACATCAGCGGCCGCTCGCACAAGCTATTGATGGTTCAGAGGATCAACGGGCGGAGGGACAGCAGACCGAAGCCGAGATCGAGATCAAGCCTGGGCATTGTGCGTCCTGTCATAAGGCGTTCCATGAAAACGAAACTGAAACCTTGGTCGCGTTTGCTTGCGGGCACGTCTATCACGTCTCGCACCTGCTACACGGTCCTGAAGCAGAAGGGGATGAGGTATTGCTACCCCGGAATGGGGTGATTCGTCCGAATGATGGCGAAGTTGAAGAAACCAGGTTTTCCAGATCAGTGGGTCCAAAGGTCACCAATGCGCGTTTACTGAAAGACAAAATACAGAACGTTGGTGGATGTACCATATGCAAGGGGTCCCGGGAAAGAATGAAGGCTGCTGGAGGATAACGGACGCCCCACCAAACCAAATTTGCTTACCTGGATGTACGGAGTACATTCTACCTCGTGGCAGGCTTTCAAGGCTCTGAGCCGAAGCAAACATCTGCCTTGATCCAAATTCTCGAGGGCACCGCAAACCATACAATATCGGGAGAAGCAGTACAGCGACAACAAAGCACAATTACTTGGCACCGACTTGAGATCTCGTCTCATGCAGCTTTAATCTCCTTTCTCACACAACGGTTCACGTGATCCAATACCATCCAGAGACCATTAGGAAACCAAACTCCATAGTCCCGGCTATTGCGAGATCGATCTTGAAACCTATCCCACCACGTGGACTAAGCGCCTATACTCCCCCCACTTGTCCCGTCTCATGCCTAACCCTAACCTCAGGCAGGCAGAAGATCTTCCCAGCTGGTCGTCCGCGGCCGGACGGCGAGGCATACGGCCGAGGCGACCCTCCGTTTTCCATTGCCTGCTCCGGCATCGTTTCAACCTTTCCAGACAGGGTGGCTGTTCGGCTTCGACTTCTCATCTGGTCCGATCTCCCATTCCCCCTCAACCTCAGTTTTTGCGTGCTCACGCGACCCTGAACCATTCAAGGTACTTAAAGGGGGCAAGGACGCCATCGTATCGGCGACCTTCTGAAGCCCGAGCCTTCTTTGATTCGAGATAGAAGGGATTGCGTGCTGTGGGTGAAGCCCGAAGACTGAAAAGCAGCAAGATTCTTGGATTCCTGCAGCCATGTGGGGTTTTCAACCCATGATGGAGGATTGAGGCGTGCAAGGCTTCTGGGGGTAGCGGATTTTCAGGGAACCCTCACCATTGTGTCGAACCGAGCAGACCTCCTGGTCCCGAGGTGTGAATGGAATGCGCCGAGGTGAGCGCCTGGGCTGGGAAGGGGGGAGTCGATGCGATTGAAGGCGATCTGAAACCTCTACTTGAACGATGAGAGGACTTTGGCGCTTGTGTCCTGGTCTGTACTACACGGCACTTTCGCAAGCGTTTGAGCTCGAGCAGTCTTCCTTGCACTTCTATCTACCGAAGGGGGACTTCTTTTGTCGATGCGCGATTGTCGACGGCGAACCTGACGAGTCGAAGGCTTCAGGACCGTCTTCCAAATGACCGCCGGCCATTGTCTACCTGGTCAGGTGGAGTTCGAGCATCTGAACGGTCTGCCTCCTGTCGGTGAACGATCTGAACCGAAACCAATGATGATCAGTCTTCACAGCAATACTGTATGAACAGTCTCCCGGGTGTCCCCGTACAAAGTGGCATCTGCCAATGCTCTGAACATCTGCATGCTGTCTCTTCTGATCATAACTTTGCTAGATGCGAGAAATGATCTTTCCAGCACACCAACTCCGAAAGGAGTTTTTATTGCACTCGTCCCTCAATTCTTGCTGAGCGGGTGTCTGGCTAGACAACAATGAGGGGAATTGCCCGACTGTTGGTTTCTTGTTGATCCTACTTACACCTATCTTGGACAAACAGCCACCCGCCAACCTTCTTCGAACACAGCGCGTGTTTTGCGGCGTTTCATGAATTTCAACTCGTACGACCCAGAAAGAGCGTCGATCTCAATACCTTACCAGATGCGCCGCCTCTATTGCTTTCAGAGCACACGGTGGTTAGCCCCAGTAGCCACTCAGAAGACCATATGGCTGTTTTGAGTCCGTGAACCGAGCCGCAGCGACGTCGGTTTAGAAGCACCCGGCGTATTGCTTAGCATTTGCAATCTCCAGCCCGATCTGAGTTGTGGTGGTCTGAGACAGGTGTTCTCATTGATAAAGATTGGACTTTGGGCTTTGAAGGTTCAGGACATTCAGGTTCAGGGTTATACTTGAGCTTTGATCTTAACCATGGACTGGGGAAGTTGTGTTAAGGTTCAGACGGGGGCTTCGGTTTACAGCCCATACCTAGGAAATTTCAAATTTGTAGGGAATGTTTCTTGTTTTCCACCTCAGCCTCGCCGTGGTATATTCCACCACTTTACATAAGAGCCTCATTCCATCAATTTTTATCTCAGCCTTGTACTGCGCCGGCACCGCCAGTCGCTCTCCTCTCCGCCATAAACGCCCTCACGCCCTCTAAGCGCGTCACAAAGAACAACCTCTTTGCATCGTCTTTCCACACCAAAACGCCAGTCTCGTCTGCATACCGACAATTGGCCTCGTACTCTGCCCGGGTGGAGAAATCCCTGAACAGAAACCCTGGTGTCGTGGTCATGCGGTCTCTTTCCAATTGCCACAGGTGGATCTGATCCAATATCGTCGCCGGCAGCACTGGCACTGTTCTCTGCGCCTGCGACTCTGTAGCGGTACCCCGTGCTAACAAGGCGGCTTGTTCAGCCTGCGCATGCCTCCTCATCTGAGGGTGGGCATGAGTTGTCAGATAAGAAATGATCTGATCGGCAGTGATGCCGGCCTGAACGGCTCGTTGAACGGAGGATTTACTCATTTTCCCCGTGACGAGGTTCGGGTGGCGAGAACGAAGGTTTATGAATAGTGACAAGAGGGCGATTTGTAAAGGGGAAGAAGTGTAGGCATAGACGCGGTAATTGGTTTCAACAATGATGAAGCCCTTTTGTGTGACGGTGCCGGAGGGCGTAGTTGTGCCTGACGAGGAGCTGGATGAGTATTTCTGGGAGAGTGACGTGCCGATGGTGAGGTTCGCCGTCGAGAGTGCCGTGGCGGAGTCGGAGGTCAGCGTTGTGGTCAGGCGCGTCGGGTAGAAGTAATCGGCAGGAGTGACACCGTTGTCCGATGGGGGTTGATAGACGAGACCTAGGGAAACAAGGTCGGAGAGGCAGCGCTGTTGGGTTTCGTCTAGAGTAGAGGTCGAGTATGCAAGTCCTAGTTCTAGCGACGAGACAAGAAAAAGGAAGGAAAGGACGTCGACCTTGTCCATGTCAAAGACCTCGGCATTGTCCACGTAGAGGAAAAGCAATGCCCATACTTGGGTATTAATGTCTTGCAGGACGAACGCAAAGCCTTCCTTCGTGATCTTGGCTCTTTGACCGTGACTATAGGCCCCGCTGACTTCGATGAGATGACCTGCTTTGAGAAGCTCAATGACTCCCGGGGCCGGTTCGATCGCCTGCTGCTCATTTGCCGTTTCGAGCGGAATGGCAGATGAGCCAACCATGTAGCCTAATATACCTTCCCATCTTTGACGCGAGTACTCATCCAGCTGCGATATGGTGACTCTGTCGCTTTCCGGGACCCTCGCGGCTTTTCCGAATGACCGACTGTCTCCTGCCCCCGTCAAAGCGCGACGGAGGGATTTGGCAAAGTCCGCTGTCAACGCATATGCTTTTGTCGAGTTGAGAGTGACATCTCGAAATATATGGTAACGGTGAAGTAGATCCAAAGCATGCTCACGTTCGCCCCTGCTGGTGTCCTGAACAAACTGTTCCAGTTGTTTCGCTGGCATGGGACGGGGCATGTACAACAGCATCAAGACGAAGGACTTTGCCAGTGCTGACAGCCGTTTTCTAAAGATCGCTAAAGCAGAGGATGGACTCCTGTAAAGGCGATAGAATTGCGTCCCTGGAAGTGTCTCGAGGTACTCCCACGACTGGAGAGTTGTGTCCGCCATGATTCCCAAGGGCAAATCAAAGAGTAAACTACCGCGGCTTTCGAGATCTGTGTAAACACCGTCACCGATCTATCATCTTGATCCGCCGATGCACAGATTTCGAGGTGACGATGACAGCGACGGGAAGTCCAAGTGACAGCATCTACAAGTAGAGCTGGAGTGCATCGATCTGGGCTGGAGCTGAGTTCAAAACGAGTCAAAAATGCCAAGAGGCCTATGCCTTTTTTGGGACAAATTCCTCGCTGCTATGGATAATTCTCCGGTGATGCTGTGGCGGAGCAACTATGTACCTTGGTGCTCAACAAGCCACAACCCATGCGATAGAAAAGGACCTCGACCACAAATGTACTAGATCCATCACTCGGAGGAACACTCTGCGATACTTCCCGAGGCACGTTGCTGCATCAGCTTTCGCTCCTCGAACGAGACACCTCATCCTGATGCCACCACGGACTGCTTACTGCAGATGAGATACCTCCCCAGCCTTCCATTAGCGCAGCCTCGAATTCCGTCCTTGGCTTCTCCAAAGCTGCTAGTATAGTTGCATTGTCTGAATGATATCGTGCGAGGTATAGGCAAATCGCCTGCCCCTGGACAATACATCGAGACGAAACCCACCAAGCACCTCTGCAAACCTTCATATACCAATATAAAAGCATGAGCAACGCCCAAGGATCTTTCTGCGCAAGTAAGGACTTATAAAGAGGATCCATGTGGCTGACGAACCCAAGATACTTCAACCATGTCGAGTCATTGCATTCAAGGTCCAGTAAGGGCAAAAGTTGATGTGCAGTTTTGTAATAGGGGTTGGCAGCTGCCGAGGGCGATGCGGGGTCCTCGGCGCAAAGATGATCGAAGATCGAAGGAAGGTGTTCTGGAATTTTGCATGCAGGCATGTTGTCGCGATCGAATATGTGGGTCACCTTGCGCCAAAGACTGTCATTTTGCAACGGGCTTGCTAGTCGCCAGATGGTTTGTTTTCCATCGCTCAAGTTGAGCCACGCCATGTCACCGTCCTGCAATGGCCAAACGTCTTCGACAGACGATGCCTCAAGATTAAAAAAGCTCACGACACCGAGAATTGAAGAGGCGACCAGTAACGCATCCCCCTCCTCAGGTCTAATAGGCCGTGAAAGAATGCTCTGAAAGGCGATCAAGGCTTGGTTCAGATGGTAAGCCTCGGATGTGCTCGGTCGTGAAGTAGCCACTCCGCACAAGTAGCGATCGTGGGACGCCGTCACGGCCTGCGTCAGGTGCATGAGGAAGGGGTGCGTACACGCAAGCCGGATGACCTCTTTCTGGAAAACCCGGGCAACTCTCTTGGTGCCGATGGTGAGAACTGTCCTCGTTTGGAATCTGTCAAGTCGCGCCAAGTCAGATCTGTCGAATCGCATGACTTCGCATTGCGATCGTGGTCCATGGCTGCGTTCTTCCAAGCAGACATTCACCATGTCTAAGATAGGCTTAGTCGTCACCAGTGGGGACTTTTCCAGCATAGAATCCAAGCTGACAACTTCGGAAGCGACGGTTCGAGGTTGAAGATCAGGTATACTAGGATCATAGTTGCATATCACGCCGTATTCCAGACACTTTCCACACATTGGTCGGACCTCATTGCATTTGACTCTGCGTAATTTGCAGTTGCGACAGCCTAATCTGGACTTCTTGTGAGCCCTTCGCTTGCGAACTGTGGTATCGCCGCTGGCAGAAGTAGGCGCGGCTGCTTGACTGGTTTGGGCTGTCATTGTCATTAGAGGCTTCCGAAAGAATGATTATCTCTTGTGAAAGACGGTGACTCGATAAAGGAGAGAATAATATGCGCATCTGGTAGAACAACAGTTCGCCCCTTGAAGACTGATCGATGAAGTTGTTGGTTTTCCGAGTTACCTGAGAAACAGCTGCCTGCCTGACGGTGGAAGGGGAGGAAACGTCATGGAATTGTCGGACTTTAGCAGCATCTTAGCGACGAATGCAGGGATTGATAGACTTAACACCATGAGAAAGCAAGGAATAGTGACTGGACCAAAGGGTCCGAAATCAGGCCCTAACTGGCTGGCCATCGAACACCGACTTGCGGGTGCAGCTTCTACGCTAACCTCGACTCGTATTTCATGGGTCTGGAACTGAAGTTGGCTACCCGAAGCTGCTCGAGGCCCAGAACATGACAACTTTGAGGTTCTGTGCTTTCATCTTGCATTCGTGGTGGAACATCTCAATGGATATCAGGAAATTCGACCGGGCCCAAGTGATGAGGAAGAGGGAGAAGAGGAAAACCGAAGAGCGCGAAAGCGGAAGTGCGATACGGCGGAGCAGATGGCAACACGCGGTCCGGCGAACCATATCTGTCGCCGACTGCAGTTTCCAAGATTTCATTCTCACTTCATTGCGTTTCGGCTCGACAACCGCTCATTTGATATCGCTGGTGTCTCTGATTGCTTTGGATCTGGGTTGTGTTGAACGGTCCCCCAGACTCTTATTGACGCTCTAGAGTCTGCAGCTCTTGCGGGGTCCGGTATTCGACTTGCTTTACGAGTGGCGGCCTCAGGGTCCTGGTAGCGACACAATGTCGGCACTCAAGTTCGTCCGCTCGGTGGGTTTCCATGAATTCGCAAGCTTGAGGTGGCTTCAAGCTGAGACTATACAGGTTTGGGAATCATTTAGAGCAACGTCAGGGGTTGAGCCACGGTAATGCCCTCCAGGGATGACCAAAAGGAGTCACATTAAACCAGTCGAACAACAGGTTAATAGATGGCGTAAGTATCACTCGGGTCGCACAAACACACGAAGCCACCATAGGACTTCGCAGAGAGCTTTGCGCAACTTTCAGCGGATATGCGGCTCACTTCCCTCCGTTCAGATGCGGATAACGGCAGCGGAGCCAGGCAAAGTCAACTTTGAACTACCCATTGAGAAACAACATACAAACCGGCTAGGTATACTGCACGGTGCCACGCTTGCCACCATGGTCGACACCAGTGGGTCACTTGCTCTGGCTTCTCGTGGCCTATATTCGACAGGAGTTTCGACAGATCTCAACGTAACATACCTCAACGCCGGCGGAAAGATCGGTGATTTGATCAAAGGCGAAGTCATCTGTGATAAGTGTAAGATAATTGCTATTTCTCCTCCCCCCCCCAACCCAAATTCGTCAGCTGCGAGATGTTCTGATCTCTTCAAGTTGGCAAAACTCTTGCATACACTTCGGTCAAATTTATGAACAAGAACAACGAGATCGTGGCTCGAGGAAGCCACACAAAATTCGTCGCCCTCGCGTGGAAAGATGAGAGGAATATTACTGGGGAATTGGAGCCAGAAGTCAGCGAGTCTCAAGCCAGCGAAGTGACACGAACGAGCTTCAAGTGACTTGGACAGTCGCCCGATCATTTGAACCTGTATAGAATTGCCCAGAAAGATATGTACATAGGTGTAGACCAAATGGCCCAGAGCTACTAGACGCGATATCCAGGGTAGCACGCTGCATCTTTACGATGTATTCCTTGCGATATGAACTAGGCAATATCTTCAACTGTCTCACCTTACAGCTTAACATAGATGACAATGGACTGTTCAAGAGACGACAAAGCCATCACTATCGCGAGGCAACGAGCCATTGTCAGAAACCCGACGAAGGGAAACATCCCCCATGGCCTTTAATTCTCTCATGCTCCTGTCCTGTGGAGATGCAGACCTCGGTTTGTCCTTCGCTATGTTTGTCGCGTTGAGGGGAAAGGTCAGGTCGTTAAGCATGTTTTGGACAAGAGAGTTGAGAGTCATCGGAGAGCAGAAGGTGAGCCGAGGCGCAGGCGCTTCATAAAGCGGCGAGAGGCTTTGGTTGCCTTCCCTTGCCTTGCCCAAGCCTTGCCCAAGCCTTGCCTTGGTACTGAGTGACAGTGGTTCGGCGTGGAGAAAGATGGGCGATGTCTTGGTGTGTCGAGTTAGATTTGGGTCAAACCCACGATTAAATGCCTACTTTTTACATGAACCAAGAGCTTGCCCAACCACAGCACTTCCCGTGTTGAAGCTCTTCCCCGAAGTAGACGTCTACTCCTCCACAGAAAATGAATCGGATTGACTGACGTCGACATGCGCCGCGCACCAAAATCCACGCGACACTCGCCCGCGCTTCCGTCCTCGACTTTCGTTCTCGACAACGGTGGCTACAGCATCAAGGCTGGTTTCGCACCGTCAGAACCCGTGGAGGACACGGAAGCTCTGCTGAAATGTCATATTATCCCAAATACCCTCGTCCGCAGCCGTGAAAGAAAAGTCTACGTTGGTTCACATTCGGAGGAAATCACACAATGGAGCGAGGCATTGTTTCGCCGTCCTGTCGAAAACGGCCAAGTCGTGAGCTGGGAGGCGCAGAAAGAGATATGGGATCAATCTTTCTTCGACGAGCGGACCGCTCAGAAGGATTTGCTGGTTAAGAGTCCCGAGGACACGACCTTGATTTTCACAGAACCACCCAATACTATGCCCGCTTTTCAGAAGAATGCAGACGAGATTATCATGGAAGAATGGGCTTTTGGAGGCTATTCAAGGGTTATTGGTAGGTGTGGCCGAGCCAGAGACATTTTGGGTAGTGGAAGATGTACTGATGTCCAAGCAGGCGCGTCACTTAACGCCTACAATGATCTTCATCCACTCTTCGAAGGGCCCTCCTATACGAAGCAAGACAATGACCCTATGGCTGGCCTGCCAATTGAATGCGTTCTCGTAATCGACAGCGGTTACAGCCATACCACAATTACGCCGCTGTTCAACGGCCGGCCATTGCACCGAGCAATTCGACGTTTGGATTTTGGTGGTAAACACCTCACGAATTTGTTAAAAGAAGTCATCTCCGTTCGCCACTTCGATCTGCATCAAGACACCAAGATCGTCAATGACATCAAGGAAGACGTCTGTTTCGTCAGCAACAATTTTCGAAGAGACCTGGAGAAGACCTGGAAAGGAAATAAAACGCGGCAGAAATCGACTCCGTCGGAACCCAAGGGTTCTCACGGAGCCGTGGATCCTGAACAGATGGTCTCCGCGGAAGATGAGGAGATTCGAGTCGACTACATCCTCCCTGATGGCATTCGCATTCTTCGCGGGTTCAGCCGCCCTCACGATCCGACCCCCACCGCTGCACGGAAGCGAAAACAGGCCGCCCTTTCCTCTGAACCAGACGCCGAAATCTCAATGACGTTGGGAAATGAACGCTTCTCTATCCCGGAGATCATCTTCTCACCCGGTGACATAGGCTCGAAACAGCCCGGTTTGCCGGATATTGTGATGCAATCGCTGAGTGTCCTCCCGCCGCTCGTGCAGGTCACCATGCTAAGCAACGTCTTCCTTGTCGGCGGAAATGCGAGAATCCCTGGCTTTCTGGAGAGACTCGAAGCAGAGTTGCGCACGAGGGTGAAGACGGAATGGAAGGTTCGCGTCCGCAAGATGCCGGATCCCGTTACTTCGACGTGGCTTGGTGGCGCCAGGCTGTCGAGTGGATTTCCTGAGATTGTCCGAGAATACGGTGTTACGAGGGAAGAGTATCTTGAGCATGGCAGTGCGTGGGTTGCCAGGCGGTTTGTGGGCGGAGGCAGCGGGAAAGGCCCCTGAGGAATTGTGAATTGCACCTTGCAATACGGGCTGGTGCTCGTACGGGAGCGATGAGCAGCACCAGGCCCATGTGCGGCGTGATCTACGTACAGATCCAACGACGACCTCTGGATGGCATCCCTATGCCCTGTGCGAGATACCAACAGGTCTCAAAGCCCGCCTTCATGCCCGTCCGATGCAGCTGAGTTGAGGGGCGCATCAGCAATGTCCTGTCCAGAGAGCTCAGCAGGGCCCCTTGAGCCTGCTTCCTCTGTAGCCACCGATCACAGGATGCCACTCTCAATACTATGCAACTACCATGTTGCCCAAGATCCGCGGACCCCGCCTGTACCATGGGAATTGCCACTTGGACCGAAAAGGGATCACACGCAACAGAACAATGCCACGGCAGCGAGTCAATTGAGCTCAAACCCGCTGGCTAGGTACCCCCTTTTTCAGGACTGAGTTGTGTGCCTGTCATCGGACCCGGATGTCGGGATGGGAGGGGGCGTGTCCGATCCAGCTCCTGGTCGTATAGAAGCCTCCATGTTAATATGTTTGGGTTGAGCTGGAGATGAGGGTGATGGCGGACGGCTGAGGGTTGGTCAGCGCGGGCTGCATCCATGCGTAATGGCGCGCGGAGACGACGATGATGTGAAGGGGCCGAAGCGTTGGGAGATTCGACTTCACAAACAGGTTGTGAAGAGGTGGTCACCTCGGGCTCCACAGGCGCGGGAGCAACAGCAAGCATTTACTGATGTCGATCGGTAGGGTTTGCCAAAAAAAAAAAAAACCTTCGACGATGGGCGAGGACTACCTCGAAAAAAGGGAAATGGGACGAATCAACGTTCCTATAACCCTACAGGCTTGGACGAGCCCAAAGACCAGTTCCCACGCATGCATCAACCCAAGGCATGCGCCCGCTGCAGACAAGGTGCGCCGCAGGAAATTCGGGCCCCGGCGAGCGCCGGTGTGGTAGGGATGGGTCTCTCGTTTCTACCCTTGGACTGTAGCTTCAGGGGCCGTCGCCGTCGCCGTCCTCGTCCTCGTCCTCGGTCGGCTCTTCCTCGCTTGTGTCTGGAACCTCTTGGTCCTCGGGACAGTACTCGTTTCCATCCGGGTCCCAACCCTCCTCATCTGCACTGTCTTCATCATCATCATACAGGAAGTCCTCGTATGGATCTAGATCCTCGTCGTCGCTGTCGTCTTCTTCATCGTCAATGTCGAGATGTTCCTCGGACTTGGCATCCTCGTCTGGCAGATACGGGTCGGTCGGGTACGCGCCCTCCGGGTACTCGCCTGGGGGATAGCGGAGGTCTTCGGTGTAGTCGACAGTGAGAGAGTGGTCCGGATAGGCACTGTTGAAATAGTGGTATGCATGGAATCGCTTGCCCTCGTCGGCGGCGCCCGCATCCGGGCAACTTCGAGGCTTGGGAACAGGTACAGGAGCCATGGGATCAACCAGCCCTACGGCCATGGACTGGGTCTGCATCGCGCAGGGTTTGCGCACGGGTCTCCTGGTCATTTGTGGCATTTCTGGGTAAAGTAGGGGAACGGTGGGTTTGGGAAGCAAGAACAAATGCTAGACAAGAGCCTTGGATAGGAGCAAGCAGGCGAATCACAACGCCAGAGTGACATTATACAAACAAATCCGATAGGCAAGCTCGGAATCACTGTCTGTCGCTGTCCACGTTAACTCATCTATCCAGCGTCTCAGCCGAGCCACTGTCACCTCTGTTCCAAACGAGTTGGTTCTTCTCCTTCCTCCCTTCAAGAGACTCAGACCCTTTCCACCGTTACTTCTTGCGTTATGGTGGCCGGGATTCGATGAGGTGATAAACAATCACATGAATCACTCTGTTCCCCAAAGCGAGACATTCAACCGCCGACCCAAGACATCGATGGCACCGACGCTCGCGAAGATAGCCACATACATGACCAAGAAGGACAGCCGCGGTGGGTGATCCAATCCTCCTCGCCAATCCGTGACTTGATGCGATTCTACAGCCGACAAGGTCATGGCCATGAGAAGTAGCATAGCAGTGTTGTCCAATCGCAGGAACAGTTCACGCCTTGACCGGCGGGAACCAAGGAACGCAGATAGGATGGTGCCTGGAGTGACGGACCACAAGAAGCTGAGGAGGGACGACGGAGACTGTGTTTGCCTGCCGCCAGTCGAATGTTGAAGAGACTCGAGAGGCATGTCATCAATTCATCATCCCAGTGGCGCCTGGAATTATTCACCTGACCGAAGATACTCCTCTTCCTTTTCTGCGCGTATTACCTACTTCCACCTTCCTTAGTCAGAAACCCGAACTTCTCACCCAGTAGCCCTCCCGAGCGCCAGCCCACCGGCCCTAACCAAATCGTTCAAACGACGCCGTGTCTTCGGTGCCTCGGGCACAAATGACGCGGAAGTCAAAATGGATTCAAATTTGCGAATACGTGCGACAGCGCTATTCTCGGCATTGAACTCAACAATCAACACTTGTCATTGGCTGCGGCGTACATTGGGCTGTCTGGATCATGCTCTCTGGCTTTCTCTCTCCTTTGCTCAAGCCCTAGAGGTTAGAACCGCCCAACAAGTCGCCCTCCTCCTCCTCCTTCTTCCTGCGCAACGAGGCAAGAGATCACCTTCTTTTTTCGGTCGCGATGGAGGTGAGCTTGAAAAGAACAAAAGAGAGAGGTGGCAAGGAAGAAAAGGCCGGAAACAGCATGGACGAACGGACTAGGAGCGTAGGACGAGAGGCGTGAGGCTGACAGGAGAGATCCTGGGGCTCATGAGTCAGATCAGCCGTTCCTCGTTATTACTCGTTGCTCGTTACTCGTCCGAATCCAACTCAAGCTGTCGAGACTGGACACGCATGATCCGCCTCTCCACCGCATCCACCGCATCCACCACGTCTGGCCACTGCTTGCGTTCAGAGTCAGAGGATGGGCCCCGACCTATCGCCAGATCGAGTCATACCCTCCAGGTGCCCTTCAATGCGTTACGCATGTTGCCTGAGCATATTTGACTGTGGGAGACCAGGCCACCATCAAAGGTCAAGCATTCTGCCCAGCATCTGCCGCTGCGCCCGGTCTCATGGCTGTCTATAAAGGAGCCCGAAGCCTTCTGCCTGAGCCTTGAGGCTTTCCTTGCTCTGGCACACCTACGCACCAATTCACTCGGAACGTCTCGAAGAAAAGCTTACTTCAACTTCCTTGACTTAGGACTCTACAGCTTGCCTGCTGAAAGAAGCCATTACACCCAGATCCTTCAAGATGCCTTCAGATTCTAAGCCCAACATGTCGTTCGACGCTACCTCAATCTCGACGTCCTCCCTCATGAGCCAGAAGGAACGAGCCCAGCAGGAGAAGAAGCCTTCGCTGGTCAAGAGGGTCGTAACTGGTAAGACATAGATATGCCTGTTGCCCTCCTATTTCTGTCCGACTTCATTCCTCTCCTTCTCCTTCTCCTTCGTCCTATGTATACACTTGGACACGAATCGTGAAGGCTAACCGACCTCCTTTTCCCCTGCCAGCCATCAAGAATATTGAGCCTCCCGAGCCAAGAATACCAGAAGGCAGACATGAGCATATGCCGGCTTGGTCGAGGTGAATTTTGCATTGTTCGTGTCTCTATTTCGGGCTTGGGAAGGAATCACTATACCTTCACCATGGCGGGATAAAGAGAGAGGCCTTTCCTAGGGAGCGGCCCACCAGCAATGGCATAGTATCGAGAGCGTGGCGCGCGGGGGAGCTGGCGGAGAGTAGGCATACAAGGCCACGCGACACGCCGTTGCTGGTGCACCGTGCTCCCGGGAAGTCCATACCATAGGAGCATAGCGATGTGCTCACTTATATTGTCTATATTTTTGCCGGGTGAAGATGGTTGTCTGGATAAAAAGGGTGAGGGGCGAGGCATCAGTGATGATCTTACCAGTATGAATGCCATGGTAGTCTGGTATAGCTTTCTACGCCTCTGAAGTGGAATCAGCCTCAGGAGCTCCGAGCACAAAGGGGCACTAACACCAGGCTTGCGGTCGGACATATAGAAGACGAGTTCTGAGCCAGTCATGTAGAGAACGTTCACCTCATTGTCTCACAACACATGCACATCTGTGCAAATTGCTTCTCTGTCTCGTCAGGCGACCTGAAAAGAATCCATCTGGGCCTTAGCACTGCGAATTGATGCTAGTCCGGTAGGCCCTCGTAGAAGGTTGACAGAGCAGCCCTGCTTGTCCCTTGAATATTCCTAACAAACCGGGTGGAAGTCCTTTTCCGTCTCCAAGACCGTTTCCCCCAAACCCGCCTCTCTCTTCGTCCAGCTCACGTCGGATCTCGACCTGGCAGCTCCGGTGTCATTCGTCCCGTGCTGGTGGCTGTCGCTTAATCATCTTCCCCTTCTTTGCACACGCGGCAATACAGTCGTGTGGCCCAGCGTTGCTGCCTGTCCCGAATGGCGGTACGCGGCCATAGATGGCTTGAGTGTTCAATCCGCCGCCAATGACAGTTCCGGAGATGTTCTGCGGAAATGAGAAGAATGCGTTGGCCAAGTTGGTGGTCCCGGTGTCGTCGGAGCTGAGAGCTGAGATCAACTGCGCGTTCTCGCAGCCAATGTTCATCATGGTGTGGATGGAGGCCTGCGGGAAGATGGTCATCTGGCCGGCTTGGAGGGTCTCGGTCACCGTGCGGGCGCCGTTCTCTGCAATCATGTATGTTTGTGTGGTCCCAGAGATGGCGACAACGTAATTGGCGGCACGTGGGTGAAGGTGTGGCGGGAGCATGGAGCAGGGGCCCAGGTTGAGCATGGACTTTGATTGAGAGTCAGTTTCATCCCCAGAGAGGCATGACGTTCATAAGAAATAGGTGGCCCTTACCATCGTCATCCCTTGGCCGGTAGCTGCCGGGAACGTAGCAGAATTGGCATTGATCACTCCCCCAGGCGAGAAGGTGTACTTGTCCTGCTTGGTGAAATCGAACAACCAGTCTGCATCATTTGGGAGCAAGTTCATGCGGTCGAGATTGGTGTTGGCCACGCGAAGCTTAGCGACAAGGTCCGCGTTCTTGTCAACGTCGACAGCCACAGCCAACGCCACAGAGACAACAGCGACAAAGGCTATGAATTTGAGTCTGAGAAACATCGTGGCAAAGGTTCTGAAGTTTAGACGGTGATGACGACGGAACGGGTGTAAAGCTGGGCTGTTCTGAAGCAGACCTTTGGGGTCCAACGGTAGCTGTTCGCTTCTCTGTCTGTGCGAGATTGTCAAAGAGAATAATTTCGCTCTTACTAGACTGATAGGTGGGAAGTCGATTGAGAGAGGATTGCCAGGATCTTCATGGCGGGGTGAGGCAGGATGGGCATTGAGATTTCAAGCCAGGGTCATTTCGAAGGTCGGCCTGAGAAGCGAGTGAAGTGAAGACGAGAGCCAACTCACCTCACATATGTCTGGTCATATTGTCGCTTCACACCCTTCGTCCAGGGAAAGTTCCTCCCGGCCGTCTCGACTCTCGGCAGATATTCCCCTGATGTGGTAAAGAGGTCTCTGCTTGAGCAGCCAAATGTGAATCAGGGCGCTGGTGGCCGGGAATAGTTCTCTTATCAACCTCAAAACATCCCACGATCGCCATGTGTTGGGCCTCATTCGCGTGCCAACCCAGATATTCGACCACAGATGACCCGGTCAGCACCACTCTGTATGTCTCATCGTCGATATGTTGCTAACGACTCGCTAGACATTATTTCAAACTGTGAGCGACCGAGTATGGAGTTGACCTTCCAGCAAGAGAATCATCGTCCAGTGGTAGCGGGGATATTCATCGACTCCCAGGACGGCAGAGACCAAACCTTACCATGGCATAGCCACAGAGGCAGAAACGACAAAGCCTCGCGCGGACGAACCGAAGGTAGTGTTTTATAGCATAGCTCCTTTTTTTGAACAAGCTGGAGGTGACGCATGTCCTCTGGCTAGGATGATGGAAGACGGCGGACTGACTGGTCTAGAACTTCTGATTTCTTCTCGTGGGCTAGCTCATGGCCTCTTTCTCGAGTGGATGGTCTCAATGGGACTTTCGTCGGTGCCAACATTGGACATATCGACTTCTCCCTCAAGCGCGCGGGACTTGTCAGTGCAATATGCGTGTCTACCTTGTGATCAGCTCCCCATAGAAAAAAGCGGCACCCAACATTGAAAAGGGGCAATTATTGGGAGATGGAAAGTCAGCGACTCGACATGCTTCCGACTTGCGAGCCAGGAGGACGTGTCGGTCAAATGTAAGAGCTTTTACTAGAATGATCTGGTTCGAAGAAGGATATCAGGCCACGAGTATTATTGCTTTTGTCGACCTGCAATTGGCGACGGTCGACTCGTCTATGCAAGAGGAACGGGGGGACCAAGAAGCTGCGGATAGCTCTGTTGCTCCCCATATCGTCAGAAAGCGATTCTGCCAGAGACGCGTTAGCAAAATGGCGCAGCCAAAGCCAAAGAGACAAAAATATGCTAGTGGTTGTGAGAGAACTCAGAAGGAGGAGCAGAAGGAAGAGCAGAAGGGAGAAGAGAACTGAGGTTGCAGCCTTGCCGATGCCAACGGACTCGGCAATCTCAGCCTCACACGTGCTTCTCAAACACGATTCATCCACCTCCACCACCGAGTACTAGGTACATATCCATCACCATTCACAGGCTCACACCAACTCACTCTACAGCTGGCTCTTTCATTGAGTCCTCGTCAATAGGCTACATTGAGGCAGAGTCATGATCAACAAGACTTCGCCATCCCGCTCGGGCGTGGGCCGCCGTCATGGCTCTCCCGAGTCTTTGGGCCCCCAATGAAACGCAAAAAGGACCCAAAAAGCTGTCAAATACCCAGTCCTACCGTCGCCATTGGTCTAGACTCTGTCCTCCTGTTCCCCGCCGCAATTGTCAAAAAAAGATACCTAATGTTTCTGACTACAACCTGGGTCTGCCAGAAGCGTCTCCGTGTTCGCCTTGGTGGCCTGGTCTCCTTCCCGCCAGTCCGTGCCTTTCAAAACAGATCTGTGACAGCCCCATGACTGGCATCACTAACCAATGCCGCATATTTGGCCAGTGTGCCCCTGGTTACCGTCGGCCTGGGAGGTTTCCACTCCTTCCGGCGCCTTTCCAATTCCTCATCACTCACTTTCATGGAGATAGTGTTCGACTGGGCATCGATCGTGACTTCATCACCATCCCTGACCAACGCAATAGGGCCTCCAACCGCCGCTTCTGGGCAAACATGGCCCACGATAAATCCGTGCGAGGCGCCAGAGTACCGTCCGTCCGTCACAAGAGCGACGTTTGTGAGTCCTGCGCCCATGATGGCTGCACTGGCCTTGAGCTGCTCTGGCATTCCCGGTCCACCTTTAGGTCCTTCATATCTTACTATCAGCACAAGATTCTCCCCACGCGGTATAGCGCCTCTGTTCAACGCGTCATTCAGTTCCACTTCCTTTTCAAAACACCTTGCCTTCCCTGTAAAACGAAGACCTTCTTTCCCAGTAATCTTTGCCACCGCCCCTGCAGGTGCAAAGTTGCCTCTCAAAATTTGGATGTGTCCGCTCTCCTTGATAGGGCTGTCTAGGCTCTTGATGATGACTTGATCACTCGGCAAACTGGGCCAACTGGCTACATTCTCGGCCAAGGTCTTGCCCGTCACCGTTGGAATAGAGCCGTCGAGAAGACCGGCCGCGATGAGGAGTTTCTGCACACTTGGCACGCCTCCAATCTCATACAGATCGGCCATGGAATATTTTCCTGATGGCGCGAGGTCGGCAAGGAAGGGGATCTTATTGCTCACGCGCTGGAAGTCATCGAGAGTGAGTTCCACACCGGCCGTGACGGCCATGGCGAGTAAGTGTAGGACGGCATTGGTACTTCCTCCTAGGGCCATGGTTATGACGAGAGCGTTCTCGAAGGATTTATGGGTTAAAAGTTTCTTCGGCGTGATGTCCTGCTCCAAACAGACTTTGATGGCGTCTGCGGCTTTGGCACATTCGCGCATTTTGGCTGGTGAGCTCGCTGGTGTCGAACTCGATCCAGGCAATGTCAACCCCATTGACTCGATTGCCGTGGCCATCGTGTTGGCAGTGTACATGCCGCCACAGGCCCCGGCACCTGGACAAGCATGTCTTTCTAAATCCTCCATGATCTCATCTTTGGTTTTGGACGTGTCTCCCCCATCGTCTGGCTGACGCAAGGTGTTAAACGTGTACGCTCCGAACGCCTCATAACAGGTGGCAATGTTGACGGGCCTGCGCAAAGTCTCGGAGTACCCCTTATCAATCGTCCCTCCATAGATCATCAGACTCGGTCTGTTATGCCTTGCCATCCCCATGATGCAACCTGGCATGTTCTTGTCACACCCAGGGATAGTGATGTTGGCATCATGGGCTTGAGCGCATGTCACTGTCTCGACGGAGTCCGCAATGATCTCCCGCGTTTGCAGGCTGAATCGCATACCCTGGTTTCCCATGGTGATGGCATCACTTACGCCAATGGTGTTGTACTGCCATCCCAGCATTCCGCGCGCATTGACAGCTTTCTTGACCTCCTTGCCCAGGTCAAGAAGGTGCATGTTGCAGGGATTTCCTTCCCACCAAACACTTGCGATGCCCACATGAGGAGCAGTCTGCATTGCGTGCCTATCTGGCACACCCGCGGCGAAGAGCATAGCCTGTGCCCCTGGGAAATCGTGCTGGCGGGTCAGATGGGTGGAGTAGCGATTTAGCATGGGTTTGCCATCGACGCCGGTGAGCTCCGAAGAGTGCACAAAATCCAGGTAGCGGGCTTCCTGGAAGCCGCCTGTTTTGTCCATATTGCAGATAGGCTACTGTCCAGAGCCTACTAGGTAGACAGCTTGGGACGGAAGGGTCCGTGAGAGCGAAAGATATACTACAAAACCACCCCTCGGTGAGAGATCGTCCAGATCAAGTGCGGGGGAATCTCGAGCTCCTGACAACGATTGCTGTTGGTATGTTGAACGCCAGAGAGAAGAAAACTTTGCGACTGAAATTTTTGAGGCAAGGGAAGAAGAGCCTTCGAAATGCAAGATGTTCCATTGGCAGCACCCATTGCTCACCATGGGGACCGAAATCCCCTGTCTTCCCCACATTTCCCTAGCGGTTCCTCGGTGTTGATGCCGAACGAGGGGTTGCGAGCTGATGAGGTTGGAGGGGCAAGGGGTTTGACGAGGCTGCGAGGCTGTCCAGTTATTGTTCCCAGCCCCCAGGAAATTCGCTTGTTTGCCGTGTTTGCCCCGTTTTCCCCGTTTTCCGTGTTTGTCAAGACTGTCGTCTATACCTTGACACATGCCAACACATGTCCATGTCATCAGCAAACAAGAAATTCACCTCCAAAATTGGGTAATGGAACCATAAGGTAAGATGCCACCACTACTTTCACAAGAGCAGCGACAAAGGAGATGGGCCCCGAAGGTGAGAACTGGGTGTAAGACCTGCAAGTAAGTACGGAGACGTCTCGATTCTTCCCGGCTTAACAGCAGCTGCAGGATCCGACGGAAACGCTGCGACGAAGGGAAGCCATACTGCATGAAGTAACGATGACCCAGCCTCGACCTATCTTGCTCTGATGTCGATCTAGATGTGTGAAAGACAAATTCCGTTGCGATGGATACGCACCGCCGAAGACCTGGTTGTTTGAGCCATCGCACAAAGACAAGAGCGACCTACTTGAACCAGATGCACGTTCGTTGCAGCCGTTGTGGCCAAATATCCCTGATTGTGAAGGCCTTCGGACAGACGGCGAGTCTCTTAGATCCCCAGCGACTGCAAGCAAAAGCAATCGGGCTTTCACCCAACTCTCCAGATTTCTTCTCGAACCCTCGAGTCCGTGGACAACGGAGGTGGACCAAAGCTACACCCAGCTCTTCCTCCTTAGGACAGCGCCACTTCTTTCTTCTACTAAAAGGTGGCATCACTTCTGGCGATTCATTGTCCCCCAAGCTGCTTGGGAGAACCCATCAGTCCATCATGGAATGGTTGCGGTTGCAGCGACTTTTGACTCCTATCTATCTGGCGCCGATCACACCGCTTTGATATTGGAGCGAAGGGCTCGGGCTATCCGTGCATTCACACATCAACCTCCTTCATGGGATGTCGCGTTGATCGTCTGTCGATTGTTCTCCTCGATGGCTCAACGCAACGAGGATTTCAAAGCCGCTATGGTGCACATGAAAAGCGGAGAGAATATCCTTAGGGAAGCGATACAAAATGGACAGACTCGGTCTGAAATTGTTCGGCTAATGGCTGCGACATTCATGGGTCTATCAGCCGATGCAAATAATGATGTGAATGTCATCAAACGATTCCCTTTAGCAAAGCGCCGCGCCTTTCTCAAGCTCAAGAATATGGGTTCCGACTATGCAAGGCTTCTACGACGGATAACGCAAGAGCACCACCATGTCATCGAAACGTCGACGCTTGGATTCCTATCAATCGCCTTCACCACGATGAACCAAGCGATCAGCTCTACCATGTACCCGGACATACTGGTCTTTTCTGGAGATGATGGAATCGTCCCCGCGGCGGAGATCCGCACTCACTTGACGTGGGAGGATTCTGTGTTAAATCTTGACGACATGACAAGCATGTACCCATCTTTATCCTATGGGCTAGAGGAATATTTCAAAGCGCAGGGCGTGGCTAGAGTTGCTCCATTGGCGTCGTCTCTCGGCGACCTGACGAAGCAAGTCAAAGTCTTCGTGGATAACTACGTCGTACGAGCGTTAGAAATCGAGCCCCGAATGACGGCCGGCACGTTTTGGCTCGACGATGAAGCAATTCCGGGGTGCTTGATGGACAATCACCTTGGTCGACCTCAGATTGGCATTAGCCCATCTCTCGGTCAAGAGCGTGCTCCCCGTCACGAAGACCCCGTTCTACGCGAGAGAAGGGAGTATTACCATGAGCATGTCTGTCAGTACAGGAGCGGCTTTATGTGCTGATTGGTCAGAATAGTAGGGAAGACAACCACGAGGGACCTCTCCTCAGGAAACAGCGACCTCGCTCCGTGGAGGATGCATGGATGGTTCTGCAAGCATCGGGCAAAAAAATGCATCTTAGATACCTGCGAGGACCTTCTTCCGGAGCAGCCCTTGTCAAATGTCTCCTCGAGACCTGCAGAAATGCCTGCAATAACGCAGCAACAAACTGGACGGCAACTGGACAGCTTCTTGGCAGCGCCCGAGTCTCGATGCAGCCTACGCTTGTTCGAACACAGTCTATTTCACGCAAGCCACATCCGACTAGCGTCCTACAAATATACAGGCAATCGTTGCGCTGCATTTCGTGGCAGAAACAGTTCCCACCCTCCCTAGTGGCATTCACGCGAAGCTCGAAGATCAATCACGTCACTCGAAAGTGTTAGTCGATCAGTCGGTGCTTTTGCAAACCGTCTCTTTGTGGGAAGTGGACACTGGCGAGGTCAGCATTACGATGGTTCCGTTGCCCATTGTCCGCTCCGAGCCTAGTCGAGAGTCAATAGTTCGCAGATAGGGGCTGAAACAAAGGCCGTGCCGCCATCTGTTGTATTGTTTAGTGCCAAAATCCGATGTACCATTAGGTATGGAGTGTGGAGTCCTGAGCATATCTGTAACCAGCACGGAGTACCTACATAACACAATGCCTGGCCACACGAACACCATTCAAGGTCCTGTCCCAACTGACATGCCATACCGTCCCATCACATCCCGCCCCGTCTGCAAGGGCGTAGTTGCAAATCCATGCCTTTATTCTACGTACCTACCTCCTACCGTACGTAATACTCCATGTCGCGACCCTATACCAGCCCAGAGTGGCGCGGATCCCGAACTCAAGACCCCCAAGTCTAAGCAGGAGGTCCAGAACCCGATGTGTATCCCTATCCCTCAGTAGTTACGCCTCATCATGATTTATACTCCGTAATATGATTCCAGATAGTCATGTATCCCGGTAAAGAGGGGGGGGAGGGGTCAAAACGCACTTGAGACATCCAAGAGCGGCTAGAGACAAAGTATTCTCGAGTCAACCGGATTCACAAATCGTCACGGTCAAGGACATGGACACCCACAGGGGAAAGGGGCTTCGGAAGAGATGCTCTTTCAAAATCCGATAGCTTTGATCGCTAACTGGCAGCTTCTTTCAAAGTGATCACCTTGTTCACTGCAATCCAATCCAGTCGTTGGCAACACACTGCAGAGTCTATTCACGTCAACGCTTTTCCAAAGCGAACGTCTCCTTTCAAGCTCTTCCCAGCTCTCGTTTGTTGCTCGCCGCAGTCTTCCCCTATTTTTGCCTTTCTTTTCGTCATGTCACATGGTAGTCTGCCGGTTCTCTGAGTATCTTTGATAGCTCCTCACTCTTTTGTTATTCCCATCAGCAGATGTTTTAATAGGCGATACACAATAACCTGAAGACACAGCACTTTTCTATCCCTCCTTCCAAGAGTCGCTAGAAGACGTACAAGCAGATAAGATCGGAAAACACACAAATGGTCGTTAAGGAGAGACATGAAGGGTATCGACTGTCCTGACCCCGAGACTCCACCACCCTTTACAGATAGCAACGTCCACTAGTAGACCCTGTTTTTTTTTTTGGCTTTTCTTTTCGTCTCACCGACCGTCCTTGACAGGATGTTCAGTTTGATAAGACTGATTCACCTAGCGTGAGCGCACAGTTTCTGCCAAAGATGTATCTACTGGCTGATGGACGGGAAAGATGGAGCAACTGCTCGGAAATCAGCATCGGAAATTAAAGTCTTTTGGACTTGGGTAGGGTAGTACTCACTCTCCATAATCGCCGGTCCGAAGAGCACTTCGTTATCGCTCAAGCTTCTTCCGGAAATATCCACAATCGTGATGAAAATGAATACCTGCCCGCCACCAATGCTTCCCGGGATGCTCACGTTGATACTTCCATCACTTTCAAAGACAGCCTGAATGGACACGACCTCGAGACCGGCGATGAATGTCACGAAGATGATTTCGACCCGGGAGAAGTCGTGGCGGGATTTGGAGAAGTCGGGAATGAGTTGAACAGAAGAGCCAGCACCGGGAGCGGGGCAAGATGAGAATGCACCGCCGTTTGTGCGCGCCTTAAGAGCGGTGCTTCGGCGCTCAGGAGCGGCGGTGGCCATGGACATATCCATGGACATGGTCGTTGATGCCATGGACATATCCATGGACGTGGTCGTTGATGCCATGTCCATGGTGGTGCTGGTGGTCTCCGTTGTGGACATATCCATAGTTGAGGTGGTCGAGGTGGTGTAAGCCGCGGCCGAGTCGGTGGTGGTGGCTGCAGTGGTGGAGTCGGTGGTAGTGGTAGTGGTGTAATCAGCGGTGGTGGTCGAGGTGGTGTCATAGGCCACTGAAGTAGCCGAGTCCGTGACATCAGTTACGTAGGCGCTGGTAGTGTCAGTAGCACTTTCGATGTCGGAGACAACGGTAGCATAGTTGATGGACTCGGTGGAGAAACTACCACCATTACCGCTCTCGTCGAAACAGGGTTGAGAGTTGACTTTCAAGCCGGGGAACGCGGTAAATGGCAATGGTGGGTTCGACGGAGGGCAGGAGACGATGAATTGCGAGGCAATGGTGAAGACCGAGTTGGCGTCAAGGGGCTTGAAAAGCCGCACATTAGCACAACATATTCTCGGAATGAGGTTTCGTGCCGAACGCAGCTTAACTTACAGTAGCAAAAGGATTGGTTGCTGCAATTGCACCCAACGAGCTCCTCTGCGAACTCGTATGTAACGCCTCCGTGGCCATAATACTCGCAGCCACGGAGAGGATATCCTTCGATCCGACAAACGGCGCAGCACCGAGGTAAGCACTGGTTCCGACAGACTCCAAGATGGCGGAGACAGTGACGAAGCTGGCAACATCGGTCACCGGGAAGTTATACTGGCATGGCTGAACGGGTTGAATGCCAACGGATTCGATTGCTGCGATGAGAAATTCAACGTGCGCAGATTCGTCTGAAGCGATGAATTCCAGGTTGAGGAAGAATTCCTCGTCAAAGCCCGCATTGAGGAAGTCCTGCAGCTGGAAACTTCTGAATGCTTCTCTGTAGAAGGTGTTTTCGAGATGCTCGAGCTGTCCAGAAATGGTTAGATCATTGCGGACCGTCTTAGATGGACCGAAGTGGTTACTTACAGTCAAAGCGAATTGCAAGATGGTGATATCAATCTCGGAGAATCGACCACCGCGTTTGGCCAGGTCGACAGGATGAGCCAGTGTCAAGCCAGCGAAGAGGGTGCTCAGCCCAGAAAGAGTGAATGCTTTCATTTTGGGGGAAAAGAGAAGGAATTTGTCAGGAGTGTGGCACTGAGGGCAAAGGTATGTACGGGAAAAAGGATGAATGAGAGTGTCCAGCACAGGTCAAAAAAGCGAAGCAGAGCTTGTCAAAAGCTTGAGGAAGAGAATGAAAGGCAGACTTATCAAAAGCCTTGTAGAAAAGAATGACTTGTCAAAAGTCTTTGAAGGAAGGACTGGAATGTGGATGCTGGTTGAACTGCTTGTAGAAGTGATGTCGGCCATAGGAAGGACGAGAATTATATACACAGACTCTAGGATGTAAGACACTTTCCAAGAAGGAAGCGTGAAGATCCGAGCATCGCTTGCTCGCTGATCCATTTCGGTAACCCGTACGGAGGTCATCCTGTCAGTAGAAGTGCTCAACTCACTACAAATTGTGATACCGGATAATAGAAGGCAGTCGTTTCAACATTTTCAATGGTGTTGTATCAAGGAGGAACACCTCGGGCAAAGGAAAAAGCAAACCCTGCACGGAGCCCGTATGCCATTAACGGGGTAAGCACCCACAAGCCATCTTTCGGAAGCTGCCAGTTGCCGAGCGACAGGCGTTCAGACGCTCGCATTGATCTGAACGAGCGAGATGGCCGAAAGGGGTGTTTGCGGGGGGTTCACACTTGGGCCGAGATCTGGGTGCCTCAAGTCTTGATCTCGAGAGACGGGCCAGAGCTCGGCTGGGTCGGCACCTATCCTCTTTGGTTAGAGCCATGGCGGCTTTGAAGAACCTCACGAAAGGCTGCAATTTACCTGCGACACCGGAGGAGCTTGAGGAAGCGGTATGAGGCTGGGGGGCGCGATTGCATGGATCAAGCTGTCTTCATTTCAATCGTGGCGGGATTTTGAACAAGCCGGATTTGGAGAAGTACCAGCCACAATGGCTACTTGAGACAGCTCATGTCTCTCAGTGACTCAAAAACAAGTCGAAAAGAGAGATGGTGAGCGGAGGGTTCAGCAGCCGAAGGATGGTGAGGCTGTTCACATGTTTCAGCGAAGAGAAGGCGCGACAATGCCAAGCTAGATCACGTGAAGCAAAGAAAAGCTTGGCAGGAGCTTGGGGCCCAGGATCTTATAATACCCAGGTACTGCCAATGGCTCTCACCTTTTTCAGGAGAAAATGACGTCAGCGGCGCAACGATCGCAATCCGGTTCGGGCCTCAGGCTCTTCCGGTCCATATCAGTCAAATGGGAGCTCGATCCTGTTTTACCTTCGCTCAAGTCTTATCGGTCACTGCGCTGGGTTTTTGGTCAAAAGACCTTGACTGGTCCTGACAGTCACATCATTACCACTTATGTTCGACATTTCCAGGGCCAATTTGAACGGACAATGGCTCCGCTATGATGTCGGTGGTACATATTTCGCAGCACGCCTGATTGTCAGATCCTTTCCTTTGCCATCACGAATGAGTAGCAACGGCCAGTAACTTGAACAGGATGTGCCAATGGACTATAAAGACCAGCCACTGTGTCCCCCGTGGTCCAATCCTTGAGTGACTGAAGCGGACTAAAATCACCATCGTGTGGCCTTCATAAACAACCAAACCAATTCTGAGGGACAGTGTCTCGATATCGGTCAAAATGAACACCCAAGGACAGGCAGCTGGACAGCAACAAGAGGACTACGTTGACAAGGGTGAATAGAGTTGATCCTATTCCTCTCTTCCGGCGAGCCATAGGACTAACGAGACTTTCTCCTGCGCAGGCCTCGACGCCGTCGAGAAGCAGTTCGGCCAAGGTAGAGATACTTTCTCCTGTTCGCGTCAGAGTAGTCGGCTGCTCTGTTCTCACCGGTCTCTCGTCGCACACCCCCGTTTTGCAACCCCGATATCGTTGGAAAAGTGCATGATACTTGAAGGAATCTTCTGACATCTTGGGCGATTGACCAGGCAAAATCGACCCCGCCAAACAAAGAAGTCTGAATGAGAAGGTCACCGACAAGGCGAGAGATATGTTTGAAAAAGCTACTGGCAAACATGTTCCGGATAAGGTGCGTTGCGCTCGCTTCAAGCAGAGAAAGTTCAGATGTTGTTCCACGTCGGATTCGAGCCCAGGAAGAAGAACAAATCTCTCCACAGTGTGATGGAGCTTGCTAGTTCTCTCCCTCGTACATCACGTGTACCGACACTCGCAAACGCTGAGAAAGGGGTACGCAATGGCAAGAGCGTTACAACCTCAGGCGCCGGAATAGAACGGATGCAGGGCAAGCTGCATGAACGAGTGGAACGCCAGCAGACCGGACGTGTCTTTTTCCGCGCTTATAATTGCAGTGTGTCCACGGGGAATGAGGCCATGACTAACCTCCTGCGTCTCTCCACAGGTCAGCAACTGATGCAGAGTGTTGACTCGAGATCCATGCAAGGTACTGAGTTGAGATGGCGGAATGGGGATTTCGGTCCCATGTTCGGATTCGAGGGGGGAAAATGGTGAATGCTTGATTTGAATGCCAAATTAAACCACAATCAAATATTTTGATCCCCATCAGTGATAATATGGATCATGCGGGATCGTGTCATCATCAGTCTAAATTTTCTATACCTTTTTGCGTTATTGCTTCGTGTCGACTTGGTGCTGTCTTCCCCTGGAAATCGTCCGAAGTCGTGACAAGCGTCCTGAGTCAGAGCAAGCGGTGTCGTCGTGACCGTCCGCTGCTTCGTGAGACCACCTCCCAAAACTACGCATGAGGTCATCATATAAGCCTCTCTTATCTTTCTGAACAACACAAAGTTGTTGACCTCACCAGAGGAATCCATATGTCGATTCCCATCCAGCCGGGCAGAGGGAACAAGGATCACTGTCGGGCCGCTTCCAATCAGAACAACAGTCACTGCCGACCCAAGCTTGCGACGGGCTGCAGAAGCCGTGGATGGCTCGTGGTCCTGATCCAAAGCTTGTTGGACCTCGGAAAGGGCGATCCTTTCCGCAACTCCGGATTTCGGTTGACTCCAGCCGGATGTGAATGTCCGTTGGTCTTAGCAAACATGCGGTTTCAAAATTAGCCATTGCTCCGTAAGACACCGACCACGACACGACACCATTTTCCGCTGACAAGGTTTCATTTTCATTTTCACTGTCACCCTCGCCCGCCGTCAGCACAGTAACCCTCCTCTTATTTTTCGGAGGCCGGATTGTTGCAGGTGAGATACTGCATGACGTGTCACCCGGAAGACTAATCCGCCACCCCTCGGAACCAATTTGGAAGGTGATTAGGCCCTGCAAGTCTCGTCCAGTGCCGTTGCAGCGCCAAGATCATGGGCCTGTGTGTGGATCAAGCCAGGGCCGAGACGGGACTTTTCGCGCTTCCGAAGCAACCTCGAAAATTTCCTTTTTCCAGCGTCCCTGCATCGTGCTACTATCAGGTCTGCCATGTTCGCTGGTTGCAACCCTCACCACGCCGGTTGATCAAGTCCCTGGAATGGCCTGCAAAAAAGTGCATACTTAGTTGCATCTGAAAAGCGGATCAATCTCCAGGAGGTGGCGTGTCGAAGCTGATTATACCCTCTCCGCACTTTTTCTTCAGGAACTGCCCTCGCACAAAACCGGGTCGCCGTTGGTTCGCGGCAAATTGCCGTAGTGGTTTTTGGACAGTCGCTCACCCTCCATCGCCGGTGGAGAGTTGCAGATCGTCATCTCTTCAGAGCAAAATCCCCGTGAAGATCAGGGTAAGGGTTCTTCCCTCCCGAGACGGGCTCGTGCGCAGGAATTGTCCCACACCTGAGATTTCTGCGCAGGGTTGAGTTTCTAGGCCTAGAATCTCGTCCTAGCGCCGACTCTTGGAGCTGTTCAGTCTGGTCCAGCGGATCCACAGGAAGCGAGATCGAGACGGTAGCCGAGACAGACAACACGTGCGAGATAAGAGACTGAGGTGTGTACACGGTACGATGTACATGTCAATTTCGGACTGCTGCAGCTTCATTGGATTTCAGCCAGGGGAAAACTGTGGGGACCGCATAGTCTCTTCTCCGCGAGTCAGTATCTGAACGTCCAGGACCTGGTCCGTTTAACGCACCTCCAAGGGACGTATGACTGGTCGGAGAGGTTGGCGGCGCTCCCAGACGGTCTTGTCCATAGCCTGTAACTGTGTCGACCGGGCGGTGTAGACTTGTAGGCGAGCGATCTCTAACTCCGGTTTCAATCAGAAGCCCCTCAGCGGTGATAGACGGCAACCGGGTGCCCGAATTATTAGAGTCAGGCGACAGCCGTGAAGACGTTTGGACGTTGGATCCTGTACCTGTGCTCGTAATCGTGGGCGGGGGAACCGGGTCAAAGGTTCCCGACGACGTTGATGAGCGAGAGGCTGCTGGGACATGGGGACTAGGCACTGGGAGCGGCAGGATGATGCGGCTACCAGATCCCGTCATGCTCGAGTCGCCTTTAAGTAATGTAGGCGGGTGCAGATTTTGTTCTGTTTCTGCTGTTTCGGAGCCATTATTTGACGCTCCCGTGTCCTATTTCGAGGTTAGCTCCGTGGTCCCGAGCGGTCGATGAACATCAACAGGCAACGCCTTACGTTGTCGCGCGCATCCTCGATCAAGGCCCGTACCTCGGGCGACACCATTGGGAGGATCTCATTGAGAAGGCTCTCATACCGTGCCAAACGCCGCGAGGTTGCCGTAAGATCCTCTGCTGTCCTGTAAGAAGGGGCGGGGCCGCCCGCTGTCAGCATATGTATTCGAAAGCAAGGTCATTCATGGGGGCCGAGTCACAACACTTACTTCCGCTTCCTCCACCCCTTGCCGTAGCCGTAGTAGCAAGTGGTACCGGTGTGAAGACACCTCCGACATGCAGGTCTGGACCCATCACACTTCGTCTTTCGCTCGCGACAAGGTTCACAAGCGTGACTGGTTCGAGCTCGTTCAGGTTTCTCCCATGCGGAGTTGCTTGACCGCGATATGGGCAACGAGGTACTTTTGGTGACACCGGCGGGAGGAGCGTGCGAAGGTGGAGACAGGCTACTGATGATATTGCCAGGCTTCATGGCTGACGTGCCGAGGCTCAAAGGATTTTTTGGGGGGGAAGGGGAGGGGAGAAATTGAAGGATAGATCAAGACATATGGTTGTGAGGTCTCAGACGCAGCGGAACATTAAAGCCAACAGATTAGAGTCTGAGGTTCAAGAGTGCATAAGCAGCCAGATAGTGCACTGAGGTATGTAGGGGTTGAGGAAAGAAGAAAAGGGCCAAGCTAGAAACTTCGGAAGGGGGTCGTGAGGATATCGATGGGTAGATGTATCAAGCTGCAAGATGGGAGTTGCCGATCTCGTGGTACTAGAGTATTTACTATTCGGAGGAGGGAAAAAGGGTGGAGAGGGAGGCAAGTGGATTCGAATGGCGGACTTGCGCAAGTGTGGTAGGGCAACGCGGTAGACGGAGTCCCAAGGTGTTTCTAAGGGGGGGCGTTTTGGTGGTGGTGAGAGGGATGAGGAGGGTGGAATGGTTGGAATAGTGCAATGGCAAAAACCTGTGCTGTGATCAGTCAGTCAGTCAGTCAGTCAGTCAAGTCTGGCCGTTGGTCGACGCTGCGGCAAGACGGGTAGGCTGTGATTCGAGAGAACAAGGCCGAGTATGGTCGTTGGACTGACGCCAATGGTCGGTCAATCGTTGGAAAATTGTAACGGATCGCGCTGTGGGCCCGCGGTGCTGGTCGGGACCCGGAAGGATGGAGAATGAGCCCTAGCACTACCCAAAGCAATACCTAGACCCTGTGCCTGGGCCCAGCAGGCCAGGTACCTTGGTGGAATGGTCCAAGGGCCGAGGAACCCATAGACTCGACTAGAACGTCCACTGGCAAGGAGAAGCGAGCGAGCGAAGAAAAAAAGAAATCGTTTGACCGTAGTGGTACTGGGACTGGTACAGGGTACTGGATACGGCAAGTTCGGACCGGGGACTACCAGCCAAGAGCAAACGGCTTCGGAGATGGCGGGGGGCGATTGATTTGGGGTGCGCAAACAACGGATACGCTACGGGGAGAGGCAGAATGGGCAAGACAAGAGAAGGAGAGGGAGAAGTGGCCTGCAGCATGACCTGTCCAGAGGGAGGGTGGAAGTGATGACTGGGGGCGAGAAAGAACCGTTGGTCCAAGATCCAAGTGAAAATCTCACGCGCGCATAGCAGATTGCAACGGCGAAAGACGGAAAATAGCCGTGTGTGTGTGTGTGTGTGTGCGCACATGTGTGTGCACAGTCGAGAGAGGCGAGGAGGGAAGATCAGGGGATGAGCAGTAGAGGGAGGATTCCGAGAACAACAGAGGGAAACAGATGACTTAGTCGAACGAGGCTAGAGACAAGGAGGAAAAGAGGGAAAAGAAACATCACATCAGGAACAAACAGAAGGAATGAAGAGGCACCAAGGGAAGAAAAAGTTGAGGCATCATTGGATGTTTCGAGGGACCGAGTAGTCAGATGCATTTGCCGGGACAGATTATACGGCGCAAATGTGGGGAGCTGGTCTGAGAACTACCTAGTGGGTGTCTCCGGCGGAGTATCATACCCAGTAGTATTCGTAACCAGTACTCCGGAGTATATTGCCCGGCTAGTGCAAATCCAACATTCGCAATACTGGGTACCAGTACTAACATTAATTCATCTCCTTCACTACGAGGTATGTATCATTCACTTTCCTATTGTTTACGATGCAATGCACTGCCACCAATGCAACGTGATGATGAGATGGTCTGTTCCCTCTGCTTAGACAAGATCTGGCTTTGCTCTCTTCTCCCTCCACAAACATATCTCCGCCGCCGCCGCCACCACCACCACTACCACCAGCAGTACTCCAATACCTCTCTCGCGCTCCATAGCTAGGTACATACTCGGTATGCAGTTCCTGTACCAGGTGATTTTTGTTTTCTTAATGCTGCCCCCCCT